TTTTCTTTTTTAAAGTAATAAAATTAATTCTTTATAGAAAAAGTAGAAAAATTCTGCTTTTTTCTAAACCTTTTTTTTCTAAGTTTAATTCCTAAAGTTCTGCCTAGATTGCATAAGGGGCATGCTTACTTTATACCCTGCTTTTTTATTTTTTCTTTATAGTATTTATTTTTTAGACTTTATTTCTATTATATATCTTTTTACTTTTATATTAATATTTCTATTATTTTCTATTTTATAGGACTTTGCTATTATTTCCTTAGGCTATAATAAACTACTTATTATTGCTATTAATATTTTTCTAATTAAGATACTACTATTAAAAGAAAAGTGTATTTTATATAATCTTTTTATTAAAAAGCTATATCTTAAAATATTTAATTTATTAAAAAAATATATTATATTATTATTAAGGTTAAATAAAAAATAAGTATATAAAGTATTAGTAGTTATACCTACTAGCTATAAGCGAAAGAAATTAGCTAAACTTAAAAATAATAATAAATATAAAGACTAAAGCGATATTAATAAAATACTAAGTAAAGTTTATAGGATTATAAGTACTTTTAGATATTTATAATTATATTTTATTAATAAAATATATAGTTAGAGTTGACGCTTTTTATAAATAAGATTAATAAAATTTTAATTAAAAAAAAAAGTAGAAAAAAGAATAAAGCTATTAAAAATACCCCCCTATATACTCTTAATAACTAAAGCTACTTTTGTAATGTTGATATTTATATATATTGTAAACCTAACTATAGTATTTAATACTTTAATATAAGAATATTAAATATATTACTTAAAGTACTTTAATTTTAAGTATAAGGACAATATTATTAAAAAGATCTTTATATTTATAATTAAAAATATAAGCTAGGAATACACTAAAGTAAAGTATAAATTCCGTTATTATAAATTAAATTAGAAGATAAGTATAATAAAATATATAAATATAAATACCTCTTTCTAAAATATTATCTTTAAAATAATATTAATTAATAATATAAAGGAAAAGATTAAAAAGTAAGAGACTACTAATACTAACTTTAAAAGATTATAAAATATATATAAAATTGCAGAAGTTATATAAGATAAGTATTTTATTTTAAATTTTATATATATTTTTAACTTTACTATAAAATTAATTAATATCTCTCTAATAAAAGAGTAGGAAAAAAACTACTAAGCTTTTTTCTTTTATAAGTTGCGCTTCTAGTTTTTTTTATATAATAGCTAATATATTTTCTAGAACTATTTATAAATCTTATATATAAGATAAAAATAATAAAAAATTAAATAGCAGATAAATTTAGGTTAAAAACAAGTAAATTTATATATAAGAAGATATTAATATAAATAGAAGCTATAGGAGACTTAGCTAATTTTAAAGATATAAATATTAATAATTTTAAAAATAAAATAGTAATATAGACTTTAAAAAGAAAAGTTAAAGTTAAATACTTAGATAATAATCTTAACTATATATATATTAAATAACTACTACGCTATTGCTCTATAATACTTTTTAATTCTCCTACTAACCTTCCTACTAATACTTTATAATCTTCCGCTATTTTTACTATTTCCCCCTTTTTTTTGCTACTTTTTTACTTACTTTATATAAGCTGCTATCTAGTACTTTACCTACTATTGCTATTATTTAGAGTTACTATATATTAGGGAAAGTATAAAGAAGATTATAATACTATAAGATTAAAACTAAGACTAAAAGACTTAGTATAATATAATATAACTATAGAAGAAAATAACTATATAAAGAATAGCTTAATATATAATAAAGAATAAGTAGCTATATATAAAGATAGAATAGCTTAGATATAAAAATTATAAGCTATATTGCTAAAGAAATAAATATAAGTTCTATATTATTATATTTCCTTTTAATTTTTCCTATTAGTATATATTCTATAGAAGTACTTTTATTTCTAAGCTTAAGTTATAGATAAGCAAATTATAAGCTTTAGTATATTTTTTAATAATTGTATACTCTATATATCTTAAATTATAGATATTTAATAATAGTATAAATACTATTTTAAATAGCTTATATAGAGTATTAAAAGATAATCTTTTAAAAAACTATATTATTTTACTTTTAAAAAAAGAATATTTACTATAATAGTAAATATTATAAAATATATTATATAGTAAATAGGTATAAATATATATATAAGGAAAAGAAAGCGCAAGTTATTTATATATTATTAAGATATTATTAAATAAATATTATATATAATAAAGTATTAAAAAGGTTTTAATATAGTTTTAGTAGTTAATCTATACTTAGTATAATATTATTATATATTATAGTTTATAATAATTATAATTATTATCTTATTTTATATATATTTAATATAACTATATATTTAAAAAGTATTAAATATCTTTTAAAATTATATTTATTTATAATTGCTATTAAACTTCTATACTTATATAAGCTACTTTAATATATATACTAGGTATTTGCTTACTACTATTAAATAGTATATTAAAAAGTAATTAAAGTTAAATTAATATATAAAATATTTCTACTATATATAATTATATATAAATTATATTAAAAATCGCTCTATTTTTTTCTATTATATATCTAATCTATATATCTAGGTATAATGTATAGATATTATCTAGATAGGATATAAGCTACTTATTATCTTTTATATAATATTGACCTTTACTAGATAATCCCTAAAAAATTTCTAGTATTGCCCTAAGATATATTAAATTACTTTAGGCTTTTTATAGTAGGTAAAAATAATTAGAACTATAAGATTAATATACTAGCTTTTCGCTAACAATTATAATAGAAAATATAAAGTGTAAATAGGCTTATAGTAATATATAAAAACTAATTACTATAGAACTATTTATAAAAGCTAATACCTTCTATAAAAAGTCTTACCCTACCTATTAAGGTAGATAAAAAACCTTCTAGTAGGCTTGGCTTACTAAGCCCTTTTACCCTAGCTCCTATAGGCCCTCTTAGCGCCTATAGATAGCTAGCGGCTAATAAAAATATATAAAAAAACCTTTATTAAAATATTATTAAATAATTTAGTCTATAATTTATAGAAAAAACTATATAATTATAAAGATATCTAGTATAGTAATAAAGTATTAAAGAATATAAGTAATATAAATTAAAGTAGTAGTTTATTTATTTAAGTTTATTTATTATTATATATATTTAAATTTTCATAATATTTAATATAATTGCTTTTAAATTTATAACCTCTACTATAATATTTATAGAAACTAATTATATTTTTAGTATAATTATTTTTATTAATAATATAATAAAAAAAATCTTTTAAAGTCCCTATAGAAGAACTCTTATAAATACTAAAAGTACTTTTTTATTTATACTTTTAAAATATTAAAGCTTAGCTTAATTAGTATTAGGTTTAGAAAGTAAAAAAATAAGAATTTAAATAATATACCTTTAGTGTTAATAAACTTTTAAACTTTAATATTATAATAAATACTAATATTATTAAAGATAAAAATACTATATAAGCTAGGAAAAGTATTATAGTAAAAGAATAAGTTATACTCTAACTAATAGATAAATTAATTGCTATTATAGAATCTTTTTTTAATACTTATATAAAAAAAATAGCTTTTAAAAGTAATAGTAGTAAGTATATTATATATAGCTCCTTATTAACTATTTTGCTTTTACTTTATAAGATTATTAATAGGAGTATAAGTAAGATATTACTACTTTATTTACTTTTTAAATAGAGTTTTATTAATAACTATAGTTTAATTAGCTATATATATAACTATTTTGCCTTCTTAGTATCTTTGTAAATACTTATTCTAAAGGCTATAACTATAACTTTCTTTTTATTTACTTGCTATTGCTTTAGCAAATATAATATTATAAATTAACTAACTTTAATATTAAAGTCTTTATCTAAAAAAGCAATTAATTTATATTAATAAAAATATAGGAAATTATTAAAATACTTTAAAAGCTTTTCTTTAATATATTTTAAAATTTTCTATTAATAATTCATTTTATTTTAATAAAAACTATACTATTAACTATATTATTTTAAGTTCCTTTTTATATTGCAAATAATATTAAAATAAAAGTTAACTTTAAATATATTTAAAATAGTAGTAGGTTTCTAATTATAATAGAAGAAAGCTTTAATTATATTTTATATTATAAGGTCTATATATTAAAGTATACTCTTTTATTATATTATATATTAGCTATAAAAATAAATAAAAAAAGATATAAATACTAATTTTAAATAAGTTTAGTTAGGAAGTAGCAAAGGATAGTCGTAATATTTAATAGTTACTAATAAATTTGGTAGGTTTTTAGAAGAAAGTAAAAACTTCCCGCATGCCAAGCCCTACAAGATCATTTGCATACCGTAAATAGTACAACGCATTTCCGTCTACCCCTCTAGGGACCGCATTTCCACACCTACACACGATGGCCTCCACCATTATTGCAATTAATATGAATCATTCCACAACCTTCAACCTTCCGAGTCGGTTAGGAGTAGAACCTTGAACGCGAAATCAACAACATATTCATATCTTCAGCCGCTGCGGGTGGATTGTGGCATGAAGTCTGAAACGCGCTCTACGATACTCCCAAAAGTGGCACGACGCAAGTCAAACCCGTCTTGTGTTAGAACCCCTCATAGATATTGGCGACCATGGTCGCGTCTCTATCCCCATTGAGGTGCATTGACCTCATGGGACCCTTCGTTGTGCCTCAACATGCTCGGGAGGAAGTCCTATTTTCAAAAGAAGGATAGAAATTGGTGAAACTGACCCTTACAAAACGAGCTACTCAGAATATACTGCCCGCTCTCCATTACTGTCTTCATTTCCTTTGTTTCACTCATACAATGCGTGTTCATTCCATTAAAAGACGGATCCGTATATCGTTGCTCCTGCAGATATGCTCGTTGGCCGTTGTTCGATTGTAAACTCGGTTTCTTGCAATGATTGCACCTAACCGCTTATACATTGTCACGGGCGTGTTTCTGTTAGCCGTCATTTCGTTGTACACACTGTTCAAGCAGGGCAAACTCAAGCCCGAACTCGAAAAGCTCAGATTCGATCTTCGTTGCAAATGCTTCAAGTCAATTTCCTTGACGGGAAGCGCACCAAACGCGACACTCATACAATCCAACGTGACTGCAAACTCCACATTATCGAGCCATATCTCTATCAGACCTCACAAGATCATGCAAGTCAGCATGTCATTCCGAGCCAAACACTACGCCGACAATAACGACATCTACGAGCGTGCTCTGCAAACCCATACAGCTTACGGTCAGAAATGGGGCTATCCAACACGTCACCTACAAAGCGATCTGTGGGGCAATGAGATACTGAAGAAAAGCGTCTACAGCAAACTCCTCTACATATCCACGCTTATGGCGACGGAGATGGCCAAGCCATCTGATGAACGTATCGAGTGGCTGGTGTAAGTTCACCAGGCATCACCCTTACCGCTCCCACTGACCCCCCTGCCTCGCAGCTGGTACGACGCAGACACCCTCCTCCTCAACCCTCAAGTCCCCTGGACGCTTTTTCTTCCCCCCACGACCGCCATCGACGCCCCCCATGCTCACATCCACCTCCTCATCACCAAAGACCGCGTGGGCTTCAACTCCGGCGTCTTCCTCATGCGCGTCTCCCCTTGGTCTCTCAAAGTCCTCTCCATGACCATCGCCTACCCTTACCTCCTCCCCACCAATTACACCAACATCGGGGACTCCGACCAGACCATCTTCGGCAAGGTCTTGGATCGGCCTGAGAACATGATGCATAGGATCTATCAGCCGAGAGGGTGGTGGAACGCTTACGATGCGTATGAGTACCCTGAGGAGGTTGTGAGGAAGGGGGTGCTGAATCTGCATTTTCCAGGCGGGGATTATAATAGACTTACGAGGATGGCCTCGTGGTTTAGAAAGATGGAGGAGGGAGTGCTGGGGCTAGAGGTTCCGCTTGAAGAGACGGGTTATGTTGGGGAGGTGGAGGCGTATTGGGAGAGGGTGGGGAATGCTACAACGGTGTTGAAGAGGGCGAGCGCGCTTGTCAAGCGATTCTTAAGGGCGGAAAACCGGGATTTGCCGGAGAGCGTGAGGGAGATGAAGGTGGCTTATAAGTCGTTGAAGGAGGTGATCTATGATCGGGCTCAGGATGAGGAACTGATAGTTGGGGCGACGCAGAGGATGGAGCGCGCATTGAAATCTGTGAGGAAGGAAGACGTGCAGGCTGCTGAATTGAGGATATCACCAGCAGGGAATAGTACGCTCAATAAGGGAGAGGAGGGGGATGATGGACCGTGGTGGATCGAGGTGGAAGAATGGTAGAACTTTTAAAAAAAATCTCTTCAAGAATGACTGCGATTATTTCACGACAAAGGCTCTTTTAGAGACCTGTGGCGTTGAGGACCTTACTGGGCAAGCGACACCATATTCCAGGCCCAGGATTATAATTTCAAGCAACAAGACGCCGAAGCGATACCGCCCTCTTCAACGTCTTGCTGCTATCTCCGGTTACTCGACGTTCACGCCCCAAGAATCTGGATAGAAGGCCAATTACAGTTTGTCATTTGGCCCCTTAAAGAGCCCCACAGAGATCACGCTCGCTTCGAAGGTTTTCACAGTTGACGAGAAACAATCAAGGGACAGATGTCCCTGGATGATCCTTCCTTTCCCAAAGGATCAAGTCTCAAAGCGCTAATACGACTTATTCGTATTCTTCTCAATCTCCACCAACACTCAATACGACTCAGAAGGTTGGTATAGGCGTAGCGGCGTCGATCGTCTCGACGGCGCTATTGATCTTTGTATTGAGTTTCATTTGGCGGAAGAAGCGTCGACAAAGGGCCAGGAAAGCATCGGAAGAGGTGCTGGCCACAGCAATTGATCAATCACCATTTTATCTCCAGCAAAAAGCTGAGCTGGAGGATGAAGACAGGCGAAAGCACGAGCTTGAAGGAGAAGGTAAAATGGTCGAATTGGGCGGAGAGAGCACAGTGAAGCATGAAATGCCTGCAGCCAGTGACATGATTACGATTACAGAGCCACTCTCGTCACAGTTTCGTCAAGAGTTGATGAGTGAAGAGTTCGCGCAGGAAATTGGCAGTCCTTGAAATCTGGGCAGGGACAGTTGTACGAGAATTCCGGCACTCTGATCACTCAATTTGGGAGAGGCTTTGAAAGGTATTATGTGTTGACTTTGTACAGCACTAGTTGGGACAAGTTCATCAAGGAACGTGTTCAGTGTGTGAAATATGCTCTCAAGATTGAGAGAAATTGTGCGGCGCTCAAGACTACGCAATCAACATTGACAAGCCATTCATTCCAAAAAGGTGAACAACATTTATGAGAAGCGTCCAATTGTCGGCGACTTGATACTTAACCATTGACGATGGTACCACCATACGTCCTATGCGAGATGAGCTTCGAGGGGCTCTCTAAAGTTCGACAAACGAGACAGCATCAGCCATGTGGTCTGCAAACCTGTTGTGCGGCCCTCAACGAAGCGTCAAATGATTGATGTCGCGGTAGAAGACTTGAGCTAGATGCACACTGAGCTGGACAATTCGTATAGTCGCATAGGAGTCTCGAGATATGTAGCGGACAAAGGAATGACATAACGCTACTCGGTAAAGCACTCCCTTTGGCCCCCCGTTCGAACGCTTCTTTGTCCGAAGTCCAGTATTCGGGAACTTCTAGACGCTTCTCATCATTGAACGAGGTGGCGTAACCTCATGGTGACTTGTTGACTGGTAAAACCCCCTTTGAAACATGATGGTAAAGCCTCCATTCAGCGAATATGAAGACATTCCTACCTTCAATGGATCCGTGTGGCCCTTGGCATCCCGATCCGCTGAAATAATGCCCCCTTTCACACACCATCACCGTTTGCAGCCATCTTCAACCCTTCCTCCTCCCCTCAAGACCCTCTTTACCCCATGCCCATCTCCATCTCCCCCATGCCCATTCCCACCCCCCACAAATCCCTCACAAAATCCAAGAATGCACTACCTTCCCTCCCACCTCAGCATCCCCCTAACCCTCCTCTCCCTCACCCTCCCACTCTTCCTCCCCCTCCTCTCTCTTACCCACGGCACCCCCGAACCCCTCCCAGAAACCCCCAACCTCCCACATGAAGGATTATCTCTTCCCCTCTCGAATCCCCACAAACTAGTAACAGTCCGCCACATAACCCTACACAACATCCTCCTCCCCCGCCAGGACGCCTCACCCTCCGATGCCGACGGCAGTACATCTGAGATCGTAGGGGCGACTGACGTCACGCTTTCTTCGTCGCCTACTGACGGTTCACCCAACCCCGCCGACAATAATGCTGACCCCAATGCCAATTCCGACTCTAACCCCACCACAGACGCCGGTGGCGCTGGATCCTCTAATGTCAGCGATGGAGGAGGGGGTGGCGGTGGTACGATGAGCACGACAGACGGACAGTCTAACACGGATGGCCAGGCGAGCGATTCGACTACGGCGTCGGATTCTTCTGCTACTGACGGCGGGGGGTCGATGACGGGAGGGGAGATCGTGGCGACTAGTGATGGTGGTGGTGGTAGTGATGGCGGTGCTTCCTCCACGAGTGGCGGGAGTTTGACTAGTAACACTGGGGTTGGGGGTGGTAGTGGGAGTTTGACTTCAGCGTCTGGATCGGCGTCGGGGGGGCGTCGAAGAGCGCGGGGGAACGGGGGGAAGGTGAAGGGGCAGGGTGCGAGAGTGGGGAGGGGGGGAGGGAAATGCGTCCGCTTAATGGGGGTTGTTGCGGCTCTAGTTTTGGGGGCTGTGATTTGAGCGGAGCGGATGGGGAGGGAGAGGTGGTGGGTGGTGGGTGGTTTGTGGTTGTGTGAGGGATTGAGTAGATGCTTGGGGGATGTTCAGACAGTCATTAATGGAATACTTGTTATTCCATGTTTGTATGAGACAGTGGGAGCAGAATGCAATGGGGGGTGTGTGTTCCAGCATGGGAGAGATTCGAGTCCTTGATTGCTCAGTAAGGACGAAGGGTGATGAACTCTTCACTTTTTCGGTGAGTTCCTTAAAGCTTGAATTTGCGAGTGGGCGAGGGGGAAGTAGAGCAGGTCTTGCAATGGAATTGATTGTTGAGAGGGATAATAACAGAGGTTCATGCGAAGTCTGATGGCCGGGTATTTTTAATCTTGCATTTTTTTCTAATTGTAAGCTCTATGCAGCGCTCCTGTCGCTTTCCTGGGGAAATCCTGCATCTATCGAGCAACCTTTGATAAATCATCACAATTAACATGACTATGAGAGGAGAATAGTAATGACGAGACCAATTCATCCTTAAGACTTGTCGTCGCTCTTACTATCGTCTGATTCTAGATCAGGAGATTTTGAACGTCCCTTTAGGCCCTGTTTTCCCTTAATGCTCTTCCACTCCACAGCCAGAGCGCCCAGAATTGTATAGGCACTCAGTACAGCTGTCAGAATGAAAACGCGGGTCAGAGCGTAGCTGTACGCATTCACAACAGTTCCGAGTTGGTCCGCGGGTACCGTTTTGCGAAGATCAGTTGCTCCCGTGTTGACGATAGCTTTAGCATTGAGGCCCGCCATCCCGGAGAGGTTGTCCACAAGCTTGCTTGAGAAGATATTCTGACCAACAGCGAGGAATATGGAGCCGCCAAGCTGCTGCATGAAAAACATGAGTGCGGTTCCTAGAGGTACATCGGCGCGTGGTAGGACGTTCTGTGCGGCCAGGTTCGATGTCTGAAAGCCACATCCAATACCAAGGCCGTAGAGAACCTGGTAGCCGATCCAAGCATTATGACTTGAGGTGGGTGAGAGAGTTGAGAGTAGTCCAGCACCTACGGAGGCGAGGACTGGAGCAAGCAGCATTGAGGGAACATAGTAGCCAACCTTTTGAGTGAAGATGGCGGTAATGGTACCCATGATGACCAGAGCCAAGACCAATGGGATAGTACTGACGCCGGCGTGTGTCGCGGAGTCCCCCTTTGCTGCTTGAAACCAGATCGCTAGGTAGTAAATGGCGGCCATCATTCCTCCTGACAGTAGGAGCATAAAATACATACTGCCAGCAATTGACCTATTCAGCACGACTCGCATCGGTGCCATTGCTGTCTTTGGCGTTAGGATCTCAACAATGACAAAGATGACGAGCAGGATGGAGAAGGTGACCAGAAGGCCAACGATCTTTGCTAACGACCAGGAATCGGTAGTGCCGCCCCATTGAAGAGCCAGGATCAGGCATACCATAGATGGGACAAGAAAGACGATACCGATTGGGTCGATGCGTTTGAGTTGTTCGAAGAGTGTAAGCTTCTCACGTTTCGTCGGTTCGAGATGCAGGAAGAAGAAGATTGCAGCTAGGGTAAAACCACCAACTGGTAGATTAATGTAGAAGCACCATCTCCACGTCCTAATAAAGTCAGCAAGGCATCTTTTACTAAGAACTGAGCCAACTTACACATGGTCAGTAAGAGTACCGCCGATGACTGGGCCAAGTACCGAAGATACTCCGAAAGCCATCCCGAACAACGAAATGAAGATAGGGCGTTTCCGAAGAGGAATGAGGGGAAGCATGATCATCATGCCACCCGAAAAGATGAATGCGGATCCTGAGCCCGCAATAGCACGCCCGAGGATGAAAGCGATAGAGTTAGGTGCAGCTCCGCACAATGCTGAGCCGGCCTCGAAAACCACAATGGATGAAAGGTAGACCCATTTGGTCGAGTAGAGCTGGTAGATGCGGCCAGAGATAGGGAAGAAGCAGGCAGCTGTCAGCATGTAGGCACTGCCGTACCAGCCGATGTCTTGGATGGAATGGAACTCGTCGGTGATACGCGGAATGGCTGTTGCAATGATTGTTCGATCCTGTTGACGCGTGAGCTCGATCGGTGAGTGCAAAGGTATGTTGGAAGTTTACCAATGCAACGAGGAAGATCGCAAGATACATGCCGACGATGATCGCCCAGAACTTGAAAGACCTTGGCTGGAAGTTCTTCTCGGCATCTTCATATTCATCGATCGGCTCGACTGGTTGAGACGTCTCGCTTGAGGGGAGCTCTTTGTGAAAGTCTTCCGAACCTGTGGAGGACATTGTTAAGATAGGAATTTCGATGATTTTAGGTAGCGATTTGCTTACAGTGTAGCTTTGAATAGCTGAGCTGTCCATCTTATATGATGTGGTGAAAGATACTCTCCTGTATCTGTCCGCCAGAATCGCCCGATGGCTCGACGTCCTAATGCCCGATTCAGGTACATATTATGTCTGGTCGGTAATTTGAAAAGTCCGAGAGTAGGTCAATCGGCCCCGTATATACATTTCTTGGCGCGGACTTTTCAAAACTCCGAGGCAATTCTTAAGTACCCGAGAACCCGTCAAGACTCCTCTTCACTCTCCTCTGATTAAGTTGTGATCCTGCTGAATTCCAGCTTGGATTGGCATCTTTTTCGTCTCTGAAATCAAGCTAAACCGCAGAGTCAACACCTGCGAGGGGATTTCTTTGCACATTCCTCTGTGCTCTAGTTACCGAATTTCAATAGCTGACGGAGGCACCTCCGAGCTTCGGACAGCCATTCTCCGGGTTGATCGGTAGCCATATGGACTTTAAAGCAGAGGAACATACACCAGTCATGTCTCCAGACGCCCCTTCTCCGTCAGCTAAATCTTTAAAGCCACAACGCTTACTTGCATGTCTACTATGTACACAGCGTAAAGTAAAGTGTGATGTAAGTGAAATCCAAATACGTTGTCCCACAGCAAGCAAAGCAAGCTCTGACAATCGCTTCAGCGGAAAGACCCTTGTGCAAATTGTGTAAAGTCACAGGTGCAGTGCGTGTCGTCGAAGCCCGCTCAGCGCCAGCGAAGACGCAGATTCCCCGAGCGAGAGTTGCTCGAACGGGTCCGGAGATACGAGGATTTGCTTCGTCGTAACAACATTGCTTTCGAACCTCTCCATAGAGATACGGCTGGAGACAAGGAACCATCTGCCGCAGACAGTGGCCAGGATTCGGACCTTGAGCACAAGGAAACTTCAAAACCGGATCAAGCAAGTCTTTTAGCTCCGGGCAAGATCATAGGAAACTATGATGTCAAGTATGTGCTGCTCAAGAATGTATCTGAGCATCGCTGAACGTCGCAGGAACGTTTGGCACACCATGAGCCAAGGAGTATGATTGCATTGCCACGTATGTCATCTTTGCTGACCGTTCTTCCAGTTCCGAGATCCCAATAATGACGGTGATTCCTCGGATGATGATATTCGCGAAATTGCAATCAAGAAGGCGTGGGAACGATCACTAGACAGTGATGACCTCCTTCTGTTCGGCTCAAGTAGGATGACAACCAGCCTTTCGTCCTTACATCCCGAACCAGCGCAGATCTTTAGACTTTGGCAGATTTACTTGGACAATGTTGATCCGCTGCTCAAAGTCACACACACTCCTAGTCTGCAAGGACGTCTTGTAGAAGCTGCCAGTAAAGTGTCGGATATCAGTCCTACTACAGAGGCGCTCATGTTCAGCATCTACTGCACATCCATCGGGAGTCTGACTGTAGAGGCTTGCCAGGCTATGTTTAGTACCCCGAAGGATGATCTTTTGATGAGGTATCAATCTGGTTGTCGGCAAGCACTCTCAAATTGTAGCTTCTTACGGTCGAGCGATAGGGACTCCTTAACCGCATTATATATGTACCTTGTGAGTGTGGCCGGGAAATTTCTGAATTAGTTACTCATATTCTTAGATCTCTGTCAGACCTAGCACATCTCCTCAATCTCTGTCTGCTGTCCTTGGCATCGCAATTCGCATCGCACAGCGTATGGGCATCCACATGGAGTCAGCTTTGGCAAAATGTGCTGTTGTTGAGGCTGAAATGCGTCGAAGATTATGGTGGTCGCTCGTCCTTTTCGACACTCGCATTGGTGAGATTGCTAATTCTAGACCCATTATGCTGGATCCTACATGGGACTGCAAGACTCCCCTCAACGTGAATGATACCGATCTTCGACCAGAGATGAAAGGTTCTCCAGCAGCTCAGAGAAGCCCCACCGAGGCATTGTTCGCTGTCGTACGTGGAAAACTAGGGGACTTTGTCCGCCACAGCGAGTTCCATCTTGATTTTACCAATCCGGCTTTGAAGCCAATTGTCCAGCATCTTCAGAATCGTAGCGCTCCAGAGGATACTCAGCTTGCAAAGTTTGAGCAGCTTATCGAGGATCAATACTTAAAGTATTGTGACCAGGACAATCCTATTCATTTCATGACAACGTGGTCAACGCGGGCGTTCCTTGCCAAATTCAGACTCTTAGAACATCATGCGCGACATTCCAGGTCTAAAGTACGCCAAACCGAAACACAGCATGACGCTGCCACTTCATATGCGCTCAGAATGCTTGAATGCGCCACAAAGATCATGACTTCACCCCTGACCACAAGATTCCAATGGATGAATCAATCCCACTTTCCCTTCCCAGCATTCATCCAGATCGTCCAAGACCTGAGACGTCGCCCCGTGAGCAACCAAGCCCGACAAGCTTGGGAAACCATGAGCGAGGCCTACGAGGCTTGGTTTGACCCTCAATACAGACCCACTAGCCCTTTCTTTCAGATCTTCAGCAAGATCGTGCTCCAAGCATGGGAGGCTTCCGAAGCGGCATCGAAATGCTTGGGGGCGACTTTGTTGCCACCGAGAATCATCTCCTTGATTAGGCTCACACTTGAACAAGCGGCGGCGCGGGATGTGAGATTTGCTAATGTAGAGCAAACGAATGTTTCCATGGCGATGGGGGGAACGAAGTCTCGCCGCCTATGCTGACAGGCGCTGCTGATAAAAGCCTGTCGTATGCTGTGGGCGTGCAAAATGATTTTTCGATGATGCAACCAGAAACGAATTTTGGCATGCTGTTGAACGAGCCGATGGATTTTGACTTCAATCGCTTGGACTGGAATTCACTTGATGGACGGCCTGGCTGGGGAGGTTATTGACGTCGAGGATTCGTCAAGACCACAGCTATTATGATCTAGAGACGTCGTGTAAGGTATTTCACAGTCTCCATCGTAGCGGTATTGTCTCTAAACTTTGCATCCTAACGCATCTTTGGCCATGGTGGAGTACGTCGATAGCGACGACTGGTGACTGAAGTAACATTGTTCTCAGAGGTATTGATTTAGAGCTATAGTTGACATAGAACCTGTGCAGGAACTCTTACCACGTTCCATACGATGATGAAATGTGTGAGAGCCTGAGCTCTCAAGGCTCTGTGTCGTCGTGACCAAAACTCCCCGCAAAGTAGTACCTAGCGTGAGCACTTCCGGGTGTCGGCGTCAGGGTGTTTAGCCCCGGAGATTTCAACTTATAGGGCTCAGGCGGGAAGCTCTAGGCACCCTCCGCTCCATGCGATGACATAATTTCCGCTTCGATAGCTTTCTATCTCGGAATCACCTCAACTCATTCACGCCTTCCACTCTTGTTGGCTGGCAAAATCCCGCTTCGTTTGCCAGTCAAAATGGCTGACTCATTGTCAGACGCGGAAAAAGTACGCTGCCTACCTGCAGAGCTTGAAAGCCATCAACTGACAAGCATAGATCCGCAATAAACGCCTAGCTAAGCTTGGGAATCCAGTCTCCATGCCGCCCAAACCAGAAGATGAAGATCCGACCAAGGATGCATCCTCCTCACCAAATCCTCTGCCTAGCTCGCCAGATGCATCCTCATCTGCAGTCGTCGAGCCGTCGAAACCTCAAACAAATCCGCCCGAATCTTCCACTCAACCTTCAAAACAGAATCCATTCTCACAGCTTGGTGTGATGCAGACCACTTCCGACATGCCCAAGATCAACATATCAAGCCAGCAGACTCGAACACCCCAGAAGAGAGATGCGAGCGGACGACCAAGCCCGAGAGCTGCAGAAACCCTCGAGACATGGGAAGACAGGCATTTGGGCAACATATTCAAAGTCACCTTTGGGCCAGGAGCTCAACAAGTCGGCCGTGGAACTTCTCCATTCTCACTGACGGGCACAAAATCAGAATTAGAAGAGTCAAATCAACCAGTCAGGCTTGATACAACTGTCTTGGATCAGGTGCTTCTCGAGGCTGCATCGAATGTGAAGAAAGATTTCACGCCACTCAGGTACTTCCTGGAGTGCTGGAAAAGAGTTTCGAGACATTTCAAAGCCTTGAGGAAGAACGGGGAGGAAGATCCAAAATTTCTTATTGTAAAAGAGGCGAGGCGATTGTGTATGAGCTACTGCATATTTGCGGCTACCATGCCAGAAATGTTCGGCATGGACAGCTCAGAATCCAACTTGCTTGCACAACACTTCCTATACGATCCCGAGGACGATCAAGGAATTGATTATGATTTTTTGATGGAGGCCATTGCAAGAATGTCTAATGACGAGTCAGTCAAAGATGTCTTAGTCGGCGCCTTCGAGGATCTCAGCCGGCGACTGGCGCAGATGACGATGAATGATGATTTCAAACCATACGTAAATGCACTGCGCGGTATTGTGCAGTATACAGCATTGGTAGAAGCTATCACACAATCCCCCTTGTTTCTTCCTCCTTCGATACAGGCACCTCTCGTCGAGACTGCTACCTTCCTTGGCCCCTTCTTCAGGATCTCCCCACTGCAAGGCGATGTCACCAATACGTACTTTTCTGCACCTTCGACCCGTGATCAAGGGTTCATTGCAAATTCGCAGCGATCTTTACGCATGGCGTTGCAGACCCACCAAATGGACCTTCTTGATATTGTCAATAAAATTATAAAAACTGGCAAGAATCCTCGCGAGCGCATCCTGGACTGGTTTGCAATGTGCTGCAACGTGAACCACAAGCGTCGAGCAATGCAAGTAGACCCGAAGACAGTCTCCTCGGATGGTTTCATGGTCAATGTTACGGTTTGCCTTGATCAGCTGTGTGATCCGTTCATGGATGCTTCATTCTCAAAGATTGACCGAATAGACGTAGATTATCTTCGCCGCAATCCTCGGGTCAACATCAAAGAGGAAACCAAGATCAATGCTGATCAGAACGCATCGGACGCTTTCTATAATTCGCCCGTGGAGGGGACAAACAACTTCATTTCAGAAGTCTTCTTCCTCACGCTTGCCGCTCATCACTACGGCACAGAGGCGGCTCATTCTATGCTCAGCGAGATGGATAGAAACCTGAAACGAATGAAGAAACACTTGGAGGATGTTGAACTCGAGCGTCAGAAAATCCTCAACAATCCCGGGATGCTCGGACAGTTTGACCGGGCGATTCAGAAATTCAAAGATCAAATCGAGAAGGGGACTTCTTATAAGTATGCTGTCGAAGGTGTTCTCCTAGATGACCAGAATCAAACACGATCTATGCAATTCATGCGTTATGTTATTGTCTGGTTGCTGCGCTTAGTATCCCCGACACACAATTTTCCACAGGAGCCTCTAAAGCTGCCACTACCATTGGAGCAAGGAGAGGCATTCAAATGTTTACCCGAATATTTTCTCGAAGATGTTGTGGACAACTTCAAATTTATCACGCGCAATCTTCCTCAGATCATCAGCACGACCCAAAGCGATGAGTTGGTGATGCTCTGCATCACCTTTTTGCGGAGTTCTGAATACATCAAAAACCCGTACTTGAAAGGCGGTCTTATCACCATTCTGTTCACGGGTACTGTGCCGACCCCCTATAGAACGAAAGGAAGCCTCGGCGACCTCCTCAACGCATTGCCTTTTGCAAATGAGCACCTCCTGCACTCTCTTATCCAATATTACATTGAAGCCGAATCAACTGGAGCTCATACTCAATTCTACGATAAGTTCAACATCCGTTACGAGATTTTCCAAATCATTAAGTGTATTTGGTCAAATGTGATCTATCGAGATCGTCTGTCTCAGGAAGCGGCTCAAAATATAGATTTCTTTGTCCGTTTTGTCAATTTGCTGCTGAATGACGTTACCTACGTACTTGATGAATCGCTCACGCACTTGACGAAGATTCACGACATCACTGAAGAGCTAGAACAGAAGGATATAGAGCAAGAAGAACGAACTCAAAAGGAAGAAGCATTGTCCGAAGCGAAGGGGAGGGCAAAGAGTTACATGCAGCTGACCAACGAAACTATGGCGATGTTGAAGTTGTTTACCGAGGCTTTGGCAGAGTCATTTACCAAGCCTGAGATCGTACAGCGCCTTGCGGACATGCTGGATTATAATCTTGACGTGATGGTTGGACCTAAAGCCAACAATCTTAAAGTAAAGAATCGTCAAGAATATGGCTGGGAGCCGAAGCAGCTTCTGGCGGACATCATAGACGTGTTTCTCAACCTCAGAAATAAGGAAAACTTTATCTTTGCAGTTGCCAGGGACGGCCGAAGCTATAAACCAGGAAATTTTGAGAGAGCACGATCCATCTTAAAAAACCAGCAAATGAAGGGCTCGACCGAGCTGTCGTCTCTAGCTGCACTTGCCGAAAAGTTTAAGAAAGCAAAGGAAGCAGACGAGCAAGCTGAGGAGGATCTTGGAGAGATTCCTGACGACTTTTTGGGTAGGTCTTCCCTCTCCTTCATAAGTCTAGCATTTCCCTCCAATTTGTGAGTGTACTCCTGACAGGTGTAAACAGATCCAATCCTGTCGACGTTTATGGAGGACCCGGTGATACTGCCAACCTCTCGCAGCATTGTCGACCGCTCCACCATCCGTCAACACTTACTTTCAGACCCCACTGATCCCTTCAATCGCGCTCCCCTTAAGATCGAAGAAGTGGTCCCAGCCACCGAGATGCTTGAAAAGATCAACGCGTTCAAGGCAGAGCGGAAAAGCCAAAAACTCGCGGAATCACACGTGATGGATACGACGGCCGGATAACAGATATTTATTCAGATTGCATCGACGGTGGCTATCAAAAAACCCCACGAGTCGCTTTCAGACGGCGTTTAATGGGAGCACGATTTAGATGACGGAGGCCGCAAAATCCATACATTTCTTTCCAGTCGATAGAATTGGAGACTTTCTTTTAACTGCTGTGGGACTCGGAGTCCAGGTCAGGTGAAGGTTAGACTCGCTAGGCCTCTTGGTCTAAGAGATTCAATTATAGTGTCATAGCATATGGATTCTCTTCTAAAAGTGCAACTATTGATGCTCTATCTCGAGCACTGTCTCTCAGCCTCATTTGCACGATCTTACTCGAATCCTCCACACAGCCATCGACTGGCTCATCGATTAACTTTTCCTTTCGTTCCCCAGTAGAAATTGTATACCTTAGCCACCTACGTTAGGGCATTCTAGAACGCGGCGACTTGCCAGCAGCACAAGGCTGAAAGGTTACCTTTACCCCACGCCGCCCGCCGCCCGTCGCTCGCCCGCTTTCTTACTGCCCTTCCCTCAGGCTCGGGCTGTCATTGCAATCCTTGGATGCTCCCTCTACGCCAATGTGAGCACACATCCGTGTGCTTGTTTCCTGGTGAACGTCGCAATGTTCCCGTCTTCACCAGGACGCAAGCACGCTCCCGCGGAGACACGGTCCTTGTGAGCTACTAAGCTCCTGCTCGCGTGACATGTCGGTATACCTATGCTAACAGTCTGCAGCCTGACCCAGTCGCCACCCTCAGCCCACAAGGACGTCAATCTGAAAGAGTCATCTAAGCCAGAAGATACCCTACTGATCACCTCCGAGCTTATCAAAGAGGAATCAGGACGTCAGCGTTCGCGAATCATCTATTCGCAGCTGAGAGACTTCACATATGGCTCTCACCCCCGCCCAAAGACCTGGCGTACGTGGAAGAGCCGACGTGGCGTGAAATTGGGCGCTTGTCTCGCCGCAACGCTTACCATCTGCATCGTAAACTTCATCCTCGCCGCCGTAGGGTGGTCCAAATATGATCGCGCGCAGATGGAGTTGTGCTGTTGTACGGCGGTGACTGCAATGTTGTCAAGAGAGCCGATACAGCCATACATGTCCTCATCAATATCCTCGCCACAGCCCTCTTCAGCATCTCGAATCTGACGATGCAGTTGCTCGCTGCGCCAACTCGAGAAGAAGTTGACAAAGCGCATGCCAAAGCGACATGGCTTGATATTGGCGTCCCAAGTTTTCGAAACTTGCGACAAATCTCGCGGTCAAATTGTACGATGTGGTCCGTACTAGCGCTGAGTTCTCTGCCTATTCATTTCTTGTAAGTGTCATCATTGTGGTCTATGGGCGGATTTGTACTGACAAGTGTGCAGATACAATTCCACTGTGTTTTCCAGCTTGACTGGCAATGGGGTTGCTTTTGTCACTGCCCACGAATCCTTCTTAGAGGGGCCTTCGTGGACGAATGAGACGGCAACCCCATTCATCCCGGTGATACATGGTCATGGTCCGCCCAATACGACAACGAATACTTTCGAAATAATCAGTGCCATCCACAACGATTACCGGAATAATACATCATTGTATGAGAACCACACGACGTACGAGTGCCTCAGTGCGTACATGAATCCCTTCAGCTGGCGACCGAGACTTCTTATCATGATTTCGTCGAACGAGTCTGTCTTAAATAACAGCGCCACATACATAGACTGGGGCATACAAACGAGCGCACCTGACGCAGTCGCTCATTTGCTCTGTGATGGTGAAACTGCCATGTCTAAGAAATGCGCTGCGCTTGATACTCTTACATCAGATACCATAGGTCCCGTGACATTTAGGGGACAGACGATCGACTATTGCTTATACAAGCCGACAGACATTGGCGCCTCGGAGGTCAAAACATGCCACTTGCAAGGCTCTCCCCAGATCCTATTAGGTAAGAAAGTATCCAGCTCATTGGAGACAATCCAGCTGAAATCGAATCAGTTGTTGCCATTTTCAATGCCGTCAAATGCCTTTGCATTATGTGGGTGTTATTGTTTGATCGCCGTGCGACTCTTTGCACCCTGGGGGACGCGGTCGCCAGTTTCCTAGAGACCCCAGATGAACATACTCTTGACTTGGGCATAACGTCGAAGGCCAGCATCGAGGACTTGGGTAAAGGCTGGAGCTCTAGTCAAGGATCTCTCGTTCGCTGGCAGCCCCAATCAATCCCATGGAGACGCGCCGCAAGTGCCCGACGGTGGACGCTAACAATTGTATCGTATGTTCCCTCTGCAAACCACAATGCCGTATCAGCCCACTTACAAAGCGCAGGTCTGTTTGCATCATCATCGCAGGTTGGTGGATCATAGGTACTGGACTCAGAACGCAGCGAGTATACAACAGAAGTATCAGCGTGACAAGTCTGTGGGCCATGGGGTTCGGAGAAACCAAAGTCGAGGAAATTGTGTCCTGGAATCAAGCAAACGAGGTTTGCAGCTGTAGTCCCCACAAGTATGCTGCTGCTGATAATGCTCACTTAGGGTAGGCTCGGCCTTTTCGTCAACATCCTCATCGCCAACATATGGCAGGTGGTGATTGCCCTGGCGTACACAGCTCATAATGCTCTGCTCTCATGTATGTTGGTAGCTGATGAATGGGTGGGATTTGCAACTGATCGGAAGGGTAATTCCCCTGGTAGTTGTCTAGCGCAACGTATTTCCCAAGACGTTTCCCCAGAATCAACGATGCATCCTCAATTTGCTGATACTGAGTGGTGAGCAGCTTTGCGAGTCACAAAGCCGAAGGGTTCCCAACGCTCAAGCTATATGTTGTCCATGCCCTTCAAGTATTCCATCTCGATGCAGGTTGTTTCCTCTCTTATGCACTGGCTCCTCTCACAATCTACATTCATCATTCGCGTCAACCGAATCTCCTGGTTAGGTAAACCTGATGGCGGCTGGACAACTGGAGGATACAGCTTGGTTCCTGGCATCCTAGGTGAGTCACGACCCCCCTCACCCTTTTCCCGTCCCCCGCTCCTCACGAAATTCGTCCATCTCCGAAAGCTTTCTTGATACTAATATCAAATCGTTGCGCTTGCTTAGCCGGTGTCTTCTTCCCCCTCATCCTCCTGACCCAAATCGTGCACGCCTGCGTGCGCAAGTACCCCCGAACTAAGGCAATTCCTCTTGCGTCTACTTGCAGCGCCGCCATCAGTGCTGCCTGCCACCGTCTAGATGCTGACAGAGAGGCTCATCTACACCCAGTACAATGGGGTGTCATTGGCCGAGATGAGGCAGGTAGGGGACGCTGCTCGTTCACCACATCGAAAAGTGTAGCGCCGCCAATGCTCGAGGAGAATTACCTCGGGTTACGTCCAGTCCCAAACAAACATGGATTTCGGCGGTTTCTAAGTGCTCGGCAATGAGAAAGCGAAGAAAGGCCTTATGCATTCTCCGGTGGAGGAGAGCCGAGTAATGTCATGGTCTCCTTGGTCTAGCTGGGGGTGTTTTCTTTCATACGAGGATGGCTTCATAACTTCATCCTCCCCTTGATCTATCCACGAGTTTTCTTCCCACGAGAGGACACCTCGGGTTCTTGTCAGGTAGCCGGGTTATGTGGTCGTGAGTCTTTACGCCGCTGAAATGAATGAACTATTGCACATTTATCTTAAGCTAAACTCGTCCATCGTGAGAGATCAGGAAGCGGAGGGCGAGGAGGGGCAGACTAGCCGGATGCGGCACGCCTTTCCTGATCAAGCAATTCACCAGCTGTGACGGCATTACCGGCTTTAACAGCTCATCTAAAAATAGCTTGAGTACTACGCGGCTCTTTGGCGCGGAAGCTTGCTGATACATTCAATGAGCCTCCACCGATACGACCTCCATCGCGGTACGAGCTCCCCTTGAATGGGTATCCTCTACCGATGCCTCACCAAGCCAGCCTTGTGGCAACCCCGTTGTGAATGTGACAGGCTTACTAGTGCAAGTCGTCACCGCAGATGGCTCTCGACAACGGCATCCAGCTCTGCGTCCAACACGTGAGGCTTACGACACCCTGACGAATGCCGAAGTTTGCTTGTGCCTTAGCCCAAGCTGAACCTGTACAAAACCCACATGCTTTCCATACCTTGATGGACTATTGAAGCTTGCCCTTCACTCCAATGCCTCCGGGATTTGTCAATCGTCTCCGCGCCAATTCCATCCCTCTCAATACAATCCCGCCTCAGCAAACGTCTGTCGACTATTCGCAAGATCTAGCGCACCTTGCAACCACCATAATCTATCGTTCTCCATTGCCGTCTCGTGACGGTTTGCCTCTCTTCATTCTGAACTCTGCAGCCTTTCCCGATGCCAACCAAGAATACTACGACGAATTGCTCCCATACGTCCTTGCTCGTCTGCCAGATGATGAAGAGTTGATTGGGGGTCTGGAATACGAGATTGTTTTCTTTGCTGGTGGAAATCCAGGCGGCAGTTTTGCGAACAAGACAGTAAGCCCCGTGGATGATGAGCATGATGAGGATGGCAACAAACCCCAAAAGGAGAAAAGCCCTGGGTTTGGCTGGTTCATGAGAGCGTACAATGTGCAGACCCGTGCCGCAAGAAAGAGACTCAGGAAGCTGTCCATCGTGCATGAGAAGCGATGGGTGAGAGTTATCATGGAAATGTTCGCAACTGTCGTCAGCCCCAAGTTCAGAAAGAAGGTCGTGCACGCCTCAACCCTGACGGCTCTTGCTCTTCACCTACCCATCGAAGACTTACTCATCCCACCATCCGCCTATTTTACGGATCGAAAGAAGCTTTCGGATATATACGTTCCCTACGCAAGCGGCAAGAGAGCCTTTGGCGTGCAAATCCCATTTCCCTTATCTGCGGATGATACACCGAGACTCCCCCGCATACTGCGCGAAACTTCATCATTCGTTCTCAATCAAGATATCGTCGAAACACAGGGTCTATTCAGAGTTTCTGCACGCCAGCAAACTGTGGAAGTTGTGCGCGAAGCCTTCGAGCGAGGGCAGAAATTCATCGTTTGGAAGGATGGGCCAACAACTGTGACATTTCCTCCTTTCAAAGAAGGCTTTGGAGATGTCGTTATCGAAGCAAACCTACTTGACCAAATGGACGGTTATGACGCTCATACTGCTGCGGCTTTGATCAAGCTCTGGTACAAAGAGCTCAAAGAACCTCTCTTCCCACAATCAAGCTATCAAGCGATTCGGAGGTTCTATGGCGACAATGAGAAGACTCTAGATGCAAATGAACTGTTCCAAATGCTAGAGCCAGGTGTCGAGTATTCGCCCCTAGCACCTTCCGCGCGCATGATTCTGAAGAAACACATGCTTCCACTTCTTTCTCACGTCTCTTCACATGCGGAGAGTAATAAGATGACCCCTTTCAATCTTGCCGTTTGCTTTGCTCCTGTACTCCTCCACGGACCTGATCCCATGGAGGACGTTAAGATATCAACCACCATTCGCAAGATTCTCGAAACGATGATTGAGAAATGGCACGGTGAATTGGCGCCTGTACTGGGACTGACCAAAGAAGATTTCGAGAATGATCTCAGGATGCCAGCAAACGCCGATGACAGAGAAGATCCAATCGAAGAAATAAATGGCCGAAACGTCTCAGAAAACCAAATCTCTGGCATTGCTCTTCTTAACAACGACAACAGCTCCTCTGAAGCAATGGACGGTGAGAGTGACAACGATCTACGACCACCACTACCCCCGAGGCCTGCGCGCACAGTCACTGTTCCCGCTCCTACAGCTCTTCGGACAATAGATCTTGTCAATAACAAAGTACTGCGAAAACCCGCGCCTCCATTGCAAGTACCTCCCCGCTATTCGACCGTTGTGACAGATCAAGCAGCTGCTCTAGCAAGGCTGAATGATATACAGCAACCTCAGTGGTCGTCCACCAAAAATGTCGAGCATTCTTTGCCCACTAATACAATTGAGGGAGCTCTCCCCACAAACACAGTCGAGGGCCCTCTTGAGGACGAGTCACCCGCTGCACATAGGAATAGCATTGCCACAATCGCCACACTACCAGTGTACGAGGAGATGCAGCTTCCTCTGAGGCAAATGAGCGATCCCGCAAGTCTAAGAAGTCCAGAATCTGAGCAGAGGTCCCCGAGCATCCCGCGAAAACCTGTTGGCGAGGGTCAGACCAGCAAGAGGGATGAAGATGGTAAGGGATGAAGTTGCACCAGCCGATGCAATCGATTTGAATAGACTTGAAAGGGACGATTGGAGACTTTCTTCGTTCTGGAACACGATCAAATCTAGAGCGACATCCCCTCTTGCTCGTCAGGACTGCAATGGCACTCTAAGTAGAAGGCAAACGCTACTGCAACGGCAAATAATAAGAACAAATCATGCGCAACATATCTCTTCTTCCAGCAAACATCGAAAACGCTTGATCCATCTCCCACCCTCAAAATCCCAGCTGCCAACAATAATCCTCCTCTACGATCCTCTAGACAGCATGACTAGTGAAGCGATGCTGTAAGGTAGCCAAGACACCGGAATCAACCTTCGATGCTCGTCTGCCTAATTCGATTGGATTATCTCGACTCACCAACAACCAGCAGCACAGACATAGAAACGCGGCGAGGCTTTACGAACAAATCTAGTGCCGACAAATACGCATCGCTGCAATGTGCCAGATATATTGGAAAGATAAGTCTGCAGAATTACGAAGCGGCGTCAGCGGTAGATAGACGATTAGGAAGAAGTGAGCACGACCTCACATTCGCTGTCCATACCATAATAAACAACCCAACCTAACTTACACACGTACTCATAACCTTAATGTCTATCCAATAGCCCCCTCTTTCCTGTCTACAATCGCTCTTCTCGGACCAAATACAAGCATCATTACTTCTCCATCAGTCTCCCCATCATCATCCACCCTCACCCCCCCTTTCCCCACCAACCACACCCTCCATATCAAGCGGACTAAAATGCTCACTCAACGCCCTCTCATACATCCCCCTCCCCCTCCACCAGCAGTCCTACTCGCTTCTACACCATAACACGCATCAAGGTGCGCCATACTCCGGTTCCCACTCGGTGTACACTCCCCACTACTCATAGGCGGCAAACAGACGCAGCTCTCATAGAGCTTACTCCAACCCTTTGCATCCTCGCGTTTCGAGCCCCCACTTCGCGAACTTCGCGCGCTTCGTCCGCTTCGTATGCTGCTCGTTCGTTTCCTGTTGCCGGTGGCCGTAGAGGAGGGTGAGGGGAGAGTCGTGGGTGGTGAAGACACCACTCCATCATCCTTCTTCTCATCATGCCTGATGTCAAGGGTAGGAGTCTTCAGCGGGCCGATCATACTGTCTTTCCCAGTCCCTGTCCTAGCACCGCTCACCTTCCCTCCACTACCTCGCCGCCCAAATCTATCCCCGTCCTTCAGATCCTCCTTCCCCTTCTTCGACAGTCCACTAAACGCAAACCCCTGGAAGTAATCCCTACCCTCTCCCTCACCTCCACCAGCGCCATAAAACCCCAATGCCGAACTCGGACTCAATGGCGCCAGCATCTCCAACTCAGGATACTCCCCCATAACACCCTCGCTCACACTACTCTTATGCCCCCTCGCCTCATCAACCGCCAACCGGCCCACCACCTCCTGGCTCTTCGCATGATACATATTCTGCACCGACTTCCTCAATTTGGGGATAGGTGAGGAATGCGATTTCTTGATGACTTGGATCCTAGCACGGAGGCGTTTTGCGGGCGAAGACGGTTTTGGAGGAGTCGTTGGCGTGACTGGTGACACAGGTGGGCCAGGTACGGAGATTGACGGGATTTCTTCTGGGAACGCGGGGGCGAAGTCTCGGGGGAAGACGTTGTCGCTTTCGTTTGCGGAGGTCTCGATACGGTCGCGGCGGGAATAGGCGGGAAAGCGTGACCAGGAGGAACTTGTTGAGGTGGAGGAAGAGGTACGATTGTGGCCATGCTGAGGAGGGTGTCTGGAAACCACGTCTGGCGTTGTCAATGGCGGTGAAAGGGTGAAGGCTCCCAAATGAGCCTGCACGTCTTCGTCAAGACCTTGACCGATGCTGGAAGAACTTATATCCTGCAGCGAGGACTTGGAGATCTGTGCTCGTTTCTGCTTCCAGCGCTTGACGTGCTCGTCTGATACGCTACCTGGCCTGTAATGGGACAACCTCCTGTCTTCGATTGCGTGCTCAAAGAGGGCTTTGTCCCAGACTGAGGAGCCAACGGGCTCGTAGCCTGCTGCTATGCTAAGTTTGCCGGGTCGATTCCAGTCTGCTCGGCTTGGATCAAGTGTACTTTTCTGGCGGGACCTGCTTCTCTCGCGACCGACGGAGCCGTCATTGCTTCCGTCGAAGGTACTAGCTCGTCGGCTGCTTGGAGGGCTACGAGATGCTATTGAGGCAGCTAGATCGTCGATGTCTGCTTGGGAGAAGTATCTGTTTTCTGTGACCGTACATGCTCTACGCAGGAGGTTTTGTTTCTCTGCATGTCCTGACTCGACCGTGCTGAGGCTCTTGCTCCGAGTGGCAAGCTTCAGAGTATCTAAGGTCCTCAGGTTATCGATTTTGGCTGTAGATAACCTTGTTTTTGGAATGTGAATAAGTCCATCTACAGATGTGGGAAACGGATAACAATCTAGCTCTTGCGACTGACTTCGGGATGATTGCAAGCTGTCAATTGCGGACTGTGAGAGAATTAGCGGACTTTGGGCATCGATCTCTTTGCCGCCAGAATTCTCATCATACTCAGCTCTCGAGATAGGAGCAAGATCACGGTGAGAGCTTGAGGAACAACCGGAGGTTTCTTGGTTTCGCTTTGGGCTTCCCCACGAGGAAGGAACCTTTGAGCTTGAGAAACCAGGGCTGGATATTTGGCGCCTTTTGAGAACAAGGAACTCGGGATTTGTTCCCAGGCTCAGCTCACTTCTGCTTGCGTCTCGTAATTGTGGCAACGATACCGTTGTGGATCTGCCATTGGATGCAAGGCGTTCCGAGATACGCATGTTGTAGAGATGAACCGAGCCACTACCATCACTATGTGACCGGATATGAGAGCCAGAGGTAGCTCCATCTACACCTCCAGGTTGCGACTTCTCGTCGGACAGCGCGCCTGTTTCTTGCTGTTGCACAAAATCCACTGCAGGACGAGTAGATTGATCTAGTGTACCAGAAGCACTGCGTCGCCATGCTGGTGGTTTGAAGCGGTTGAACTCTGCCGCCTGAGACTTAGCAACAACACCCTGTTGGCGTTCGAAGTCTGGGATTGGACGGCCATCATGTCCTTCAAGAGAGTATTTTGTGCTCGCCGTCTCTCTTGCTTGCGAATCATCTTGGCTGTTGTTGTGTGACGTGCGTAGTGGGGATGCAAGTGAGTTGCTTTTGCTGCCTGGAGACCGGTTGGGAAGGATAGATTTTGGTACTGTATCGCCACAAGTTGCTTGACCATACTCAAGCTCCTCATAGGAGGCACTCGGTACCTGGGTCGCCTTGTCCTTTGATGACTTGGTGTATGTTCCCGCATTAGAAGGTATTGGCGAAGGTGGCGCAGGCAAAGTATGCTCGATTGCTTTGAGAGAGTCAGGGCGCGAAGAAGACGATCTGTTTAGAAGCCTTTTGAGCTGACTGGGAGACATTTGCAACGATCCTGCCCTAGCATCTTGGCGAGACCACGAGGCTTTCGGAGTCTGAATGGGCACAGCATCGTCGTCAAACATGTCTGTACGATGTTCTCTGATGGCAATGTTTATTGGATCATGCAAGCCACGCGATTGACTATCACTTCCGAAGTCTAGGTATTCGCCGCGAATGTCGATATCTTTTGACTTAGGTGAAGGAGTACCCGAGAGCACCTTTCTCTTCAGTCTATCCGCAGCATGTTGAAGTCGTTGGAGACTTTCTCGACGCCTGATAAAGAATTGCGAAGACTCGGGAGTTTCATGCACCGCCAAATTCGAAGGATGGAAGATGTCATATATTGGATCGATAGACTCCCCAAAGTCCGTAGAGTTTTCGTTGGTGAAGTCGGTTGAGATGGTGAATCTACGTCCCGTCTCTTCGACCTCTCTGAGCCTCACTGGGCTATCTGGGGGCGTCAGAGACCGCTTGGAGCCGCAGCAAAGACGAGGAGCCATGTTTTCCAAATTATGTAGACTTTAAAAAGGGATGCATGGAGTTCTAGTGCATGCAACCTGTAAGGAGAGCAATATTGATCAAAAAGAAACAAGGCATGGTAGCGCTAGAAAGGAACTTGACCAAGGGAGAAAGCTGTCGTGGCATCGATATGCGAATGGAAAGTGCGATCCCGCAGTTACGGTCTCCACCGACTCACTCGAGATCCTGACGGTCCGCAGTTTCCCCTACCAAAAATTGTGAGTATCTGACACTCATCAAGCTGAAAGATTTGCCCTTATAAAAGCCTATCTTGTTCTATACACAGTCCGGTTGAGGGGACGTTCATACAGTTGAATAGTAAATGCAATCAAGGCAGACGCTTTTATATAGCTGTCATGTGAGTATCCCAAGCTCCTAACGCCAATGCTTGCTCGTTGAGAGCGTCTAGATCGGTCATCTATCATTTCTCATATTGTGTTGAAAATCCGGAATCAACGGTATCATTGATATTCACACCGGCTACTTGCTGTACTTGGCCCTGAAGACCTTTGCGGCTTCAACCCTGCTTGTAATTAGTCCTATTCTGAAAAGCATATTCGATGGGTGCTAGGGCTATTATGAGGCGTATCACTTACATATTGACCAAGGCTGCCTTTGTTTCTTTCCACTAATTGAAGAGTATTATTAGCGTCATTCAGTCACAATGCTAGAAGTGGTCCACTTGCCTGTCTGGTCTTAAGTCCGCAATCGGGGTCAATCCACAGCTGTTCGGGTGACAAATATTGAAGCATCTCTTGGATTCTTTCCTCGATCTCTTGCTGAGATGGGATACGAGGAGAGTGGATATCGTAGACACCCGGGCCGATATGCCTTGGGTAGGCCTCGTCGACGAAGACCTTAAGTAGCTTAGCGTCACTCTTGCTGTTCTCGATGCTCAAGACATCAGCGTCAAGGGCGGCGATGGCATGGAAAAAGTCCTGAAATTCAGAGTAGCAGAAATGTGAGTGAATCTGGGTGGAATCTTCGACACCGGCGGTGGAGAGACGGAAGGCTTTGACGGCCCAGCTGAGATAGTTCTCACGCTCGAGACCGGCTCGGAGGGGAAGACCTTCCCGAAGAGCTGGCTCATCAACCTGGATGACATAGACGCCACCGGCCTCAAGATCAACGACCTCGTCACGAAGAGCTAGGGCAAGTTGTTCGGCTTGCACAGATTGGTGGACGTCGTCACGGGGATATGACCATCGGAGACAGGTTATTGGTCCTGTGAGCATACCCTTCATCGGTTTCTTGGAGATCGAAGCAGCATACTTCGATTCTTTCACAGTCATAGGTGCTGGTCGAGAAATATCACCCACGATGATTGGCGGCCGGACACATCGAGAACCGTAACTTTGGACCCATGCCTGGAATATCATTAGAGCTTTGAAGGTTGGAAGACTTCGAATCTCTTACGTGTGTTGTGAATGCGTAACCATCGAGCCTCTCCCCGAAGTACTGTACCATATCTGCTCAGAATTAGCAAGTGATCTCTTCAATGCGCAAGAGAGCTTCAAGGAATGATCTCCATGTGCAACGTCGCGAGGTTTGAATCGATTGATGGAGCAGGGCAGGCTATTCTTGACTCACCATTACGCTCTGGCTCTCCGTGTACATAAACATCGAGACCTAATTCCTCCTGAATCTTTACGACGTCTTCAATCTCTTTGTTGATGAAGCTTTCGTATTCCTCTGGTGTTATTTCGCCTTTCGTGAACTTATTCCTTTGGATCCGGATATCTTTGGTCTGAGGGAAAGAGCCAATTGTGGTGGTAGGGAACAACGGAAGATTGAGTTTCGATTGCTGTTGAGCAATTCTGGTGGGGAATGAGGATTTACGCTCGAAGTCAGCGGCTTTGACGGCTTCTTGCCTAGCCTTGACTTCAGGGACATTGGTACGCTTTGAGCTTGCACGGGCTTCCATTGACTTAGCATTTGCCTCAAGCTCAGTGCGAACAGCTGCTGGGCCTTCGGTGACAGCCTTGGCAATCACATTGATTTCTGTTGCCTTCTCTACGGCAAAGCTGAACCAATCACGGACCTCTTCGTCGAGTTTCTTCTCTGATTCAAGAGTGTGAGGAGTGTGGAGAAGTGAGGACGAGGTCGCCACGACCACACGGTCTTTACCTAACTTTTGCACGGCGTCTTCGACTTTTTCGACGGCCTTCTTGAAGTTGGTCTTCCAGATGTTGCGGCCATCAACGACACCGATTGAGAGAACTTGCTTAGGCCCAAGTGCGTCAATAACGGTGGAGACTTGCTCAGGGTTACGGACAGCATCAACATGGACGCCATACAATTCCTTGAAAGAATCAAGGACGTCGATGTTGTGGACAATATCCCCGAAATAAGTGGCAATAGTGATCTCAGGGGCCTTGTTTCCAAGTGCCGAAAGTCTATCATAGGCGGGTTTATAGGCATTCTTGACCTTGGGAGCGAGATCCAGAGCAAGCACCGGCTCGTCAATCTGGACATTTTCGACACCAGCTTCTTTCAGCTTGGTCAGAAGTTCCTCATACAACGGAAGCAGGCTATGCAGGAGACTGATGGGAACGACATTCTGGCCTCGATCGGCCTTACCGAGTGCAAGGAAGGAAACTGGGCCAACGATGACGGGACGGGTGATGATGCCGGCTTCCTTGGCCTCAAGAAACTCTACAAGGGGCTTTGGATTCTCAGCCAATTTGAATTGCTGGCCATCCTGCAGTGTAGGCTTGACGTAATGATAATTTGAGTCGAACCACTTCACCATCTCCAGACTTGGGACATCGATACCTTTTTCTGGTACTTGCCGTCCTCGGCCCATGGCGAAGAATTCATCGATCGGGTCAAGTTTGTATTTGGAGTACCTCTCAGGGACGGCTCCGAAAAGTTGGATATGATCCAGAATATGATCGTAGTGTGAGAAGTCGTTACTCGGGATAAGGTTGACCTGGAAAATTCAAAGAATCAGCGTCATATCTTGCTGTGGAAGAGTTTCTAGTGAAGGCCTCTTGAATCCACTTACACCAGCGTCTTTCTGAATCTTCCAGTGGGCGAGTCTGAGACGCTTGCCCTCGTCGAGGAGCTCCTTTTGGGAGAGCTTGTCAGCCCAGTATGCTTCGTTGGCCTTCTTGAGGTCGCGGTTCACTCCCATGCGGGGGAAACCGAGAATTGAGCTGCAGACTCTGTCAGCTTTGATATCCATGATGGTAATGAGTCTGCCTTACGATTGAACCATCTTTCCTATGTTTTCGAAATGATGTGTGGGGTTTGGATGGTATGTAAGATCACGAGTAATTTGTTCTTAGAGTCAAAGGGTGTAGGTCAACGAGAGAGGTTCGGAGAATGGTCGACGAATGCTTTCTTTATTGCGGACCCGTCAGTTGGTCTGTACTCTGCACCTGCTCTGGTCCCCCGCTGAAAATTTGTGAATCGCCTACCCTGCCCCGCAAGGAGGTGGAAAGGAGGCTAACCCCTTTCGGCTCTAGGCGTAATCGTCTCGATGATCTCATTTGACGTTCGGATTGCGCGCAGAAGCGTGGAAGCATTTTGTCTCATACCATAATCATTTTCGTCCCGTACTTTGATACTCCAACAATGGCAGTCGTCCAAAATTGGCTTCCGCCAACACGGGAGCACTGGGAGCTTGTTGTTTTCCTGTTCCAACTCTTTCCGATCGTACGCGTTGACACCCAGTGATGTTCTGTATAAGCACTAATGTAAACGTAGGCAACGCTGTTCCAGTGGATTCAGTTGTTTGAATGGTCATTCACTTGGTATCCGGTCGGCAAGACTTCTATTGATTCAAGGTTTAATCTGCCCGGTAAGGTCGCCTGGGCGTTGATGGAATGCCCTGGGCCCTTGGTGCTTCTATACACGATGTACTCCCTGCCAAAACAAGAAGCGCTTCCAGCCTTGCCATTGGGAAATTGGGTCATGGCCGGCATGTATGTAAGCTTTGGTACTGCAGAACAACATATCTTCGTAAGCCTAAGGATTCACAGACGATCCATTACATCTACCGCTCTGTTATCTACGCTGCTTTGAGCCCGAGCATCGCTCCAATGCATCCATTTCCATGGGCTTTTGCTGTTCTCTTCAATGTCACCAACGGAATCAGTATTGGCGGCTGGCTTGGTGGTTTCGGCCCGACTCAGGATAAAGACTGGTTCGGCTCTGCTTTAAGGCTTGAGCTGGGGATGATGATATGGGCTTTGGGCTTCGTTGCCAACATGTGGCACGACGACGAGCTTCGTGAGATCAGGAGAGCTGCAGCAGCTAAGATTGAGGGCAGACAGAAGGAAAAGGGAGAATCCGAGAAGAAGGGAGGAATGGGTGTGGATAAGGTCTACATGATGCCCGAGAATGGGCTATTCCATATCGTTCTCTATCCACATTACTTCACAGAATGGATCGAGTGGTGTGGATTTTGGGTGGTGGGAGGGTGGGATTGTGTGCCAGCAGCAATCTTTGTTATGAATGAGGTTGCAACCATGTTGCCGAGAGCAATTCAGGGGAAGCAATGGTATCTGAAAAGATTTGGCGCAGAAAAAGTAGGCGCGAGGAACGCTGTAATTCCGTGGTTGATATGATTGCTCGAAGAATGGATCGAAGATTGAATGTAGCGACCTTGGATTTCGTGCAGGTCGACTGCGCAAAGCTTCTCGTAGCCCATACAAGGATCGTTATTAAACTTATACTATTCGGTCACCGAAAATTTGATTGCAAAACCCAATCCTATTGGACAGACTGCATCTCCTCTCATTCATGAATCCAGTATTGGGTGCAGGATGGAATAATCAAAGGTTGGAAAGCGGGCATTTTCTCCTGGGTCATTGGGTATGTCTGGGCGAAATGTCGGGAACACTTCCCTGCATTGTTGCAATGCAGCTGTGGCAGCTTTGAAAGGAGGCGAACTGCTGCAGCGCATTTGCCTCGAAGACCCTACTTCTCAAGAGGTCCCGCTGGATAATTGGCTAAGGAGCTGCATTAGGTTGTGTTATGAAGACGGACGACGCACGCAAGGCATCCCACGTATGCACTGACCAAGTTCAACGGCAACGGGACGTGCGAAAATCTCCGCTCTTCAAATCAAGCGGAGGCGGGTACCTCAGCACCTTCTCGCTGCATGTCAACTTGTCCCTCTTCTATTGGATTGTCCCTGAGAGCGTCGGCTAATTAGAGGCATCATTCACTGAGTGGGGACAGGGTCTGGGGAGTCGAGGAAGGTTTGAACTTTGGATAGAAACCTGGGGTAGGCCAGTGTGGGGGCGCTGATTGGCGGCCCTGTAGTGTCTGAGATCACGTCGTTCGTTAGACAATCTCGGAAGTCGATCAGTAACTGTCTCCCCTCTGGGCGTTAGTGTCCGACCAACACGTCCGGATCTCGATTGAACCTCCCAAAAGCCCCCCCCGCCAGCTAAGTGGCTCGAGCCTCGAGCAACAAGGGCATAAAGGCCCGGATACCGTCCTTCGTCTGACTCGGCTGATCCGCTAGAATCCAGTGTCACAAGGGATGGTTCCAGCGGCAGAAGGAGGGTGGGAGGGTCCTTGACAGTTTGCCGCAGAGACACAGGCAGTAATAAGCTTCATAGCAGAAGCGTCTTACGCCCAGATCAACATGCAAATCCTAGGAGATCGACAGAGCATTCCCGCCACCTGCAGCCAACGCCAAGCCAGCTTGAAGTGAAGTTCCTTATGGAGGAGCAGAGGCGAGCCGACAGCTGATCAGGCTACGATAGCCTGGTCTAGATGATATGCATGAGTGAGACCAACGATAGCCTTTCGCTAGCCAATGGCGACGTCGTGGTGGGCCTCTGAGCGTTTAGCGGACAATTTGCGGGCCTTAGGGAAGAAGCGGGATTGTTGGCACCGACGCCTAACCTTGACGGCCCTGGTACGACATCCTGATAGAGTCGTAGCAGTAAGCCGAATAATGATTCTGGGCTGGAGGGTGAGGATTCACATTGAGCTAGCAGAGACATGGGGCATGGGCCATGGCCCCAAAAAGATAAAGACGAACTGATGATGGTGAGAACTTTACTTTGTCAAATAGTCTATAGCGTTATGCAGTTTGCAGATCCCCACCAATTTTTTTTATCTTTCTGGCTGCGCATCCATTCCTACTCCGTATACTCACTGCATCACCACCGTCGCCCTGGCCTGACTTCCCCCCTTCCTCCTTCTCTGCACTCTCATGACACCTCAACACATTCCTTAGATTCCCATTCTTAGCATTGTTTGCTCTTCGTTATCTTCGTTCGACCACTGGATCCACCTGCCAAGGATCAGTGGAAGGCTTATCTCTCGACGTAAAATCACTGTATTGGCAGATCTCAGGGTATGTAGACCTCCATACCTCGTCGAATACTGGCCGCTACGTCGGCGACGGCCATCGGGTATCTAAGCAGCTTGTATGTGCCTCTGTTCAATGGGTAGCTTTCTCTACGCCCTGTCGAGTCTACGCCTTGGGAATTGAACCTAATGTCTGAAATGTAGTGCTCCCCGAAAAGTTCTCGGTTAACCTTTACGATTTGCACGTCGTTTCGCCGATTGACTCCACGTCTCACTTCTGAACGCCCCCCAGCTGTTCCTGAGTACCTGAGGCACGAGTCCAGGCGGGAGGCACCGAGCCTTCTTGCAGGCTACCCACATCATACATTCTCGAGTTTCTCTTCGAACATTTCCGCCCTAATTTCTGTGGAAGGCATACAAGGTCGACCGAGAGGACATGTAAAATGATACACGGGAGCCGTCAACAATACTTTCGTCCAAGATAAGACGACGGAACATCGGCGTCCCAACTGTCTTACATGACATCCAAGGCACTGAGACATGTCAGAGCAAGAAGGGGAAAACGCCCAGCATGATCCGAGGAACAAAACGGAGACGATAGATCCAGAGCACAGTGTTGCCATTCAAGGGGAGCCCACCGTCCTCGAGGCTGCCGGGAGAAAGCATAAAAGCATAAAGCATACCTCTCCACAAGGGACGCCACAAGGCGCCGAAGAGGGTTCCGGATTGGACAGCCAGCGGACACCTCGGATCCATGTTCCTCTCCGTGCTGATGCAGCTACTGTGGGCTCAGCTGTGGGTCCAGGCAGAGAGTCTCCACGTGCCCAGGAAATACAGAGTGAATCGTTCCGGAGCCATTTCAATGATTATTTTGGCTTTCCCAGGCCACTGACGGGAGAGGGCTCAGCTACTCCCAATGTTCCCCTACAAGACTCCCCTGGCCACCCCTTGACCATCTGGAAACACCCATCTCCCAAGAGTGGAAGGCCTCCAACAAGTGATCCGTACACCGTGCGGCCTGTGTCTGTACCTAACTTTCCCACTGCTACTGGTACTACTCAGGTGGAGGGTCAAGACAATGCTGTCAGATACCCGGACCAAACTCTTGCAAGTCTTGGTCCGCGGCCTCAACCTCCTCCTCCACCAACCCGCATGGGTCGAACACGCAGTTCGCATTCTCCCCAATGGTCCCATTCCTCCATGAGAGAAAGCCCTAGCAAGGAGACCGTCCCAAATCACAACGGAGCGAGGACCGTAGGAAACACTCCCGCGCAGAGCCCTGGTGTTCAGTCACCTACAGTCAGATCGCCTCCTGCCTCAAGAATTAGGGCTCCCGACTCCGATGATGGACGCCCTGGCTCCTCAGTGCTTCACGCTTCTCATCTTCAGGAGCCCATCGAGTGAGCCATTCCCAGGCACCTGAACTATCTTCCAAGCATTGCTAATCACGTACATCAGGACGCACAAACTCAATAAAGACATTGATCCCATTTCAGGCCGAAAGGTTTTAAACAACTACGAGCTGATCGAGAAGCTTGGAAGCGGCCAACACGGAACTGTCAAGCGAGGAAGGAACTTGCAAACTGGCGATTCCGTAGCCGTCAAGATCGTTCGACGAGCCTCAAAGAAACTGCGGCTTGGCAAAGGTGGGGACCCAAATGAGATGATCAAAAAGGAGATTGCCATATTGAAGAAAGCTCGTCATCCACACGTAGTCAGTCTCTACGAAGTGATTGACGACCCAGAGTACGACAAGGTCTATCTCGTGCTTGAATTTGTTGAGCGCGGTGAAATAGTATGGCGGAAGAAAACAGAACAAGCCATCGCACAATTTGAAAGAAAGAGAATGAATCGCGAGTTGGATGACGATTATACCGTTGCTTTGGAGCGACAATTCGTCAACGATTTCAACGATGGGGTCCCGTCAAGAAGGATGGAGAGACTCCGTACACTAGAACGACAGAAATGCGATGCTCTGAAGCGGCTTGAGTCAGGTAAATACCACCCTCGCTCGGATTCGCACTGGAGCCTTGATTACGGCGGAGAGTCGGAGCAGGAAGCCATGATGCCCGAACGCCATGACTTTGCTCAGGAAGAGATTCGCATGTCTCGCGCGGATGTGCATGCAGCCGAAAATGCAGGAGAATCTCCTCAGAGCGCTACCCCAATCTACACCAATAAGTTCTCCTCTGTCTCCCATGTACTCAATACGGATTACTCGATGTCGCAGCCATCCTCGCAACCAACCTCTGCGCCTTCCTCTGTGCCGCCATCCCAACCAGCTTCACAAGCACCATCACGACCGGAAACACCCTCTCTTGATGGAACCATGTATGGTCCATATGTAGAAGAGAATACGAAGCCAAACGTCGACTACCGACGCATTCTTAGCGAGGTCATCAATGAACAGGTCGAAGGCTGGTCTTTAGAAGACGAGGAATATCGATATGTACCATGCCTCACGCTTTTGCAAGCCTTGGAGGCATTTCGTGATACAGTTCTTGGCATTGAATACCTTCACTATCATGGGATCATACACAGAGACATCAAACCAGCTAACTTGCTCTGGACCTCAGACTATCGCGTAAAGATTTCGGACTTCGGGGTGTCGTATCTTGGAAAACCTATACGAGAAGACGAGGGGATGTCTGAAGATGACAAGAATAATGTTGATGAAGCCCTTGAACTTGCCAAAACCGTTGGGACTCCTGCATTCTATGCGCCTGAGCTATGTGATCCAGACTACTTTGACACCGAAAAGAATCTGCAAAGACCTCCAATTACGCAACAAATTGATGTTTGGGCGCTTGGCGTAACACTTTACGGCATGGTCTTCGGCCGCCTTCCTTTCTTCGATCACAACGAGTTCAGAATGTATGAAAAGATTGCGCATGAAGAGGCGTTCATACCAAGTGTTCGCCTGAAAGGTGTTTCCCATAACAACAAGACACCCTCGGATCATAATAAACGCTTGGAAGATGTCCTCGAATATGAGGCAGTAGACGACACATTAATGGATTTGCTAAAGCGCCTACTCGCTAAACACCCCTCGCAGCGCATCACGCTGAAAGAAGTGAAGCACCATCCTTGGGTGGTCAGTGGCATTGAAAACAAAGACAGCTGGCTTGACGAGACCGATCCTTCTCGGCAGAATGAGAACAAGAAGATTGAGGTATCGAACGAGGAAATTCAAGATGCCGTTATTGAGATTAGCCTCGTCGACAAATTTGTCAAAGGGCTGCAAAGACTCGGCTCTGTCATGCGCGGCGGAAGGTCTCGAAAGAGGACTACGAGTAGCTCAAAAGATTTCCAGATGTCGAGCAATACAGCAACCGCAAGAAGTCTTGAAGACCGCAGATCTAGCCTAAGAGGCGACGAGCAGATTTTCGCTGCCTTGAAACAGTCACGAGAGGGCACCGAGCACCCGTTGGCCCATAGCGTTGCAGCCAGCCCTGATCTGACCACAAAAGAAACTTACTTTCCTGAAATGAACGACGCGAGGCCTCACAGCGCCGTAGATATATCGCCCCATGCTAGGCCGTTTATGACCGACCGATCAATGTCGACGGCCGATTCTATGAAGACCGTCACCGCTCGTGACCCGCTCCCTAGACCTAGTGTACTTGCACCTCCTCAGCCTGCATCAGCAGATGAACTTACTGCAGCGACACTGATTCCCGATCACAATTTCTCTACTTCTAGTCTGGGTGGCATGCTAGGGGGAGCAGGTCGACGCCTTGCAAAGACCTTCCGCAGTCGCGAAGGTCCACTCAACCGCGCGTCGCCGACGAAGTCTTCCCGGTCTTCCTCCGTCGACACAAATACCAACGCCCTGGAAGACTATCATGCATCTCCATCCCTCGGCTTCTCTTCTGCGATTGCAGCTGGGCACGTTGACTTGCCTCCTGCCTTGCGAGAAGAGAATGAGGGTTACACCCTTCCCGAGCAATCATCAGCGGACTCCTTTCAAAGAATGCGATATGCGGATCAACCACGACATAAATCGGAGTATAGCCATCCAATGACACACAGGCGATCTGTGTCTCACCAGCCAGGATTTGTAGCTCCACCTTCCCCAGATGACCGGCACTACCATCGAAGCCAGCAACCACGGCCTGCCTCAGCGGCCGAATCTTCTTTCGCGATTTCTTCTTCGTCGGATCAGATCGTCTCCGGCGAGTCGGCTGCTCACTCGAGGATTCCATCGGTGGTGAGCGGGGCTTCCTCTGTCTCTGCGCCACCCATGGACGATTTCAAATTTGCCCCGGCACCGATGGAGACATCGACGTCTTCCTCAGCAGCGGAACTCCGCAATGAAGTAACGCCACACCTACAAGCTACCGGCCGACAGATTCTAGAGGCTACGCCGGCCCTCAAGAAAGCTAGAGCTCAGCAAGAGGAAGAAGCAGGATACAACGGCGGAGAGGAGCAAGACAGTGACAGTGATGACGAAGGCCTGGCTATGGCATAAAATTACAAGATGATATTCGAATTACTTGACAGGTACAGGGCTACGGAGAGGGGAGATTTGACTCCCAAATTTTATAATCTGGACACATAACGAAATGCTTACAGGAACGCGAGACACGAACATTTAGGCAGCGGCGCTGGCGGACTGGGAACTTGATACCACACCATCTCCAATCTTCGGGAGGAGAATTAGGACAATGAGGCGTTCATATTCTTATTGCTTTACGAACGGGCTTCCTTTTGAGGATACCCTTTGATCGACGCGTGGCACTCACAATTTCGAAGCCCGCGATCGTTATCACCCAAAAACTTATAGACTTCCATTCTCAGAAAATTTTTGGCGTTCTATATGATCAATCTCGATGCTCTCGACTCAGCGCTTCACGGTAAAAGGGAAGGGGAATCAAGTTTTTCCATACGTAGGAACGAGGCATTGGGAGTTGGAAATTTGTGAAAAAAAGTAAAAAATTCGCCTTGTGGGATTTCCTAGCCTACCTTTTTCCATTTTTTTTTTCTCGAAAACTCTAGAATTGAATGCTGGCTGTGAGTGAATGGGGGAAAAGGGGAGGTGATTGGGGGGGAATCTGACGACACAAAATTGGGCAGGCCTTTTTGTAGTGTTCTCAAGCAACTTAACGGATATTGTCAGCAACCAAAAAGGAAATCAATTTTCTCCTTCGTGGTTTTACGCTTTGTTTGCCCTGTCTGTCTGTCTGTGCCTTACAATGCAAACTCTCATTCGCCAGCGAAACAAATGGGGCCTTTGGTGACAAGAGGACCTACCTATCTTTGTGGTGCTACACGCCAATCAAGTAGGCTATCGTTTCGTGGGTCCGCCCCTTACGCCAATGTGCCATATACATTTTTGGCTGGCTGCACAATCAACAGAACAAGGAGGAGGGGGGGTGCGGGGGGGGTTGGGTAGCTTTGGCGTCTGACTATTCGGATCCACCGTAAGTGGTGGTAATGTTATGACTAGCTCCATGCCGAGTTGTGGGAGCGAGAACGTATATCTTGTCATCACGGATATGCCTACGGCAGGGACAGGCTCATGAGTTTTTGTGTATTTGTGTATGTGCATTCATTGTCCCTGTTCCTATGCCGGGTATAGTATCTAACGTTTCTGATGTATGCATGCTCATTCAACCCTTTTGTGTATCTATGTGTTCAAGCCAAGCCAAGATAAGCTCACCGAAATTGTGGTTCCTCCATTCGAATACATTGTTGCAGCGCACGCTAAAAGTAGAAGTAAAAGCAAAAGCAAAAGCAAAAGCTATGCAAGCAACCCTCTGTGAATCAATGCAGTTCGCAAAGCAAACCTGCTAGTCTCTTTCTGTGGAGCCAATGCAGCCAGCACATGGATACTGATACTCTATTTTTCACGGACAATGAGCTAGGCTCAACCCTCTCTTCATACGTAGATATTATAGCTTTTTCTCCTTGGCCACCGTGTTCCAATCGATCCCACCAAACCAGCTGGATCGCTTGGAACCTGGCGGGTAGAAGGTTTCGCCCGCAAGCTTGACGACGACTTTTCTTCGAAGGGGCTTCGGTGGCTCCTTCTTGCGAAGCTTGTTCATTTTGCTTTCCACACTGCTGATGGCCTTTGAGCGGTTCGTCGAGAGAGCGCTTTGGCTCGCGGAAGGATCATCAGGAACTCTAGGTGCTCCTTGAGAGGTCACTCCGACAATGGTTGGGAGGTCTTCGTACGTGGTCAAATTGTATGGTCGTTCTTTTGGTTCGTATTTCTCTAGAAGATGCCTCTTGGTCATAAAAGGTACAGAGAAATTCGCTTGAGGTTTGGACGTTGCAGCCTCAGTACGATGAAGGGGTTTTCCGCGACTGTTGTCGGTCTTGCGTGTAATCGCAATTGGTGGTGGAGCAGCAGAATCGAAGGAGGACGCGCATGAGGAAAGGGTGTTGTTCGAGCGTTGAAAGCGAGGAATATCAGGGAGGACTAGATTCTCTAGCCAAGGCGCAAAGTCGGGATCATTGGCTAGATCGAGCGGAAGTGGCTCGAGATCTGCATCCAAATCAAGCGAGTCCTCATCAGAACAGTTAGGGAGGACGCCAACTACTATCGTGCTCGAGTGTTGGCTTTCGAGAGGGTTGTGTTTTGATTGTTTTCGTGTCAAAGAGGATGAGCGCTTAGGGATAATCGGTGCTTGTTCTGTGGAGATCTCAGGGCGTCTGAGCTGAGTCTCGTGCGACTGACCCGCCGAGGATGCTGTGTTTGAGCTGGCAGAGTCTGAGCTTGGTGGTGTGGGACCTGCATGTAGAAGCTGAAATGGCCGTGGTTGGGGCAGCTCAGCCAAATAAAGCTCAAGAGAGAAGTCATCAACCGTAGGAACGGCTTTAGGCGTGAGAGGCGGCGTCATCGGCAGGGGAGACATCCGCGACTGCTGTTTGGCGGCGGTGTCAACTCGTATCGCTTCGTCCGATGTTCGTGACGGCGATCTTGGATCCCATATCACAGTCTCGCTCGTAAGCCTTCTCTTGTGTCCGTGCATTGAACTAGATTTGACATTGTCGGCTCTTGGTCCAAGAGGCTTACTTGTTGAAGTGGGCTGGTGCGAGAGTAAACTGCTTGGTCCTTCTTCCGGGACTTCAAAAGTATTGACGAGGACATCTTTCTTCTTCCTTGTTCTGGGAATACGAACTTCGTGATCATGCGTGGGTAATGGAGGGTAGGATGGAGGATAGAGGTTGTAGAAGTCATCATCCTCCAATGATTCTGTTCGCCAGGGCTCCGTCACATCTTTCTTGCTGCCATTGGGTGGTGGGACAGCGGATACCTCGCTGCAGCAGATGAGTGAGGTTTCAGGTCCCCATGAATCTTGAGGTTGGTGAAGGCGTAGTCTTTCTTGAGGGGCCGGGCGGTTGGGCATGTGGATGGGGCTCGTCTTTGTTTTCGTTGCTTTCGTGGCCCTTTGAGCTGTCATTGTGCAAGCTTTCGAGGTACGGGATCGTCCACAATTGGTGAAGTCGGCGAATCCCTGCTGCTCATAGTGAGATAGTGTCACTGCATACGAGTATTTGTTGGACATGGCTCGAATCGAATGCAAGTGATCGCAGGTAGAGAAGTACGAATGGGCAGGCGCAGCGTCGACATGAACAAGTTAGCTTTGACACTAGATAGGCAAGAGCGAGGGAAGATTGCTTGGAGGGTTGGGTGTGTGGGTGTGTTGGAGAGCTCGGGCCAGGTCATGACGGACTAGACATTCTTGAAGGATGTGTAGACCAGGGTGTTGCAAACCTTCGAGTGGTGTATCGAAGTAAGGCAAAAGGATGTTATAGCGCTTTCCCGTGCAGGATAAATGCACCCCATTCTTTTCGAGTAATTGATACATTCAATTGACCTTTTCAGTGGCTCGTCCACCACCTGAATCATGCAGCTAGCAGGCGGCGGGGTGCGGTGAATCGGAATATTAGGAGAATTAGGAGCATCCCACGACTCCACGAGTTGGCTGCAGGATCGTTGCAAGCTCCCTCACTCAAATCTTAGCAATCATAGCCCAGGGGTGCAACCGAGTCTTGACCATGTCTGGTATGGCACTGAGATCCAAGCGGTGCCGAGGGTGCGCTACTCGATTCAGGGTCTGCGCTATCGTGAACTCCCTGTCGATTCAATCATCATCTGGCCGCTGCCGTGCTTGCCAGATGGCGTCGGCTAGAAGATCTCAAGGTTGGTGAGGAGTTTGAGAAGCATCGCTTTGGGTTTTCCACCCACCCAGGGTCCCTACGGCCGATAACACATCGCAGTAGTTCACCCGCCCTCGGCCTCCTTTGGGAGATTTGAAAGGCCTGACAACCTGACAACTAACTCAATCAGGCTTCACTACTTGCAAGCTTTAGACCATCCCCCATCAGCGTATTCGCTCTCGGCCCAACATACCCTGTTGACCCAATAATTGACCTTGGATTTTACAGCGCTGTGCAACCAAGCCACGAAAGCCACCAGATTCAACTGTGAGCGATGGCCCCTCTGGAGATTGCGGAGAGCAGCGAGGCCGGAGATCTTCTAGCTACTTACGTGTGGACGGAGTCTGGGGTTGGCCAGAGCAGAGTGGACACCATCGTGCGTGATTATGCTCTGCAGTATCCTATGTCGTGTACCTGGCTTATGCCAGGGGTCGAGATAGAGACCAAAGGAGACGCGCGGTCTGTGGGAGCGTTTATTGGCCGTCTTTCTGCCCGTGGGCTTTCCCCACAGTGTGACTGAGGATTATACGTGGTAAGCTCCGATCTGTCTGCTTTCTCGATTGCTTGCATTGACTACTATTCAGGTACCAAATCTATGTACGTTGGCCTCACAATGTCTTGGCTCTACAAATACCATCTTACGGGCGTGAAATAGGATTCACTGCAAGCATTCTCGAGTTCCATTGCCGGTCTCCTCGCTTCGAGAGCCGTCCTTGAAGGTATTTGCTGTCGTTCTGACTTCAGACGAAAGCGTGCGTAAGTGACTCTCGTTGCAGGTGTAGGGGTTGGGGATGCCTCAGCATCGCCGACAGCGGCGCTGCTGCTCTCCATCATTCAGGACAGTATGGGTCGCGTCGCTACAATACTCTTTGCCCACAAATTGGGGACCACGTTGGAACCGGAGTGTAAGATGTATCGTCTTGCAGCGGACGTCTTCAATGATGCCGCCATGATCTTAGACTGCTTGTCACCTGCACTGCCGAAGACGCCGAGAGTACTCCTCCTAAGCTTCTCCAGCGTTCTGAGAGCACTGTGCGGTGTCGCAGCTGGCAGCTCAAAGGCCAGCCTGAGCGCACACTTTGCCAGATGGGACAACTTGGGAGAATTGAATGCCGTGAGTTCCTCTCGCAGACAGAGAATCTGTCTCAGATGTAAGCAGTCCTGACTGCGCTGCAGAAAGATGCTAGTCAAGAGACTGTGATATCATTGTTAGGAATGCTGGTGTGTCTTTACCCTTTCTCGCTTTGACTCTGGTCCGGGCTTACATCACCAAGGCAGGCAGCTTCGTAGTATCGGTCGTATCATCTCCACTGGCAACTTGGTCATGCCTGATTTTGCTTCTTTCAGTTCATCTCGGAATGAACCATGCGGCCGTCCGTTCGGTCAGCATGCGTACTCTCAATCGTCAGAGAGCCAACATCGTCTTCTCGGAATACATCACGAAAGGGAAGGTGCTGACACCAAAAGAGGTATCGACTCAGGAGAACATCTTCGAATGGGATGGTATCCTCCGGTGGCAAGGGTCGACTCCGATTGGAAAGGCTCAATTTGGCGCTTCGTTGACGGCTTTACTAAAGCCTTTGGGACAAGCGATGACTTCAACAGGCGCCGTACGCGACAACAATCTCTTGCCTCGAATTGTGGAGACCTGTCGCGGCGAGCAATATCTCCTTTCGTACAGTGTAGCGGACAGGACAGCATACATCGTTCTAAAAAGCCAGTGTTCTCCACCGGATCAGATTAAGGCCTGGGTGCATGCTCTTTTGATTGCTCAAGACCATGAGTCACAACGCATCGCGACAAGCGCGTCCCCCGAGCTAGCCTTCAGACTTTTCGCAGACACGCATACTAAGCTGAATACCGTATGGAATGATGCTATGACTGCAATGAAAGCCGCTGGCTGGGATTTAGATACTGCAAATATCCCGACCAAAGCAGGAGTCAGGATCGATTTGCCGTGCAACGCACCACGATAGGTTTAATATAGTTGAAGAGCTTGGTGTCTGAATCTCGAGTAGAAGTACCTTTGAGGACATGAGGAATTCGGTGTATGCTTGTCAAAAGAATTACACTTCGTCATCAATCTTCGCTAGCCACATTTATGTATATCAAGGCCCGAGAACACTTGAATATCCACCGGTGACCCGCAAATCATGACCGAGGTAGTAGACGCGCATTAAGTTTTTCAACGCATTGCAGAGTACACAGCACTTGCACAAGATCCATACACATAATCATCCGCATATGGGAACCTTCCAGAAGCCGTAGAAGGCGTTGAAATTGGTCAGAGCTGTCTCCAGGGTTCGGTGGCTTATGGCAGGCAAGCCTCAACCAGTCGGCGTCCTCGGGACACCAAGGGCAATGAGGCTTGCAGATTTTGCGCTTTTGCATGCGTATGATGTAAGTATGGCGGGAGCACTCACAGGCGACGGCGTTTTCTTTGGCAAAAATGTCCGACTGGATCACTCTGAGAGGGTCGCATAAAAATCGGTCTGGTCGCTGAAGTGGAATTATGCGCAACAAATAAGGTATGTTTGCTGCTGCTGATCAGCCGACGCAGCGCTGAACCTCAGCGCTATTCGCACGTGAAATGACATCGATTCCATCTCGAAAATTCACCAGATTGGCATGACTTAAGAGCAAAACAGCAAAGCGGCAGACTTTGGCTCGCACTGGATGGCCAATAGAGCGCAGGCCCGGCCTACCCTAGGCTAGCACCGTCGTTAGGCAGCTGTTGGTGTCCGTTTGTCTCATGACTCGGGGCTGGAGTGGAGTCTTGATTCTGCCTCTCCCTGATCACGATTGGACCGAAATTTTCCGAGCAGAAGATCGCAGATTTGACATGAACAAAAAGGCTACGATGGGGAGACGCGGACGCGACTCCAGTAGTGGTGTCGCCAGCGTTTGTCGCCAGTAGGAAGAAGGTCTCCCATTTCGGATTTACATTAGGCATCTGTGCGGTTTGCGGCAGTGTGGGGGGCAGGATGAACGAATCCCGTCACCAGAAGTGGCTCATGCTCGCACCGCCCTATCCACTATGTGTGACTTTGCCTGCCATTGGCGGATAAGCTGCCAGGCTGCTGCGTTGTGTCCCACCGAGCCCCTGGGCGTCTCAGCAGAGTTTGGCAGAGGAACAAAGGGAAATGTGGCCATCCAGCAAGCTCTGCCGCCGCAGGGGTTGAGAGGCATGCGGACTGCGGGCAAGACGGGGGATATTGAGTTGATGGGCCACTCTGCGGATGATGCGGTGAAGGGACGCATGTGATACTTCACATTCCCCATCGACTATCACCCCTCCGTCCCGGTTTTGCCTGCCTTCTGGGCATAGGATAGCGGGGCAGCGGGGGGGCAGATGTACATGGTCTTTATGGTCAAAGCCTGGAAGTATACCGGATGCAGGATAGACCGATAGACAGGCGAAGCAGCTGGCGGGCTTGTGCTAAAAATCGATTGCTGGGACTTCTGGGAGCGAGTCACTCAGACCCTAGCGTTTACCAAGCGGCTCTAAGAAATTGTGATTCGTGGGAGAGCGATAGTTGGGTGACTTACAGGATTAGGAGAGCTAGGAGTAATCTCTCTTGACTTCTTGAATGCCCCATTTATTCCCGGCGAAGCGCTAGAAGCCTTCTAGCGTCAGAGGAAGCTTTTGCTTCTGTAGGTTCCATGAATGTTCCATCGCCTCCAGTCTAAATAATAATAATAATCGTGCACTCGCCGCTTCTCCGCTCTGCTGCTTCTTCTGAATGTTGTCATTGCTGCAAGGCCATTCCCACTTCCTCCTCACCATTACACCAACAACAATAAGCGCTACACCCTGTCGTTTCATTATTCAGCAAGCCAACAAAGAAAACCCACGACAGTCATTCACTTCCCCATCTTGCAGTCTTCGCCTTACTGACTTTCCTGGAACCCAACGGCAGTTGCATTGCCGTATCTAAGCCTACGAGTAGACTACACACTACCTTGGCTGCCGTCATCACCCCCCCCAGAGTACCCAAAGCAACTCACTATTCCGCCACCGCCAACAGCATTACTACAACATTACTCTGCATAATTCCGCTATCGACTGACCACACTGATTCTGCGAGACGCTGAGTGGGAAAAGAAGCGGGACAAAAGACCAGATCAAGTGGCTACTAATCTACTGAATTTGAAGATCAAGCGTCACCCAATCGCCTGATCCATTCACACTCGATCTCGATCAGCCCACCCGCCTGACCAGTGACCACCATTGATTCACTCTCTCGCTTGCACTAAGAATCTGAAAGATTTCTTTGCCCACCCTCGTCGACCACTCCGGAGTACCTTAATAGGAGAGTCTATGAGTTGTCTGAGAACACAATTACGCCTACTTTAAGCTTCTAGGCAACCTGGCTCGACCAGACATACCGAGCTGTCGACGCTTTCCAAGAAGCAGAGCTGGAGTCATCGATCGAACTACCGCGCGCTTTAGGTGCTGGAAAAGAGCCATGATCCGTCGGAAACAAAAGTCACCGCCAATAAATTATTTGCGAACACCATCACCAGAGCCCTGGTCACAACCACACTCATCAACGTCCTCGGATTGCGACGCCGACGACGAGGACACTATGTCCATGGAGGACGTAGGACCATCCCCTCCACTAAGCATGAGCCTCGACGAGTCGAAACCGTCTTTTCGAGGCTACGGTCCATATCATCCCCCCAGACCCACCTTACCAGATGTTCTATCCAATTCAGCTCCACCACCCTGGACACTGAGCGCCTTCACCGCCTACCTCTCGCAAAATCACTGCTTAGAAAACCTCGAATTCACTTTGGATGCAGATCGATACAAGGACAAGTACGACGCAATGATCGCTAAGACTAAAGGGGCCTTGTCGCCCGACTTAGAAGACTGCAAACATCTACGGATGTTGTGGAAGCGAATTGTGGATGCCTACATAGTGCCGGATTGCGCCCGAGAAATAAACATACCTAGCGACGTCCGCGAGACCTTGCTTTCTCTTCCTTATCACACGTTGCCCCCGAGTCCCGAAGCCCTGAGGCACGCCGTCAAGATAATATACAACCTCATGGAAGAGTCTGTGCTAATACCATTTCTCAACGAGGCACCACCATCTTCCAAAGCCATAAGAATAAAACAATCGGGAACACAGGAAGCGGCACGCCGAAAAAGAGGCGGCTCAGACAGCTCACAAGAGAAGAGAACTGCTCGAAGCAAGTCCAAACGGAGAGGATCGCCCATACCAGACTCTCCCTTTTCTTCGTCAGATCCGACCGGTCGGTTGACCCCGGCCTATACTTCAAGTAAAGGCAGTAGAGCACGAAGCGCTACTTTGAGTACGAACGGGGAGCCCGATCCTCTCACAGATGACTCTGGTAGCACCAACAGCCCATTTCACGAGCCAATGACTCCTCCAGAGACACCGCCATCTTCGGATTTTGGAGGCTCAAGTCCGAAGAGCAGGCCCGATAATACGTGGAAAAAAATGCTCGGGTGGAAGAAAAAGTCAGGTACAAGCATGCGCGAGAATCGATTCAATTAGATCATCCGAGTATACCGAATCTGCCTTGTCTTTAGGCCGGGCGCTGAAGCGACAGTGGCTAGATGACTATTTTCAGGCCTTCATATTCAGTCCCAACAGAACACTATATCTCGAAACAACCAAAAGAAACATTCTAATTCTTCTCTCCTGATGACTGAACGACTTTGCCAATTTTGCGAGCATAGCTTGCAATGAACATATTTGAAAAGACCATCAAAGAGAATTGATGCCTTTGGTCGCAGCATGTGCATCAGTATTTGCACCAGATACCACGGGCAATGAGCGATTTCTAACTGTACATATTTATTCGGGTATTCATGATTCGGACGAAATAATCACCTGCAGAGCATGCAGCTCAAAACTATCTACTCTCACCATTCGAGTCTTCGTACTGCGATTTCTTTCTTCCTACACAAGCCTCGTCCAAGCGTGTAATAGCGATCATCATCATCCCGCGTCTCTCGTTAGCACATCTTACAAGATTATCCCTCGCCATCCGCTCTTTCAAAACTCTCATACCAGAGCGCCACCAAAGAAGATCCCGCTCTCACCGCTTTCTCATGGCCTCAAATGCTGACATCCATCCTCCAGTCGCTAGCAGATCTCCCGTCTTCAGGGCCCTTAAGCGCACCTCCATCAGATCTGACAACTAACGCATAAACTACCCTCCATCGCTTTCTCAACCTATGAGACGCTCTCCCGCTCCTGGCGCGGCTCAAATAGATATCGGATCACGGATCATCACGCCAGTCGATCAGTCGCACGTATCATGTCTGCTGGCTGTATGTGGGCTCTTCCCAAAGAAGGCGCGGATGACGGATCTTCATCGTCTTCGCTTGTCTAAGTTCGGTGTATCACCGAGAACACGGAGGGGCTACTACTACCACTACTTCTATGACCCTTGCACTGTGATGGTACCGCGGGGCGGGGGCTGGGGTTAGGGCAGACGATCAGGTATTCTCCGACCCGTGCTCGCATATCAAAGTGCGTGATTGATCGCTTCACGACAAGCTAACGGATGCGCGAGATCCTTCGTTTCAAGGAGACCGGAGTCTTAGGTAGTGAAATTCCAGAAGCTATTCTCCTTAATCGCCATGCGATAGATGATCCACCCTCTGACATGGCGCCATCTGTCAGCGCGGCTCGCTTTTTGCAATAGGGTGCTCTGGAACTCCAGATCATGTCGGCTGGGGTAAGTGGGTAGTCAGACCACTGCGTCTTTGGTACTAGGACCCTCATCGACGGTGAATGCGCTGGCTTTCTACCTCCTCATCTACACCGGACCAGCGATCAACACATCCTTCCATCCATACGACCCCAACCCACCAGTCTCCCCGAACAATCCACAGCCAAGCATGCATAGACAGTTTCCTTAAACAACCAGCCCTCGCCCTCCCTATCCGATCACCGATCCTCCCCCACGCCCTTTCTCTCCCCATCCCATCTCCCCTCACAACCCAATTCATCGCGCCACCAACACCTCACCTCACCTCACCTCACCTCACCCTACCCTAACGTGCCAAACTTCCCCCGTCGTGTCGTATCCTGTAACCACCACGCTCTACCATGTGTCAGGTTGAGACAACCAACATGGGGTAGTGTGCGTGATCTATCCGCACGTCTGGGCCGTAACCTTGTCTTGATGCAAGGCGGCTAGCCTAACCCGCAGCTGAACGAGACTTTGGCGAGGATTTGATGTTGAGTAGAAGGAAAGTTGGTGGGGAGGTAAGTGGTTTCATCAGGGTCTGGGGTCGGGTCGGGGCTGGGGATGGGGGCTTTGTGAATGCTTTGTCGGCAGACGGTAGGGAAATGGGTGACTGGAAGACTGAAGGGGAGGGTGGGAAGGGAGTAAAAGACCTAGATGGGAAATTTTGCATATGCTTTCAAGACTTCGAGTTGCAGAGAGAGGGGAGTAGATTGGTGGATCCAGGGAGTGTGATTGTTTAATTATGATATGAAGGCTTCGTCTAATTCATATCTTAGTTATTATAATTTCTTATTCTTAAACTGCCGCAGGAAGCTGCAAAGTTTGTACTGATTTTTCCAGCGACTGCAATTCGAACTCATTTTCTCCTCTTTCCTCAATTTCATCCTTGTTCTCTGATTCTCTTTCTCGTTCTGTAGCATTCACAGACCAATTAGAAGAAATGATGGCATACTGTCGTGACCTGAGATAGGCAAAGGATTGGAATCAGACCGTATGAAGTATGGCTAAGCAACGAGAGAAGTGATAGTAAATTGTTTCCTATCCTGGTGGCTGCTCAAATTATCACTCTCATATATCTGTAAAAGGGCCATTAATCATCAACCCCGATGCTATGCTACGCCACGCTATCAGATGCTTTGATATCCCTGTTACACTCTGTGCTCGAGAGTCATAAAGATGACCCAGCTACACATTCAGGAACCACTTCACTGCTTTCCTCACCTTTCCTTGTATCTCTCCCAGCTCAATCTCGGGCGGGCTCTGATACGCCAATATCCCAACCGCGACCATTATCAAAGTCAAAAGACCAACTACAGAGCGTCCAACAATTGCATTTCTCATCCTCAGTTCTCTCTGCGCAAGGACCACCTCCCTCTCATGCGTCTCCTTCACTTCACGCGGCGTTTCGTCAATGCGAAATGCTTGTTCCATGATAGCTTCCAATCCAGTCTGACCATCCGTCTCCGATTTTGGGAAGAATTTTGGCCGTGAGAATTTGGTGGGAGATAAGTCCGAGAAGACGGATTTGTGTGACATTTCGGACATATCCGAGGCGTTGCTGGGAGAGAATCCTGGTTTCTCCAGCGTTTGGGAGAGCGACAACATGTCAAGTGGCTGGCCTGTGGGACGTGATCGAGCGGGAAAGAGCTGCGATTTCTTCGCTTCGCTCGCAGCGCGGAAGCTGGGTTTGTTTGGAGGGTTGCGTAGACGGTGAGCTGGTGAGACGACGTCGGCTGGCAGATGTCCTCGGAAGGGACTGGATTGCTGAGAGGATGCCTGTGATTTGAAGGGAGCTGGATAGCGATTTGTGACCTTGGGGATAAGGCCAACGTTCGAGGGTGTCCAATCCATACTTGCTGTGTCGTCGTAGTCTGTTTCTGGTGGTGGAGTGGGAAGGCGCGTACCTCCAGGCTGATGCTGCGATGGCGCAAGGCTGTCGATTGAAAATGGTTGGGGCCGGGCGATTGGGTCGAGACCACGTTGAAGTGAGGCATGAGAGACGTTTTGAATGCCGTTGGCCTTGCGTTTGATGAGAGGTTCCGGTGATTCTTTGAAGGAGACCTTCGGCGTATAATCGACCGATACTGCGGTGTAAGAGATAGTGATTGCAATTAGACTGAACACGATCATAAAGAGATGCATCGAGCGCTGCGCGTCCAAATCCATCTGGCCAGCCCGAGTTGCAAAGTACCAAGTTGCAAACCTAGCACCTAGAGCCAGGACCTGGAGCTTGTAGTAGTTGGGCAGACCAACAACAGTTCCGTACCGTTTGTCAAGCATCTCCATCCTCCTTGGGTGCCACCAGACGCTTAGTAGCCCCATAAAAAGGGCATTGTAGGCCGGTCCATGACCTGCTTTCGTCAAACAGGCCGGCAAGACCTCATGCGCAGCTAGTGTGTGCTTTATACATTCAGTGAGACTGCCGTGCGATTGACCGAATTCCAGGTATGGATCAGCTGTCGGGAGAAGGTTGAGACTATGCCATAGGATATCAACCAACCAGCTAATGGTCCAAGCCCAGCCTCCTATCCAGATGGCCCATCCTTTGACTCCATTTACATTCTTTGGTCTAGCTCCCCGAAGGCTTCGCATAATCTTTCCCATGTGATCCGCTTTGGCATCATAATTGACCCTCCTTAGCTTGCGCTGTACACGGGGCTCACACGCTTCGCAGATGAGAGGGTAGCGCTCCTCTAGCCCCTGGCGATACTCTCTTTCCGCTCGCTCAAATTCATCGAAATTGTCTCGGGTAGGAGATGGGTAGAAAGATTTAAGGGACTCGGTGTACAGGTGCTGATTCTTCACGCATGTTGCACAGAAGAGCGGCTCATCCGTTGTCGGAGTGACAGGGTCGAGGAATGGGTTGTTGCTGATAGTGGGCTCTGGTTGGGCGTAGCGAGTTTGACTGGATGAAGTAATATTGCTGGGAGGGTCTGTAATTTCTCCATTCTGAGGCAGTCATTAGCATCATGCCAGAAGTTCGGGATGTATAGACACACCTCGTCAAGCCAATTCTCAGCATTGCATTTGCTACATTCCCAGTGTCGTAAACCGGGCGTATAAATCTGAGCTGACCGGCAGCGGCAATAGAAGCATGAAAGTTTTCGCCCGAACAGGGACGGCATCCTTGTGAGAAAGCAGTGATATTGAAGATTCTCGAGGAACGGACGCGGACTTAGCGGAGATACTAAAATACTGGCGCGTCGAGATACGTATTGACTGATGAAATCTTTTTCGAAACATGAAGAAATTGTCGAGCAGAGAAGGATTTGTGCTGTGTGAGATATAACAGCCATCCCAGCCTCCGAATTTCTATTGTTCTCGTGTTAGTCTTGGTTGACACTTCCGCAATGACAATGTCAACACTTGGAGCCTCGATGAGTACGACTTTTGTGACGGACAGAGCCTAGACTACAAACAACGCCCAATGTTTGCTTTGATTGTCGTGTCGACGATGCTATTAGCGCTCCCTATTGTCTGTATAGGACTGACTGTATTCCAGCGTTCAATTGCTAAGATATGCCTAGATACGGCTACTGCACATCTTGCTGTCTCCGCCGGCCACGCCATTACGTCGCAGAGAACCAGCGCACCTTCTTGTTGTCCTAGGCAGCGGCGGGCACACGGCTGAAATGTTGACTATGCTGGAAGATCTTGATCCTGGACTTTACACACACAGATCCTATGTAATTGGCAAAGGAGATGCGTTCAGTGCAGGCAAGGCTCGTGACTTTGAAGGAGGCATATCGCAAAGCGCTCGATATCAGGAAGATCCGGAAGTGGTGAGAGCTAGCTCGAGCTTACACACCGTACCGCGCGCGAGAAGCATACATCAGTCCATCTTCACAACGCCTTGGACCTGTATGCTGTGTCTCTACGGCTGTCTCCGGGTCCTGCACTGGCATCCAAGAGGACACCCAGATCTCATATTGACTAACGGCCCGGCAACAGCATTGATAATGATCATTGCTGCGTGGATAATAAAATTCTTCAACACTACTAGTATGCGAACGATTTACGTTGAGTCGTGGGCTCGTGTCAAAACACCGAGTTTGAGCTTGAGAATCATACGCTGGGCTGGGTTGTGCGACCGTACCTTAGTACAGCATCGCCCATTAGCTGACGCTGGTTGGGGAGAATTTAAAGAAAACCTGATGAGATGATGTTCAAGCATTTTCATGCTTGTCGCCAGGACGCATGCCCGGCCGTTTCATTTGTGGTTAACGTACTTTATCATCCGTAGTATCCCCAAGCGCCTTGCGTAGTAAAATGCAATCCAATTAGAATCTTTTGCTACATGTATCCCAAAGAATTCAATCGTCGACATGCCCTTTTCTCGTACCGTTGGGCCGCCCTCAACTTGACCTCGTCAGGGAAAAACCATCCCTGCGCGTCTTCCGCCATCCTATTTTGTGTCCGCGTCTCTATTTGACATTGATGTTGTAAATTTGTCAAATACTGATTTTCGGCCTTGCGGTCCAGATCGTTCATTTTCCGCGTGCTATAATCGGCGACTTCGCTAGGATTGAGGTAGTATTCTACCTTGATATTTCGAGATGTTACATGCTGAGTGTTCGGAGGACCAGGCTGAAAACTGATATTAGGACCGGAGGGCAATGCGGAGGAGAATAGGGAGGATAGAAGTGGAAGAACAAAGAGCACCAGTAGCGGAAGCAGATTTGATAGAGCACCCAATAGGGTTTGCGGCCGCTCTTCGTTTTGGCCGTTGGCTTCTCTCGGTCTTCTTCGTGGCCTTCCTCCCCCAAATTGGTGGACTCTGAAACCTGGGCCACCCCCCATGTTGAAGACGAATTGAGGTCCAGTATCAAACATTCCTCCACCTACTCAGGTCAGTAAAACCCCATGCGATCAAGATATGTCATTCTTGCTCACCACCAAAAGGGCCACCCATGCCCCCTCCTCCAAAGAATCTATTGAATAACTCTTCAGGCGAGATCTCATCGTCAAACATTGGTCCTCTGCCACCTGGTGACCTGGCAAATCCGCTGAACGGAGATGCAGACGATGCTGATGCTGAACCGAACCTACTATCTGGGTCGCCTCCAAATCGGTCATATCGACCCTTCTTTTCCGAATCCGATAGTATCTGGAATGCTCTTGATACCACTATTCAATGCGTAAGTGACGTATTGCGAGTAACGATCGCTTGCCCATTTCGAATTCATCTAGACTCACTCTTGAAAGCTTCATCTGCACCATCATATGCATTCTTATCAGGATGTGTTAGGAGACTCAGTTTCCTATATGCCTTTTTTATTTCTGCGTCCGAACATCCTTTCTCAATTCCAAGGATTTCGTAAAATGCGGTTGCGGAGCACTTCCGGACTCTTATCACCGCGGTCTTCTGTTCAATCGTATACTTCTTATCCTGATTGCCCTGGTTGTGTTCTCTATTCCTCGTCGTACTGCCATTTGTATCTGCTCCTGACGCGGTTGCAGCAGGCATTACTTGAAAGGCTGTTGGCCTGAGTGAGGGGTGATGGTGATTTGATAATTTATCGGCTTATCGTTGCAAGTATGCTATCGACATCATACGAATATTGCGCGTATATGAACTGGGCGCCGAACGAGGTGGATGAGTTGTTGCCGATGCTCATGCGACTGGAGGTTCTGCTGGCTTCACGGATAAAAAGTCTCAGCAACGGCTTTCGGTAAGGCTGGGCGAAGAGGTACAAACCATGCGCAGTCCATGATGGTACATGCGCTCTTGAATTACCCCTGTCACATTCTTTTAAAGCGGGGCCCGCAGCGAGCATCCATTTGGGGCTTTCCTTCCTCATCACCAATCTATCTCTCAACCTAACCAACAGATAGGGACAGCTGGTGGCGCCATCGCACCTGCACCGATGAACAAATTGGAAATGTCAGGATATCCTTGTGTCAGACATTTTCTCAAACTAAGTATTTGATCCATGGGTGGAACATCACACAGTCGTCGTCATCAGATTTTCCACTTCTCGCGATTCGACCTTTCAGATTCGTTGTCCATGATCTCATACTACACATGTTACGATACTCTAGCAACACTACTAAGCAGAGATTCACGTACTCGATTTCGGGACGCTACGCGGCCCTAGGTGAGGCATGTGCTTTTTAGCTTGAACTTTTGTTTGATATCAGTCGAACCGAGCGTGGCTTTCGAAGAAATTCTACTACAAGTATAAGAAAGTAAATTCGCTTCCTCAATTATTACGTTGCCAGTCTACAGAAAGCATCCAGGAAAGGTTCTATTGAAAGTGGATGTATCTGTTATACGTTGTGGAAACGTGATAACTTTCATAGAACGTGCCGAGATGCTGTGTGCTTTCATGCTATTTGACAATAAGAGTTACAAGCCAAGAGACTTGGCTTTAGGTGCGTTGGTTCTGAGCACCAATCCTTTTTGCTTGTTGCTTTACTATGGAAGGGAGACCCTCCCAGTTCTCAAGGTAAGTGTAGAAAGGATCAGCGTCTAAGCTACAACCGTAAGAAGAACGGCTGCAGAAATCATCTGAGCTACGATCAATAAGGAGTACAAGACCAGCCGATATTGATTTTGTTGTGAGTGATGTAGTCAATTGGCTAAAGACGGTAGTTGGTTTCGAGATTGGATTGAAAATCTTGAGTTTATCATTCAAAGACTCGATTGCCCGAGAAGGAACGATACCTGAAGAGGAGATACTTGAGAGATGCACTCATGTTGGTGACACTAATATATAACATTGTGTAGGTCATGCAGAAATAAAGGTGAGACACGGCCCGGTACGTTTTGTTTAAGCGCTCGAAAGAGGTTCTGGTGCGTCTTTCACTAACATGACATCCATCCTTTGTCGAACAGAATACCAACAATCATTCGACATCCTCGAACAAGGACTCGGTGCAGAGTTGGATACTACGCCCGTTCAGGATGCAACGGCCTCGGTCAAAGAGCACATCTATGATGAAAAGCTTCGAAGCTAGGTCCAAGCAGCACATGCCGTCCACCGCGACAGCAATCGTTGCAGAATATTTGCACCATCAACAAAATCCTTTCACAAGATAATAAAACACAATTTGGCCTGCATTTCAACAGCTTTGTTGGTCTTTGAAGAGGGCAGCGTCTTGGGAAATGTTCTTTTCCAGCGGCAACACATCTAATCCAGATGCTAGGCATGTTTCAAGGACGTGATCATATCTCGGGGGGATTCCCGTTCCCACACCACGGCGTCAATGCTTCCCCATACCATATGACATGTGAATGGAATGAGGGCCTATCGTGTATGATTAATCTCCGACAGCCATAGCGGCTCGCCTGGCGGCCTTTTTCCTCTGCGGAGCATTGAGGATGCTGTGACGCCATAATAGCAGTGCCTTCCACTTGGAGAAATTGATATATATCATGGGAGATAATCCCCTTGCGCACAAGCCGTCTTGGATGGCTGCCCCACACTCGTTTGATCATCGCTCGTTTCCTCAATTGCTAGTGCTGGCCAATCCACAGTCTCTACCTTGACTCCATCTGCAAGCCTCTTTTTCCATTATTACTTCCTTGAGGCCGACAATTGTTGATCGATTCAAAAGCTGTTCGCCGGGCTGGGCGCTCGAAGTATTGAAAAATGCTTTTTACGTTCACTTCGTTTACATATCTTGCCTTTATGTCCACGTTCCTGCCTTTCGCTACCACACAATTCGTCACTAGGAACGGCCAGCAACTCTCTTTGGATGGCAAGTCTTTCTCCTTTGCCGGGGCTAATTTCTGGCACAGTAAGATCACCCGTCACTCAGCAGACAAAGAACTGACAAACAATAGTTGGCATGCAGACCAACGACTTTGCAGATCAGGTCCTTCAAGCAGCAAAGAGCAAACGAATTGCAGTACTGAGGTACTCCACCTCCTCAATCTACTACAACAAAGCAAGATGTTAAGAATTCACAGAGTAGCTGCCTGGAACGAGAAAGATGTCACCCATGGAAAAGATCCCGGCGGCAACTGGTTCCAAGAATGGACTAACGGCAAGCCAATAATCAACGATGGCCCCAATGGCCTTCAGGTCCTGGATCACACTGTACAGCAAGCTGAAGCTGCAGGCATCAAGTTTATTATGATGCTTACAAAGTACGTGACCTTCGTTGTTCCCCAACGTCGACCCATGCTAAAGCCAATTTAGCAACTGGCTCGATTATGGCGGCATGGACACTTACACACACAATCTCCTTAGCGACCAAGAGTCTCACACAAGTTTCTTCACCAACCCCACCGTAATCGACGCCTTCAAAACCTATATCCGCGCCGTCGTCACCCGCTATGCCTCCAGCCCCGCCATCCTAGCCTGGGAACTTGCGAACGAAGCGCGCTGCCAAGAGTCGAATTGCAACAAAGGACAAGTACTAACAGACTGGGCGGATCAAATCTCCTCTTTCATCAAGACCCTTGACCCTAATCATCTAGTGACATTCGGTGGGTATGGATACCTTAGCGATGGCCCTTGCTGCGATTTCCAGTACGACGGCGACAGTGGCGAGGATCACTCCGCCATCCTCAAGCTACCAAGTATCGATTTCGGGACCGTTCATCATTATACGCAGGATGATACATACCCGGGTTTGCAATATGGTATGGATTGGTTCAAGGCACATAATCAAGCTTCCGTTGCGGCCAACAAGCCGATGATTGTAGAGGAGTTGGGTGTGAACAGGGGAAAGCTGGATATTAGTGGGGATGATATTATGAGGCAGTATGAGGAGTATCTGAGTGATCCGGGCCAGGCGGGTGCCGTACAAGGGGTTGTGTTGTGGAGTGCGGATGTCATGGGAGGGGAATGCCCGATGCAGGGGGATCCGTATGCTATTTGCACTGCAGATGGAAGCTATGAGGGGTTGGTTAGAGACTTTGGGTTGAAGATGGCCGGGAAAGCTGGAGCTGGAGGCCCGAAAATGTTGTCGAAGAGGGTTCGTAGGATTGAGGTTTAAGTGTTTTTCATTCAAGCGAAGAGCCGGTCTCTGAAACTTCTGAAATTCTTGTACAATTCGATCAAGTTCGCGATTCGCCATGAACTGTGAAGAACGCATACGGCCTTCGTATTCGCGATGAAGGCGCTCAATTTTTTCTAGTATGCAGCAGAGAGTTTGAGTATAGCTCAAGAAACCAATGAGATATCTTTCATCGATGTGGTAGCAAGGAAGGATAGAAATCCTAGTGCTTTTATATTTTGAGGGTGCAACTTGTCAGACGTTTCTTGATAACCGAGATGACTGAACCACAGAATCAATATTCTCAAGCGCTGCAACCTCGAGATACACATAATATGTGAAATAAACTGTTTTATCCTCCTAGACACACACAAATACGATTCTGTCATGGGAACCCAGTTGAAAAAGGAACATAGAAATTAAATATTTTTGGGTTTTGCGGAATGCATTTTGTGGTCTGCCGTAATATGTCTTGGCATTTAGCCCCTTTTTGATGGAAAAGCAGAGACGAGCCGCCATACTCTTCAAACCTTGTCACGACTTTCGAAGCATTCGAGGCACAAAAGGCCTTGATGTATGTGTGCCGGTTCTCGTCCGTCGTGCCGTGTACACTGTCATTGCAGTACTTATGGTGAGCACCTTCTACTGAGCCTCTTTGGTTTCATGGCTTGGTACGTTTCGAACGGCCATTCAAGGTTTCTGGATTGTGGCGCACCGATCCTTCGGCGCGTAGCAACCTCCATTGATTGAATGAACATACTCACAAGGTGATAAGGCTACACCAAAACAATTCAAATTATCATTCCAACATAAGCTCGGCCTTCAATTGTCGTTTCACTGAAGTCTTTGGCTTGAATCCTTCCCATGACCCGAAAGACTGATTAGCACCAACCTGCCAGTATGACTTTTGAATATGTATGCTCCGCTGATTCTACCGGGGCAACGCGGAGGCCTTCTACAGGCGATTCGTTTTTATCGCCTTGTCCATGTCACCCTCATTCGTTTTGCGGTCAGAATAGTTTGAGCTTCGATCATAATGACTCTCATGACATTATGGATTCTTGGAATATGCGCCCTGTTCCGGCCATCCCAGGCTTTATTCATGCCTCAATTCTACAATCCGCCCTCTAGCCTGGTCGACATCAGCATTTACACACCGATCAGAGCGGCCGTGGCGGCCAACACTGCAACCTCCGGATGTACGGGAAATGACAGACCCCAACGTTACCCATCGAATCGTACAACATGTAAGGCCGACATAGTGTATAATAGGACTGACGAAGCGTTGCAAAAGGAGCTAGAGGCCGAGTCATGTCTATTTGGGAATTCCTGTGGGGCCAACGAGAGAGCTGTACAGGACAAGTTCTTCGGCATCGGTGGGACAAAACACTTTCTCACCTTGGACAAGACAGGATGCTTTATGAATGAATCTTTCTGTACCCCAGAGCTTGTTTCTCGGTACAACCCGATTAAAAAATGGATGAGGAGCAATGCGTGCAGAACTGGGCTATCACTGTATGACCCTGCTTACGACCCTGACGAAGACTGCTGTGGCTGGTGTACGCTAGAAGGAGGGAAAGTAGATGTCTTTTACTGGCCGGATCCTGAAGCGGACACGTCTTGCTTGAGCATTATTGGTGATAACTTGCCTATTGATTACGGAGCAACGACAGGTAAATCAGGCGCAGTGTACTGGGGCTGTACCTCTCTGATTAATGACGACCCTTGGAGTGAGAGAAACGGACAATATGAGACCGCTACGACTGCCAGACTATGGTCGACCGATTCGCTGCTCGGTGTTGGGTTTTCCACCAAGAAATACGAACTCGATCCCTATGCGGACTCGAAGTCGTTCTCGCTGTGGTGTGGAGATGACACGAGAATGCCCGCGTATAATCCTGTCACTTCGGTGAGACGTTCAGGTCTCACCGCAACTGCCCGCTCAATATCGGCCTCACCACCTGGTCGATGGCAGAATGACTCCAGGCCCTCTATTGCGATTTCAGGAAGTTTTACTTTGTGAGCATTCAAGAGTCCCAGTCCCAACGCTCCACTCACTGCTGTATCAGTACTTCCCCGTCTATATACGCGTATTTTACTAATATACAGGCGAAAGATGACTGTGGGAAAACACTCATATCCTCAACAATGCTCAGTTTCAAGCCGGGTGAATTGTCGACCATAGAACCGTCTGTCGACGAGTTTCTAACAAAGCCGTTTAATACTAAAGATCTGCCATGCCCACCTCTCAGTGTAGCGGTGAGTCAATGACGTAAATAAACTCAGACGATTGAGCTCTTACATGATCTTCTAGAAAAAGCAGAGATGGATTCCATCACCAGGAGACCCGTATCGCCCTTTGATTGGGTTACCGAAGCATCTTGCAGGTCTCAATGATTGGTTCGCGGGATGTGACAAAGGCCTATTTCAAGCTTTTGATCCGCCTCGCAGTCTCGAGCCTGCACCTACTATGGCAGCTAACGATCCTGGTCAGAATGACAAGGCTCCTGCACCCGCAAAAATGGTTGCGCCGGACTTACCAGAGCAGACAAAAGCGAAAGAACAAGCACAGGTAATGGTGCCAGAATCGGTCAATATCGCGAAGCATACTCCAACACCAGCAGCTGTAGATACTCAAAAGAAGGCTGAGAACCCTCCAGCTACTCAGCAACCTAGCCTCGAACAAAAGACGGGAGATGACCCAAAAGCAGGCGGGCAAGATCCCAATGGGAAAGACGGAAGTGCAAAATCCAACGGCGCTAACAACGCAAAAGCACCATCAGATGCCCCAAACAAGCAAAATGGTGGCACACCTAGCAAGCCGTCTGGTGGGGGGGATCAAGACCCCTCAGCTCTTGCCAATGATCCACTCGACCCAGCTGAGCAGAACAAACCGAAAGATGCAGGTCCAGAGAGCAAAGGTGCAAATACAGCTTCGTCAGAGCATCCACAGCAATATTCGTCAGCGGGGTCACAGACAGGCAACGATGTCAAGAACGACATATTACCAGATCCAGCACCATCTTCATCAGGGTATACGCAAGACTCAAACAAGCAATCGCCGCCTATAAGCCCAAATTCGGACAAACCCGCCGGTGATGGTGTCTCCTCAAACCCAGCGGATGTAGCAGGTCAAGGCTCGTCGTATTATGGAAATCAGGAGCCAAACGCTCAAGAAAAGGACCCACAGAGTCAAAAACATGGTGGAGATAATCAAGAACCTCAAAAAGCATCAGGATCTGCTGCCCAAGATTCACCGGCCATTGACCCTGACAATGCCTCCTCAGAACAAATGGCTCAGATCCACGATGCTCTTGCAGCAAGCTCATCAAGTCCACCAACCTCTCCACCAAAGAAGGCAACCCAGGAACAGACAGACGGGAGTGAGCAGCAGCATCAAAATATTCAAGCAGAGAGTAATGGCCCTGTAGGGCTAGGGCCAAATAGTAAGGTCCAGCAAGACAATCCGCAAAACAGTCAACAATCAGTGCCTGGCCTGGATGCACCTACAACAGATAACGAGCCCACCACAAACTCAGCTCAGAATGCTCGACCTTTCCAGATTGGCCAGCAGGGAGATAACAAAGACTCTTCCCCAGCTGGATCAGGAGGCTCTGTAAGTTCAGCAAATCAGATAAGTCAAGACCAACAACAAGCGAAGGATGATAGTCAATCCTCAATGGAACCCCAAGAGCCACAATCAGGTAGCAATCAACCAGCGAAGCCAACGCAGAAGGACCAAACCATGCAAGATAATAATTTCCATGGAGAGGACACTCATTCTCCTCCCGTCGGCTTAGGGGATCCTGTAAATCCAAATGATCAGACAAACAAAAATCAACAATCGCCGCAAGGCAACAAGCAATCGTCAAGCGACTTCCAGGAGCCACAAGCGGGGAGCAACTCTCCTAATGATGTCTCGCAGAATGATGTAAATTCTCAACATAAATCGCCCGCAGGAGATGGACAACCTCAGTCATCCACCGCAAAAGGGCAACAAAGTGACCCACTTCTTAATGGAGAGCCTGATGAAGGAACATCCGGTTCAAACACCGGTCCTTCGGAAGACGATCCTTCGCAATTGAATTATCCCAAGCAGCCTCACAACACTCCAGCTACGGCTTCCCAAGCCTTTGCCTTCATACCCTTTGGTGCAACAACAACCATCGCTTCACATCCCATGATCCCACTACCGAACCGTCAAGGGATTTCTATTGCGGGTATGACTCTTTCGCCCCAGGCTCCTGTTATCACTATTTCGGGTACAGAGATATCTGTGGGGAGATCAGCCATCGTGATCGGTGGAAGTAGCGTGCAGTATGCGGCTGCTCCAGATAGAGTTGCGAAGACTACTGAGACTACAGGTGCAAGTGCTAGCGCTGGCGCTGGTGAAAGTGCTGAACCAATGAGTGACGCGGGGCTGATTGTAGGAACCAGTCAATTTGTAGGTGGTCTGGTCATGGGTGGACTTCAAGGCCCAACACCTACTGCGTCCACTCGATGGTCGAAATTTGCAAACCATTCATCGAGCGCTTTATCATCCGCGGGTTTACCAATTACTTCGAGCAATGCCTCGATCACTATGACAGATACTGGAACCACATCAACGGTGGAAAATAAACCAAGTGTGTTCACAACGGCGCCATTCAAATCGGCAGGATGCTCTCGAGAAGTAATGGAGTGTTCTCTGCGGAAGCTGAGACTGGTGATTGGCACCCTAGCATTATCATTTGTAATACTGTGACATAGTAAATAGACGATATGAGAGCTCAATTGCCTTTAATGAATGTGACGTGTCATGTCAATGGCTTTCACTTGCATTGTGTTTTGTAATCTCGAACCTCACTCCTTTGGTAGCAGGGACTTGCTCGACGCCTAGTCATATATTGATCTCTTATCACGTCTTTGATGGGATATCATGGAGCGCATTGTGTGACCTAGCAAACGAATATGACTGAGGGTAACCGTAGATTCACATTGCTCTCGGGCATTCTATCAATTTCTGATAGCTCCATGCCATGCACAGCGTCCAATAACATGAAATTTCAACCTTTTACAGCCTAGCGCGCATGAAATATAACCCAACACTAATAATACAATACAGCTCATCTACCTACTCAGCAATCTAGATCTCATCTCGCCCTTCAATCGTCAGCGGCGCATGTCTCTTAAAATGCCCATCCTCCTGCCCCTCCGCACCGACCTCCCTCTCCTTCAAATCCCCCTCAATACCCTCCTTACACAAGAAGTCAATCGCACTCCCCAACTCAATATCCCCCACGGCGAACTCCGGTGCCACGACCGCCAATCCATCAATCATCGCGTTCAGGAAGTCACAGATCAGCTCTGCCCCTGAGCCCGCTTTGAAACTATAGTCCACGTCGATATAGTCGGTGCCTTTGTCGACATTGTTCACGTTGATGAAGGGGCTATAGTAGTGCGCGCCCGCAAAGTCGACGGCTCTGTATAGAGTCATTGACTCTGATTCAGGGTAAGGGTGGTCGCGAATGCCGAGGGCGCGAGCAGCAAGGTTAGCGGGGGCGTGCCACCAGCGCTTTTCCAGGACGGTGTAATGAGCTGTGTACGAATTCTTTTCTGAGGTGGAGAATTTGGCCGTTGTGGCGGCGGATTGGATCAGTGCGTCCCGGAGGGAAGTCATATTGTATTGGGAGGATTTGACGGTGACCACGAATTCGCCATCATCGAGCAGGGATTCGTCAGCTACGTATTTTATGCCCTTGATGGAGGCGGTGTCGGTAGAGCAGTGTGTGAAGTCTGTGGTTTGTGTGGCTGGTGGACAGATGGACTCGAGTGCTTTGGAGACAGATGTGTAGAGGGCGTCGGACGTGAGGGTGCCGACGTTCACAGCGGAGCTGCCAGCTTCGACTGTTGCCGCACCTTGTATGGGCGTACAGTTCGGCATTTTGGTACAGTCAGCTTCGTTAGCTGCGTATGGGGTGCAGACTTCGCAGATTTTTGAGTTGGTGGTCGGTTCGGGGGCTTTGTTGGGGTTCTTGGCCGCGTCGCCGGTGGGTTGGGCGGTGTAGGCACAGCTCTCGGTCTCGGGGGCCTGCGTTTTCAGACTTGTGAGTGGCAAGGTCGACTTACCGTCGCAGGTACAGTACGCGCTTGGCTGCGTTGGCGGCTCAGGTCCCATATACGTGCACTTAGGGGCATCAGTCGGGGTTGGATTCGGACTTGGAGCTGCTCCCGGACAGGCATTATCATCGCGACGAAATTTGGCGCTGTTGCCACCTGCCAAAGGTGGTAATTCCAGGTCCGACGCATAGCTGTCAGGTAGCTCTTTCTGGCCTGTACCCCTCGTCCATTCGACGTTAGTCAGTGGGTAATTCTTGGACTGGTCGACACCATAGACTTTCTGTACTTGGGTAGCTTTCTGGATCGTAGGGAACTCCCATGTTCTCCAGGCATTCGGGAGTCTCTTCACCATATCAGGATTGTTCAGATCGATGGGTAAGGGCAGCTGATAAATGCCTCCTAGGTCTCCGTCTTTGCCGCCTCCGGCGACCTCTGCCTTGTACACAACATAGACATCATTTGTAGATGCCCTAGCTAAGGCCTCAGACATACGTGCGACGAAGATATCGTTGCGATTAAGGCCGTTGCTTCGCTTCGACGGGTCGTTCATTCTCGTTGGGTCAGCAATCTTGAACTTGTCTTTAGCAACAACCTGTGAAAGACAAAAGTCAGCATGTCGCATGAAAGGTGGTTATTGTAGCGCGCCAAACTCATTACAGGGCGCAACAGGGTTGAGCGCTGTGAGGACAACGTACTTTCGGCCAGAAATCGGCGTCCGACATTAGTCCGTCATTGAACATGACACCATGAGGATTAAGTTTGTCTCGTACATTAGGTCGGGCGTCCTTGGTAGCGACACCGAAGGAGTAGAAGACTGTAGGTGCTCCGTCCTTGTTGAGAAGGTCACATGTCCTGATGTCTTGAACCAGGCAGTCAACGGTCGGGAAATCGAGTCTGTCATCCTCACACGCCCATTTTTGACCATTTGGTGGACGAGCATTGCACTGTCGCCATATAACATCGGGCAAATCGCCTGGTGGAGGTACCGGATTTGCCGTTTGTTGGTTGGGGTCGCTTTCACAGTCATCTTCTCCGTTCTGGCAGCAACATAAGAGGCATTTGAGGTTGACAGACGATGATCGTAGTATCCACAAGGCCAGTAGATAGAAGGTTAGAAGTTTACCGGCCATTGCGCCAGACCGGTCAAGGAGTAGTAAAAAGCAGGATACAAACAACGACGAAGAAGCAAGTCTTGAGACCTACGTCGAGAGAAGAGAGCCGTAGCTTGGTTGAATGCTATTCTAGTTTGGAATGCATTAGAGTGAGGACTGGAGAAGCAAAGCAGCCCTTTTATAGAAAAGACAGCTGCTGTGACTATCAAAGCTGTGCAAGAACAAAACCAACACGGAAGCTGGCTTTCAAAACGAGACTGCACTGAGGACATGAAAATTGTTCAATGAGAAAGGGCCAAGATCCAACATCTCCTCTACCACATTCTCCTTTGTGGCATAGTATTCAAGCGATGTTTGACTTCATCGGACAACGCTCCATCATACGGAGCATTACGATTGTCGAACCTTGTGACGGTCCAGCTGCTCTCCCAAGAGATGGCTGAAGGTTGTTGGACTGAGCTGTACATTCATGATCCGCAGCATAATGAAGTCAAAAGCCTCTGGAGGCACGAGGACCCAAGAGAATGAAACACTTCGCCTCACATGCTAATACGATGGATTCAGATGAGACGCGAAGATTAACATCTGAAAGGATCAAAGGCATCGGCGAGCAATCACCGACATTCTTTGACAAGGGTCAATTGAACGGCTCTTTTAAGACGTATCCAGACGAAAAACAGTATATCAAGCAAGAGCACCAGTCTTCACAAACTTTGAAGTGACAGCAGCCTTGCGTACAGGATCTCTAGATACTGGGGGAAACAAACTTGTGCTCGTCAACCGTCACTAATTTGAAGATACGCGGGGTCACTAAGGGACTGAAACTGAGACTTCATAGCCTTGTTTGAATCGCGAGGCACACGAAATCGTGCTGGAACGGGGGCCGTAGGGTATATTGTATGTGTTGCAAAGCGACCAGAACATGCATGATTAGGGCGAAAATGCTGCCGATTGATTTGAGCGGAAGAGATGGCGTTGAGATTGAGGTTGAAGGAAGGCCGGAAATGGCCATGATAGGATGCAGAAGATTGATTGAAGGATCTAGTGCTGAGGTGCTGGTGGGATGGTGGTCTGTAAAGGTGAATGATGCTAAGCCTTGCCAAATGAGCTAAGCTCTGAATAACCCGGAGGCTTATCTCTTTAGCGTCTGATCTAGTATATTGGGCTAGCCTTGCCAACATCCGAATACCTTTGCCTCAATACCAACGTTTCGCATTATTATTGTTTCATCCGAACCGTCAGAACCAGCATTCATGGATGCAGCTTACACATTGACTGGCAGAACCACATCTGTAGGGATTCGACTTGTTCTCCGCGCCTCAATGCCAACATCCGCAGCATGGGAAATCTTCGATAGGATGCAAAGCACCTACTTTCTGCCTCTATAGTGGGCTCCTACCCTAGGCACGATCAGCCCCATGTGAATCCAACGTTCAGTCGTAGCGAGAGCACTTCTGGACCCGATTTCTTCTCGGCAGACACGATCAAAAGCTGACGCAAGTTGATGCAAGCTGATGTTTCGTCTCGTCCCTCCTCGTGCCCGTACACATAAACAGCGCTACACTTGAGATCTCTGTACCTATCTACTTCACCTCATCAACCCACTTTACCCTCTCACCATGTCCTCGGATTACCCCCCTAATAGCACTGGCTCGCTCCCGTCCCATCAGGAAGCCATCCTCACCGCAGCCCGCGCCGGCGACGTCCCCGCCCTGCAACAACACCTCACCGCTCTAGGTATCCAATCCCCATCTTCACCTATCGAGCCTACATGGTCGAGGTTGCCCACGTTCACCATCGTCCTTGTGCCTCCCTCCGGCCCCCCTGCCACATCCACGCTCCTCGCAGCAGCCATCATTGCCCGACAACCTCACAGTCTCAGCTACCTTCTGACCGTCTTCCCCGACGCCTGTATCACGGCCCTTTTGGGCACCGCGCTGTCTCATCCCAACCTTGAGATCTTCAAGATTCTTTACGCGCACGACCCGAGCATTTGTGATCATGAGTTTGAGAGTGGGGAAACGACGTTAATGATGGCTTGTCGTGATGGCGGCACAGGGACGGAGGCTGCAGAGGTGATCGAGTTCCTACTAGAAAATGGGGCAGATGCCAACGAGAGTGGGCTAGGATTAACGGGGCCACTGATCTTCGCAGTGAGGTATGGGCAGCCGTTGAGTATTGTGGAGGCGATGGTAGGAAGGGGGGCGAGGGTATGGAACGGCGTAATCTTGGAAGCGATGAGAGCATGGAGGCTGGATGCTGCTAAGTGGTTCTTGGAGGTCTGCAACATTACCGATACCGTGGAGATGTTGGAATGGCTGAGGGCTGAAGTGGAGAAGTGTGGGGATCTAGGGCTTAGTAAGGCTTATGAGCGGAGACTTGAGGAGGAGAAGGAGAAGGAGAAGGAAAAGACATTTGCTCGAGCTCAGAAGGATGGCGCTGCTGATAAGCAGCCTAAAGAGAAAGGGTTTTTGGCGAGGGTCAAACAAATCATGGGGCAATGAAATGCTAACAGTGTATTTCGAGCATTGATATTCTAGAATGTTCAGCGTTGCAGGGTTTCTATGATTCATAAAGCACTACTCGACAAGTCTTGCATCAATTCGGTCTGGCCATGATTTGCTAAAGTTCGGGGTTCGGAATAACGTCTCCCCTCCCTCTGCCAAGCCAGCCGTTATGATCGAACTATCTCAATTCCCTGACGGTAACGTCACAATCAATCGATAGCACGTGAATGAGCAATCAAATCGTGTATGCTACGTCGCAAATCACAGATATCAAGAACTGGCGTCGTTCCAGTATCAGCAGATCTTTCAGGATAAGCATCCCACGGATCCACAGTCAAGATGTCAAATGACCAAGGACCAAAGATTAACAACGTTAAGAAATATCTGTCATTCTGGGGAGGTGAGCTACGATGATAAAACTTGATTGATTCGCCTGACTTTCGCTGACCGTCGTGTAGCATCCCCCGTTCCCTCCACCGTCCTCGCAACCCTGATCCTCCCACAAGCCATTCGCCCAATAAAATGGCTGCAGCTACCATTTCCTCCTATACTCATGTTCGCCACATGGATCAACACTATGGGTGCTAAAGCCGATTGTGCAGGCCAGACAGCTTCTTATTCAGCTACATACCTGCTGCTGTCAAGACGCCAAACGTTTCCACCTCTACCTACTTTCAACGTGAGGCGGGTTCTCAGATTGGGGACCCAGGGGATGTGTATCTTGAATGTGCTAGGTTGTGGATATTATTATATAACGAATGATGGGTTCAGACTCGATGACCCGAGTCCATACGATGAAAATCAAAATCCGGCGGATCGTTGAGCGGACAGTCTATGGACCAAGTATTCGATGAATACACTCTAGCATGACCTAAACCTATTACAGACGTATTTGTATAATGATGAGATACAAGACGTCGAAGTAATAAAGAGATGGCGGGATTTTGGAGACTCGCCGGGTCTATCTGCATAGCATTTGAGGCAGCGACTATGTATCAACACTAAGGATGAAAATGTGGCACAATAATGTCAACTTGTCAGGTCCAATTGAGGCTCAATCACATTCTGATGGCTAGATTTGTTCGAATATCCGAATATCAAACTCGGTTTTATGGCGCTAGCCATTTCAGGTGGTGGCGCAACGCGCCTTTGTTTACGGATATTCCCGTCGCCCACCTGTGAACTTCAAGATCCCCTCAATTTGGCTTATCGACCAATCGCACGCCTTTGTATGCACAAGGTTTGAACTTGTTATGACTTGCATGAAGGTCTGGACATGTGGTTGTTTGCGAAGTCCATCCCTCGACCACTCTAGCACCTTACGGTTCTTTCAAAGCCCTCACAAAGTACCATACTTTGCACTGATACGCCCAGAATAGCATTCTCCTATTACATCAAGTCGACCTGAAGGCTTGCTTATGGGATAAAGGGCTATCTGCACTGCTCATCTCTCGGCATTGACCCGAAAATTAGTTCCGAATGCAGCGATAATGAGGTGACAAACACAAACGGGAAGGCGTACCTGCTGCTATGTCCTCACTGCCTTATACTCCAACTCGCGTCCTACCGGCGTCTTCTCGAGATGAGCTCATTTATGTCTTCCAGCCGGCTTCAGCGTCAGGCAAAGGCCAGCTACTTGCGGTCAATACAAGTACAAAGCTCGAAAATACCCAGCTTCCCTACTCTACTATAACGCCCGACCTTCCGTTCTTAAGAGATGATAGCGCCGCCTACATACCAGTGTCTGATAGCAATGGCAACCTTTTGGTATACGGGGGAGACTGCAGTAAAGGGTCTCAAGGTTCGTCCCTCTGGCAAATCAAGAATGCGAGTACTAGTCTTCATGGCAATGGAACATGGCAAGAGCTGGACTTGTCCACGGACGCCACAGCCCAAAGTCAGACCCTTGACGGAGCCAATCATTTGGCCGCTGGCATAGCGTTCTCGTCGGTCCTCGACTCGACAACCAGCATGTATATTTTTGGTGGAATGTGCCCAAATTCAACCCAGCTATCTTCAGAGACTTGGACCGGGTCATCTACATATTCGAACCTTATGCTCTCTATTGCGCCAAAGCAGCCCTTTGCGTCATCTGCCACGCCTTCCCCATCAGCCTTCGAATTGAGCCTACCTGCAAGTAGGGGACCTCCTGTGCCTGAAGCTGGTTTCACTATCACTCCTCTCAATCCAACGTATTCCTCGTCTAATGACAATGTGTCACAATCGCAAAATCAAAACTTTATATTGTTGGGAGGTCATACCCGCTTAGCGTTCATCAACATGTCACAATTGGCTTTGTTCTCGTTGCCTGAACAGAGCTGGTCCTTTCTCCCTGTCGATTTACCACCGGGCACTCCAAACACAGATCTTGCTGTCCGTGATTCCAATGGTATCGATTCGCGATCGGGTCACACAGCGGTCTTGACCTCGGACGGTAAAAGAGTGATCATGTTTGGAGGCTGGGTCGGAGATATTACTCAGCCAGCAGATCCGCAATTAGCCATTCTTGAACTTGGTCAAGGATATGGTGGGTCAGGCGATTGGCAATGGAGCATTCCCAGTACAAGTGGACCGAGTCTGGCAAGTGGAACGGGTATCTACGGCCATGGTGCGGCGATGCTGGACGGGGATATTATGCTAATCACTGGGGGATATAACATACCTGTCCCAACTGATTCGAAGCGCAAGCGACAAAGTCCAGCAATCAACTCGCAGACGTACTTTCTCAACACGACATCGAACGCATGGGTAACAAGCTATGAGCATCCGAAAATCAGAACCCAATCTCCCGCGAAGGAAAATGATGATTCAAATCGAGCAGCCAAACGGGTAGGCTTAGGAGTCGGACTTACTTTTGGAATACTTGCTCTCATTGTCGCTGTTGTTGTCTTTTTCTGGTATAGCAAACGCCTCAAAAGAAAGCGTGATGCGCGCAACGAGGAGCTGCGTCGCCTGGCACCCGGTGCGCAGACTTTGCAATTACCAATGGCAAATGACGACCTACATCATAATAGTATGAGCGAAGTAGGAGTTATCGACGGATCAGCTGGCATTCATCGCCCGACAAGTGTAGGCATTCCTGCTTTTCACCGCGAGCCAGAGGCCGAAAGAACAGGTCTATTGTTCGAAATCCCAAGTCCAACGCGCGGACTTCGGCGGTCTCTGCACTCACGTGGAATGTACCAACCTGCACCACGATATGATAATGGCCGTAGGACCCCGGACTTTATCAGTACCATTCACCCCATTGACGAACGTGACGAATACGATGAGCACTTGAACGGCGGCAGCCACTCGAATGAACATGATACAATACAAAGGAGAGACTATGATCTTCTGAGCAACGTCCCCGTTCTTGATCCATTTCAGGATCCGCACGGTGGCTCGAGAAGTCCTTCGCCTCAATCACCACAGCAAAGGGCTCGTGAAGTTCAGAGATGGGTTAGCGACTGGACTGCGGCGGATGCCCTGATGCACCAGCAGGGAGGACGTTTGTCGCCAGAGAAGACCGACCGGACCTCATCGACACTCAGCGACCAATCTGCGATCTCAATGCTATCCTCCAGCTCGTTTCAGGCCTCTGCAGGTACAGTAAGCAGGACTATGTCTCAACGATCTGGGGGTCTTTTCAGCCTCGGACCGTTCAGATCCACTAATGATACTACGCCTTTCGATATGCAGGGCCCATCACATCAACAGAACAGCCCCGAGCACCGCCGCTCCCGCTCGTTGACTTTGTATTCCAACACAGAACGTAGAGCTGAAACACCGACATCGTTTGTGACAGCCAAGACTTCTGTTGCCCAACCTCGACCGGAAGGTGCGACAGCACTGCTCGGTGAAGACGAAGGCGAATCATCTCCTACCAGAATGCAAAGTCGTGCAAGAGGACTGATGGGGAGTTTGAGACGCGCCTTTACGGGAGAACGTAGCCATTCGGCATCTCCAGAGCATCCTCAGAGCACCTCCTCTTCCCCCACGAAGGTTGGGTATACGGAGCTGAGCATGCCTCAACGGTCTGCAAGCGCGAGTGGTATGCTCTGGAGACATAGACAAGGTGCCAAGGACTGGGACGCTGGTGGTGGTACTCCGGCGGCTGGTCCGGCAGGGAAGACCGGTGATGAGGAGTGGGATGTTGAGTCTGCAGTCGCGAACCGAGTGGTGCAAGTCATGTTCACGGTTCCACGAGAAAAGCTTCGAGTGGTGAATGCAGGGCCGGAGGGAGACGGGGCAAGCATCTTAAGTGCACAGGAAATAGCCGAGACGACGATGATGGAAGGTACGCAGGACAGCACAGCAGGCGGAGAAAGCAAAGGCAAGGAGAAAGAAAAGTGAAGAAAAGCATGCTTTGAGCGATCTAGCGGGGCGTCTCCATGCATTGGACACATGGTGGTCGCATTTGCCATTTGGGTGGATCATTATTGTAGGGAAGGGTGCAACTGGGAAGAGAATTGTACAGAATGATTTCAAGCCTCGTATAGATTCAATGGTGAGTTATTGAATGATGATTGTCTGGCATATTCGGGCGCAAGTCTGCCTTGTTGAAAGATCAGTTGTCGCCGTGTCGGGCTACTGGGGCTGTGCAGAGCGAAGTGCGTGCACACAGACAGAAGATGCTCTGGCGTTGAAACATAAAGCGAGCACAAACCGTTTATGATTGAGGCTGAGTCGCAGCAACAGCAATATGACATGGACAACCGTCGTCTGTTACGGCTGTGCCTCTGGCATCATTCCTCTTTCCACTTTCCCTCCCGCGACCCAAGTAAAGTGAGGTAAGTCGCATGAGCACGGGCATGAGCACCTTGAAGTAGAATTAGCACCAGCCAAACGATAATAGATTATTGTACGATTGGGTAGTCGCTGAGACGGGTTTGCTGCTTCTTTTTGGCGCTCTTATTGTCACGTTCTTACCGAGGCAAGGATCCCAATCCTTCCTCCCCAGTCCTCGCCATTCTATTTCCTCTATCCACTAAGCCCGATTGGGCCAGCAAGCGGACGTTCACCTGATGCGCTGACTAACCGCCCGATACTCGTCTCACGATTCACACCTCAACGACGCTCTATCTTTAGGTGGACATAACATAGGGCAGACGCAGGTAATCGCAATGCTACTATGCTAACAATATTGAAACACCAACTCTCGTCAATTCGTCATTACACTCTGACGGCGTCTGGCTCAGCGCCGGACTGCCGATCTGCTCGACCTTTAAGCGCCCTCCTCCTCTTCTCCACTGCGCTATCCGTCTCGCGATAAGTCACTAACGAATCCTACGGACGTTGATATCCCATCTTTCCTCCGACTGACCCAGTGAGCAGGGGAAGAGGCACTTGCCAGGTACGGCGCAACGAGAACCCCTCCCTGCGCTACAATAACACTTTAACACTATCTTTGCGCAGCCACCTCATGGCTTCGATCCTTCCTTCAGCCTTATCCGGATGTTCACGCCAGCTAATCCGTCAGCGTGCGCTCTAGGGCCCCCCTCCTCCCTCCTCCACCTGTCAGCGTGAGGCGTTGCCGCTCTCTCTGGAGTTTCACAATCTTGACCTTGCATATCGAATCTCTCCTCTCACTTCTGCGCTCCCAAACCCCGTAATACTGAGAACCTCCTGGATGAGACTGTGCGACGCGGTGCCGTAACACCAGGAAACATTTCCACAAGAAACCTTTGGGCGATCTGTTTCGGAAGCAAGATCTCATTTATTACAAATGCCCGTCCAGTTGTGACTTCGCCCCCCTACAAACAAGAAACCTCACCTTCACGGACGTGGAAGAGTGCGATATATCTGCAACACCGATCACCTAAACGCCACGAAACAACATTCTCCATCCTGAAACAAACGCCTGTTTGCTTTTCGCTTGCGAATGAGCTTGAGGAGGCATTGTTCCTCTAGTTCACAAAGCTCGGATCTTCTATAAGCCCAGTTGCACAGCCCCCTCATAAACACAATTATTTCACCCCAAGCTTTCAAGACCTCCTATCCTGCCTGAACCTCATTAGGTCTTGGTGTCACAGCCCGCTCGGTCCGTAAAGTTTGATCCAATCGAAAGCCTTGAAAGGAATTGTGTACATGTAAGTCACGATGGACCCGCATACAAGAGGACGATCGCCGTCGGCAGGCCAGCAGAATAGCCAGCATATAAGATCTTCACCTTCGCCACACAACTTCACTACTCAAGTCTCTTCCTCCACCTTCGAGAAGGACCCGTCCAGCCAGATCTATACGTCACAGCCCTATCCAACCGACAACCTGTCGCCCTCGGCAGGTGGGACCCTCGACTACAATCTGCAGTCTTCCTATTTAGATGCTGGTGCGCAAGCACAACCGTTCCAGCAGTTTGGTGACTCCAGCTTTGATCAACCCTTTCAACAGAATGGTATAATATCGAACGGCCAACAAGCACAACCAACAGCGCAGCAGCCAGATCAACAATATCAAGCCGATATGCTGAGCGTCGAGACTGGTTTCGGGGCCTTTCCCCATCACCAAGGGTTTTCCAAGCAGCAAGATTTCATACTCGACCCTCAGCTTCAAGCTGCTGGGCAGCGTCATGACCAATCCATCAATCCTGCCGATCTCATGAGCAACATACCCTCCCCACAGCATCTGACAAATACGCCTCCAAATGTCTTGAACATGAATAATCAGCATTCAGAACCCACATCACCGTTCAGTCAGTCAGCTCCGCAACGGCCTTCACCACACCACTCCAGACACTCTTCGCTCGATCCCTCCGCCGCCGTATTTCCCAATGGTCAACAGCAGCAAGATTGGACTGGCATGATGCAAGGTCCACAGTTCCAGACCCATCGACGTGCTCCTTCCGAGTACTCAGATGTCTCCTCCTCTGCAGCTCCGTCGCCTTTCCTGGGTCAGTCGGATAATTTTGACCCTGCCGACCAGAATCCTTCCCCGTTGTTGAACCCGCAGCAAGATCAGCCGCTATACACCGAGGGTCTCGGGATAGAGAATTTCAATATCTCCGACCCACAGACAATGCCGAGTCCCAGACACAGTCCTTACGTTTCGCCTCTCATGTCACCTCAAACCGGCATGATGATAGGTGATCCATCAAGCATGCAATTACCAGCCTCGCGACAGTCCTATAATGGCGGATTAATGCAGGAAGTATACGCAAAGCAAGAACAGTTTCCTTCTTTGCCACCAGAGCAGAGGCTGCCGTCAAATTATCATGGCCAAGCTGATCAATACGACGTGCCGCAAATCAACGTTGAGTCTGCTCCCAATACACAGCAAATGTCAATGGCGAATGCTACATCGCCAAGTGATATGGATGCGTTAAGCCCGCCCGAGCGTGGTAAGCAAAGCTTCTTTTTCTCTTGATACGATACTAATGGAATGCAGCGGGACGAAATCGTGGTCGTAATAGGTCACTTTCCGATACTCATGTTGCCCGCTCTCCCTCTCCAAGCTCCATTCATTCGGCCCTTGGCTCCACTGACGGTTCAATGGACCGCCGCGCTCTCTCCCCGCAATTTTCCCCTGGCAACTCCCGCTCGCCATCCCCAGATCCCAGAGGCCGTCGTTCATCCACTTCATCCATTCCAAACAACAACCGTGACTACATTCTCGAGCTTGCAGGTGATCGTCCTGCAGCAGCAGGGCGCCCAGAGCGGGTTCAAAAACATCCAGCAACTTTCTCGTGCCACCTGTGCCCTAAGAAGTTCACCCGCGCCTATAACCTCCGCTCACATCTCCGAACGCACACGGATGAACGGCCATTTGTGTGCACAGTCTGTTCGAAAGCGTTTGCTCGGCAGCATGATCGCAAGAGGCACGAAGGACTTCACAGTGGAGAGAAGAAATTTGTTTGCCGTGGAGAATTAGGCACAGGAGCGACATGGGGCTGCGGTCGACGATTTGCCCGTGCTGATGCGCTTGGGCGGCATTTCCGTAGCGAAGCTGGCCGCGTGTGCATCAAGCCGTTGTTGGATGAAGAAGCATTGGAAAGGCAGAAGATGGACGAGCACCTGATGCAGAGCATGAGTGGTGGCATGGCCCCGCAAGCTCCCATGAACGGCATGCCGATGCAACAACCATTTGCCTTTCCTGCGGCTCTGCTGCAACAATTCCCTGCGCTACAAGGGCTGCAGTGGGATCAGCTGCAAAACGGACCTGACGATGACGCAGGGGATATGAGTGGGAGAAGTAGCTTTGACGCTAGCAGCGGAGGCGACTTTTACGACGACGAGGACGGTGGCAGTGGCTATGTCAGCGACAATCCAATGACTTACGGGCAGGGAGGAGGTTGGGACCATGGCTGGAAGAGCGATATTGAACCGTGAGCGAGTGAACAACGGCGTTGGCTAGCTTGTATATTGAGCATATAAGATACCCACTCCTTTGCTTGGCTTTAGATGACATATGAGAGTATGAGCAACGGCGTTGTGGCTGCCATATGGCATATGAGCTTTCATTCACAGAGACACACAGAACGATATTGCACTGAACAAAACGATTGCGAGGCTTGCCATGTAGCTATTTATCATGAATCATAGCAAGGTCTCGTGTACGCCGCTGGTGCCTCGCCTGTCAAATATCGTTTTGGGGTGAAAACCATACCCAAGAGGGTCTCAAGAAGGCCAAAAGTAGAAATTGAGCAGACAAAGTTGATAGATAAAACGGGGATCCAAGGTCCGGGGTTCCTATCGCCACCGCTAAGCCTAGCAGGCACCTTTTCAGCTCTTGTACTACTGTGGCCTACGCCAGCCTGCGTCAATCCTGGGGGTGAGAACAAAGGAAGTTGAAACAGGGCCGTAGAGTACGATATGAGTGATCATGGAGGAATAGTGCTGGAGATGCTGAAGGGCATCTACTGCTAGCGTCGACGCTGCTGCCCCTCTAGACCGTGCCAAGGCTATAAAGGCCCGTCGTTGCCTTGGTGCAGGTGGTGGCCACTGGCCAGCCCAAGCAGCAAGCGCTTCTCTTGCTCTCTGCCCAGTCACCAGTCACGAACTAGCTCAGGCCAGCCTTTTGCGATAACCCGAAAGCGATCATCAACATTTTTCAATCAACTACACCCCCATACAACCACAAATACTGGCCTCTGCTGCTACATCTATTTCTTGCTCTCTCCATAGAGCCCTCCCTTCTCTTCTCTTTCTTCCCGCCGATCGAAGATCTCTCGCACTGCCGGAGTGAGAGGAAGTTCAGCCCTTGACAACTCGCACGACCAAGCTCTGCGGCACTTTGAAGGTACGTCTGCAGCTCGGCTGGCATATGCTCAACAACGTGCATATTACCTCAACGGTGCCCCACATCCGTTATCTCCTCCCTTCCTACAAACGCCTGTACCTCTCGACTACCTCACAACGGACAGCTGACGTGTGCTTTGTTCTGACAGCAGAATGGCCGAAATCCGACGCAAGCTCGTCATCGTCGGTGACGGTGCCTGCGGAAAGACATGTCTGTTGATGTAAGCCCCTCCCTCTCCTTCGATCAAAAGTCTCCGCTCTCCTAGATGATCCTGGATTGCTAATATGGCTCTACTGGCAGTGTTTTCTCCAAAGGCACCTTCCCAGAGGTAAACTTCTTCCCTACACCGCCCGATAGATCTTCACCGAAAATAAATAGTCTATTCATGATAACAACGAAATTACGATGGCGGGCTTGCTAGACAAGATGGCTAATTCTCCATCCCTAGGTCTATGTCCCCACCGTCTTTGAGAACTATGTGGCCGATGTTGAGGTGGATGGAAAACATGTTGAATTAGCACTCTGGGATACGGCCGGTCAAGAAGATTATGATCGTCTCCGACCTCTATCATATCCAGACTCGCACGTCATCTTGATTTGCTTTGCTGTCGACTCGCCAGATTCACTTGACAATGTACAAGAGAAGGTACGTACGGATAAAGGACAGACACTGCCTTGAGAAGAACAATCATCATCCATGAACACGATCATGATCGAAAGAGCCTCTACTAATCATGGTACTTCAACAGTGGATCTCGGAAGTCCTTCATTTCTGCCAGGGACTACCCATCATCCTAGTTGGATGTAAGAAAGATCTCCGTTACGACCAGAAGACTATCGAAGAGCTACATAAGACATCACAGAAGCCGGTGACACCGGAGCAGGTACGTGCTACACTCCACACCTAACCTCATTATTTGCATCTGAATAAATACATATATTGGATGTACAATGCTGATCCATATGATTCTACAGGGTGAAGAAGTGAAGAAGAAGATTGGTGCCCGACACTATCTCGAATGCTCAGCCAAGACCAACGAAGGTGTTCGAGAAGTCTTCGAACACGCCACCCGCTCCGCTCTTCTCTCCAAAAAGGGCCACCACGGCGATCGCAAGAGCAAAAAGTGCCGCATCTTATAAACCCACCTTTCAACTCCAATCGTTACACAGTATGGTTCGAGAGCTTCAGGCAGATCCAACATCATATGCACATTTTTTTTAATCGATGATGTTCTCTTTCTGGAGCACAATCCGGGGGTTTGGAAGAAGGAGAAAGCGGGCTACATTGATAAAGAGATTATTGTTCGCTTGTAATGTGGTGGATGTGTTGGTGGGTGGGAGGGGAGATAGGAGGTAGGCTGTTGTTGTTGTTGTTGCTGCCGTTCGACAAAGATCTTGTTGCTGGACTTCACCCTTTTGAGTCTGCTGGGTCTCTTTGTTGGATGGATGCGTGCGTGCGAAGGGTTCAGGGCATATGATATGTATGGGAGGAGGAGCGTCTGGGCGAATCACTTCATCTTACTTACACCAACTGCTATTTACATCCATCTTTTAGCCTCCCCTCCTCCTCTCATCGTCGTTCGTGTTTCATTACAGAATAGCAGGAGCATTTGAGATTTCATTGCGGAGAAGTTGATTCTGCTGAACACTTGGTTTTCTCGGTCGATGTAACACAAGCCGGAGACTTCACTTCATACTACAGGAAATGACACCCTTCCATCCTCACTCTTGAGACTGATCCCACAAAGCCTTCTTATAACCCTCCCCGCCGGCAGAGATTGACCATCCAAGATTCCATATACCACACTTACCATCCGATCCTCTTCTCTTTAAACAAATGCCCGCCCCCTTCGCCAAATCTCCCCTTCCCTCGCCCTGCTTTTCCGTTCCTCCACTTCCACATTTCACTTCACCCTTTCCCCATACCGCCAGTTTTTCTCCTCCATTCATGCAGTTCACATCTTGAGTGGTTTCTTATTGCCCTGTCTAGTGGTTTAGTCTACAGGGCTAACATTCATAACTCATGATCCTGTATTAATCTGCGTGAGACGAGGAAGGCTGGGAAGGAGGAGTGGTGGTGGGGGTCTTGGGTGTCATATCTAGTTTAATTCTCTTGAGCTAGGTTGCAGGAAGGGACAAGACTTGGGATGAGGCTTTTGGGTGGGTGGACGGACCGATGATTTGGAAGTGAGAAAAGGCGAGGTGACAGTAGCGACGTGGAAGAGGTGCAAGCAGGGGATAGTTTGGATTGATGCTTGTAGAAGTATCTTAAAGAACAAGGGGCTTGAGGATGAAGAAAACTCTACTTGTATATGATGAGAGACAGGATAGTGGGAAACACCGGACTGTCTTAGATAACTAACGATATCGACGCATGCATGCCATATCGACCATACCAGCGCGATCATGGAAAAATAATCAAGTATGTAAAATACAGGAAGAAATTTCCTGGATGTATCACAGCTTCGCCTTCAGTCCAGCTCCTGGATTGCTGGCTTCAGGGTTCAAAACCACATTACCGGTCTTTTCGCCGCCTTCGCCGAAGAAAATGACCTCGACTGTGAGATCGTCTCTGGTATGTTCGTTAGTATTTGCGTTTTCAAGTTCAAGAGGGGGAGGGATGGGGTGGGTGCTCACCTATACCGTCTCGAGTAAGGGCTGATCAGGCTCAGCAATGAGCATACCAGATCTCTGTCTTTTCCTCCAAGCGCGTTCCTGACGAGGTGCGTGGCGACATTCTTGTCCTCTGTTACGAATCGCTCGTCGCTTTCTCTCAGATCATATTGTTCCTGTCGGATTGGCCCTCTTTGCCCGCCTTCGCCGTCTTTTCCAAGTACTTGTGGTCGTTCCACGGGCAGAGCTGCGTCTGCGGCACTGGCGGTGAAGGATTTAGCCCAAGCAATTGGACTGGAGGAGCCGTCGCTTTGCTGGTGTTGTTTCTCGAGCCATTGTCCTACTAGGCCCACAGCTTCTTCGTTGGTGAGCATCTCCCATAATCCGTCGGTTGCTAGGACGACGAAGTCGCCATTCTCGGGCTCGATTTTTGTAGTCGTGATGATAGGCTCAGCGGTGACGTATGGTGGTGACTTCAGTCGTGAGGCAGGGGTCCGTCCAAAGAATTTGGCTTTTATCTGTTCCTGTAATTTCTTGGGCCATTTGTAGCTGGCGTCACCAAAGGCTCTGGACGGCTCCAATTGCCCTAGAATGCGGCCGTTAAGGGTGACTTCTGGCTCACCTGGGTGTTCTTGCCTAAGTCGAAGGATTTCTGAGGGTGTGCCTCCTGTTTGATCTTCGGATAGAGGTGTGGCTGTCCATTTCCCTGAAGCGGCCTTTCGGCCCAAAACAGCGCGGGAATCACCAGTGCAGGCTGTGCGGAAAAGATTGGAGGAGCTGTCGTAGAAGGAGAGAAGAGCACAAGCACCTGAGAGGGCGGGAGCGAGAAGTTCTGTAGAGGCGAGCTTGGTCTTGGAGGATAGAGCTTTCTGAACTGATGTGTGGACTATATCACGGTCAAGAAGGAGGAAGCCACGCTTGATAGCTTCATCAATAGATTGCGGGGTTGGGACTGTGAGAGAAGGGTCGGTCGCGGCAGATTTGTAGACAGGATTCAACTCTCGGGCAACGAAGGAGATTAGTCGTTGCCGAAGCTTCGCAGAGGTTGTCCAGCCGCTATGGCCGTCAAAGACGCCCCAGAACATCCAATCGCTGCTTGAAGCTCCATCTTTAGTTGGTGTCAAGGACGAAGGGACTTCGACTATCTTCTCCGCATGATCATCCTCTATAGGGTTGTTGCTTGGTACTTTGACGATATCGTACCGGAGAACCCCTCGTCCCCTTCCCACCGTGTACGATTGCTCGTACTTACGGAGCTTTTGTGTGGCTTGTTCTGGTGACAGCTTCTCCATTCGATAGTTTCCATCTTCCTCGGTCTTTTTTGTCAAGGGTACCTCCTCCGCTAGATCTGTGAGGAAGAAGTTCTCATGATCAACGACGATTGAGGTGTACGGATTGGAAAGGGTTTCGATCGAAGCTGTGGTGCGTTCCGACGGCTGGGATAGTATGGGAGATGATGCGCTAGCTGTGTGATACTGTGACAAGGAAGAGGTGGGTGTGGTGTTGAGTGAAGAAGGACCATAGGCTGGGTGCTGGTCTTGGCCTGGTTCTCGTTGATAGTACCAGACGCCAGAAGCTACCACGGAGACGGCAGCAGCAATCGAAAAATTTCGAAACAAGATCGAGGACTGAACTATTTGAAGGGGGGCATTTCTGGGCAGTAATGCACCTGGTCGCCGAGGATATTTTGATTGATGATTCAAGAATGAGTAATTTTTGGCAAGGAGTAACTTGCGAAGAGATCCTCGTCGAGCAGTCCGCAGTGCTTGCACAGCTGCTCGACGCATTGAAGAGACTACTAGCTGCCTAAGGGCAATTTCCACCAGGTGAAAGACATTGAGCTGGCCTGACCGGTGGGATCTTGGGGTATTGATAGCACCAAGAGCACGTGAGGCGGAGGATCTGCGTCAGCCCTACCGACCAGATTAGATTAGATCGGGCGTCATTCGCCTCGCGCCCAAATCATGACGCTCGCCACATGGTCGTAATAATAACTAATGACTCTTTTCTGTTTGTGTTAGACGCTAGCAAGTGAAAGAAGTCTCTCTTCATTCCACAGGCTGAATTCTACTTCCAAGGCATCATATTCCGTGCAAAAGTCTTGGCTTCATCCTAGCCAGCCAGCTTGCTTATTAAAAATCAAGTATGTCGAGCAGGGCGCTTCGCAAATTACAGCGTGAACAAGAAGAAAGGAGAAATGCACAGCTTCTTGATGAACAAGAAGAGGATTCAGCATCAGAATATGCTGAAAATCCTACGGCTAAGCCGTTAAATGCCTTCGACATGTTGATCACCAGCGAAGAGGAGGAAGAGGATCATGATGCCGGAGGAGTCGACTTAGACTCTCAAGGCGTTGAGAACCCAACAAGTGAGATATTAAAACAGCAAGATGAGCATACTTCAAAGTCGAAGGGTCAGAAAAAGAAAAGGAAGGGCAAAAAGAAAGTGAAAACCGCAGAGCAGGATAAAGTGAAGTCAGAGAAAGGTCGTGTCGATGGTCAAGAGTCAGAACTTGACGAAATTGATAAAGCCTTGCAGTCCCTCTCCACGCAAGGCGCAGCAGACGCGACCACATCTGTAAACGCCTTGATCGACGAAAGTAATGCACATTTATGCCGTTTGCTTGCCGTAGAAGCCAAGCATCTAAATGCACTTAATGAGATGAAAAGACTCTTTGGTAATGTCGTCTTGGAAAATGATACTGAAGCGACTCCTGGTCAGAGAAGACGCGGTAGAGGTCCGCAGACCGTTGATCTGGGTGGGGCTTTGGCCGCAAGGAACAGTCCTGTATCCAGAGGCCAGGGTTTGAAGGGCTTAGCGCTCAAGAGGAACCCTCTGATGATGGGTAAAGAAGAGTGGCCTCAAGCTACAAGTGGAGGACTGGGTATGGAACTAGTTGAGAAGCTGGAAGACGGAACCGTCGAATATGCGTTTGTTCATAGCAACATCTATCAAGGAACTCAGCGAGAATTTGAAGCCTGTGTTGCATCAATGGATCCTCAACGCTTGATTAACATGCTGATGTTTCACCGTAAGATCCCTTGCCATGTTGATTGTTCAAATTATTTATTGACAGAATCCAGCGTATCATGTGTCGACGCTCCTTCAGGTCTCAGAGGTGGCGAAACAGCAAGGCGATCACTCAGTTGCTGGTGATCTTCTTGAGCGAGCTTTGTTCACATTTGGCCGTTCTGTTCATTCAACTTTCACCCACAATATATCAGGGGGCAAAGCTCGACTAGATTTCCGGAAACCTGAAAATCGTGAATTCTGGCTTGCAGCATGGCGCTATGTGAGAGACCTGGGCCAACGAGGCACATGGCGAACAGCCTACGAATGGGCAAAGCTTATACTAAGTCTTGACCCAGAAGGTGACCCCTATTGCATCGCAAAGGTCATCGATCAGCTTGCCCTTCGAGGTGGTCAGTCAGAGCATTTCGTCAGTCTCAGCCAGCATTCATTCTTCAACAAGGACTTATGGTTAGATTTGCCAAACATTTGTATTTCAACGGCCCTAGCGCAATATCGACTCAAACAAACACAAGCCTGCCGAGCTACTTTAACGCAGGCTGTTTCCCATTACCCCTGGATATTTGTTCGCTTGCTCAAGGAACTCAACATCGACCATATACCGAAGTCGATTTGGGGAAAGACACCCCGCACAGATCGGGAGAAATTTGATGCCGAATACTATGTACTGGGTGCCAAAGATCTCTGGTCTACCCCTGAAGCGATCTCATTCCTCGTTGAAGTTGTTGAAACCGCCCCTCCCAGCGCGCTGACCCCTGAAAACGACAAAGCTATTTCTATAGACGAAGCACGAGTCACCATACTCTCAGGCGCCAACAATCTGATCAATCTGATACCTCGTGAGTTTACAACTGCACCGTCGACATCTTCTGACCCGCTTCCACCAATTGATAACAGCCCCTCTTATGAACCCGCGGGTTCACAGCGAAATGTTTCGCAAGGCGATGCAGAGTTAGAGGCCGCTTACGCCGACCTAGATCAAGTTGATCCAAGATTTGCACCTGAGGAGTCAGATGACATCGATGCTGCTCACGCCCCTGCTTCCGGCGGGTTGGACATATTTGGCCGCGTGGCTCAATTTTTTGGCGGCATAATGCGTGGTACTTCTGCACAAGACATTCCTCCGGAAGCAGCGCTAGCACAGATGCTCAGAGAAGAAGGTGCCGAAGAATTATTAGAGCAGACCGGCCTACGAGACTACATGATCCAGCATCAAGGTGAAACAAACGAACACCTTGACCCTGTAGCACACATACCAGACCCTCCATCGGAAGAAGCTCTCGACGAAAGTAATGAGCAGACTGACCGTGTGGAGCCGAGTGAGCAAACAGAACAAGATGAACAGACGAAATTACAGCACTTCCTCGCCGGCTCAGGTATCAACGGATTGAAGGCATACGCCGAGAACCACGCTGGTCATACTGTAGCTTGGGGTCAGCCTGAAGGCGACAGATTACTGGACGAGTACGCTCAGAAACTTGTCAGGCTACGAAATCAAAGGACTCGACAATTTCTCCTCCGCTATGCATTACCTCAAGGGGCTGGCGAGGAGGTTAAGCGCATGGTCGAGTCCAAAATGCGATGAGGTAGAATAGTAAAACGTCGGATAAGCTGAAACCTTGGGTATTATGCGACACCATGAAATACCCAGACTCTTACGTACCTCATGGCGGCCGTCAATCAATGCTACATACCATTAAGCAGCTTACTTGCCTACCTCGCACTCGTGAAGTAACCTCCAGCAAAACCATCGAATAGGTAATCCGAGAATGGCGACCGCTTCTTTTACATGACGTTTTGAATTTGTCGCACAGACGATGTCCGCACCTTTGGCCGCCGGCTGTCTACAAGAGCATTTTGAAAGATCATAATGACGTCCTTCTGACCCTATCTTGCTATGATTATGTGTTGTCGAGTGTCTGCAAGGCCTCTTTTCTCGATCAAAATTTTGGGAAGTCATCTCTTTCTTACTTGGCCCCTGCATATCAGCCCATATTTTACCACGTGCGGTTCTACATGATTGAATGTCAGGATTCGGGAGATCGCCGGAAGGGTGGGACTGGAAGGAAGCAGCTACGACCATGTGGGTGGGTCAAACGCCGCATATCACATCGTGAGACTTCAATTTACCCTCAATATCCTTAAGAGCCGCATTTCTAACAATCCCATGTCTTCTGGTAAACGCGCTGTGATTTTGCCGACGAAAGAAAATCCCCGAACCACCACGCGCTTCCTATTTTAGCAAATTTGCATCGATAAGATTATATTGATGCTACAATTCGACTCAAAGCAGACGATCCGACGTCGGTGGCTGTCATTGTCTAGGATCTTGGTAAGAAGCGGAATCATTATATAAAATCTTTCATCATGCCCTCACGAAATGTCACTCTCCATTGTACTAAAGCCTTTTTGCCTCCAAATTACAGACGCAGTCACCTTAGAGGGAAAGATAAGCAATGTCTGGACTTACGATCCCGCTTCTCTTGTCTTTCCTCCTGCCCCTTCCTGCCCGCACCTTGCCCCAGCCTGCAGCACCCTCTCCTTCCCTCAACTCGACGACCCTTTCCACCATCAAGCAAGAGTGTGTGAAAACCCAGGAAGGACTTACATACTTTCCCCTCCCTGAAAGCGACTGTCAGCGCGAGATTCAATGGCTCCGCACGCATCCTAAGAACATCGACATCAGCCCCAGCAATCTCCCTCTCCGCATCAACAACGCTCCGGAATCCGCCTGCGCAATATATATCTTTGCGGACGATCCTACCGCTTCCGGCAGTACTACAACTCAAGAACTTGCGAAAGAATTGGATGACATAATGACTGCCTGCCATCAATCGGCGTTAGGAGGCCAGAACCCTCTACTCGGAACACAAAATCTCGGTGTTAAGGTGGGTAATTCTCGGAATATCTTGCAGGATGGGGAAGACGTTGCGGGTCAGGAGAGCGTGAATCAGCAAGTTGGTGCACTTAGTGGACCTACGACGCCGAATTATAAGAGGGAGGCCGGAGGAATGGGGGTGATACGGCCACCTCCACCTAAACCTCCCGGCAGGGCGTCTCCGACGGGTGTTGCAAGGCCAGTGGGGAATGGTGCGCCGGCAGATGGGAATGAGCAGGTTGGCGCGTTGAGCGGGCCTACTTTGCCGGATTATAAGGAATGATGGGGTCTGGAATCTTAGTCAATAGAATAATACAAGAGGAGGTGATGTATGTGGGTATCGTGGACTCGGACGAGGACATGTGTACGAATAGAGCTAAAAGCAGATTGACGTACAAACTGCGATCTTATCATGATTCTCAATGCCGCTTTCGTGTCATCGTTGCCCTTAATGGAGAGAAGCCTGTTCTGGTATTGTTATTGCGTTGTCCCTCCCTATATTGGGTCTTCGGGTCTGAAATGACACAACCATTCCCACAACAACAACGACAAGAAGCTAAGCAGACATATGAACACCATCAGAGTACTTAAGGTGGTGCGAGGGCTGCTCTGTTGCAAAATAGCGGCTCGCTGTTCGTGACCTAAGTCAAGCCAAGTTTTCAACACCCAAGCTGGTTACTTTATGTTCGGGGTTTGCTATTCTTTCTCGAGGAAAAGCTGAGGCTTGAATGATGATATTTTGTAAAGACTGAATTGGAACGTAAGTGATATACTTCATGAGCATTACACATATCTCGTCATTAAACGCGCCTCTGTTTTTGATTGGTATACAAAAAAAGCCAAACAAAAGCTTCATCACGGTATTTTTACAAAGTTGATTAATTGCAATAAAACGGTACGGTGACAAATGTATGACTTGTTCATCCACAAGCATCATTTCCAGAGCCTTTCGCGTACTTGCGATAAGTCTCATGACATCGTTTGCCGATATACTATCCATCCAATTGCAATCTCCCTTCCGAGGTCCAGCCATCCTTGGTTTCAAATGGTTCGTCTCAAGAAGGCGGGAGCGCCTGATAGCGTCTCGAGTATTTATCGAGGGGATCCACCTACAAAGTTGCTACATCCTTCTCCATTGGTGACGACTTCCAATTTTTCCTTTGGATCATCAAACCGACTCTTGAACACCTTTCGTAATATTTGCCGAGCATGCCAAAATCAAGTGGCAAGGTATGTGTCCTTGAATTTTGTAATATCCCATGAGAGAAGGCTTCTCTCTGTCTGTATACGCGAGTTTCCATCTGATGCGAAGACAATTTTGACTCTCTGTCGACACTATGTTTGCCAGCAAGGATGGTGTTTTCAGACCTTTGCGGGAATTGTGTTCAAATACAATGAAGTAGCAAAGTTTTGACAGCAGGCCAGGCACATTCTAGTGGACGGCTGTCAGTCGGCCCGTTCCCGTGAGCGCTACTGCCGGTCCCAAAATTCTAGGTGTCTATTTGCGTACCAGGCACGGTCCAGCCCTTTTCACTTAACATCCAGATGGTATAATTGCAAGAAGATTACCAAGATGAGTTTACGTGATGCATGTATTGGCGCAGTGGCTCTGTTACCGGCCTACATCATACCGAACAAGCATACAACTTGGTACAAGGTACCTGTCACTTTGATTGTGGCCTATAATGCAGCCCTTTTTGTACTTAGCTGGTCCATCACTTCTCTCCTTCGTCACACGATAAATCATGAGTCTTCCGCACGTCGTACTTCAATACGAGCATCTGTCACTCGAGAGCTGGCATCCCTCGACGGCCAGGCCACTCGGTCACCAAATTCTTCTAATGGGGACTGGGAACGGGTTTCAAACGACTCGGAAAAATCAGGAGAGGTCGCTCCACTATCGAAAGAAGGCTATGATGGCTTTATCGGATTTTTCCATCCTTTCGCGTTCGTGGGATTCGACCACAAGTCGGCATAATTGCTAATCTTTTTTTTAGGAATGCTGGAGGAGGTGGTGAGAGAGTACTATGGGCGGCAATCCAAGCCACGCAGAATCGTTGGCCGAAAGCGATTTGTGTCGTCTACACAGGCGATCATCAGTCCGACAAAACTCAAATACTCAAGCGAGTCAAGGTAAAATCATTGCCCAAAAACTCTCGCTGTTATTGATGCTTTGTTCCAGACCCGGTTTGACATAGATTTGTATTCTCCCACTATCTCATTTCTTTATCTCAATAGCCGCGCGTGGGTTGTGGCTGGCTCTTACCCTCGCTTTACGCTGCTTCTTCAAAGCCTCGGGTCCATCAATGTAGCTTATGAAGCACTCTCGCTTCTCAAACCAGATATTTTCATTGACACCATGGGATACTCATTCAGCACATGGTTTTGCAAATTTCTGTTTCCAGAAATCTCGATAGGGTCGTACGTACATTACCCATTCATCGGTACTCACATGGTAGATTCTTTGGCTTCAGGCGGTGGCAAAGGGGTCAATGCTGGCAAAGGCAAAGGATTAAGAGGCCTTGGCAAGAAGGTGTACTGGCATTGTCTGTTGCGTCTATACAAATGGACCGGAACATCTATCGACATTGTCATGACAAATTCCACCTGGACCCAGAATCATATGCAACGCATATGGGGCCCTGGTCGAGCTCAGGGCAGAAAGCCACCAGCACAAGTAGTGTATCCTCCGTGCTCTGTCGAGGAAATCATTGATCAGACACCCCTTGAAGGGCAGCACGCCCTGCCAAGAGAAAAGTTATTGCTCTGTATTGCTCAATTCCGCCCCGAGAAGAATCACGAGCTTCTCATCGAGTCATTTGCTCAAATGACACGCGGAACTGATAGTGGCTTGAAGGACGCACGCCTTATTCTGGTTGGTTCGGTGCGAGATAGCGAGGATGAGACTCTGGTCTACAAACTCCGACTGCTTGCCAAAGAACTCAAGTTGGAAAATCAAATTGAGTTCAGGATCAACACTGATTGGGGTGAGATCCTGGAATGGCTGAAGAGGAGTTGGGTCGGTGTCAATGGGATGTGGTGTGAGCACTTTGGTATTGGTGTCGTCGAATACCAAGCGGCTGGGTTGATATCGGTCGTTAATGATAGTGGTGGCCCTAAGGAGGACATCGTTGTCGATCTTGACGGTGGACCGACAGGTACGTGTTCTTATCCCTTATCGACACCTATTCCCAACCATTTGACAAATGTCCCACTGATTGGCATATCACTCTAGGATATCACGCCTCCACAGCCACTGAATACGCATCACGTTTTGTCGAAGCCTTGACCCTCTCCCCAGAATCAACGCAAGCAATGCGCAAGCGTGCCCGCTCATCCAGCAAGCGCTTCACCACTGATGTTTTCTCTGCACGATGGACACAGCAGCTAGAGCAGCTTATAGCCCAGTCCAAACACTAGACTCAATTCCCAATTCTGCTTGCTTCAAGCAACCATCTCCCCCTCTTCCCATACGCCACCCTTTAATCCATGCCTATATCCTATATAGCTAACCGCACCGACCGCATTTCCCACCGCCCCAGCTCCCACCCAGATCTTCCACCCTCGCAACCCAGATGCTCCTCCAATTCTCGCTAAACCAAGCCCTGCAACTCCTGCTGCCGCACCGATCATGCTCCAATTATCCACCTCCTGCTGCCCCTTGTTCTCCAGTAACCGCCAACTCCGATCCTTCCATTCAATCTCCTCCCGGCCCCACATTCTGGCCACCAACCCAATTGCTAGTAGCCCCGTTCCTGCTGTAGCTGATACGCCCGTCGTACGCACAAGCGATTGGAGAAGAGGGAAGTTCGCGAGGACGGCGGGGCGTCTGCGCGAGAGGTAGAAGCGTGAGAGTAGGTTTATGGGTGGACCGAAGAAGGCGCCGACTTGGAAGCCGCGGTGGAGGACGTGCACTGCGAGGAGCGTCTTTGCGAGGGGCTGGTCTTCTGCATAGGGAGCGTGGGGGAAGTAGGGGGGCATGCTGGTGAGACGCGAGTAATGGGGGCGAGGTGGAGTTTGACTTGTTACTTGGAGTTGAGAGAAGACGTAGAATGAAGTTTAAGAAAGGCTTGTCTGATTAGAAGCGGCTTTTGTTTGCTCAAATGAGATGATTTACATGATCGGATTCCGATATGGTGTTGGTGGAGTAAACAACAGCGTTCGGGGCTTACAGTCCCCTAAGCGTTAGGGGCCGGCGGGTCCCTAGAGGTACCAAGGCTGAGCTTTTGGGGCTCTTTCAGGGCTCCTGAGATACTCCTATACTTGGGTTTGATGCAAGATTCACAGAGGTACGGATGAGTTCATGGACAACGTGGGTGTGATATCCTTGTTTACAAAGGATTTTCATCATTTTCATTTGTCTCTGACTTGTTTGGAAGCCCCTTTTCTCCTCCTAGTGATGGACGTCACTTGGCTCATTCAACATGCAGTAAATACAATGCATGCATGCTCATAGCAGAGTCCGTAGTTCTAACTACTCCTGACTCGAATTCTTTGGTCCCCGGGAATTGAGATCATTGAGTTTGCAATTAAACAGCTGGACATTCCGATTCTAGCCTTCTCAAGGACAACGCCAGCTCCGTGCCGGCGTGTATGGATGGGTCAGCCAAAAATAATACCAACATGCATGCGCTTATAGAGGAGACCTTTCGTATGGTAGTGTGGTTGATTCCCAAAACTCCAAGGCTTTGCGCTTGCAATCGCTAAATCGTGCTTCTTGCGACAACGAGATGTCTCAGTCTCAGAAGGACGGGCAGCAGCCACAAGTATCCCAACACCACGATGGATGAATCTATAAAGCGGACAGCTTCGCAAAATACTCTGAGGAACCCTCAGCGCATCAAGATCGAGTCAAAAACATGGCACTTTCGAAGTCCTTACAGACATTCATAAAAGCAATGCGGAGCGACAGAACAAAACATGATCCACGCGCAAGCACTTGTCTCCCATTTATTCATCGCCTATTCTCCTCAAAGAAGCGAGATACAAGTGCACACTCTAGAGCCAACAATGAAGAGGATCTCGAATCACGTCTAGAGAAAGAACTCCTGGTACACGGCTGTCTTTAGGAGCAGCCTACGTCGTTGTAGGAATGAAGGTTCAGCAAGGCTGACGTCGGTCGTTTGAGCCCGCCACGCCCCGCTGAGCTCCGCAAAAGGTTCCTCCCACCAAAGGTCTTGCAAACAAATGCCTCTGCAACGGCCAACCATGGCTTCGTAAGTAAACATCTTAACGCTCTTTGTCTCACTAACATATGTGCAGCAATATTCTCTTCCTCCCCTTCCGACGGTCCCACTCAACAAAGATTTCTCCCGCCATTGGACAATACATCTCCAGCAAATATGACCAGCACCCAGGAATGTTTCGCCAAGACATGGAAGACATAGACAAGCTCAGATTGGAAGCTGTGAATTCTCTAGAAGCACATGTCTCCGGCATACGAAAGCTTACTGCCTACGCGGCGCAATTAGTCATGATGGGCGGAAAGTTCCCCATCGACATTGGGGTTGATTTCACGTGGTATCCTGCGCTAGGCTTCAACACACAGAGACCTGTGTCTCAAAACAACCTAAGATTCGAGCTTGCCAACGTGCTAGGTAACCTCTCCGCCCTCTACACCCAGCTGGCAGTATCCTTGAATTGGACTACTAGCGACGGACTCAAGTCAGCATGCAATTACTTTTGCCAGGCAGCTGGTGTGATATCATATATCAAGGAGAATGTCATACCAGATATGCGCGGAGAACCTCCAGAGGACATGGACATCATGACAATGGAGAGTATACAGCAGCTGTTCCTGGCCCAGGGCCAAGAGTGTTTTTGGTCTAAGGCCGTGAAGGATGGGATGTCTGACGGTACAATAGCAAAGCTTGCAGCAAAAGTATCCGACTTTTACGATCAAGCAGCAGAGTACGGGACGAAATCTGATATCATCAGCACTGAGTGGATACACCACATGACCGCGAAGCATCATCATTTCGCCGCTGCGGCGCAATATAGGGCATCCAGAGAATGTTTAGAGAAACAGAATTATGGTGAAGAAGTGGCTAGACTTCGGGACAGCCTTGTTTGCGCAAACGAAGCACTTAAGGAAGCTCGCTGGATCAACAAGATGGTTCTTGGAGACGTCAACGGGCTGAAAGCGAAGGTGTCAGACGATCTCAAACGAGCGGAAAAGGACAACGACGTGATATACCTGATGCCTGTCCCGCCGAAGTCTGAACTCAAGACTCTCGGACGGGCAGGAATGGCGACGGCGAGAATTCCAGAAGAAGTGTCGAATCCTGCTTCTACGCTTGGCAAGGATGGCCAGCCGTTATTCACCAGACTAGTACCCTACGCAGTACATGTCGCAGCAAGTCTCTACGAAGAGAGGAAAAATCGAATGGTCAATAACTCGATCGTCGACGAGCTTGAGAGCTTGACGAATCAACTCCGAGATTTGCTAGCTTCATTGAACCTCCCAGGATCTCTTCAAGCGCTGGAAAGACCCCTTGGATTGCCACCATCGCTAACCTCACACGCCGAAGAGATCAGGCAACAAGGAGGTTTACATAAGATAAGAAAATCACTTCGAGACATTGCTAGGTTGAAAGAAAGTGATTTGACCATTTACCAGGAAGGTGTGAATGCTTTAACATTTGAAGCAGACGAAGATGAGCGAGCAAAGAGCAAATATGGTACACAGCGTTGGACCAGGCACCCATCCAAGCAGGCTGCCCAAAAACTTTACTCGCAACTGGATGAGCTTAAGGGGTTCTTGGCTTCGGCAGCGAGCAGTGACGAGCTTATTGGAGCAAAGCTGAAGGATTGTGAAAAGGTCGTCCAGGTAATGGAAGGCACAACTCATGATATTGAAGAATTTGTACCAAGTAGCCGCAGAACAACAAGACCACCCGAAGTCGAACACGCCACAATAATGCTAAGGGAAATGCTCAATGAAGTCAGTCACATCGAAAGTCGACGAAAGAAATCTGTAGCAAAGATAAAAGAAAAGGCCAAATATGACGATATCAACAACGATCTGCTCCTTGAGACTGCTCGACTTGAACGAGAGTTCCCGATGCAGAAAATCGAGCCGGCGAATTTTGAAGATCTTTTCCAGGAGCGTCTTGACCAATACGACGAAGACCAGGAACGTATCAAAACTGAAGCGTCTACTCAAAAACGGCTTATGACCAAAATCAAGGAAGCAAACTCCGCTTTCGCCAATGCAAGGAAAGGTGACACTTCGACTCGGGAGAGAGAGAAAGCCCTTCAACAGCTTGAGAACGCATATGTCAAATACAAGGAGATCATTGCGAACATGGATACTGGCCGCAAGTTCTACAACGATCTCGCTAAAATCGTGACCCGCTTCCGCGACGACAGCAAGAAATTTGCCTACCAGCGCCGAGTAGATGCCAATCAGCTTGAAGGCGAGCTTGAGAATGCTATGTCGGCGCTCAACCTTGATCAAACGAATGCGCTGAATGAGCAAAAACAGAGAGACGCCCTGAGGACGCAATACTCATCCAAAGCGCCGCCTACGCCGTCGGAGCCTCTGGCGGCGCCGCTACCGCAAAGAGCGAATGTTCAGCCTCCACCGGCTGCTCCTCCAGCTGTGGCGACGGCGGGAATGTGGAATCCGGAGATGGGAATTAAGTTCGGTCAGGCGCAGGGTGGAAATTTACACAATCCTGCGTATCCACAGACGAAGGGAAGGCCTGGACCGTGGGACATGAGTCAGGGTGTACGCTTTGGGTGATGGGTATATATGTATAGCATGATGCAACGAGTGATATGATACCCTTAGAATACGAACGAGCTCTACCTTTTTCGCTCCAACAAGAGGTGGTAGGCCGTGGTAAAGGCCTCGGCTGCACCAAGATTCTTGCTACCGGCGTTTCTCTCTACCAGAATCCCTGTCTCTTTTGCTTGATCAGATTTACGATGTCCATGGACTTGCGATCTCCATTGAAAGCCCGCTCGCCGATAGGACACAGACGGAAAGCCGGGTAGCAAACTTGTCGCTTCAACTCGCATCCAGCTTTATCCGCCCGCCAAGAACATTATTGCTGTTTGTGGTAAATTTGCCCAATCTGGTCGAGCAGGAGGTGGGTAATGTGGAGCAATGAGTGGTTTATGCAGGACGGATCGATACATTGACCTTACCTAATGTAGACCACATGGAGCCGGAGACGTGCATATTGCCAAGATATATCTAGTGCTTACCTTAATTTTTGCTGGAAATCGCTGCCGGACAATTGGAATCTTGACCTTCCCTGCCACAGATTGGAGACGTCTTGGATACGCGATCTACCTAATCCAAGGCCATAGAGATGCTCGCTTGTTCTCGCCACCCAAACCACCACGAAAGCGTCTATGCAAGTAGGCACAGAACCGGGGCGTCCGAACTCGCCCGATTGTGCAAAGTCTACACCGTAGCTCACCTTCTGTTCGAAGGAGAGTGGCTTGCTTTGCTCAGAGTATACAAGCGACGAGATAGTACTCTGGACAGCCTGATAGAATGCTAGTACCCGCAGAGTCCTTGCCTTGAGCTCCACCATCGGCTTGGAATGGTACCGAAGGCTGGTTACACCAGATCATGATTGACGGGGCTAGAACAGCGATGACTATTTCTCACGCAGGATTACATTGCCGTGAAGCTCATCCGAGTGCTTCCGATGTGAAGAAACTTTCTTGGACGTTGCCTGGAAGCACGTAATCCAGCCCAGCGATGGTTTGTTTTGCGGGGGATTGGGGGAAGGCTGGGCCGGGTGGCTGGTAGGATGGGACCGTCCGAGGAAGCTGCACTGTTACCTCGTATTTACGATTCCGCCTTATGAGCAAGAGTTGGCGCGCCGTTGCAGGAATTCCTTAGTCTGGTGAACTGGTTCCTGTCAATCTTTGCGGTGGTGGAGAAAATAAGTGCATGACGTGCCTGGCCAGCCACGCCGCCCTTCCAGCTAGACCCAAACAGGTCAAGCTGCCAAGACTGGATGCACTTCGGATTGGTGCAAATCAAGGTTCAGAACCTCGTACGGGTAAAGTTTCTTGGTCATGCACGTCGACATATCGACCACCTCTCGTTTCTGCCCGACCATCCTCTTCACCAACCAAGAAGCAAGATGACAACCCTGCTGGCAAGAAGCTGTGTGACGGCGATGATGTGATCAACTATCATAGGAGCAGACAGGCTGGCTCCTCGTAGACCTCCCTTGTTGTATGCTCCCTGCGAGAGACCATGTTTCTTTTGATCCTTCCCATGCTCATCATTCAGTATAAAATGCTGATCGGACGGAGTATTGCACACTATTTCCCCGCACCTCGTGTATGCATGATCTCCCATGCAAGATATGCTCGTGGGGCTGGTGACGAGACCTTCCGCTGACCCCAGCAAACCTAACCAACATCCCTCTCATGCAGACCGAACCAATCGAAGGAGCTCTACTATGCAGCTAGAGTTTGGTTGCTTGCTTACTGCATGGCGACTTGCAAGCTCAGATGTGGAGCCGCGATGGATGGGGTAACTAGCTATAGCTTTCGGCCCTGCTGATGCACAGAGTTCGGCTCGGGTTGGTCATCTACATAAAGATGGCGAAGCTCCCATTGCTCACAAGCTTCAGGGAGGATCTCTTGCGATTCAATACCTGCTGTCTTTCGTTTGTCAATTGTGTTCTTCTCCCTCACTCAAGAAATCCTTCAGTCGTTCAAGCTTGCTGTCATGCCTTCAATTACTTCACTTTTCGTTCAAGCCCTTCTCGTCATTTCATGGAGTTCAGCCACTCTCGCTTGGAACAATAGCACGACTCCTGCGCAACCATCGACATGTCCGCCGGCGCAGACCGATACTGTCACGCAAACAGATTTCCAGACCGTCACACTTACCAACAAGCAGGAGGAAACCCAGACTAAGACGGATTACCAGACCGTCACCACCGTGAAGTACAACAACCAGACTCAAACTCAGACCGTCACAGCTACTGTCACAAGTAAGGAAGAAGAAACTCAGACCGCCGTCGTCACAACCGTGCAGAAGGAGACGCAGACGATTACGTTCTCAACCACGAAGAAGGAAAATCAGACTTTGACTGTCACCCAAGCGCCAGCTACTGTCACGAAGACACAGTCAGAGACACTGACGACAACGACAGTCCAGGAGGAGACGCAAACAGTCACCCAAGCTCCAGCTACTGTCACGAAGACACAATCAGAGACGCAAACAGTTACTCAAGCCCCAACGACAATTACAAAGACTCTCGCCCAGAATCTTACCCTTACTACCATGGAGAAAGAAACAAAGACGGCTACAGTCACTTTGCCAGCTACCACCGTTACGACAACAGAAGAGGAGACAAAAACATCTACAGTCTCGCTTCCGCCCACCACCGTTACGACGACAGAGAAAGAGACAAAGACGGCGACAATTACGCAGGCGCCAACAACTATTACTGCTACCAAAGTCCAATCAGAGGTCCTCACCGTTACCCAGACACAGGCTCCCTCAACGGTGACTACTACCCAGGAGCAGACTCAAACAGTTACGACCGTTAAGCAGCAGACTGAGACGAGCACTGTTACACAGGCGCCAACGACTATCACTGCTACCAAAGTCCAATCAGAGGTCCTCACCGTTACCCAGACACAGGCTCCCTCAACGGTGACTACGACTCAGGAGCAGACTGAGACAAGCACTGTTACACAGGCGCCAACGACTGTCATTACCACTAAAACGCAATCAGAAATCCTAACCAGCACTGTCACCCAAGCACCTTCTACCGTTCTTCTGACGTCAACGATCAAGGAGGTTCTCACTCTTACGTCAACTTCAACCCAGAAGGAAGTCCAGACAAGCACAGTCACCCAAGCTCCATCTACTGTCACAACAACCAAGACCCAGGAACAAGAGCTCACGACTACCGTAACCCAAGCGCCTTCTACATTGACGAAGACAGAGACTCAACAGGAAGTGCAGACTGCTACGATAACTGAGAAGAAAGTCAAAACAACGACTGAGATCCAGACAGCTACAGTTACACAGGCTCCGTCTACGACAACCGTAACGACTACTCAAGAACAGATTCAATCAGTCACTGCGACGTCTACTCTGGTAAAAGAGGAGACGGAGACAGAGACGGTCACTGGGGCTCCCCAGACGACTACCGTAACCGCTACGTTGAAAGAGGTTAAAACAAACACTCAGACAATCACTTCAACGCAAGAAGAAGTCGAGACAAAGACGGAAACGCTAGCCCCGTCGACTACGACCGTTGCAACGACCTTGAAGGAGGTTCAGACCCTTCTGGTAACCATCAGCCAGACCGTTACTACGACCCAAGAAGCTGTACTCACTACGACCGCAACACTTGCCCCCTCAACGGCCACGGTGACTAAATCACAACAAGAAATCGCAACAGTAACCGAGACAGAGCAAACGACCGGAACACCATCATCTCCAGCGGCAATAGAGAAGTCTGAAGGGCAGCCTATTATTCCTACAGGTGTTGCGTCACAGAGAAGCGATGGCCAAGTGAACATCCCAGCTACCGGCACCGCACTTCCACCTTCACCTTCTCCATTCACAGGAGCAGCAGCTTCACTGAGATGGGACAAGCACCTTACTTGGGCTGTTGGTGCACTAGTAGGGCTCGCCCTGTTGTGAATGACATAATGAGCATTAATTTGATGGCTTTGAAGCCGAAATGAGCAATGAGGAATAAAAAATAATGAGTAATGCAAGCACTTAATGGCATTTTGTGGCTTCAGGAAACGAGAGTGATGACCATTGCGTGATAGCTAGGCATCGTTTAATGGAGGTAACATATTGGCACAACTTCCTGTACATACTTTTAACAATTGATACTCCAGGTAATGTTTCTATCTTATGATTGATTCAAAATTCAAAATTAGTTGCATTTCTTGGTTTGAAAAGTGAATATCACCTGGGAGCAGGGATTACAATGGCTCTAGTACTTCAAGAAGAACACCCTTCTACTCGCAGTCATCCAAAAATCCATACTAGCTGCTTAGAGTAACAACTACTTTTAATATTAGCTGTGTCTAGGTGGCAACGACTGGTAGGCTCGTACCAAGAAAAGAGAATAATCACAATGCTGGTAGCCGCTGGTAGGTGCGTCTTGAGCATTCTACCTACATGAATTATTCAAATCGATATCAGACAAGTCTATCAGGGGAGTATGTTCATTTACTCCCCTCATAGGTGTGGTTGTTCTACGCTCGAGGCTTTTCGGTCCTCGTAAGAGAATCCAGATGATCTGAAAGCTACACGTGCCTCATTTGAGCATTTTTGGGTACTACGTGCAAGAATTAGCGCATTTGTTGCGTCGATGCAGCACGTTATTGACATGAACTACAATTCGAGCGCACTGTTAGAAGATCTGAAGAGAGTCTATGATCTCAAAAATGTCTTCAAGTGCCTCGTCCTCTTGATAGGTATCAACATACGATAAATATGACACGCTGTGCTATGGATGTCGAGAACAAGATCGATGGGGCGTTAAACTAGAAGATGACGCTCTTGGAGAAGTCGTTTGAGAAGTTTTGACGGACAGGAGGAAAGGTCGAAATGAGAAGTTCCCTGAGGGGTAAGGTAACGTCTCGACACGAGTCATATTTCGCGGTCTTATAATGGTGTTGGCTACTAAAGACTTTCATGTTTAATGGAAACCCTTCAGCCTTGTCCTCGCGTCTTCCACCTCTTATCTCAGTAATCTAGATACCCCTCGTTCTTTCCAACATCCTGTTGACTCTTTACAATGTTCACAATCGCATGACATTCAGAGTGCTAGGGGTCATACTCCATTGAGCTATTATTACACAGTATGATGTACCCAGCTCGATAACAAGCTTGGAAATCGCTGCTCCTAAATGGGCAAAAGTTGAGCTTGACCAGTTTTATCCCAAGACTCTATTACGATTGGAATGGGTCGAACGTGATGAAATGATAAGAACCTGGGAGAAAGTCACGTGAACATCGTAGACAACGAAAAACCTTGACTATTATAGAAAACATAATGACAAGCTAGTTACGACTTCGTTTCTGCGACTCCTGCCCTTTCATCTCAAGTTGTCCTCATTGTCGGTCATTTGTCTCATCTGACAGCGCATAATGCCGATACTTGATGTAGTAAAAGGTCACTTCTCGGGCCAAAATGTATAGCCAGAGAACTGAAAATCGGGTGTCTCTAGCAGCGTGGCATCTTTCCCAAGAGGGGTTTCGAAAAAGCCAAACAAGCCTTTCTTATCCAGGAATTGAATGGATATTCTCTGTTCATAATTAGGCTCAGCTTTCGTATGCCTATTACAAAATTGGAGTTGAAGATTGTGGAAGCAAATAAGAAGATGTGAAACCCACGCCTTTCTCAGACATGATAGAATCCATGTTGAGTATCCCAATTGCCACGGTCCCATGTAGTTTGCTTTGGTCTTCGGAAGACACTGATAATCTTCCCCTGCATAGGTCTCGTGATTAACTCGAGGGTTTTGTATTCGTGTTGGATCTGTGATACATACTGGTCTTTAGAGAACTGGATCCCCATCCCAGGAATCCCAGGGGCGGCAAAGGAGCCGGTGACAGTGTTTGAGAGCGAGCCTCCGACCAATTTTATATCAGCCCACCCGTTGCTGATTGACATTTCAAAGCTCATTGGTATTTTCGCATTGGGATCATCGCTGGATTGGAGCGACTTCACGACTTCGACGCTTTCTGCAGAATTCAAGATGTTGGAAGCCATGGTAGAACGATAGAGCTTGAGATGTTGGTATTCAGATGAAGAGTAGATATCATGGGATAGATTAAATCCGACGAGTGCTATGTAGACCTCTCCCCGTACTGCTCTTATTCAATCACACGATAACCGTAATAATATCATCTAAGTCCTAACCTTTATCGAGAAAGGTTCAGCTAGCCTAGGACAGCATATCAGCTGATACTGGATCGATCCCTCTCTTGATCTGGAAGTTCTAGACTCTGTAAGCACCAATTTTTCGGGTTCAAAGATCACTGACTGATTGTCTTGTTGGGTACTAGCCAAAATCCGACCAAGACATTGTCCATGAGTATGAGAATCCAGTGAAGCAAGCTAGAAGAGTATTATTGGAAGATCACTGCAGCTAATGTCCGCTCTTTCGTTTAGTGCGTTCGAGCAAGGCTTGATGATGGCCTTCAGAAGTCGAGGCGTTGGGCTGCCAAAACTGACGCACCGGGGAAGGTTCCAGGGCGGCCCGGCCAACCGCTTGTCCAACAACCTAACCTGAAATTGCTTGATTCAAGGATATTTACCTCGATCAATCCTAACAACAGTTGGCCCGCATTTATTGAGCTGGCGTTCAGCCAGCCACAGGCCATAGCTGGCGGGTCCAGACTTCTTAGAGCCAACGAATCCAGATTTATTGAGCTGGCGTTCCGCAAGCCACAAGCCACAATTGATGGGGCTAGACTCTGTAGAGGCAACGATTTTGGAATTGATTTACCCCAACAATCTATTCGTGAACGCTTTAGGACTGACTTCTTAAAAAACTTAGCGGGCTTCTGTTTGCCAGTTTGCTATTCCTTAGCTACTCCCGCCATTGAGGCCTTCTTGATTGGTCAAAGATACACATGAGAAAGGATTGTGGCTTTCTCGTGGCTGGCTGAGACTGGGCTTATCGCAGTTGCAGCAGCGAATGTGGTGGATCTTTCTTCTGAAGGTAGGCGAACACAACGGTCTTGGGTTGCAAAGATTAGACTGTGTGCTATTCCAGCCAGTGCCCTTGCGCTGAGCTAGACAATTCTCTCCCCCATTCTGGGAATCGCCTTGCATATGGAAAATCAGGCGGAGAAGCTGCTTCTACGAGCAGGCTACGGTTACGGGTAATCGATGCAAGGCAACATATAAGATAAGAACCCCCTTGAACCCAAGTCGAGCATCTTGCAAGTAAGGAACATCCTTTTAATCGACGTTCCCCTTGAAATTGAGGTCATTCGTCAGCATGGCTAGCACACCTACATCCCAGAGCTTGTTCAGCACTGTCCCATCTCTGGAAGAATCCATCAAAGAGATTGGCAGGCTTGTAAAGGAACCGAGCGACTTGGACGAAGCCGAGCTTCCGGGGCTTGACGTTCTCATCAACGACTGGTATGACGAGAATGTCGATGTCGGCGAAGAAGAGTTCATGCGTAGAATCCTCGGCGTATTTCGCAATTCCTCGCATAATGAAGTCTACGATGAAGTCTTGGAGCAATATGAACCATCTGAGCGAAGAGCCATCAATAGCTTTGTAGCTGGGCAGACCACAGCTGAAGATGCGGCCAAGATTATTGTGTCAAAAGATGCATCTGCAGCAACTGCAGGCGTTTCTAACAATGAGCTTCATACAGAGGTCTTTTCCACCCAGAAGATGCAGAAGACCGAATTTCCAAAGAAGGCAATCAAGGTTAATAATCCTTACTCCATGTTTAGTACAATTCCTTGATGACCTCTGAAGGGCTTTGAGAACACAGAATTTCAAAATTGGGGTCGAACTGTAAAGCAGACCCCGGCAAAGACCTATTACCCTGAGAACACTGCAGAGGTGCAAACAATCGTCCGTGAGGCTGCTGAGAGTAAAATGGGCGTCCGGGTATCGGGCTTCCGTAAGTATTTATTCCACCTAAGAACGCTCCTGAGTAACTCATTCCGCTAAGGTCACTCTTGGTCTCCTATCTTTGGACGAGATAATAAGAATGGCCAGAAAAATAATGGGGATGTCTTGATCTCGACGCTCACGGAGAAAGATGCGTCCAAGCTTCCGAATTTCACATCGCTGCCGTCAAGCCTTTTCCAACCCAAGAAAACGGAACTCAACAATATCAGCGAAGTAAATGCTGCGTACGTTCATGGTCAAACCTTAAAGGATGGTAAGAAGTATGTCCGCGTTGGCACATCAACAACGAACGAGGAGTTTCGAAGATGGTGTATTAATGACGGACATGTTACGCTACCAATGAATATCATTGAGGTAGAAATTACGATGGGCGGCTCCAATTCAACCATTTGGTAAGTTATCCGTCACCAAGTACTTCGTTCCTTCCAATCTGATAACACATAGCCACGGCGCTGGTATCAACCATCCAACATTGAGCGATCTCGTGCGGTCCATTGAGTATGTTGATGTGAACGGAGAAGTACGGAATGTAGATATGGCAGATCCTGATCTGTTGAAGTCAGCTAGCGGTTGTTTTGGACTCCTGGGTGTTATCACCCACATTACATTCGAATGCGACCCGATATCAACAGCAGTCATGCGCCCGCAAAAGCTTGAGGTCATAGACGCGGTCCCGCCTCCTCCTGATATGAAGGACTCTGACATCCCGGGACCGCTTCGAAAACCACGTTCCCAGAAAGAAAGACAAATTGCCCAGGAGAATTTTGAGAAGCGGGCGAACAATGACTACTACGCAGAGTGGTTTTGGTTCCCGTACTCAAGTTTAGTTTGGGTCAACACATGGGCAATGGATCCTTCCACAAAGAACGTTGTTGAGTATCCAAGTAAGACAAAGACCGTCTTCCAAGTATTCGGGACGATCGCCATGAACATTGCGCAAAATATTGTTGCCAAAATCGATGCGCTCCAGTTCCAGCCTTTGAAACAGACTACTTTCTTGTGTAAGGATTCCTGAAGATTCGCTGATATCTTTTCATGCGTCTGGCTAATGAGGCTTGAGCAGCGTGGCTAGCAATGAAGAATCTAGACGAGCGCAAAGATTCCGAGAAGCCTATTCGAGCACTGTTGCCCGACGCTCTCCATTTCCAACGTGGAGTGCAAAATATCCGGGTACGGGACCTAGAAGTTGAATTGCCTGTAAGTTCTTCCAAGATAACTTGCCGCAAAGTGAGCGCATAGCTAACATATCTTTTCTCCCAAGCTTCATGCCAAGAAAGGCACTACCAGTGAGCGCGACTACACCAATGTTCAACGAGCATGGTGGGATGCAATTGTCACTTGCTATGCCAACACCAAGACCTGTCCCATGCGCATGCCGCTCGAGATGCGCATCATGAGCTCCAGTGAAGTCACCATGGCGCCACAGCGAGGCCATAAGCTTGGAACGTGCGCAATTGAAATTCTCACGCTTCATGCGGCTGCAGATATTTGGCAGCCTTATGCTCAGCAGGTGCTCAATCACTGGACAAGCTACAAAGATAATGATGGCATAAAGCTCGACATTAGGCCACATTGGGCGAAGGAGTGGAACAATCTTGAGGTCGACGGGAGACCTTGGCGTGAAAAGCTGAAGAATGAGAGCTATAAGACCGAGATAGCCGAGTTCAAAAACTTGTTGACGGCCATTGGAAAGAAGCATGATTGGACGCTTTCGGATATCAAGAGGATGTTTTCCAATGACGTTCTGGATTATCTCTACTTGGATGACGTCGTCGTAACAAGCGACAATAGAACCCAGGCCCACGTGCCAATGTTGGAGGAAAAGGTAAGTCGACGAGCTCTAGTCCTGTCTAAGGTGACTAATCAGAGTACAGAAGATCCCTCTAGTAAGTGAACGAGTGGTTGGAAACGTTACAGTCTGATGAAACGAACGTCGCATATTGGCCAATAAATTTAGGGACCCGCCCGCTGGCTTCGATCAGAATTGACATCAGGCTTGGGTGAGTTCCATCGGTATTCGAAGATGTCCGTATCTTTCAGAGACCTTAGGGATTGTTTGCATCAATATAATGCTTCAAGTCAGTGTACCAGAACCTATCCTTGACGAGGGTGGACGTCTGGCTTTTGTTTCGCCAAATCACATAATCCATCCAGAGAGAAAGTACGCCATTTGTCCATTTTTGGCCATCCTTAAGTCTGTTCCGATCGTTGGTTGTCAGTGCACGATTCTTACCCCTCCATCGGGCCCAGTAAACAAGATTTGACGACGGTAGCTCGGTATCATTCTCAAAATATCATGAGCAGTTCGTCTTCAGGATTATAGCCTCGTAGTGGCGACTAAACCCCGACAAATAGTCTGACCAGATCTCGGACGCGAATTTACCAGCTCTTTTCTCGCGAGTATGGGGCGCCGCCACTTTTTTCGCTTCTTCTTTGTCCAATCTTTGATCCTGAGCAAAGAGAACACGCTTGATGAGAGTCTGTGTCTGCTGGCTGCTCAGCTAGTCGTCTTCTGTTTTTGCTGTGTCAGTCTCGGCTCCTTTCATGAGTTTCAACAACCCTTGGCTTCACTCTTCCTCATTACTCTCCCTCCTCACTGCCCTCTTCCTTCTTCTCCCTATACTTCAAGAGAGTTATTTTGCTATATTAGCAGTGACCGATTCGATCCATGTCGTCATTTACAATGTCCACCTGACGACGGTTCTTCTGACGTATGCCAGTGAGGCAGCCCGGTCTGCAACGACAGCAAAGCTCCCCATACCGAATCGCCTGGTTATGGTGCGATTTTCTCCAGCCGTTGGCTTTAGGTGATTCAATTGTACCAAGCACAAGATTGAAGTTGTCTCAGATTCCACAAAGATGTGAGGTACGTGCGGCGGCTGATGGTTATTAGACAATCCGATGTTTCGATTGGACTGATACCATCTCACAGACAGCCATACACCTCCACAGCGTCCTAGTGATCTTTCTTGTTGCCAATATGGCAACAAGCATGATGTTCAGATTTCGTGTATGTTTAGCCTTATTGGCTCGGGCCACAAAATAGAGCATTCAGATTACCTGCTAGACTGCAGAAAGACAAGCGAAGGTGACGAACACCAGGATTTGGGGCTGTGACGAATGATATAGCACATCAAAAAAATTCTTAATAATTAGAGCTTATTGGTCTAGGAGGATAGGAAAGAGTAAATCCGAGACATCAAGCGGTGGTGTGCTCTGGTCTTCTCGTCTAGTAGTCACATCAAGATAATCGAGAATGCTGGATGTTGGATGAGAATTTTTTATTTCCTGTCGCCGACCGAATACCTTTTGAACCTTTCCGAGGGTTATCACCTGGCAAAGACGACTTTTGTTCAATGAAAAGGCTGGATCACAGCACAGCAGGCACTGCCACAGGACGTCGTTGCTGAGTATTCTTATCTTGGTTGTTTATCGCGGATGAATTCTGACCATTTTGATGTTGGCTCTTCTCATTGCTCATCTGGAAAACAACTGGGTTTCGCCGAGACAACATATCATCCACAATAGCGCGAGACGAATAGTTGGCACATTCCGTCTGAAAAACGAGCTAGTAGCCTTAAGCGTTAAGCTATCGAGGGATTGCAAATTGGTCGCTAGCCTTGTGATGTCTCAATGGCGAGACTCGGAAAATTGCGTTTGATGGCCCTCCTACAAGACTTTCTTCACTTACTAGATCCGTTTAGGATTCTGGTATCTATCGTCTGCTCTGGTGAAGACATTATCATCAGCACTATTCTTTGCTTTGATGGAGTCTGCTGCTCCGGCGAGGCGAGTAAAGGTCGAATGAGCCATCTCCACGTCGTGATAATGGCATAGGTGGGATTCCTGCTGCCCCAAATATTCACAAATGTTGACTTCTTTGCCACAATCCTCCAAAACGATCACCACAATGCTCTATGTTCTTCATGAAAAAACTATGGCGTCGCCCATTCACACCGCCGTTGCGTGGCCACGAGCGCCGCCATATTTTCAATATGAGATTCGCCAAGTCACATCATATCATCTGATTGAAACTGCATGTGGTGGTGGCGGCTCACAAGAACTTCAAAAGAAAATTCAAACAGTTGTTGAACGACCGTGCCTTGCCAATGACTTCGTGCCTGAATCAGAAATAGAACAGAATTGTACTGCATCTAAGACCTTGTTGCGGATGATATCGAGGCATCTTATGGCAATTTAATGACAATCATTGGCATGAAGGGCTGGTGGAGAGACATCGTTCGGCGCTTCTGTACTATATACTCGTCAAATAAGCTCAGTAAAGGCACAGAAATGGCCAATGGCACATTTCAGATAACTTCGCCTAGTACTCCTGGTGCTGTATGTCCTTCAACTTCATCGACGCCTTCCGATTCCATAGCGCAATCGCCGTCACTTCAGGTTTCGCACCAGAAGCCAACGACGTTCAGCTTAACTCAAGGCAACATCTTGGGTCGTCGTGCTTACCCACTCCGCTTAATCATCAGTAGAGCCTTGGATGACAAATCTCTGAATACAATTTCTCTCTTGGAATCTGCTATTCGAAGCTTCCATTTCCAGCAAAGAGACTGAAAATATCTATTTCGAACCGGAAAATGATACACGTACAATGTAGTCATTTCAAGTGAGGGCAAGCATTGATCATATAACGTCATTCGGCCTTTCATCTGCATCACAGGACTGGACGACCTTTCGCTATCCGCCCCCAACGGACAGGCATAGGTATGAGGCCTGATTGCAGCTGGTTAGAGGCAGCTGACTTATCTTCTAAAGTATCCAGTGGCTCCGCCGTGGAGCGTCCAGTGAATGCCACACTCACCTCTAATGAGTCACAACCAGAGTCTCCATCCCGTAGCTCTTCACTAGACTCAATAACTCCCAGGACGAACCTGCAGGATGGCTCAACGGGATCTCGGAAGCAGCCTACTGCCTGCGGCTTTATTCAAGCACACGATGTTGCAAGAACTTTGAGATCTCTTTCTCGTTACCTATCGAGAATGATGATAGATTTGCTACATCCTCTTGTGGCGAAGAAGGGCCAATGCGTACGGAGGTGTATCAACTCAGCCTCTATCCTCCCGCAACTATGGGACTTTTGGTGTCGACATACGATAGCGCAGTCCCAGCCAAGGCAAGCATGATGATGCCATGAAAGACCTAGGAAACTTGGGCGCGGAATGAAAACGCTTCCGAGTCTGTCAACCTTCGCAGATGCCAGAGCGGAGAGGAGAAGAGGCAAACAACTCTAAGCCCGAGAATAACTTGGAGTATGACCTTAATGATTTAGAATAGGATGAACTAGAAGCAGAGCACTAGAACAGACGCTCAAAGGATCGGATAGACCATGTCAGATTAAATAGCTTTATAGATGTCCTCGAATTTGCTGTGCATAAAGATATGCTAAGTGCCAAGACTTATGAAGGAGGCTGCATAAGAAGCTGCCTATCGCGTCATTATGCACCAACTCCTCTCTAACATTCACGGGCGACCAGAGGAGCCTGCAACACTCAGCACTCCATCTACTTCCAGCAAAACATCCATTCCTCATTCGTAGTTTCACTGATAATCAAAGGATCATGATGCTGCGAAGATAGCATTCGACATGGCAGACAACCCCTCAGCGCCCCTCTTAGGCGCCGAGCAGTCAAGTAAACCCTCTTCCATCAGGTCACAAGGATCAAAACGATCACAGCACTCTCAGCACTCGAGAAATTCAGATGAGAGCCGTCCACTCCTCGCAGATGACTCGGATCATAGAGATTACGGTGACGCACCACAATATGATGATGCTCATTCACCCGCTGCTTCGTCTCTGAGATCGTTGAACACAGGATCGACCAAGAAGAGACCGTGGAGATGGCCCTCTATCATTGCTCTCACCATTTTATCCCTCTTGATCTTAGTCATATTGGGCCTAGGCTTTGCAGCACCTAGTGTAATGCAAGAATATGCGAAAGAAGCAGTTGTGTTTGAACCCACAGGGCTCTCGATCGAGTCATTTACTAGCACAGGTGTGCAAGTACGAGTACAAGGTGATATCAAGATGGATGGTACAAGGGTCCACAAAAAGCCAGTTCGTGATCTTGGCAGAGCAGGAAGTTGGATTGCGAAAGCTGTTCAGAGCAAGCAATCTCACATCGAAGTCTACCTCCCAGATTTCAGCGATGTGTTGGTTGGTACTGCAGATATCCCTTCAATTATCGTCAATATCAGGGATGGTGCAACGACTCATGTCGATTTTGTCAGTGATCTTTCTGCTGGAGATTTAAATGGCTTAAAGGATGTTGCACAAAACTGGGTGGCCGGCAAGATTAAGAGCTTGAATGTTCGTGCTTTAGCCAAAGTATCGTTGAAGACTGGTATATTCGATTTGGGTGAACAAGAGATGTCAGAGACCATGACATTTGGAGGTAGGAAGCTTCGATTTCCGCATCGGTGAGAGGCAGAGATCTGATATTCTTTCTAGGCAATGACCTACCTACCATTCCTCAATACAACATAGCCAGATTGAATTTCCATGATGTCGAAGTGCCGGAAATTGGAAATGCTCTCGAGGCTGACGTCTCAATCATCATTTCCAATGACTACCCTTTCCGGTTTGACATTCCTCCTCTCGGCTTCAATGTTCTAGTCCCGGGATGCACTCCAGATGTACCTCTGATCAGCGTCGCTGACGCCTACACGAAAAGCATTACCGTGGAACCAAAGCAAGACATTTCTGTCTACGTCAATGGTTTGGTCAAAACGCTATCTGGCGACTTGACAGCCACTTGTCCAAACGTACTCAAATCCCCGTTAGATACTCTCGTAGGAGACTACATTCATGGAAGCGAGACGAGACTCTATGTTCGTGGGTCTGAAGCCCCCGTCGAAGATACACCACAGTGGATTTCCGAGTTTTTACAGAGCATCATTCTGCCAGTCGATTTTCAAGGGAAAACGTTCGAGAACCTTATTCGTAATTTCTCCCTGGAAGATGTGCATTTCAGCCTTCCGAATCCGTTTTCGGGCCCGGATTCTCCTGATTCAAAACCACGGGTCTCCGCTACCGTACAGGCATTGGTCGGCTTACCTGATGAAATGAACTTTGCAGTCAATGTCAATCACGTGCGAGCGAATTCAGACATATTCTATCAGGGCAAGAAATTAGGAGAGCTCGATCTCAGCAAATGGCAAGACGCAAATTCTACCCGCGTTGAAGCACACGGCTCTGAAAAAGCTGGACTTGCAGTGTCGTCTATTGTTGATGAAGCCCCTATCAATGTCACTGATAATGCCGTCTTCTCGAAAGTCATCCAGGCGGTGGCATTTGGTGGAAAGAAAGTCGTCCTGAGTGTCAAAGCCAATGTAGACGTCGAGACAGTAACGGTTCTCGGTCATCTTGTTCTCCGGGGTATACCGGCAGAAGGCAGTGTCTTTGTCAACCGTTAGTCCCCCATCATATGTACGTTGGTTCTACCTTGCTATTGCTAGGGTCTTCAGCGACTAACAAATGTCTGATATAGCACTTTCGACGGGTGGTAATGATCTGAAAGCAATTGCTCCACAGGTCGGCTTTCTTGAGATACTAGAGACTGCCCGGTCATCGCTTAAACTTGGGGCTAAAGTCAACATCACTAATCCAACAGAATATTCCGCGACGGTACCCTATCTAAGTATCAGACTTTTGAACAATGGCACTGAGCTTGGCGACGTCTATGCCCGAAATGTTGAGATCAAACCTGGGACCAACTACAATATATCAGTCGAAGCTGTTTGGAATCCTAAGGGTAGAAGAGGCGCGGCCCAAGGACGAGAAGTCCTCTCGCAATATGTTTCAGGTAAATATTTCAGTCTCTGTCTTGTAGAGGAAGGCGCTGACTGTCGCAGGCTTTAATGTGACACTCTCATTCCGGACCCATGCGGGTACAATTCCTACCCAACCAGCTCTTGGCCTCGCACTCTCCCAATTTCCAATCGATATCCCTGCACCTTCTCTCAACCCACCTAGGAAACCCTCAAAGCCTGGCGATGAACGCGGACCTGATGCACCTTCCTTCATAGACGATGCTACCTTTCACATCTTCACTTCGACGGCCACTTTCACGATCCTCTCTCCACTGCGGAAAACGAGCCTTTTCGTAACTCATCTGAATGCAACAGCTTTCTACAACCACACTGAGCCCGTTGGATCGATCCTTTACGACTTACCCTTTGAAGTTCCTCCTGGTATTAGTGAGTCTCCTAATCTTCCAGTCGACTGGGACCTAGCAGGTGTTGGATATCAAGGTTTGAAAGATGCCGTAGGAGGTCGCCTGAAGTTAGATGCGAAGGCAAATGCTAATATCAAGATCGATAACTGGGAGCAGGATCTATGGGTTTTAGGGAGAGGCATCGGCGCCCACATACGTTTGTAGATCGGGTGAGCATTAGATGCAAGCGAAGGAATAAAGGGTATGAAATCCAGGCGTTTCGGACAGGTGAATACATAAGGACGAATTATGGTGGACATGTATGACTGTCTTGTCGATTTATAAGATACATTGCAGAATGTGGCAATGGACATTGACTTTTGGAACCTATATCTTATTCACGCCTGAAGATTCTCTATGCGGGACAGGTCGCCACCCATGTTGGACCAAAAACGCCTTCGCTAAATAGACGGAGCGTGACTCGTGAAATTTTCAGCCTGGCGGCAGAGTGCTCGCATCCACAAGCTCATCCGCCTCCATCTGTTCCTCTTCCCTTGGATCATCTAATGGGGATCTCGGCAGTGCCATAAGACCTGTCCTCGAAGATTCGAGGATTCCAAAATCTCTTATAAGCTTCATAAACGCATCAATCCTAGAAGGCTTTGCAGAACTGTAGTCATATCAGTAACCATGTCCCACCATACTCATCACAAGAGTGACCACTTACAGTTCTACAATACAGTTATTCGTACTGATGTCCAGCACTTTCCCGCCAAATTGTTGCGCCAAATGCGTAATATACTCCAAATGCTTATGTTTATGCCTCAGCGCCTCGCTCGGTGGCAATTTCGTTGGATGATAATCCTCCATCTCCCGCTCTTGTACCCCTCCCGTCTCCCTTTTATCTTCTCCCTCTTCATCAAACTTGCCTTCATCCGCAACGCTCATCTCCCGATGATGCTCCATCAAATGATCGAAGTACTCGCGCCCGAGAATATTCACCTTTGCGAGCAGCAATTCCCTCTGCACGAGAGGCGCGGCCGTATAGTCCAGCACAGCCCATACGGGCACCAGATCCTCCAGTTGCCGTCGCGCTTGCTCGACCACCCCATCGTGTCCGCTCAACACGATCGTCATGCGAGACAGGTCATCGACTTCGGTTTTGCAGACGACAAGACTGTCGATGTTGAAGCCCCGCGCAGCAAGGATCCCTGACACTCGAGAGAGCACACCGGGCTCATTTTGCACAAGACAGTTCAGGATGTGGCGTTTTGGAGGGAGAGAGCTTGGAAGGGGGGTTTCGTAGAGGATTGAGGAGACGGCGGCGGGTGCGGACCAGGATGGCGGGTCGGCACTGGTTGGGAGGGGATTTGTGCGGCGGTGGAGAGCTTTATAGGCGAGGGCACTGGTGGAGGAGGACTGTCGTCTTGAAACTTGGCATCGGTTGTGTGATGCTGGGACTCGAGAGGGTCTGAGTGCAGGCGTGAGTCGAGGGCTAACGAGGGCGGTGAGGGTGCGCCGTGACGCCATAGCTGATGGGAAATAAGGACTATGGCTAAATGAGTATTTCACCAGTATCTTGTGACGCAATGCGTAAAAATGTGTTGGTATGAGTCGAATAGAAGTGTGAGATTTTGTCTTCCGCAATCGGCTGCCAAGCATGAGCTCCTAAAGAGGTTTAGCGCAGATACCCTCCTTTCTCAGGGCTCATGCGGGGCCCTGGAGCTGCCAAGCTTTTCAGCCCTATACCGCTTTTAGATATTAGTACCGTAAGGTATCTATCAAAAGACTCCTTTCCTCTATCAATAGAGGAGTTATATCACGGGTACACATCGTATGTTTGCCACTACCTTCCTCGAAAAGCTATACTGACGTCGTAGATGCTCTCACGAACAGCCCTCCGGGCCTCACGCTCAGCGCCAACCCTCACCCGCCGCGGCTTTCAAACCTCTACAGCACGGCTTGGGAGTCCTTATCACTACCCTGAGGGCCCGTTGAGCGGCTTGCCTTTCAATCCACGAACGAGATTTTTTGCTTTCAGATACTGGGGCTCAATGGGTATAATGGTTTCATCGGAGTCTGCTGCATGTCACTGACGGGAATATAGCATTCGCCTTCGGTTTACCCTTTGGCATTGCTGGTAAGCATGATGTGATGGCAGTGAAATGTATAATGATTGACGACGGATACAGTATGGCAGACGAAGAAGAACAAGTAGAAGGAAGGAAGCGGAGGAGGTCGATAATTGGTAACTCTACAAATCGCCTACGTATGGGAGGTCTTGAGAGGGTTTGGGTTTGGCTCGATTTGTGTATATACGAAGCGATGCAGATGAGGATTTGACAATTAGTACCTTCGGAATTTTGCAAGCACTTTCAGAGCATAAAGAGCAATTCCAGCATTCTACATAAAGAGTACAAGACGAAGGGTACTACTCTCGAACGGTTCTATGAAGCTCGACGTTGCGCTTCTTGCTGACCGTCATAGCCTGCCCCGCCTCCCATCTTCGATGCTCTTAAGCACATGCGGTGCGTTGCCAGATTCAAGCTGATCCCACAAACCACCCAAGCCTTGTGATCGACCTCTCTCATTCTCCCGTCGAAACCATTCCTCAGCGCTCTTTACCCTCCCTGGGTGGATCTCGTCTAGCAATGCATAATCCCTTCGAATGAGGCCCTTGTTTCCGCCACTTGCTTTCCACATATTCCAAAAGCCAGTGAAGTTTTGCTGACGCGTCATCGTCGCTGGGTCAGAAGGATCGCTATTGTGGCCAGCAGGTTGTTGGGCCCCGGTTGCCCTAGATGGTTCAGCCCAATATTCCTCCAGGCTGATATCCTGGTATCGAGCTGGTTTGCCTGTGACTTTGGTAAATGCCTTGGCTAAGCTATGATAATCGACGTGAGCTATGCCGACTTTCAGATTCATGCCAGAGGCTTTCTTATTGTTGTCAAATAACCATTTTACGTAATGGCCGCAATCGTCAAGGTCCACATGTACGACAGCGCCGATCCCAAGCGGTACCTTCCAAGTGAGGACCCCATCGATGATGGTGGGAGCCATGGGAGTCCCTTTGGCTATTGACATCTGGATATAAGGGCCCGTTGTGAACAGAGCAGCACTCATTTGGGAGGTCTGAGCTGCCTCATTCTGCGTCAGGATCCATTCTCCCACTCTTCCTTTTCCGTCGTAATGGCCAGTACGAAAAGCAGAGTTATACCCGCTTTCCTTGAGAACAAAATCAAGATTGCCCCATACGAAGAACTTTACACCACACTCCAGTGCAATTTCATAGCTCCTTATGCCCCAATATATTTCTGCTTTCTCTCCGCAATTGAAGCCGTCAATATTGACAAATGCTCCCCAGGATCCGGAAAAGCCAGCACGGAGGTCTACCTCGGACGCGAACGTTCCAGTCACGAGTTCCACGTTGGGGAGACTAGCCAGACGTTTTGCGCGGTCAGATGTCACATCTCGCGTAAGTATCTTGACTGCATAGTCTGAGTCTGATGCTGCAAGGGTCTCAATAACGGGGAACCCTTGGGCACCCGTACCACCAATAACGAAAATGGTTTTGCGATGCGCCATTCTCTTAAATTGGCGAAGCGAGTTGAAAGCTCACAACAACGAGAAAAACCGGCAGGACCAAGTTCATATAACATGTGGGGGCTACCAAAGCTCATTTGGAGCGGTTGGCCGGCCATGACAAATGCCATCCCAAAATATAGTGCAGATGCATCAAGGACTCTGGACGAGCTTCAAAATTTGGGCAAGACGCCTAGTCAGCTCCATACGCGAGGAATGGTGCCTCTGTAAGGTATCCGATACACTCCGCATCTCCTAGGTACTCCTGTTCAGTAATCAGCACGAGTTACAGCCGAATACTCCACCATTGGCTTTGAGAGCACATAGATGCAATCGGTAGTGTTTTTGCGTCTGCATGCAATGACAAAGATCTGCCGGTAGAGTGGACTTCAATGAAGATTACTTTTCTAGACAGGGTTAGGAGTCAATGGACGTTCCACAGATTAGCTATCACAGCTTGCTGAAGGCTATTGTCAAAATCAGAATCCCTACATCGTTGAAAAGGGTAGATGATTAGCCTGCAAGTCTGTATGATGCTAGTTAAGCGGATCATATGCAGATAGTATGGCATAAGATACAAGTGGTCTCCTGATAAGTCAACCCAATAGCTGTCACCCGGATATCATCGTACGGGTTCCTCGGATGAGGTGCAGATCAATTACTCTCGCCTCTGCATGCCTTCGACCTTTGCTCAATTGATTCGCTCATGCTTTTTGATGTTTTTTTTCAACCCCTTCTTCTGTGTCTAAAAAATGCGAAAGCAAAAGGTCAATTGGAAAAGCTAGTGTCCGCCATCCTTTCAGTCAAACATCAAGGGAAATAAGTTTTGGCAAGAAACGCAGTCTGAAATGCACCTGGTCAAAGAAAGTTGGGGGACATTCCACTGTCTTGATGGCTTGTAGTTATTCATGCTACGGATTTCATAGATAGAAGAGAAGTGCCGATGTAATATCTGTAGTTGCATGAGAGCCTAGCGATGAGATACTGACCTCATGATCGCATTAATACGTCCGCTGTTCGTCTGTTGGGATGTCCATGGCAATGATGTAAAAATGGTCTGATGTCGAGTCTCTGGTGCCGCCTACGGTGGGCCAGAGCCTTCCAAGAATCAGTATCTAAACTACGGGTATATGATTGGAAATACTTCGGGCTGGCTGGGTGGTCTTGGCAAATATACTTTGAATCACAATTGAGTAACAAGGGTATACTATTGGTGTGGTATTTGTGCCCTAGTTTTGTTCAAATTGCTGTGGTTGGATATTTCATATGGTTCTCGTTGAGGTCTGTTCTTTGCCTCTGATAAAGAAATTTCATGCCTTACTTTTATAATCATGAGAAATCTGCGGAACATCCACCGTTCTCTGATTCAAAGTCCGCAAAATAGTGAGCTTACAGCTTCTGCGTGGGACGTAAGCCAAGCTGGCAGTATCATCGCCACTTTTGGGCCGACCAAGGAAAATGCGCTGTTGGAACTCAAACGCTGGAACAAATGGGAGAAAACTTGGGCTCATATCGCGTCTTGGGATGCAGCAGAATCTGCCGAAAACTATGGCTACGACAGAGTTCTCGACCTGCATCACTTTTCTGACAATGCAACCAATGTCATCATCTTAGCTGCAGGAGATATTGTCGTTGTCCGGGAGGATCCACAATCCAGCGAAGAGAAGATTGAAATCGTCGGCACCGTCGATGCGGGCATCTCAGCTGCTGCTTGGTCACCTGATGGAGAGCTCCTAGTCATAAATACGTTGGCATCTACTTTGCTTTACATGACGAGGGATTTTGAGAATATCGTCGATCTAGAATTGACTGCTGATGACTTCAAAGCCTCAAATCATGTTTCCGTAGGGTGGGGAAAGAAGGAAACGCAATTCAAGGGCAAAAAAGCAAGAGCGTTACAGGATCCCACTGTTCCAGAAACCGTAGACGAAGGGATCTTGCATGAGCTTGATATCAAGACAGGTGCAAGAAAGACTGAAATCAGCTGGCGTGGAGACGGTGCTTATGTTGCTCTCAACAGTATCCAAGATTCCCGTCGTGTGATCCGCATCTACTCAAGGGAAGGTGCCCTCGAAAGCGTAAGTGAACCTGTCGATTATCTCATGAGTGCTCTTAGTTGGAGGCCTGCTGGCAACCTAATTGCGAGCATTCAGCGGCTGGGCCGTAACACTAAAGTAGTCTTCTTCGAAAAGAATGGACTCCGTCATGGCGAGTTTGATTTGCGCTTGAGTCAAGCAGAGACAGAGACTTGGGCTAAGGACATTTCTTTGAAATGGAACGTTGACTCATCTGTGCTGGCAGTGTGCTTCTTGGATCGCGTTCAACTCTGGACTATGGGCAATTATCATTACTACTTGAAACAAGAAATTACATGTCATTCACATCCAGGCCCAACGAAATCACAATATCATCTGGAATGGCATCCTGAGAAGCCTCTGACTTTGTTATTATACAGCGATCATCATGTAGAAAGACTCGTGTATGCTTCGCTCATATCGTCTGCTCCTACTTCTACTCCCGATGACTATGGTTTGGTTCCAGTCATAGACGGAAAAACTTTGAAACTTACACCCTTGAGGATAGCTAACATTCCGCCGCCAATGGCTTTACATGAGCTTGAATTGGCTAGGAATATAAAAGACGTAGCTATCTTGAGCATAATCAAAGGAAACGGGATACGGCAGAGTATTATCGCTGTTTTGAACGAAGATTTATGTTCGGTGTTTGAGTACGATGTGGTATCCAATGCCCTAGCGGCGCCAACGCTTACATGGCAATCAAGTTTCATGAGAACAGACGAATCTGCGTATGCGATGAGTCTTCAGATAGCTTCAAGAGCGGAACGATTCTTCGACATTCTTCACAATACTTTGGACGGGTTTTTCCTAACGACTGTGGATGTTTCGAGTGAAGCCACACAGTGGAACGTCGATCGTAGTTTCAATGTACCAGAGCAAACGGAAGTTTTGATTCCTCAAAAACGGACTATTAGTCCTGAACCTCATATTCTTGCAGATGGCCCATCCCTCTCCTCATCCTCAACGGTTGGATTGCCGCGGATGGCCCACGTAGATCCATCTTCAACCTTTAGCGTTGATGCGGTGGTGACCAGCATAGACCCCAGAAAAGGTAGCGATCCTGCATCACCGAACGGGAACATTGATGGCCTGACTTCTGAGCACTTGGTGTCTATCAAATTGGATGAAAATGGCCGTTTCTTTATCAAGGACAAGTGCATTGTCAAAGGTTGTACATCATTCATTACCACGTCAGCTCACCTCATATTCACCACGAAGACTCTACTGAAATTCGTTCATCTCAATGGTCGCTCTGATTCCCTTGATGTGCCTCCAGATTCACCGGAGTCGGATGAACGTTGCAGAAGCATTGAACGTGGAGCGAAGTTGGTCACAGTCATACCTACAATATCTGCGCTGGTCCTGCAAATGCCGAGAGGCAATCTAGAAACTATCTATCCTCGTGCTCTTGTTCTGGCAGGAATTCGAGAAAGCATCAAGCATAAAAGATATAAGCAGGGCTTGCTAGCTTGCAGAAACCATCGTGTCGATATGAATATCCTACACGACTATAATCCGAATCAGTTCCACTCGCACGTAAATTTATTCATTGATCAAGTCAAGAAAGTCGAGTATATTGATTTGTTCCTCTCTCAACTCAGGGAAGAGGATGTTACTGAGACCATGTACAAAGAGACATTGAAATCTTCCGATGGCAAGACACAGCACATTTCTGAGCAGGATATTAAGACAATATACAATTCTCAAACGATGGACTCTAAGGTCAATCAAATATGCAGGGCTTTCCTCCAAGCCTTTAGAAGTCGTTCTTTTAAGTATCTGCAAAGTACAGTCACGGCTTATGCCTGTATGTCACCGCCAGACCTGAGTGCTGCACTACTACATATTGCAAACTTACGTAAGAGTAACAGCGACCGTACGGATGCGATGATCGAACACATTTGTTTCCTTGCAGACGTCAACAAGCTCTACGACCACGCACTGGGGCTTTATGACCTAGAGTTAACTTTATTGATCGCGCAGCAATCTCAAAAAGATCCAAGAGAATACCTGCCATTTCTCCAAAATATCCAAAAGATGTCTGATTTGCGGCGAAAGTTTGCAATTGACGATCATTTGAGACGCCACCCAAAAGCTCTTCAACATCTCTGCGATTTAGATACATTTGAGGAAGTTCAAACCTACGTTGTTAAGCATGGACTGTATCATCAAGCGATGTCACATTACAAGTATCAACAAGAAAAGTTAGCACAGCTTACAAGGCTCTACGCTGATCTCTTGCAAAACCAAGGCAAATTCAGTGATGCAGGTATAGCTTACGAGTCTTTACGAGATTTTGCATCAGCAAGCGAATCCTATCGTCAAGCTCATATGTGGCAGGAAAGTCTCGCAAATGCTGGGCTTGCATCGTTCGAGGCAGAACGCTTGCAATCGTTAGCAGACTCTCTTTCTGAGACACTGGTGGAGACCAAAGATCTCCATTCCGCGGCTGTGATCAAGTTGGACTACCTGGAGGACATTCCGACGGCTGCCCGCCTTTTTTGCAAAGGCTATCATTTTGCTGATGCGATACGTATCGCGACTTTACATCACCGCTTGGATCTGCTAGAGTCGGTCATTGACCCTGGCTTGAATGAAGGAATGGGAACGATGACTGAGTTGCTTGCAGACTGCAAAAGCCAGCTCAACGCTCAAATCCCACGGATCAAGGAACTTCGAGTCAAAAAAGCTGAGGATCCATTTGCTTTCTGGGATGGCGACATTCCGGGGGGTGGTGATGTGCCTGATGACATCTCAATTGCGCCTACAGATGCATCAACTACGGGTGGCTCACTCTTCACCCGCTATACAAATCGGACAGGCACAGTCGGAACAAATGCGACCAGGAAAACGTCAAAGAATCGCAGAAGAGAGGAAAGAAAAAGAGCAAGAGGCAAGAAGGGTAGTGTGTATGAAGAAGAATATCTCGTGAATAGCATAGGGAGACTCATAGAAAGAATCAATTCTGTAAGTGACGAAGTCTCGCGGCTGGTAGTCGGCCTTTTGAGGAGGAGGATGACAGAGCAGGCTCGATCAGTGGAGGCTGCAATGTTGGAGATTGTGGATAGATGCCAAAAGTGTCTTGGTGAAGTATTCCAGTCTGAGAAGCCACAAGACAGAAATGACACAGGGCCAGGTGATAATAACATTCACATGTTTGAGCCGCCAGCTCGCGAGGACAGCTCCTTGGAAGTACAGGACGAGAGCAGCGAACCAAGAAAGCCACCAATAGTAAGAGATTTCAAGGGGCTTTCCTTACTTGGTGGATAAACAATGTCATGTCGTTGACTCTGATGCCTCACCTTTCTCATTTATGAGATGGTCCTGGATATTGACAGGACCATCTCCTACGCTTGTCATGATCACTCGGCTGATTCCATTGCGAAGAGTCTCATCCGCATGATTTGGTTCCCTTTTCAAGCCATTGCCTGATGAGACCCATCCTTCTTTACCGGTCAAGACACCGTCAAATCTACCCTCAACGACCGACCTGTTATCGGTAGTGTAGTATATTACAGCATTTGGACCTGCGTCAAATGTATAAGCCGCAACATCCCCTTCGCTGCTTGTCTTATTCATATCCTCCACGACTTGCATGGCAGCCCAGCTCACATCATTCGTGTATCGTATTGGCGGCTCTGTATCCAAACAACAAGCATGAAAATTATTACTATCTTTCATTGTCAGTCTCGCAAATTTTGCAAAATCTTTTCTCTTGATGGCATCCTCCATCTCCTTCATCCTCCCCGGTACCACCTGCACTCTTGCCTTGAATAATTCGGACGTGGCGACCGTGGCTTGCATGCCCGCTGTGGAGCTCACAGCTTTCTTCTCAGCACTCACTACCAATATCAGGGCTCTCATCTCCGGCCAATGCTCCTTCGACGCCACGATTCTGGCTTTGCTATCACTGCCATCATCTGCATGTCCAACATCCCAAGCCACGTAGCCTCCCAATAAACTCCGACACGCAGAACCTGACCCTTGCCTAGCGATCAAACTCAAATCTTCCGGTGGCTGCGGGAGCTCATACAAGTTCGCAATGGCTCTTATGAGCGCAGCAAAGCCTGCCGCAGAACTCGCCAGACCAGCCGCCGTAGGAAAGTTGTTCTTTGAGACAATCCGCAATGGTAACGTTGATAGAGTGGGGAGGGAGGTGTTGTTCGCTTCGAGCTCTGCACGTAGAGATCGCAGGCTTTTCAAGCAGGCGATTGAGCGGGGCGTCTCGAGGGATTGGTCGGCACCATTGAGAAGGAGTGAATCTGGTCCGGCATAAGTGGAGCTGCAGGATGCGGTCGTGTGAGTGCGAAGGTCGCGTTGCGAGAGGGTTACGGAGAGGGATGAATTGGTAGGGAGGTTTAGACGAGGGTCTCGTTTTCCCCAGTACCTGTAGGTTTGGCAATCAGTATCACGGTAGTGTATGAGTTGAGCAAACGAGGGGGAGCGGGAGTACTTGATCACAGCAATGTTGACGGGCGCGGTGGTGGACGCACGGTAGATCTTTGGATCGGCCATTTATGAAGTAGTTCAAGAGCTAGACCATTGAAGCTGCTTAATATAATCAAGGTCGAGAGCTGAAGTCAATGTCGTCTGGATGGCATGGTGTGGCTTCCTAGTGCTTGAAGCTTTGGCAGGTGCGGAGAAAATGCGGACTTCAAAAAACCCTTTTCCTGTATTGCTTTCTCCGTCGCTCCCTCATCAATCTTTCAAAGTTTCATTATTGAAGAAGATATGGGCAACCAGCCTTCGCTACATGTGAAGGAAGATCCACCACCTTCTCCAAACCCGCCGTCCGCATGCCCTGTCGACCACTCCGCTCGCAAAACCTACCTTGCTGCGGCATCAGAAAAGAAGAACCCCCCTACGATTCCACAACCTCACACTGAGGCAACCACGTCCCGCCCTCCACCAGCTCCCCGATTGAAGTCCGAAGAATCTCTAAGCGTCAACCGCGAAATCTCATCCATTCCCCGCGCCACCACCTCTCCTCCGACAACCACACCCTCGCCTACATCGCTTCCCGTCGGCTCCTCTGAATCACACCCCTCCAACCCCACTCCCTCAAACTCCAAAAACTGGATCTACCCCTCAGAGAAAATGTTCTTTGACGCCATGAGACGAAAGTCCTATGCACCTGAATCCCGCGACATGTCCGTCGTAGTTCCAATCCACAACGCCGTCAATGAGCGAGCTTGGAGCGAAATTCTCGCTTGGGAAACGAAATCCGCTCGCGCAAGGGAGCAAAACAAGAGATGTGGAGGCCCGCAATTGAGGAGCTTTTCTGGGGATAGTAAAAAATTGAGTCCGAGGGCAAGGTGGAAGAGTCTCTTGGGGTATTCGAGGCCGTTCGATCGACATGATTGGGTTGTGCAGAGATGTGGTGGTAAAGAGGGCGGAGAGGGGACGGTGGAGTATCTGATAGATTTCTACAAGGGCAGTGGGGGGCGTTGAGTTTCTATTTGGACGTGAGGCCGAAGTTAAATACATGGGAAGGGTGGAGGATGCGGTTAGGAAGGTGGGTGGGGTTGTGAAGTAACTCCGTATGAAGATATCTGTACACTGTCATGAACACAATCACGCCGCTCGTAACGCCTCTCTGATATGCCCTAAAAACCCATGCAACCCTCATGCGCCCTTGACTGCTTACATGCCGCATCAACCCAAAACCACAGCCAGTATAATGATGACTAGCACAATTGCAAGGATCACGAGCAAACAACACGCCTTCCCTCGCGCAGACTTTTGGTACCGATTCGCGCTCCTCAGCTCCAAATCCGCATGTCGTGTGTCTTGAGCCACATTTTGTACGTTATCCGCGATCGAGTCAATGCCAACACCCTGCTCATGCACTATATGTGCTACATCCCTGAACAGCTCATTCAATTCACCAACGCTTTGCTCAATGTTCCGGATCTCGGACTCGCGCTCCACTATGAGTGACTCTTGGAAGTCGACCTCATCTTGCGACGCTAGACGTGGCTGCTCCTGTTCTTGCGTCTGCTGAGGCTCATCTCTGTATGGCTGATCGCCTGACTCGCCAGTGTCTAGCGCTGCTCGGGCGGCGGTCGTAGAAGCTCGTTGTTTCTCGAGCGCTGTACGTTGTATCGATTGGAACTCGGTACCTGATGCTTGGAATTCACGGGATAGTTTTTGTTGGGTATATCTTTGCGATGCCTGAGCTCCAATCAGCTTTTTGTTTTGATTTCATTGCATTAAAACCATACACCCAGATCTTCCCACGTGCTCAGCTTCTTGACACCTTCGCCAGCCTTTTTGAAAGAATCCCGCGCGTCGTCGAGTAAATCATGTATTCGTTCCCTTACTCGATCCGTGTCCCGCTTCGTACCTAGAAGATTGATCTGCTGTGATAATTTACCGATCTTTGAGGTGAGTTCGAACAGCTGCTCGGATAAGGATTCGCTGAAGTGTGTGAATTCAGGGTCATCTCTATATTCTGGGTCGTCTTCGCGACGAAATGTTGTCGGCTACAGAGTTTGTGAGCATAATCGTACCTGTATCTCGTGTCGATTCACATACCTGACTTTCTAGGGCTGACGATCGTTCATAAGACATGGCAATTGTATGGTTGTGAGTAAAGAACAATGGCTCGAGATGACTTGCACTTGCCGCCTGATACTGACATCCTGTGGCTGAGGCGCTAGACCCTTTAGCGTTATCTTAGCGTATCACACAGCGCTAGTACTTAAAGGAACATCAACACTTCACTTCTTCATAACACCATAATAAAGTGGCGACTCTTTAGGAGGCGCGTGAGAGAGGTAGTCTTGGCAAAAGTATGGAGTGCACTGATTCAAAGGGTTGTACAGGCCCGATTGCATGGTTGCAGTGCCTGATCAAAAGATGATAAGTGGAAAAGTACTCTTCCTAAGATGTAGTTGCTTTCAAGCGGTGTCGAGCTCTTTCATTTCATGATAGCAAAAAAGTCATATGCCAGCAGCGGGATTTGAACTCTCGGCTTTCAGGATTTGAAAATGGCAAGAAGCAGGCGGAAACAGAGTGAATGTGTCTAACCACTTTCACGCTATCCGCTATACCCCCTCGCACCTAAGAGTCTCTTGGAATATTTCAATATATGTACTTTCAGTGTAAGAAGTGAATGTCAGCTCTCAAGCTGCCCGCTCTGCTGTTCTTCGCTCTTTGCACTACCTGATTTTCCTTCGCCGTTATTGCGAGGAGGCTATCCCCTCAACGTTATTTTAATTTCAAAGGCTTCTGCTATCACATCATGAACGCGGACCTCTCTTTTAGACCAAGGGATCCTGCAAATCAGCCAACTGAGGCTTCGTAGCCACAGCAAACACTTAGTATTAGACCAATATCCAATACTATTGCTACCACACCATCATTGCCAACTTTGGTGAGAGGGCAGCATTCAGCTGCTGCAACTGATTTTCTAGTTAATACACCTTCTATAAAGAACCAGAAGAGTCGGAAAAAGAAGAAGAGAAAACGCGATTTTGCTACTCAAAGAAACAGTATGTAATGCCATTGCCTTTAGCGACAAGCGAATAACGTAATAGGGACTTCCCACGGCTTCGCGTACGAACAGAAAGATATCTGTTCTTTAGATAAAGTCATTAAAGCTGCTATCTCGACGGCTAGAGATCGCCAAGTCATTGACCAGCACTGCCAAAATGCGCTCTCCAGAGCCAAGAATGCAATCTTGTATGGCAGCGGGAATCCCTCTACGCAACTCACCGCAGATCAAAGCGGCAAATTGATGGAAATTCTCAAAGCAAAGGTGTCAGCCTGGGTAGTACAAAACATGTTCAAGATAGAGGCAGGATGCCGGCATTAGTATTGCAGGAGATCGACGGCGTGAGACGCAAAGTGGATGAAGGGCTTTGGGACCTAGGCATTGTGAATCGCGGCATCTCTGTCATCGCTTCCGTGACTGTTGAGGACTACGTCGACAACCCGCAATTGCTGCGAAATGCAGATGAGGCAAAGGAAGATTCAGGCTCAGGGGATATGTCGAGCGTTGGGAGCTTTGGAGACGACGAGGAAGGAGATGTGCCTATTGAAGAGTGGCTAGAGATAAGGATGTGCCTCTTCAATAGTGGCTAGAGATAAGGATGTGCCTCAGTCATCGATAGCACAGCAGGGATATCCGCAGCGTAGATGTAGCTTCTGACTATTGCCCAACGACTGAAGCAGGCAATCGGCATTAATTGCAATTGTAACATTAGTAGTTCTCGTCTAGCAGAACAGTAAGATTGGCTCTGGAGACCTTCCCCTTCACTCTTAATATTCAAAGGTGCTATTTTGCCTATATCATGAAGACAGTCCAGAAGCTGCTTTGTGATATTTTAGTTACTCATCTGTATAAGAAGTGAGGACAGGGGTATCTCAGGGGCTTCTAGGCTTAGAAGCCCCCGAAAGCTTCACTTTCCGGGCTAGACCGAAGCCCTAAATGTCACTATACTTAGTTCCGACAGCCAGTTCAAACGATAGCCTTTTCTCCTAGTAGACTCAATGGCTTCTCGTACTACACCCTTTCGGATCTTGCAAAAGAGAGCATACAGTAATGCTGCGACAGCATCAACGCCACAGACATCACCTTTCAGTCCCAGGCATTTCCTTTCCACTGCAGACTTGTCATCCACTGAACTCACAACACTCGTCCGCAATGCACATGCCCACAAACAATCAATCAAAGCAGGCGCAATGCCGAAATCATTACTGGGCGCGCTATCAGGAAAGAATATTGCACTCATGTTCAACAAGCGGTCAACAAGGACGCGTGTATCCTCTGAGAGTGCAATTACTATGCTCCAAGGCCATACAATGTTTCTGGGAAAAGATGATATTCAATTAGGGGTCAACGAGTCATTGAAGGATACGGCAATCGTGATATCAAGCATGGTAGCTGCAATGGTCGCTCGAGTGGCAGCACATGCAGATGTGGCCGACTTAGCGACTCATTCTACCGTACCAGTCATAAACGCGTTAAGTGACGACTTCCATCCTTTGCAAGCGATTGCAGACTGCCTCACTATCTACGAATCGTTTGCGTCAAATCGAACGAACGCCAGGTCATCTGTACCTGGTCTTGGCTTAGAAGGTCTCAAGCTTGCCTGGGTCGGTGATGCCAACAATGTTCTATTTGACCTCGCAATAGCGTCAGGCAAGCTTGGGATGGACATGGCGGTAGCTACACCGAACGGCTATGAAATCCCACATCAAATGAGGGAAAACATTGTGAAAGGTCGAGGAGATGCGAGGACTCAGGGCAGCTTTACAGAAAGCCAAGTGCCAGAAGAAGCTGTCAGTGATGCGGACGTAATTGTCACAGATACATGGGTGTCAATGGGGCAAGAGGCCGAGCAACAAAAGCGACTCGCTGCGTTCAAAGGGTTTCAAGTGACGTTCGATCTTGCAAAACGGGGAAAAGCAAAGCCTGGGTGGAAATTCATGCATTGCCTGCCTCGTCACGCTGAAGAAGTGTCAGACGAAGTATTCTACAGCCCTGCGAGATCGCTTGTGTTCCCTGAAGCTGAGAACCGGCTGTGGGCCATGCTAGCTGTGTTGGAAGCATTCGTTGTCAATCATGGAAAGATTATCTAAGATATAGAAAATAAAAGATCCACTTGGATAATTCCAATGAAGGATCATCTTCTGCTTGTATTTTCAGTCAAAATTCTTATGACGTAGAAACCCTAGCATTCAGCCCTGAGGCTAACTACATGAAGCCCCGCAGCTCCGCAACGGTAATCCCTCTCCTCCTCCGCAACAAGCAGATGAAATCGTATCTAATATTAAGCAACGAAATATGGACGTTAGTATCTCTTTTTCAGGCTTCATAGTCTCTGAACAATCGCTTGGATCTCAATTGACATAAAATGCAGCACTCAGAATCCATCGCTACCCCCCTCTACACCCTCCCAACCTCACCGTCTTATATGCACATGGGTCCTTCCTTCCCGTCCACACCATCGCTTTTATCCCGCCACAACAGTCTGTCACACCTTTCTCTCTCCCGTCCGCAACCCAGCAATACGAAAGCCAGATACAACTCGAGATCACACGTCCAACTGCCAGCGTCAAATTCAAAACGACGGCGGCGATCCGCACATTATTACAATGTCGATAACGAAGATTGGCTCATGCGTACGGCCTCAGCGCTCATGTTATCGCGGCTGGAGGAGAAAGGACAGAGTTGGCTGGTAGCCAGAGATTCGAGCACAAGTCTGAGCGGCATCCAGAGCGAGCTTGGTGAAGAAACCACGTCCTTGGGGTCTGCAAGATCAATTGAGTCACATGAGGTAGAGCTTGGCCGTTATGCAAGCGCAAGAAGCTCTTTTCCCGGACCTGAAGGACGAAAGTTGAGCGGAGATATAGTAGCGAAGAGACTACATGAAGCAGAAGAGGGGGAGCGAAAGGGAGCAGCAGTGGAAGAGATTGCCGGACCTGTTTTTGTAAATGCGGAAGACAAAGATGAGATGCGTGCTATTGAAGAAAATGGATTCGTAGAGGACGACGAGATAGATGTGGATGAGAGTGAAATGAAGAGGATAGTCATGGCGAGGATCGGCGGCTGGGTAGGATGGGGTGTCGGGTGGATGGATTTCAGGGGTGATAGCGAATCAAATGAGGATGAGGATGAAGACGAAATAGAGATCTCCGATCACACAGAAGGGAATAGGAGAGGTTTCGATGCAACGAAAGTAAGAAGAAGGCTCGATCATCAAGCAAGACCTTCGGATCAAGACGAGGACGCACTGTTGGGGCTGCCACCTCCGCCATCCGGCGAGGAAGCTGGTCTGGTCAATGATGTCCGATGGCTAATCAATGTAGCCATGGAAGGTTTGCATTATGGTTGAAATTCCGATCGAACTTACATACGAATGCCAATCTTAACGTCCACGTCAACATCCGTCTCGTGATGTGGATTATCTACAACTGAAAGACTTGTGTAAGATCAGGATTTTTACAAAGTTGGCAGACGTCTTCGTAAGTGTATTTTTGTTGAGCTCCATCATTCACTCTCATGTCGCAAGTCCTTAATGCAATTTTCATCTCTTAACACAACACTACAACAACAAGGCTTGTACCATCCTTCTCCTCTGTCTACTTCACGACTTGATAGCCCGCGAATCATCTTTCTCAATATTCCTGCTCTACCAATTGCTGAGCATTCCTTCCCTTTTCGACTCTACAAACCGGGTTTTGAAGGTTTCAGAGCCAGTTCTCTCCTTTCGTTCTGCTAGTGTCTGTCGCTTCCAGCGAAAGTTCAACACTTCAACCCACCTTTCACCACTAAAACTTCAAAAGTCATCGACCATGAGTAATGGACCTCCTGCCGAATCTGGGCCAAAAGAGCTCACTGCAAATGATATGAGATTGGTCTCTATCGCAGTGGCGCATTGTTTGAAAAACCCTGAAGGAATTCAAGTGAGTCGAGTGCAAGCCCAAATCTTCATTTTAACCATTGGCCTCGTGACGCAAGCCATCCCGAGATCTCTGAGAATGAGGCAGATTGACTACGGCCTTCTCGCCAAACACCACCCTTTCAAGAATGCCGCCACCGCTAGCGTCAGCTGGAACAGAGTGAAACGCAAGCTGCTGAGTCTCCAAAACATCGACCCAAGCGTTCAATCTGTACATGGCCGTGGTGGCGCCAAGAACAGTGGGGGACAAACCAATGACGATGGTAATGAGGGAACCTCTACGCCTGTTGTTTCTAAGAAGGTAGGTCACTCCAAGCCGAAGCAGACAGTGAGCGCGGTCGGCATTAACAAACGACAGCGTGCACGCAGCCAGAAGGATAAGAGTACCCTTCCGAAAAAGCGCGCTAAGCTGGGGCCAGGAGGCGAAGAGGAGGAGGTTGTTGCTGATAGCCTTGAGGATAGTGACGAGTTTGTGAAGAAGGAGGATGAAGTCGACGGCGTGGATTTCGAGGGAGAGCCTGCAAAGACGCCCTTTTAGCACCTCACCAACATGAAAGGAGGAAGATACGGTCTCTCGACCAGCATGCTTTGACATCTATTCTCTATTCTGATCACATGAGGTGGCAAGATGAGGCGTGAGCATATCATAGTCATGTCGCGACGAAGGATGCGTGATCTAGTAATACGCTGCGCATTATTTCATCATTACACGCCAGTGGCTCCTTCTGAACGTCAGACCATGGCAATTGGTACGTAATCTTTCGTATTTGATGGTTGTACCTTCTCTCATTGTGGTCTGCGTGAATTGATGCCTTACTGTATTGTGGCAATGTGGCGCACGAGGCTTGCATATCTCATGAAGCAGAACTTGCAAATTCACGCTACCTGAGACACCTTTGAAAGTCTCACTCTCACAAGGCTGTCACTTCGACTGGCACTCGTGCATCGGCGAAACGATGAATGCTGTTAGTGACCTCTTTTCTCGGAGTAACATGAGCCTAGGCTTGTCTGGGCACACACTTCAATCTCCGTATTCACGCTCGGATGTTCTTTGACCGGTGAGGGCTAGCAGTGAAGACTCTATTCCACTCTTGTGAGACAGCGTAGGGTGGTCACGCTGTCTCAATGAAGGTAGGAAATCCACTTTCCAGCTTTCTTGTGAAGACATGACGAGGCATTGTCTCAGCAAGCATAGGCTCGATTGTCAAGTTCACTTGCTATTATTGAGCCATGATTATCCTTCACTCTCAAAAGATTGAGTCACGAGGCATTGTCTCACTCAGTACGGTCTTGATTATCCGATCTGCTGACTTTTAACAAGTTATGATAGCATTCACACGCGAAATACTGTATCACGAGGCAATGTTTGAGTGAAGATGTCCTTGGTTGTGCTCGCTATTGGCAAGTCACGGTAACACTTCACGTGGAGTGAGACAGATCACACGTTCAGTGATCAAGCTGAGACAAGTTTGCCATTGACAAATTTGCCACACCTCTCCTATAAAAGCAGGCCTCTCCCCCCCAACTTTCTTCTTCCTTCCACATCCTCTAGGTCAAGGTCAAAACCTTCCATCAGTCAAGTTCACCCCTAGAGGGTCATAAATACATATATATATATATATATATATATACTACCTATCTCAGCCATCGGTTGACGTTTGTTTGTATCCGGAGATATCTGATGTTCACTTCAAGCGATGCGTCAATGCTGCTCGTATGTTCATGACCCTGGAGAGCGACCAAATGAAGAAATTACACCATCACATTCTCTGTCTGGACCACTCCTCAACAAAACCAATCAACTTGTTCTTCGATGACCCCAAACTGACCACGGAGCAAGAAGCCAGCCTGAACGCCATTCTGCGCAAAATGACACCTGACCAACAAGAAGTCTTACAGTATATGATAGGGTCGCAAAACCTCGTTACGATGGTCCAAGGTCCGCCAGGTACGGGCAAATCAACTTTAATGGCTTACTTTATGGCAATGTGTCATGTCATGGAATATCCGACCTTGTTTACCGCATCATCAAACGCCGCCGTCAACGTTCTAATAGACAAACTTCAGGATTTTGATGACGAGTGCAAAGAAGAGCAACATTTGATGGTCAACGGGACTCGATTCTATAGTCAGCATCTCGAAATTGCTATGATTATGCGCAATTACCAAGAATTGCATGGAACACTTAAGCCGCCTCCAACTTTAGCAGAAGATTCCAACAACCCCATGGTGCAACATGCCAGTAGCTCACTGACGGTTCGCAACACGTTAGCAGACGACGTAGCTATCAATCGTCCGAAGCTCGAGTCATACGGTCTTTGGAGGAAAGCATTGCAGATGGCTGGTGTCATGGACAATGATGGCAAAACCCTACCATCTTCTCTTGTGATTGAAGACAACCCATATCAGAAGTTCCTTGACGCCTTCTACAGTCCTCATGCTCTAGATAACGTCCCGAATCTCGAGTCAATGCCAGACGAAGGGGCATACAATCCAATGCCAGGCTTAGATCAGGCTACTGACGGCAAGTCCGCCGACGGAAAAGATGCTGATGATCAGACACCTGAGATCAGGTTTCCAGAGGAAAAGCCCACCGAAAATGCTGATGATCAGACACCCGAGGCCAAGTTTACCGAGGAAGAGCCCACCGAAAATGCTGATGATCAGACACCCGAGGCCAAGTCTACCGAGGAAAAGCCTACCGAAGATGCTGAAAGTCTGTTGACGCTAATGAAGAATCTCTGTGCATCCGCCGTTCGTGCCTATCCTTACATTTGCGCTTCAAATTCAAATACGGCAACACCATGGCTCAGAAGTGTTGGATTTCGTGTTGGCGCAAATGATGAGAGTGCACAATCAGGAGAGCTTGACGGTCTGCTACCTAAAGTCCACAACGTCGATACCTCAGAGCTTTGGATTGACATCGGAGATCATAAACAGCTACCACCCACCGTCATCTCAAGGTATCACAAGGACGAAAAAGATGCTATCGTCAACATATGGGCCGAGCAGAAATCGGTGCTGGTCGAGGGCACGGAGATCAGAGACCAATACTACTATAAATATATATACTAATTGAACAGCAAAGCCTTTTATCGAGGCAAATTGACCGATGGGCCTGGAACCGCTCTCGATAAGCGACAATTCGCACGACAAGTTCTAAGATTCATGCACGGTGAATACGGCGTTACCTCAACAGTGCCCTTTTTATGTCTCTCTGTTCCGGATGGTGTCTGCGTGAGATCATCAACAAGATCTAGATCAAATCCTCACAACATTGCCGTCATACTCGATCTGATTGACCGCACAATTGCGAGAACAAACCTTAAGCTCGAAGACATTGTCATTGTGACTCCGTATCGCGACCAAGTTGCTGAACTCAAGAGGGCGCTAAGATCGGTTGAACTCCCAGACATCAGAGTCGTGACTGCCGACAGTTTTCAAGGCGGTCAAGCTCGAATGATAATCTTCGACTCCGTTGTCGCTAGGCTCCGTGGCGGAGGCTTAGGCTTTATCACAGATCCTCGGCGATTGAATGTGTCCTTGTCGCGTGCTCTAGATTTCTTTGTGATGGTTTGCGACCATCGCTCTTTCGAAAACGTCGACCAGTACGAAGTTGGTGATGAAGATGCAGACATCGAGACTGGCAACATTGTCGGCGCCTCCCTCAGTTGGCGTAAAAGCTTTCAACAATCTGTCGAATACTATCGTGACAAAGGCGTGCTAGTGGCTCTTCCTGACACGAGCCCCGGCCCATTCGCTCGATACGTCAACATGAGCAGGGCTGATGAGTACATAAAGACCCTCAACGTGTGCAAAAGATGCCTGGAACTCGGTCACAAGGCGGCAGATTGCACTAATGAACGCGTCGCTACCAAAGACACTATTTGCAAAAATTGCGATCAAAAGGGCCATTTCAAGGACACCTGCCCTGCTCCTGCTGATTTGAAGGTTCAATGCCACGGATGCAATGCAAAGGGGCATCGTAAACGCGATTGTCCACAACGTCAATGTTCAAAATGCAAGGGATACGGTCACATCGCACAAAATTGTACTCAACCGCCGGGTTGTAATAGGTGCGGCGAGATAGGACACACTCAGAAAGAGTGCAAGTACAATCGCCATACCTTCCAGCCGTCAACAAAGCCGGCGAATGCAGACCAAGCCAAGGCATCGAAAGAAGCCAAGCCCAACAAATCTGTGATGCTGGCACCAACCAATCCTTATGAGGATCCTCAACAGGCAGAGAATTCAGGCGAGACTTGGAACGTTGACCATGAGCAACAATCACAGACTGACAATGATCAAGGAGAATGGGGTGAGACTGGTCAAGGAGGATCGGGTGAGACTGGTCAAGGAGGATCGGGTGAGACTGGTCAAGGAGTATGGTCTGGGAATGCTCTAGGAGGATGGAGCGGGAGCGGGAGTGGTAAAGGAAGATGGGATGGGAAACCTCTAACAGGATGGAACGAGGAAGAATTGGGTGGTAATGCTCAAGGAGGATCGGGTGAGAGTGGTCAAGGAGGATGGAGCGGGAGCAGGAGTGGTCAAGGAGGATGGTCTGGGAATGCTCTAGGAGGATGGAACGGGGATGAACGAATAGCATGGGGTGGTAATGTTCAGCAGCAGTCCATGGACGATCATGACTCTCATGGGTCAGGTGGAGGGAAAGGCGATGGAAATATTGATGACAACAACGGGGGTGACGATAATCAACAACAGTTAAATACTGGATGCCGAGGGGGAAGAGGAGACCATTGTTGACGATAATGACTGCAGATGAGCAAAAAGGGGGTTCTTATGTCTGAGTGTTGTCCTTGCCCATGGTTTCAAATCAGAGTCCTTCGGTCGAGAAACATCGGCGCACTGGGCTTCAAGCTTCCGTGCGCTTCTTTTACAAAGAGCTTGTACTCTAATTCTGCTCCAGAAGGAAACCGCACTAACACAATATGAAGTCCTTCTCATCAATGTATCCGAACTCTTAGTATAATTATGAATCATCTCACGTTATAGATGCCGCAAACCCATATGCAAGCCGTCACTCCAACATACCATGCAATGAACGCTAGCCTCCGGCCGTCTCATGCAGAAAACACGTCGTAGTAGATGCCTCTTTATAACTTCCATACTACCATGGTCCAACACGAACTGAAACATTGGATCCATAGTTGCCACTGAGCAGCTCCTGCCTCACATTACTCCGCTCGCCGCTCCCCTGCGGCTGGCCTGTGCCTATCCAGCCGGATACTCTGCTCAGCTCATCGACTGCCTCCTGCAATCTTCCTGCGCTTGTCGCGTTATGCTTGTTGATCCTCTGCTCCCACCCTTCGTACTTCAACTGCATGCCTCCTGCTCTCTTGCCAGCCTCTCGTATTGCCACAACCCAAGCATGACTGACTTCCTCATATGCCTCTTGTTTATGTAGGTTGTTCTGGAAGCTCTGCCATACTGGCAGTCGATGTATGACTTCCGTCGCTCCATCAAGAAACTGAAGTGAGGTGGAAGCTTGCGTCTCATTCGGAGGTAGGAAATGTGGAACGAAATCCGCCAGAGCATCTAATAGTTGCATAAGAGCTGGGCGAACTCTGTTGTAGGCGTAATCGGATGTGTGGTCTCCACCGAAGGGAAACGAATCTGAGAGAGCCGTCTCGTATGTTTTCAGCACCGAGAGTGCGGAGGCCACGCTTGGTCGTGGTGAAGTGGCTTCGATCTCTTGCTTCAGAGTAGGATGCCGCATACATATTTCCTGAAGGGCGCCGCGTAGAGCGTTCGCATCTAGAGTCTCCAGGATGCGGGTGAAAGAGAGGGGACGGCCCAAAGGCTCTGTACGAGACCGTTTGGGGCTTGGTCTTTGATGGGATGCGAGGGGAAGAGTGTGAAGCCGTGGAGAGGGAGTCATACGGATGTCGATCGGGTCATCATCCTCGGCTTTTCGTTTTCGAGATTGGCCTGGGTGGAGGTGTGACACTGCGGGAGGAGTCAGCATGCTTCAAATGTTTACCAGGTTGATGCTGACTGGAGCGTGATGGAGAGAGGCGAGGGTTCTGTAGATGGTGGGGAGGAGATGGTGTTGCTAAAATACTGTTCATGATGAGAGATGGAGCACTGAGAAACACGATGGGCGTGTTGTGTCTGAAAGGAAAAGGAAGGAAAGGAAAGAGGTGTTGGGCGGGAGATGTGGCTCTCGACTCCTAAAATGGTCTGGTGGTTGGACATCTTGGCATTGGAGGATCTGGTCTCACAATGGCCAATCAAACAAAGAACCAAACAAAGACAAAGTCGAAACACGTCGAATAAGACGAAACACACGTAGCTAAAGATAGTGTTACAGGTATTGTATGCTACATTGGCTATCAACCGTCTACGGCGCCAGCTCTCACTGTTCATGTTCATGCTATAGGTACAGACTCTGGGCGGCGACCAGGTCCCTTCGGATCTTGTTCAAAGATTCTTCAAATTTCTTTTCAAGTTCCGAGTTCCCCATGACCTTTGCAGCCTGAGCAGTCTGCCTCAGTAGCTCCTCGAGCCTTCTGAACAAGCGGATTAAGCTACCTTCGTAAACGTCCGTCATTTTACAGATTTCTGCGAAGGTCTTGCCATGCGACCAGGCATAGACGACATCCATCAGCTGATGTTTGAACGTTTGCACATACTCATCTTCAACCAGAGGCAACTTGCTCTCTTGAGAGACGCGTGCAACGATTCTAGCCTTAGCTTGTATCTCACGGTAAGGTTTAGCCAGCTCTTCTTTGAGTGCTGGTGCTTCGGACTTTTCCTCAAAGATGAAGCAACTCAGCACCGCTGCACACAGTTCTGGCGTGAGCTCATTGAAGAAGCCATCGAAGAGCAATTCACTGAGGAGCAATTCATCGCCAGTCGAAATTTCACATGCTACACGAGCTTTGAGCTGGACAACTTCTGCATCGTTGATGAAGCCAAAACGTCGTAACACGCGTTTTCGACATTTCAACTCATCAAGTTGCATGATAGAAAGTGCTTCGGTGATCTTCCGTTTGACCGCTTTGATCTTGTCAGATATGACGACCTTTTCAGCGTATTGATCATAGAGATTAGGGAGGCGTGGCGAATTGTGAAGTGGATTCGCAAGTAATCGCGACTCTAGAACCTCAATTTTCTGTGGTCTGTCAGCTGGAAATCAAAGTAGCGAGATCGTCTCCTTACTCTGAGCAATTTTTTGAACGCAGCGTCTGTGATGCCCATGTTTTCGATTGGGTCTAGGACCGCGATTCCATCCGGGAAGCGCCGCTTCACTTCGTCGAGAGACTTGCGAACCGAGTTTCTCTGATCAGTAGATTTTAGGTCAGAGGGTAAAAAGATCCTGATGTGACCTATTGATTCAACGCAAGACAGCAATATCGGGACGACTTCCATCTTTCCCTTCTCGCCTCTTGCCACAGGACGTACGCCTGGAGGTAGCTCATCGTGCGTCTTTGTTCCAATTGAAGAATTGTCAGCGACTTGCAGAAGCACATCTAATACGTACATTTGTTGGGGCGGTACATCATCAAGCTTTTGCCCTCGCTCAAGACTCCTGCGCGTGTAATTTACTATAGCTCCCCAACCAAAGTCGAAGTCCATGTGTTTTATTCGTACTAGCCTACCAGACTGCATGAACTGTATGCTGTAGTTAGGATGATTGATAATGTCTCGCATGTCTTTGGAATATGTGTTCAGTTGTGCTCGTAAATCGTAATATTCTTTGATCGTTGACTCCTCCGATATCTGCATTTCTGATCTCTGGACCTCTAGATCATGCAACTCTTTTTCCAAGCCAGATACACTGGCTGTATTCTGGAATTGGTAAAAGCATCTCTCCAACATAAATTCTGGCGAGATGCCTTCCACCCTCATGAGATTGAGTATCATATTGTAGCCCAGATAGAAGGCAGAGTTGAGCTTGTCTTGCTCTCCCCGGACAATGTCTTTGGCTATGGAAGGTTCCATTTTCTCATCAATCATCATGATGACAATACCACGTTCATCTATACCACGTCTACCAGCGCGACCAGACATCTGAACGAACTCTGACGGCGTGACCCATCGTTGTGTGACGCCATCAAATTTCCGTACACTCGTAAAGACAACTGTTTTTGCAGGCATATTCAAACCAATAGAGAACGTTTCCGTGGCGAAGAGCACTTTGATGAGTCCCTCCTGAAAAAGGATCTCAATGGTCTCCTTCAGAATTGGTAGCAGCCCCGAATGATGTATCCCAATACCACGTTTTAACAGAGGCAGGATATTTTGAATCTGCGGTAGCTTTTTGTCCTCTTCATTCAACATGTCAAGAGCACTATTGAAAACTTTGTCTACCATCGCCTTCTCCGTGGGATCATTGAAGGTAAGATTACTCATTTGCAAGGCATATGCTTCGCATTGATTCTTGCTGAAACTGAAAACAATGACTGGGTTGTAGCTTTTCATCATAATCATCTTCACAATTTTGTAAATGTCTGAAGGGCCTTTCGTCCCGCCTTTGTTGAGCTTCTTATTCTTACCTCTCCCTTTTCGCCGCGCCTCTGCATCGTTTGGATTGTCTCCCGCCTTCTCTGCTATTGTTGCCATCGCCTTGTTAAAGTTCTCTTCACGAAAGTTGCCCTTCTCATCTACGATCAAATGGATTCCATCTGCACCGGCAGGGAAGAAATAGTGTTGTAGAGGAGTGGGTCGGAAGTCAGTATATACCACGTGCACAGGCTGATTATGTGTTTTCGTGATCCACTCTGCGAACTGCATCGCATTTGGTATTGTTGCCGAAAGAAAGACATAGCGAACTTTGTCTGGGAGGAGTATGATGGTTTCTTCCCAGACAACACCTCGTGACTTATCTCTTAAATAATGGATCTCGTCGAAGATGACCCATTGGACTTCACGCATGATCTCAGAACCTCTATATAACATAGAGCGCAAAATCTCCGTGGTCATAACGAGGCAAGTTGCAGTTGGATTGATTGTAACATCCCCAGTCATAAGGCCTACATCACCGAATTCAGCCATGAACTCGCGATATTTCTGATTACTCAGTGCCTTGATGGGACTGGTATATATGACCCTTTGATTGCTTTTCAGACTTTGTGCAATAGCATATTCGGCAACAACAGTCTTTCCTGCACTCGTATGAGCAGAAACAAGGACACTCTCGCCTCTTTCAATAGACGCGATCGAGACTTGTTGAAAGGGATCGAGCGTGAATGGCCAGGTTCTTGCAGGTGTTTCTGGTGCTTTGTGTTCTGATATGGGCACATATTCATAATCAGGCGGCAACGCAACCTGATGCCTGACCTGATGAGATAGAACAACAGCAGTGCCCTCTTTCGAGGCTTGAAGCCCAGCAGATGCCGCGACTTCTCGCGATTGTTCGGTCTCAAAGGTATCAGTGACAAGCGGTTCTGGTTCAGGGTCCTTCTTCTGTCGCTTTGGACTGTGTTGGACATTGCCATTTAGCTCTTTTGCATCGTTATCTGACTCTGGTTGCGCATCTGGCATAGGCGAATCCACGGTGCCATTCGTAGGACCATCGATATCCTTGGGCTCACCATTTGCAAGGCGCTTTTTATTTCTATCTTTTCTGGGCGTACGCTTCTCGGGAGGTGCTTTGCTGGCAGCTGACTGATCATCAAAGACATCAAAGAGTTCATCCATTGTACGAAAACGCCGACAACTGTCGTTACAACATCTGAGAGGCGGGTGCAAGCTCTGTGATGTGAATTGACGGTGGAGACGCAGTAGAATTTAGAGCCGAAGTTTGGCCGAAAACCCTCGCCTAGCTTCTCCGCAATTGAAGTATTCTTTCCCCAACCTCACTTCATCACTGCCACTCATCCTCCACAAGACCATCGCAAAGAGGAGGGTTCGCACAAGCTCACAATGGGAGATGAAGAAAAGCGCAGTTCGAAGCGGTCGAGGTTCGATCAGACCGAGCCTGATCCAAGGAAGACCTCAAGATTCGACAGGAGATCACGCTCCCCACCCTCAAGGCTCCCTGATCGTACTCGGAGTAGAAGTCCAATCTCGGCAAAATCACCTTTGAGTCCAGGTGCAGGTGGTAGACCGGATGCTGCATCCGCTGCAGGTTCGTGGACGATGGACAGATGACAACTACCCTAGACTAATTAGGACTATAACAGCGGCCGCAGCTGCACGCATCAATGCTCAAATACAAGCAAAGAAAGGAATACAGCATGTTGAGGTCCCCCCAATCCAAAAGGCGAGATAGAACAAGTTTGTGCATTAGGCCGTTCCCAAGCTAACTTCGGTAGACTGAAAGTCCTGGACCGAAATCTGCGGCCTCGCCTGCCCCGTCGTCATCCACTGCAGGCAAGCTAGACAGTGATATGTATATCAATGATGGTGACTACATCAAAGACATTGAAGTCAATGATCTTCGAAACCGCTACACTTTGACCAAAGGGTCAACTCAAAAGACGGTAAATATTCCTGCATCGTTTGCTGATAATCCCAGGCTGCTTCATGCCGTGAGAAGACTTCTTTGAACTTGCATTCTCTTTCACCGCGCCCTTGTGGGAAGTTTTAGAAGCTTACTCGATTTCAATATAGCACACTTTCACCCCTCTTTGCCACCTGCTGACCTCAAATGCGTGATATCTAGATTAAAGAAGAAACTGGCGCTGGTACGCTCCTCTATCTGAATTTAAACAACTTTGAAAGGCTCAGTAATGCTTATGGTGTAAAGATATCACTACAAGGGGAAACTATTACCCAGACAAGAGCTTGGCCACAGCAGCTGTAAGCAGACTCCTGTCTACACTGCAATATGTCTGATAGATACCAATGGTGCACAGAACCCTCCCCTTTACCTTCACATTACCAGTACCTCCAAAGAAGGCCTCGAACAAGCTATTACGAAAATCAATGAATTGATGAAGCAAGAGCTCCCCAATCTGGTAGACGAACGGCGCTTTCGACGACGCGAACCCGACCAAGTCGAACGAGACGAGTTTGGAAGGCGCAAGTGGCCTGAAGAAAAGATACCCATCGACCTTGAACCATTGCCAGGCTTCAACCTGAGAGCTCAAGTCGTTGGACACGGCGGTGCTTATGTGAAGCACATCCAAGGAGAGACTCGTTGCCGCGTTCAAATCAAAGGGAGAGGCTCTGGATTCACAGAGCATGGCACCAATCGTGAGAGTGATGAGTCCATGTACCTACATGTCGCGTGAGTATCCCTTGTGCCCTTTTTCCGCATCGATCTAATTTTCTCAGCGGCCCAGATCCCAGTGAGGTTCAAAGGGCCAAAGATCTTTGCCTGGATCTTCTCAACAATGTGCGAGAGCAGTACAATCACTTTAAGGAGAATCCACCTCAGCGTGCCGGCTTTGGTTATGGGCAAAATCAGCAACCTCAGAACCCTTATGGTGGCTACGGTCAGCAGCAGTCCTCGGGCTATGGGAGCTACGGAGGCGCCCAGTCTCCTACTCAAGCAGCACCACCTGGCACATCTGGTCCGCCCGGTGCTAGTAGCCCCGGTGCATCCGGAGCAGACTATGCAGCGCAGTATGCACAGTATTACGGAGGCCAAGATCCATACGCAGCTTATGGTGGCTATCAAAACTATGTAGCTCAATACTATCAATACTATCAGCAACAACAGGCACAGCAAGGACAGGATCAGAGCGCGCCACCGCCTCCGGGAGAGGATGCTCCTCCGCCACCTCCACCAAGCGGATCACCTCCCAATGGAGGCTATAGTTCAGTAAGTATCTTCCCGCTAGCTAATGAGGTCCTGCAGATATGTGCAGGAAGTGACCGCTAACCATCAACATTAGGTACCACCACCTCCTGGAATGTGACAAGCTTTCCCTGTCGGCTTCGTGTTGGCTATTATTTGTGGAGTAAAGTCGTGCTACTACAGCTTGTGCAGTGTCATAAGACTACCAAATAGATGCCGACTTCTGAATGCGGTAGTGTCATTGATTGTGAAGTCTTCTCTATAAAGACTACCTCCTTAGGCTTCCTCGAAAGCCAGGTGCAACGGAAGCTGGATGACTTTGGAGGAAGCGAAACGCAGGTCCGTAGGAATTATCTCTAGTTTATGGATAGGTAGTCCTGTAATACATCTACATTTCTCCACAAAGGGCTTCAGCATCCATCATCCTTGGCTGATATGCCTACATAGCTGCCTTTTGTGGGTGTATTCAAATCATTGATTGAAATACACGCATGAATTACGACCATAGGTCAATGCTGCGTGGCTTTGCACTATTGTACGATGCCCATTATACTTACATAATTTCTCATTGTAGCTGATGACGCTCTCTATACCCTGACTGAGGGCAAGGTTTTGTCGACAAGGGAGCTTCAGGGGCTGCTAGCCGGGGCCAGCTTGCCTGGAGCGCTCACTAGAGGATCTCCAAGCGAAGAATAGGGGCTCAATTTTCGTCCTCCATTGTGGTCTCTTTTCCACGACTTCATTTGACTGGCACCCTGCAATTCACTCGTAGCGCAGACTTCTCATGGTATCAGTCATCTCAATCGCCCGCAATTCGGTGTTCGTAGAGACTGGTCTTCATCTACGTATTGACAGCTGATCTGATAACTATTCCCTGTTGCAATGCTGCTCGTATCTGAGCATCCGCTGCTGAGACTCGCTCTTTCCTTGTGTAGAAATCCTAAGCATTGCAGAGTCACTTGAGTCTTTTTACAACAGGTCAAGCATTAAAGCAAATCAGGTCAAGAGATGCCTTCCACGCGCTCGGGCAAGAAGACTAATGTAGATATCGATTTCCCACTACGGAGAGTGTTTGGAAAGACGAGTTTCAGGCCATATCAGCGGGAAATCATCACCGCTGCATTGGACGGTAATGATGTCTTCGTTCAGGCTGGTAAGAAGTGTCCCGACTATCCAGTAATCTTGATACAATGCTGGGAAGCAAGCTAACAGATCGTCAGCCACCTCATTTGGGTGCGTTAAGTCGCATCTGTCACGAACGAACTTCTCTTAATTTCTCTTAGGAAAAGTCTCTGCTACCAGCTTCCAGCAGTCATCGATCATGGTATCACCATTGTTGTGTCGCCTTTACTAGCCTTGATGGGTAACCAGGTTGATGCGTTGAATGCAGCCAACATTCCTGTTGCTACAATCAACTCGAATACTCAATTTGTAGATAGAGATGAGATCATCAAGGATCTCTCTTGTGGTGAGTAGTCCCCAAGAGATAGCTGGAAGCTCACTCAGTCCAACTAAGGCCATCCACGAACACGTCTCCTATATGTAACTCCTGAGCTAGTCCTCACCGACACGTTCCGAAGAATGCTCGGCATCGTCTACAGACAAGGCGAGCTCGCTCGCGTCGCCATAGACGAAGCCCACTGCATCTCAGAATGGGGCCACGAATTCCGTCCAGCTTATCGACACTTATCTCACTTCCGAGCCAACTATCCCTTGTTACCCCTGATTTGCCTTACTGCTACAGCTACACCATCCGTTCGATCCGACATCATCAATGTCCTAGGTCTGAACGAGAATACCACAAAGACCTTCATTACATCAACTACCCGTCGAAACCTTCATTACCAAGTCCATTTCGCCTCTGACACTGACGACATTCGCTTTAGTCACCTCGTCAAATTTCTGCAGTCCATCTACGCCCGACGAGCCAATGACCCAGACCGCCTAGCAAGTCTAGAGAGCACTCGCCCCTCCGCTGTAAGTGGCGTCATCTACACATCTCTCCGCTCGGACTGTGACAAACTCGCCGCCCGACTCCGAAAGAACGACATCAGCGCTTCGCCCTATCACGCAGGTCTCTCAACCTCGGAACGAGCCGAATGCCAGCGCAAGTGGCTGGAAAATGCTGTAGGTTACGATATCATTGTAGCTACGACTGCATTCGGGATGGGGATCGACAAGCATGATGTCAGATTCGTGGTGCACTGGACGCTCCCGAAGAGCTTCGAAGGTTACTATCAGGAGGCTGGTCGCGCTGGTCGAGACGGTGGCGCTGGTTTATGTCTGCTATTCTATTCTCGGGAAGATCGGGATCGTGTGGGCTATCGGGTTGCTTTGGGCGCTAACAAAGACGCTGGCAATCAAAGTGGCAATAAGAAGAAGATGCAGCGAGTCGAGGCTCGAACGCAAAGTTTCCAGGAGCTTGTCAAGTATGCTGAGCAGACCGAACGCTGCAGACATAAAGTTATTGGAGAGTTCTTTGGTGAGAAAGATGTTGAAGGGTGTGATAATGCTTGTGATTGTTGCTTCACGCCGTCGGGGCAGAAGACATTGAAGAGGAGAAAGGAGGAGGGATTGAGTAGTGAGGAATGGGTCAGTACGCAGAGAGAAAGAGGGGACTTCTATGGAGATGAATATTATGAGTAGTCGCCTACAGCTTATTGAATCGGGATATCACTGAGTGATTTGGCCGTGGAAGATGATATCAGCATGTTCGAGAAGGCAGAAATTAACCACTACAAACTACGCAAAAAATGAGACAGAAACGTTCTAGATAGTATCCCGGGGGAAGTCGAGAGTTTAGATTACCAACTACAGCATCCTTTATTCCGCCACGGATAAAGGCGCTTTTCCTTTAGTATGTGATAGGTACAACAACCAGTCCTAGCTACATTGTAATGCTGTAACAGCCCATCCATAAAGTCTCAACCCGAATGAGGTTCTCCAGAGAGCGCAACTCCTCAGATAGCACTCCCTTCAACCTGTTCAACCCCCTCCGCGCCTTTTAACCAAGCCACTCTTGTCTTCCCATACTGCTCAACACTCGGTTTCAGTTTCGTCTCAGCCAGATGGAAATCATCCACGGTCCCAATCCTTAAGATACTCATTCCCGGAAATTTCGCGCCGACACGATACATCAATGTTCCGCAGGTCGAACAGAAGTGATTGGTCATCTCTTTCCCTGAGGCGATCGAATAGGTTGTGCTATAGGTCTTCAAGTTTTCCTGGCCGCGGAGGTGCTTCAGGTGGGTGTCCTGGACGGTGAAGTTGGAGGCGAACATGGAAGCGGTGAGTTTGCGGCAATCACTGCAGTTGCAGAGAAAGCTCCCGACGAAACCCTCACCCTGGGTTGGCTGGGGTGGATTAAAATGTCAGAAGTAGAAATATTTTAGACCAGATCAAAGAGGTATGGGAAGAAAAAGATAGCGAGGCGATATTGACACGAAGAAAAATCGCTTGCTGGACTTACGAATGCTAGTTGGACAGCGCCACAGAAGCATGTCGCTGTCGCTTCGTCCTCCTTACTCCATCCATCGTTGGCGCGACCGCTCAAGGGAAAATAGGGCTTCGAATTGTCCGAATGAGGGGCGTCAGTGGAGGTCATGGTGATATGCTTTGTGAGAATCTTGGGTCGCTAGAATTACATATTCAGAGAAATTGGTGGTAGACTGGTACGCTTTATATAGAGCCAGAATCATAATTATTAATGAGGAATGGATAGGCACAAACAGATCTGGATGATCTACTGCTGATCGGTGACTTGCATATTCCTCCCGCTGATGTCGATTGTTAAGCATATCACGCTTTAACGTATGATCCGTTGGAGCGTGCAAAAGTCAAAAGGCAAAGATTGCGAGCCTCATCATCAGGGAAATTGATACCGATTCGAGACCGCTTAGTTGCCGGGTACGCTTGAGTATGCCATGATTTCTTGTTCAACATTGTATAGATGACTGCTTCTGTGTTCGAGATCAAAGAAATCGGTGAAGGATATGAGCCCAAGAAGGCTGACGAGCCATATGATATGTAAAGTCAATGTCAAGAGGTCGAATTCGCCCATCGCTCTTGTTGGCCCGCGACATGTTCAACGTGATGCGATCGAATTCGGGTATCTCGAAGCGAGGCATGCACAAATACAATCAGGCTAACGAAGACGCATGGTGAAACCTGTCAGTAAGAGTATAGACACAACGAATGAGAGTGCAAACAGAGACAGTAGACGTCTTTTTGCAGGCATGCAGAACGATAGGTAGAAAGAGTATTGACTTTTTCGTCAGGAAGTTTTCACCAGCAGGTCTTACTAATCCAGACACAAACACTGCGAAGACGATATTGATTGCATAATCAATTATCGCACTGAATGAATGCCCACGTTAAATATTTAGTTATGAGCGGGCAGACAGGCTTGGAGGGAGACATTCCTCGAGCCTTCCTATTCCGACCGGGAAGGAATGCCAAGCATTTGTCGCTAGAAAAACGTCACTGTTCCCGCTGCCGCCAGCTGCTTCTGTCAATTCGTGATTAGCAATACCAGCCACCCATTCTCAACCCCCCCGCCCCGTTCCTTTCTTGCTCTTTTCATATCGTCTATCGATAGAAGCTGATAGTGCTGGGCACTTGCCAATTTTCATCATTTGATCGCCTTCTAGACGCTCCTTTCGGCGTTCTATTTACCCGTTCGATACTACTTAGGTTCCAGGCATTGGCACGCGACAGCCTGGGAAGCAGAACCTCCAAAGGCTTTTCTATTCCCTTTCTTTTAATTGGTTTGACGACAAGCTCAGCATTTCTTCGACTCGCATTGCAAAGGGGTCCTCGAGATGACGGTCCACAATCTGACACCCTCCTCGGACCAAGACTCTGACATTGCTGACTCCATGCAACCTACCATTCTAGAAGAAGCTCAAGACTTCATCATGTCTTCTGACTGTGAAGCTCCGGATGTTTACAGCCCACCACCTCATATAGCTGCAAGAATCTATAAATCACGCAACTACCATCGAAGATCTTCCGCTGCCTCCTCTCGTCGCAACTCCATTACTTCTCACCATTCGAGCAGGTCCGGCAGATCAACCCACGGAGGCCCTCAAAGCTCCCATATCGCGCAGCACCTACGCAGAGCCTCGATCATTGAGAGCAGAAAGGCTAAGGCTGCAGATCGCAATGCGCATGCCGAGAAAGTACGCCTTCGAGCTGCTTTGAACAAAGCTGCGTCTAGGGCTACTACAGATAGTGAAGAGAAAGCGCTCGCTGCTCAGCAAGCACGAGAGAAGTTTCTCGCGAAAGTAAAAGCGAACTGCGCTGCCGAGGTTCAGCGGTCGAAGAAGGTTGCAGAAGAGCAACGGGAAAGACGTGCTGCGGAACATCTAAAGTTGAAGGAAGATCTGCAAGAGAGACAGGTACAGGCCGAGAGAAGGAAAGCTTTGCTTGAGCAAAGCCAGCGACGACCAAGGACAGCAACCCAATCGGGGGCTGACGGACAGAGGGCGACCAGAAGGGGCTATATATGGAAGCCGCGGAACGATCTTGAAGCTGCTAAGATCTTGCAACGTGCTTGGAGACGGAGGGCTCAACGTCTGAGCATTGAGAGCTTTATTCGACTTGGTTTGACTGTCGAAGCCGCGCAGAACATGAGTTTTGAGGATCTCGGAAGTCGTGTAAATGATGAGGAGGTGACTCAGTCCGCCACTCAGCTTCTCCGAACGTTCGGTCTTCTTGATGGAGCAAATGAGAGCACAGAAGTACAAGCAGCAGTAAGGACGTTCTTGAGCTGCTTTCTGATCCTGGGACACCCGGGCAATGTCTTTAGCAAAGAGGATGAGCAGGAAAAGCAACTCTCCGCAAAAGCACAGGAGCTCCTGTTGCGCTTGAATCAGCTGATTGACTCCTTTCTCGACATTAATGCCGCAGAAGACAATATCTTTCCTCTTGTCTCCGAGGCTTATGCTTCGTTCAAGGCTGCCTTTGCGGCGTGGCGATCGAACGACTCTGCCTTCATGATCAAGCACATGGTGGCTCAATTTGTCGAGTTAGATGCAATATGGCAGAGCGTGAAGGACGATGCAGAGGGGGAAGTCGCCGCGGACTACAAAGAAGGAATTCGTAATAACCAGACTTTAGTGCTCTCCCGACTGAAGAAACTTGCTGGACCTGAACCGGCAATGAAGCTAATAAGAGATGCTATCCGGCGGAGTCGCAAAGCCAAAGCTAAGAAAGATACTGGAGTTAACAGCAAACCACGCATGGCTTCCGAGGCAAGGAATGCCTCTAGCATACCCTTGGCCACAGTAGATTCAGCCCCTGCTGGCAGCGGTTTGACATCGTCACCATCTGATAATAGGCATGCTGCCAAGGAGCTGCTTCAATCATCGTCCTCGTTAGTTCCAGAAAGTCGACTTGTGATGCATGAGTTAGCGATCAACAGAGAGTGGAAGATTGATGTAGATAAGCGAGAAGGAAGGCGGGATGAGATGATTGAAGCTACTACCACAAAGCTTCAACAAGGCCTTGACGCCGGTCTTGCTGAGGTTTGGATACCAGCGCTGGCGGAATCGATTCTGCAGAAACTTTCGATCGTACTGCCCCCGAAAAACCGACTTTCACCACTATCAAGGAAGTGCTCGATCCTCAAATGGTCGCTCAGCAAGTCAAAAATGGTACATTCGCGTACCAGAACTTCTTTAATTTCATGAATTCTATTCTTCCCAAACTCTGCGCACCGGTTAGGGACGAGGAAGTGAAGTCGTTGGCTACGCACCCCAGCGACGACCCGGTGAAGCAATTAGCGAGAATATATTTCGTCATTGAAGTTTTGGTGTTGGATGTCCTGAATTTTCAAATCGCAAGTGTTGCGCCCAACCTACTCAAAGAGTCTGCCGGATACGAAACAGAAGCCTTCAAAAAGTCTCTTGACGGGAGAAGCCCGGAGAAGACATTCCAATGGTGGCAACAATCTAGCACTTACGCCCACGAGGAAGCCTCGAAGCGTCACCAAGACCCAGCTCAGTCCATCTCGTTACGTAACACTCCCCACAAAATCTATATGCAAGGTCTCACCAATCTCGCCATCTCCGTCGAGCATCTAAACGATTCCACACTTCCTGAGACCCTCGAACTCGATGCTCCTCGGCTCACCCGCATCCGCTCCGACCTTTTACGCCTCATTACCACCGCCTCAATCCTTTTAAACGCAAAGAACCTCCTCCGCCGCGACACACGCTCTCTCTGGAAAGCTGAAGCGGCTAGAATGTGGGAACTTCCCTTCACTAGCTCAACCACCTCATTTGTATCAATCGTGGAGTCCCGGTATGCGTTGCCTCCGACGACGAAAACGCAGCTCACAAGCTTCGTGACGAGGGTCTTGGGGGAGGCGAAGGAGGGAAGGGCAAACCATCCCGTGATGAAGGTGCTTTTAGCGAAAATTAAGGGACACGTGCTCGCCAGATTGGGGGCGCAGAGTGCAGAGGAGAGGAACAAGTCCGCCGGTTCTGCGAATGAGGTTCTAGGTAGCGCTGGGATGGTTGAATTTGTGGGGCGTATTGGCGACATTGTGCAGGAATTGGGGAGAGTGGCGGATGTAGATCGAGAGGCGCATGCAAGGTGGTATGATGGGATTATTGAGAGAATGGGAAGAGAGAGGGAGGAGGTCAACGACTGAGTGGATAGGAAATGGCGGGGGGTGGTCTGAACGACATGGGAATAGGCATTTTACAAGCGTGGCGCTGGGGAAACAAAGAATGATGCATTTTTAGAACACGCATTATTTCGGCTTTGGAATAGATTAGATATCTGATGAATTATGATAGCACAAGATGATATTGTATACTCTTTGTCAAGAGGAGCATCTTTCTTTCCAGCCCTCCGCGTTCTGAGGCGTCTTGTTCTTTGGAGGAAATTCGAAAGCTGAAAGGTGCTTACTAGTGACGAAGACATCCATGCCCCTAAGGCAAGGAGAAAGTGAAGGGCAGAAGCTCGCAAGAACAGCAGAATTTTTCATCCATTCAGGAACACATCACATATGTCCATTGGCAAGCCGGTAGGCTGGCGTCTAATGCACGCTAACTACATCAGCTGGCTCTATCTCTTCAATGCCCTCTCACCTCCTATCTCTCATCCAAAGCCTCAATGCATGTAAAAGTAAGATACAAGAATCGTAGAAATATCTCCGCAGCAAGCTATCATACCGAGAGAAGAAGGCCTTCCCTTGACATAATGCTACCACGCCCCTAATTTACATCCTCCCTCAACATAGCAGGCGACCAGCACCTCTACCTATCTCCTCGCCTTCACGCTCGGCTCAGGAAACAAATTCGAATAGGGGCTTGGGTTGAAGCTCGCGCTCGCGCTGGGGATCGTGATGAAGCCCGAGCTCGACGTGCCGGGGAGCGTGCTGTTTTGTCCACCTGTGGGGAATGGGGGTGGCGAAGATGATCCCGGACCACCTGGCACGTTCGATGGTGGCTGGCCCATTGAGGTGACGGTGACGGTGACATCTGGGCCTGGGACTGTGACGGTGACTTGGGCCGGGCAGGTGGAGGGGCGCGCGGTCACGTATTGGGTGGAGGTGATGTAGTGTTTTATGGTTGAGGTCTCCTCGGCGGATTCCTCAGGAGAGGAACCGGCGGAGTTCTCGGGGGAGGAGTTAGAGCCTGAGCCCTCGGAACCGTTTTCGGGAGTTGTTTGCTCGGGTGAAGAGCCGGCGCCAGGAGACGCGGTTGCGTAGACAGTCTGAAAGGTGTTAGTATGAGGGTCTTTGAAAGTAGGGAGGAAGACGGGAAACGGGGAGAGGCTTACGTGAGTGTTGGTCTGTGTCTTGGTGTTCTTGATTGTTGTGGTTACAACCGTTGTGGAGGAACCAGCGCCTAGGGTGTAGGTCAGGGTAACAGCCTCTCCGCCAGAGGTGATATCTGTTGTGATCGTGCTTGGGCCAGACGAGCCTGTGCCGCCTGGAGCGGTTCCTGTGCCAATGGGCGCTGATGAGCCACCAGTGGGGTATGGCGCAATGGGGCCGTTCTTGCCAGTGTCGGAAGGATAAATGGTTGAAGGCGCAGCGGTGCCTGGAGGAGCAACACATTGGGTGCAGATTGTGCTGGTGCTAGTGATCGTCAATGTTGAAGTGGTTTGTGTGACCTCCACAGATGCAGACGCGCCGCTACCATGGGTCTTGGTGACGGGACAGGTCGTGACTGTAACATAAACGATCTCTGTAGTATATTCCTTGACGGTTGAGTATCCCACCGGTAGGCTAGAGTTGCTTGCGATCGAGAATCCTGAGCTAGCCGCACTTGACGGAATAGAGCTCGATCCAGTACCAACAGGAGAAGAGTTGGTGATGGGAGAGTTAGGTGTTGTAGCGGAGGAGGCGGGGGAGGTGCCAGCGGAGCCGGAAGAAGCTACTGATGATCCCGACAAGGTAGACTTGGAATATGTACTGTTTGGCAGTGGCATTGGAAGATTTTTGGGCTGATAATTTTGTTGTGCACTGTAGTCCGGGTGATCTCCTTGTGGGCTGCCTGCTTGTATGGCAGCTTGCGCTGCGATGGCAAAGGCCGTCGCCAGGGCAAAAGTAATCTTGACCATGCTGTTACGAGAAGGTGGAGCAGTGGAAATAAGTTCTTGTTGCCGTTCAGCCTCTTTCACTTTTTCCGAACGGATGATTTTTGCCCCAGCAGTACGAGTGTGTTGTCTCAATCTTTCACTTGTGATCGATGTTGGTTATTGATTCCTGTGCGAACAAATGGTGAAGGCTCGAACGAATGTGATGCGAATGATATCGCAAACAAATGAGTGACTGCAGCAAAGATCTGCTAAAGAGCGACTGGTGAGCCTGCACGAGATGCAACTGCAAGAAAAGAATGTGATGATGGGATCGAGGAGGGAGAAAGATGTGAAGTGGCTCGTAATGAGTGTCGGGGAAAATGAGGGGGAAAGAGATTAAGGAGCGATACACCAAATATTGCGCCCAGCAGACTTGGTGGGAGAATCAGGGGTGCCCACATGCAGGTACATTGCCAGGGCCAAATCTGATACGTCGGCCCAAGGCGCCGTCCTCTTCGCTTGACGGTGTCATACCAGTGACTCCTTTTCATTGGAGCGACAGCCGACCTAGCTTGCCACTAACATCGAGCCCGTTGATGGAGATACCATCATACCAACCTCTGAGATGTCCAGGATGCCTCGAGCTTCATCTCGCTTTCAGAGGGGAAGCGCCCAGGATGCCAGGTCTTGAGCGAAGACTACTGATCATGCGAGCATTTCTCTTCATCATCAGCTCAATACAGCTTACGGATGCTCACCAACACATGGATTGGGGCAGGGGGTTCGATGCTTGCCGCAGAATGGCATGCTTTGCCGTGTGCGAGCCACGTTCTGGCCCTCCTTGCCTTCCTCTGAACACGAGATACTGAGCAAGGGCAGAAGCTGTCCCGGCAATCGAGCTAAGAATAGCGGTGTTGGACACCGTCGATAGTACGGAATAATGCTTGCATACACTGCGTTCTTGATGCTGGTCGCCCCCTGAAGGCCCTTGCTTCCCAAGCTCTTGGACCAAGGGTGTGATGTCGCTAAGCCAGATCACCTCGCAGGGGTGCTCTATGTGGCCTTGGGCAAGGAACAAGATCTAGTAAGGCAAACTAATGATAATGCTCCGTAGTAAACAATTGTAGAGGAGATGCTATCTGGCCTGGCCATCTGCCAATGTTTCAAGTGAAATTGCACACGACCTGCAGCGCTTACTACGGTACGACAGCGCTTACGAACAGGGTCTTTGGCATGACAACAATAGTTCTAGCATATTCCACTCATGGGTTTGGTGGTCACCAGTGGCTTGCCCACTGTACCTAAAGAGGTAATCTTCATTGACCAGGTAGCCTATTTTGGCCTGCATTATCGATAGATGATAACCTATCGAACCGAGGCGCATCAACCACACCACGCTCAGTCGTTGATTTTGGCTTTTCGCATGCTTCCCGAAACATATGTTGACAGTCAGTGCTAGCAACAGGAACATGAAAATAGCGCCTTCTTCATTCCTGAGAATGCCCCGCAAACCCTGACAATGACCTCCACCACCTCCCCAAGTTCTAAGATGCCCCCGCTCTCTACTCTCCTCAATGCTCTCCATGCATTCAAGTCCTCCCCGCGGACTTTCCAAATCCTCCACACCGTTGGATCTGTGCCCTCTGCAGCGCTACAAACGCTCTACATCCTCGATTCCTCCTTCAACCCTCCCACGCTCGCCCATTCACGGATTTGCACCTCCGCTTTGCTGCAAGATCCTCTCCTCAACGTCGGGCAAGGTCATGGGAGTAGATCAAGACTGCTACTTTTGTTGGCGACTCAAAATGCAGATAAACCACCCAAGCCTGCCGGCTTTGAGCAGAGGGTGGGTATGATGTGCGTGCTTGCGAAGGACATTCGTGATCAAGTAGGAGAAATGACAGGCAGAGGACGACAAGGGATGAGGAGGATGGATGATAGGGATGACAACCAGGGTGAAGAGGAAGACAGAGACCTGCTGAGTATTGATGTTGGGGTTGTAAAGACGCCGCTGTTCATTGACAAGGTGAAGGCGGTGACGGAGTCGGGCGTTTATCATTCGAAATCAGATGAAGAGCGACAGCCAAGCCAGGTTCATCTGATTGGATTCGACACTCTTATTAGGCTGCTGGAACCAAGCTATTATCCTGATAAAACATTGAAGCCGTTGGAGGAATTATTCGGGAAGCATAAAGTCAGGGTTTCGAGACGGATAGAGGATGCGTGGGGAGCGGGCGAGGAGCAAGGGAAGTTCGTAAGGGCGCTTGAAGAGGGAAGCAAGGAAGAACATGGGTTTCAGCCGGAGTGGGTTGAGAAGATTGAACTGGTTGAGGGGAGAGGGATGGATGAGGAGGCGATTAGTTCGACAAGGGTGAGGGACGCTGTGAGAGAAGGGGAGGAGAAGATTCTGCAAAAGCTGATTACAGGGCCTGTGGGGCAGTGGATCAAGGACGAGGGCTTGTATAAGAATAGGGGCTAGCAAGAAACGTTTGAAAGCGAGCTTCAGGGGTGTAAGCTTAGATTGGTATCGCATCTTCAGGCTCGTCAAAGAGCATATACTCATCTTCAGTCGAGATTGTTTGAAGAAGGTGATCGGCTTGAAAGTGAGCTTCTGGCATCCCGATGTCTGCATCGGCACTAAAACCATCTAGCATGGATTCAAAGTCTCCAGAATTCAATGGCGTGGGGATCAAATCTGGAATCGTCAAATACTGCTGGTGTCCAACAGGGCGATTATCGTGAACAGGAATGCCCAAGCTTTCAGGACCCAGCGTCTGCGACGGATTTTCAAAGTACTCGTTGTCAAGGTCATCGAGCCAGAGATCCGATTCATCAGCTTCTACCCATGACTTGTGATTGGAGAATCTTTCAACGCTAGATGCATCGAAAAGCATCTCAAATTCGTGTGAGGGCGTCACATCAGGCTGACTTGATTCTTCGTAGTCACACGATAAGTCTGAGGAGCATAGTGGAGACATACCGCTTTCGAGAAGATCCTCGTCCAGATAGTCAAAGCATTGCTGAGACGTAGGATTGCTGTCCCACTCAAAGTCTAGTGGCCGAAGCTTCCTGCATGCTTTCGGATCCAGTATCTTCTTCTGTGCCAGCGTCCAAAGTCTGACTTCAATGGCATTCCGTAATGCTATGTCACATGATCTTGGACAGGTCGAATCCTGTATTTCTGGTAGGAGCTTATCGGCAGAGTCCAGATACTTCAGCATGAATATTTTGTGCTTGAGTCGTTCCGATCGTGACCTCTGCCGTAAACGAGTCAGCGAACTAGAAATCCTTGAGGTCAAGCGGTTTCTCGCGGCAAGTAACTACCAAGAGGTCAGCATTGTACCGGCACCTCTATGACGTTGAAGGCCGACCTCTTGGTAGCCAGGGCAAAAGGATGAGGGAGACACATGACAGAGGTCAGAGACCAGATGATGATCTGTCCTGCTCACTCCACTTTCTTTCGGGGGTTTGTGACTGAACAGTAGGTCTTGGATAGTGATGCTCAAGAGCCTTTCTATGAGACTCTGTCTGCCTTTCAACTCTTCCCAACCGTCTGCGATGGAGTTAGAGAATAGGGGTGTTGTACGGCGATGGTTATTGCCATAGGAAGACTGGGAACTCAAAATTGTCTGGTGTTTGAGCAATGTTGAGCTTGCTTGCGACAAGAGCAAGCTCTCTTGAGGATTGCTATCAGAGTCCTCTAATGAGTATGGCACTCCGTACTCGGATTCACCAAAGTCATTTAAGATGTCCGCACTGACCGACTGACTATTACTTGCTACGATTGTGGGCTGGCCAGAATAATGACTTGACGCCGTCATAGATATCTCGATCTTGTTAAGTGTGATCACTGGAATTCTGCTAGGAGGTTGCAAATCTGGCGGAGCCCTTCTCGTCTCCGTTCCTGCTTCAGCCGCAGACGGTCGTGCAAGACTGATAAGAAAGCCAAGGCTAGATGGAAAATTAAGTGAACGTTGAGTTGATTCCTCGTTCCGAGCATGCAAGCCTAGCTGTGACCAGAACTACCAAAATTAGCGATTTTTCGTAGACTCCAGCGCTGGACTTGCCGACGAAGAACATAAGCTCCTTCCAAGATGATGGGCAAAGCTAGCATCCATGCATTGCTCAACGGACCCACCCTCAAAGATAATGTCCAGGGCTATGTACACTCGATTACTCCCTCTGATCCATGACGGAGACGCGAGGATACCAGGAAGGCTTCGAAAAGCCTCTGAGAACGGAAATACACCAGCATTTAACGAAGAAAGAGTAAGGTTTGACGATACAGATAGCTTGAGCTCATGTGTACTAGTTTTAAGAGTATATTCGACAGTTCCAATATCATGAGTGTGTGGGCTCATATAATCAGGATACAGTAGCAATGCGACTAAACCAAACCAAACGTCTATAGTACAGGAATAAGGGAACCGTGAAGAACCGCATGGACGGACGTATCACACCCTTGCCTGACCCAGCTTCAGCAATGGTTAGGTCAAGAACCTAACGCGTAATTGCCTTGCAATGAGAAGTCGATGACCTTCATGTGGTGTGTTAGACGTCGTCTGCTGCGCCGACATCGAGATATGGAGGCAGCTAGCCATTTCTGGAGATTAGTAATCACTTGAGATGATTATGGCTCTGTGGGATCTATCTGCTTTAGAAATGTAGCAATGTAGTCATTTGCTTGCTACTGAGGCCGTGATGGTGATCTCCCTATCTACGACTCGGGTCCTGCGCTGCAATAGTAATTCACTATTTTCAAGGTGCCTCCGTCAAGGCGCGACTCTCCGTCTATTTCATACCTCAATGTCGTGTAGAACAGACGGAGTGTATCAGGATCTAACGAATATGCGAGTCCGGATGCCATGGATACAAGCTTTGCGGGAACAAAGAGAAGCAGCAGGTCGTCCTATCAGCGGCCAGGTGGCTTCTGGACAGCCCTCAGCTCCGGACTTGAAACCTAAGAAAATGTCGGACAGCTATCATAAAGTGGTCCGTAATCGGATACTGTCGAAGAAGTGTAAGCTGACTGATACAGATATAGATCATTCCTCTGGCGCAAGACCCATGGCTTTGCGACAATTATTTGAATGCGAACGGTCAGATACGGTACGAGAAGTTCACCCCTACACTCATTGCCCGCTCAGAATGCAAGACTAGGGACGCTCTTCATGGATCTCGACGCTTTGTCAGGTGTTATTGCCTACAAACATACGGGGGACTCGGTCACGACTGTCACTGCGGCTGTCGACAGGATTACAATCAATCATCCCCTAAAAAGCATCTGCGATTTGCAACTCTCCGGGCAAGTGACCTACGCCACTGGCAGAAGCAGCATGGAAGTATCACTATCAGTAGCTCAAGCCCCGGAGAGAGGCGAGCAAACACACGTCGAAGATGTGCTTCTATCATGTGTCTTCACTATGGTATCCCTTGATCCGGTCACTAAGAAGGCCGTCGCTATCAATCCCCTCAGACCAGAAACAATGGAAGAGAAACGACTCTTTGAGATGGGAGAGCGGAATTCGAATGAGAAGAAGGCTTTGTTGAAAAGGGCATTGAAGAAGCAGACTCCCAATGATGAGGAGAGTGACCTCATTCATGCTATGTGGCTGAAGCAACTTGACTACCATAGTACGTGAGACCATGGATGGTGACAGAGGCCTTGCCGACTGACAGACCAAGATCCAAATACACCTACTCGGAAACCTGACAACCTACGATTCATGTCTGCAACAGTCATGAGTTCATCTTCGATAATGCAGCCACAGTATAGGAACAGACACAATTTCATGATCTTTGGTGGCTTCCTCCTTAAGCAGACGTTTGAACTCGCATTCTGTTGTTGTGCAGCGTTCACTCACAGCAGACCAACGTTTATCAGCCTTGACCCAAGTACCTTTGACAATGCCGTCCCCGTCGGAAGTGTGCTCTATCTCACAGCTACCATTGCGTACACAGACCAATCATCAATAGAGCCTTCCGATGGTGTCAACGGCAAAGCCACTGACGAGCATTCGGATCGCAGTACTAATAATTCAACGCGGGTTCAAGTACGGATCGACAGCAAGGTTCGCAATGTCGAGCATGGTGAAACTAAACCGACGGGGCAATTCAACTACACTTTCCTGGTCGAGCGAGATATTAAGATAATGCCACAGACTTATTCCGAATTCATGATATGGGTAGACGCTAGGAGGAGAGCCAAGAATGTAAGGGCATGTATTGAAAACACTTCATTTTCAGGGCAAACGCAGGACGATGGCAGTGGCGGGAGGATTCATGAGTAGTATAAAAGAATATAGCGATCTATCAAATGACCATTCGCCATTGTGGCGGCAAAATTGCCAACAAACCATTGTGGCGGTTATGCATACCCAAACAGGTTTGGCTTCATGCCGTCTGGTTGCCGTTGCTTTTCAGCCCTCGGTCCCCTCCGAGCGTTCAACGACATCCGATAACTGGCTCTCGTATGCTCGCCAGCTATGGCCGCCATCCCAAACGTATGGCATCTGCGCAGGGTGGCAGAGGCGTCAGCGAGAGCCTGTGATATCTGTTATAAATCCACAGCTAGCGTTCTCATCACACCAGACAACAAAGTGCGTTTCCTTCTGAGACGTCAGTGCCTCACTCTCCGGATGTTAATGGAGCCAAGGATTTTTTCTATGTATGTCCCGGCCACATGAAGGATCGAGGGTTTGCCACTCCTATCGTAGATGAAGCCGAGGTGGTGGCGAAAAGACGCAAGGAGGAGATGGAGCAAGAGATTCAGAAAGTAAAATTTGAATACGAAGAGAAAATTAAAAACAAGAAGGCAAAGGATAAGGGCAGCAAAGACGCAAAGAAGGACGAGAAGCACGACAAGAAAGAAAAGGCAAAGCGCGAAGAAGAAGAGCAACAGGCTGAAAAAGAGAAAGACGATAGGGTCCGCCCTGTTGCTGGGCCTGCTCAGCTCTAGATTAGCTGACGTTTTGAAAGATCAACGCTATCACGAGCAAGAATGCAACTCCCAAGGAAGAGGAAATGCCTCGTATATACGCCTTGCAGAAGTATGAGAGTGCGTCATCATCAAAATGTATTCCCTGACAAAATACAGAGTATTCTACCAGAAACGACTGGAGAGACTGCGAGCCATAGAGTTGGCAAAACGAAACAAAGAGCGCTTCAAAAATCCTAACACATTCCCTTCCGTACCTACAGGAAAATTTAGCTGATGGCAATGCTTTCGAATGCAAGTAGAACTTCTTCTCGAGGGAGTTTGGATTGCTGCTCTTACCGGGGATGATGCAAGTGTAGAGACACGCTCCTCGCGATCGTAAATATTACAAATCTTCAAATTGCGAGTGATTGAGTAGGATGGTCCATGGCCAACGCCTAATATTGCTATCTTAAGGATCCTAGCGCCAATTATCCAGGCTGGCTCGAACAACCGTTGGAACGCGTCGTGAGTCATGTGGCTCTATGGTAACAGTGAGGTACAAGTTACTTCCACTCGGTGGGTCTGCCGCTTTGGCCGTCGGAATGGTCCCCGTTCGGACCAGGCAACAGCTCTTCGCAAAAGTGAAGCATCAATGCTTCAGGCTTGCGTCGATACATTGTCGGATGATGGATTGCTTAAGCCGTCGTAAGCAGCCACCTTGTTTGATTTGCTCGTTTTCTAGGGTTTTCAAAACGCGGGACAAATCTTTTCATGATCAATTGCTGGCGAAAAATCGTCAAATTGTTTGCTCCTAGAACAAAACCTAGCATCCATGTGGTAACCTAAGTCATTAGTCCACTGTTTTCAAACTCCTGTTATTGAACTGAGTTTTGGAGTAGCAAGTGACAATGCACGCTGGTGTAAGTGAGGCGCGGAATGTTACTTTTCATGGAATTGTCCGAGACTGTCAACGAATGCCAAAATCGGTGAAGTTCCAAAGAAAATTCGGTGAAATTGGGCCTTGCTTTCTCGTTTTGGCCGGAAGGAATCTGAACCGACGAAGCCCTATGGATATTTCCCTGGAATTCCAGTATTCATGTCCCAATGATACGGTCGAGAATCAAGCTCGTGAATTTTATTGGTTTAACTCATGTCACCAAATGCATTCAGATGTCGCCAGCGATAGACCAATAAGAACAGCTTTGCTCAATTACTGGACCTTCATGGACCTCGGCTGACCGGACGCTATATCAAGTGACTGGATCCAGGCTTCTCCGAGTATCAAGCTCTGAATTCTCCTATGTGCCTTCAGATCTACAAGGGGATATCGACACCGTTGGCCTTCCAACCTCTATCTGCAGGTCGATCGATTGTGTATTGGTCTTACTACTGTGGCATCTGTGTAGTGCTTTGGATACGTTGACTGACCTCTGTGGCAATGTCTACTCTCGGTCAACCCTCCTTCGATCAAACTCAAGATTCATACTAGGTGATAACCACTGCCCATAAAAAGGTCTTTCGATCCAGTCTCCAACCCTGTCGACGCATAGGTCCTAGCTTACCCGGGTATTAATTTATTGATGGGCCCTTCCCGTCTTATGCCAAGTGACTGTCTAGTTTTTGGGTGGGACTCAATGTCGGGTAACTGGATAGTTCCACTGACGCTATGAGCATTTAGGGACAACTCCGTGTCTTCATGGCTGCTCATTGGCTACGAAAGCTGAGGCTTGAGCTTCCCAGTACGGTGATCTTGAAAAAGGACATGCATAATCGTTACCAATCACGCGGTCCTGAACTCCTCCCGTTTGAAACCTTGACTTCCGAGAGACGATGCTTCACCGGCGCCTACGGACCAGAACCGGTCGCACGACGAAACCCATCTAGTCATGCAAATGCCGGGAGTACACTTGACTCCTCGTTTTGAGGGTCTTCCTGTGCATCTAAGCTAGTTTGAAGCTCCCAATCACTGCTCGGCGGTCCGAGCAATCTTCAAGAAAGCCGCAAGACCGTCACATTCGCAAGGCTACTACATCAAAGTAGATAATGCTACCGTTCCAAGTGCCTGTTAGAGCACTACTTCCGCCCATCTATCGACATGAAAGTATTGTCTCGCGTTATTTGAGAGCCTATGAAGAATGAGGACCGGCCACTTGGGGCTACAAGGCTGCCGCTACTCACCCCTTTTCAAGATCATCCCTGTCAATAATGAGCGACAGCTCAACTAGCAATATCGGACTTGCGTGCGAGAGCGAAGGCAGTATCTTGATACCACTTCTTTGCAGTCTTAGTACGTTCTTCAGCCTACTCGCGTCTAGTCAAAGGTTTTTGGGAATGCAAGGGCACCAAAGGTGCCACAGAGTTCCTGCGCTCAGTAGCCATCAGATCTGATCTGAAGCCGATTGCCTTCTACTAGCTATAAGTGACATACTACCTGGCCGAAAATTTCCCCCTCCCTGATCCTCTCCCAATACGCCCAGAGATATCAGCCTTAGCCATCTTCATTAATTGAACCATACTCCGCCACCGTTCCATTTCTGTTTATACTCTTCTTGCCTCCACTTCCACGATTCATCACCGCATCAACCTTTCCAACACCCAAACTGATCCCAGGGATGATCCACTCCCCACAACTACATTTCAATCCCTGCCACGCATACCTGCCAACCTGCGTCTTACACTTTGTGTTCGGGCATTCCAACCGCCCATCCAGATTGCCCTCCTCCATGACCTCCCTCATCCAGCTCATGGGCTGCTCAAGCCACAGATGCGAACAGCCTCGGCTGTGATCTGCTCCCGATTTTCTAGCCTTTGAGGAAGACAGGCTCTTCTCCTTTTTCCATCCTTCTATGCCATTGCGGAAATGAAAGGGAAGCAAATATGACGAGCTAGCTAATTCCGTGCGGCAGCGTTTACACTTATACAAGGTCGTTCCTTTCCCCGCCCCACGCTCCTCATCCCCTGTTTCCCCTTCCTCCACCCTCATGCTCTCTCCACTTCCTCTATCACCGATAGAGTCCTCCCAGTCCTCCAAGTCCAACCCCTCAATCGCCTTCCCCATTTCATCCAGTTCATCGCCAACCTTCAACCCCTGGATTCCTGGCGCCACACCCCTTCGCCGACTGAGTTCAACCTCCCGCTCCCAGCACCAGCGCTGGTAGGCCGGACACGCGTCAACGTCAGTGGGACAGCCCATGCTGTGGTAAAGGTGGAGCTGGGCAAGGAAAGAGTCATTGGGTTCTACCATTGGGCGGGCCTGGCGGATCAAAGAGATGGCGGATGTGGGATCAAGTGGTGTGATTTTGGCATTTTGGTCAGGTGTGACTTGCTGAGATGGAGGAAAGGGGCTTTGATGAGAACTGTGAGAACGGTGGAGGAGATAGGCGGCTACAAGAGTCGCAGAGCGGGACTTGCCCATTGCGCTGTTGGTGGGGAGAATGTCAGCACAGATCCTTTGGCATGCTGGGCAAAAACAGGGGCAAGGGAGTGATGGTGGAGGATGGCGATAACACTGGACATGGGTCAGGGCATGAAACTGAAAGTTGAGCGTAGGATTCCGACTAAGGGTTTGCTGCCCTTGATTGCACGCTTCAGCTATCTTTGATAATCATTTTTATCAAATTAAATATGTACATGGAGAAATTATACCAAATGCGGGCTCGTGACTTTTCTCGGATGTGTGCATGTAGGTGGCATGATCGTAAATATGAATTGTAAAGTGAATCTTAGCAAAGACTTACCAATGCACAAGCACACTTCCACCCTCGTCCAAGCCTTGCTGAATAAAGTCATTGCTAGCACGAAAGTGCTCTAGAATGTTTTCATCCTCGCAATCATCGATCGCGACGACGTAGTGCTTATATTCTTGGTAGAAGGGATGGTCCAAGGGTGGGCGTAAGGCAGATACTACGTGCGTAATGTTGGCTTTTTTGAGCGCTTCCCTGCGGCGGAGTGTGAACACCCTATGACCATGACAAGTCCATGTTAGCTTCTGAGTCGGTGGTAAGCCGGGGACATGGCAAATTCAGCCTTGATGATAACATGCGAGCGAGAGTGTGCGCGCTCGCTTCGTCTTGCTAGGTGGGTTTATTTTTGGGGGGGCAAAAGAGAGATTACGTACCCGCCTATGTAGATGTTGGTTCCCGGTACACAATCTAATGACATTATGATGTTGCAGAATTGTCTAAGTCAAAAACGCTTTCTACAAATTGGCCGTGGTGGAGCAGTGGGAGAGTGGAGAGGCTCCAGGAAAGCAGGCCTGAGCCTTCGGGGGGTGAGTCATGCTTGGCAGGCAAGCAACGCGTGGCGGGCGTAATTCGTACTGGTTTCGCCACAACATACGCATACCGTGACATCGTCACATTCCAGAGGGTGGGTCCCTCATTCCGATTATCATGTTGGGTCTTATCCACGATTGCCGTATTTGAATACATCTGTCGTCCGATAGCCGCCACCGCCCCGCGACGCGGCTAAGGGGCTCTAAATGCTGTCAGTCGGCGCCGACCTCGTGTCTCTCATACCGTCCAACGTGGCATCCCATCTGCCGTCTCAGAGCTCCGCTCCGATCAATAATACCACGCTTGCCAAAAAGCCACTACCTACCTACCTACTCTGCCGACGCCCGATGTGCAGCAGTCCTGCATGTTCTAGCCATCAGCAGCCATTGATTTCCTGACCCTGTTCGCGATGCTCGCATACATCCTCCCAACGACTCCGTAGTTTGCATCTCGCGTCACCTCAGGTCCTATGTCTCTGCACCCAAGCCCTACGAACGCTCGTCTCAACGACATGCCCTTCTAGAAGATCCATGGAAGCCATTAGCCTACCCGATTGGCTTCTAGCGTCGACCCACAAGGGTCTCGGCCATTGGGAGCCAGAGGGAAGTTTTCCAGGCGTTCCTCCCACTTATTTTGAGTAGGGATTCCCACATGCCAACATGACTTTGCGCAAACCTCGTAACGGTTGGGTTGCCCTGCATTAAATCCTCAACATCGACATGTTCAACACTTCTGCACGCTCAAGACTGTACATGAGCTTTGACCAACCGACAGCGTCGGAGATCTACGACTTGCGTCGACAGACGCAATTTATGCAAACTCCTCCAGCACTGCCTCAATCTATTTTTTGACATGTCTTGGCACGCTCGAGAATCTTAAATGCATTCTGTAATTCGGATTCATTCAAACATGTATGACTTGCACATGCACAGACATCCTCATTTTCACCAATATGCTCTCCAATGGAAGTTTGCGTTTTACCTCTGTTCTAGACTCTCGATCCACTTGATTACCCTTGTTCTCTCCTTAGCCCTGAAAATCCCTCAGGAACTGAAGGACGATCCCCCAGATTATCTGTGCCGTCGACCATCTTCCACACCTTCCGGAAGTGATCTCCACCCTCCGAACTGGTGTGGTATGGTTCCAAATAGGCAATGCTAATGACCTCATTTTGTTCAAAACATCCGAGGCAATTGCTTGCCTTGTTGTCCTGAGTATAAGCTCCGTGAAAATTTGGATGATCTGCCTGTATAATCTCAGCACTTGCCTGTCACTAGGCGTTATCTGTCATGCAGTGCGCCTTCGCTGCATCGCCTTTCTGAACACGAGCGACAGGAGCCAGTCGCACTATTGACAACTTCCCACCCTGAGCCGGCGAACAGACCTGACACGAGACGCTGGTGATCCTAGTTGTGGTGTCACAAACGGGACGTTGGCAGCGAAAACACAATGACGAGGAAGCATGATTCTCATATGTGATCTTACAATTTCTACAGATTGGGATTGGGTCTAACCAATTCCGGGAAACTGTGCGAGAGACTCCACGCCTGAGGATTGTGGGCTTCGGTTGAATGCTGTCAGCACAATTCGCCAATCTCGCATCCTGCTCGAAAGAAGTGATGTTCTCAGATGACCGCTCAGCTGACTGTACCTTTGAGTACATGCCATCGGTCTCAAGGGCACGGTCACTGATGGCTATAATGGCTATCATATAAGCGCCTTGCTTTCTGGCTACTGCAGGAGCTGGGCAGACTCGTTTAGGATTACTGAGACTTCTATATCCAAGGCCTGCATGAGATGCATGCAACTCGTAGGGGACCATGGGAGGCCTGTTGTTTCAGTGGGAACTAGGGACACGGCGCCAACAAGAACCACTGTGGGAACCCCCCGACTGCCCCGCGTCATCGGTGTAGGATTAGGATTGAGGCATATCCAGCGCCTGCGATGGGTCGACGTAAGACGGACGGTATGGGCACCGTGGGCTTCCCGGATGACCGACTGGGGCAAATTAGTAACTGGGGGGTTTCCTGACCGTCTGACTTACTCCGTAACAGCAGACCAGTAACCCTAGAATGCGACTGAGGAGACATTCGAAAGTAAGACTAGTTTAGCCGGCGTAAGGCTCGTAGGGCGGCCCCCGCCTTAAGACTCCCCCTCCCTAGTCCCGAAGCTGTTAAGCACATAGGCAGAGCTAGAACAGATGCGCCATTTGACTAGGATAGCCCCTGGCATCGAAGGGTAGTGCCAACTGTGGTATACTGCACCAGACTGCACCCCGACAGGCTATTTAGCCTTTGGAGCTTCTGAGCGGCAATCCTTCAAAAAAGGGCAGCATTAGTCGTCTCGCTTGCAGGGAAGCAGGGGAGCTGAAAAGCAAGCGGTTTTCATAGGGCTGAGAGTCTCATACTTTATGTACAACTGCCAGCCCCACCTTGAATGGGCTTGCTCCTGTGAAGCTGACTGCCATTATTGACCATGCGCGAGAGCTGCTCAAATGAAGGACCATGGGCACGAAAGCCCAATTGCGACGGCGGCTAGGTAACGATTACGGCCTGTTCTGCGTCTTTGCCTTCGTTGTGGCCAATTCGTGACAATTTGGCTTTTCCTTCGCAATAGCTCGCCTTCGCCCTTGCTCTACCCAGCCCTTGGATTGGCTGAAGGATTTCTCCTCAACCCTGGAACGCCACCCACCACCGATATCCAGGCAAGCCATTGATCTCTCTCACGACACATATGCATCGATCGCACCACGTCACGACCCGTTAACGAGATGCATCACTCAGCGTGGCGAGGCAACGCCGAAATGGGACCGCAACACATGGAGTTTCCTTCTTCAAATCATGGACACGAGGCTCAAATCAGTCGCTCACGAGTCTTCTCTGACAGGCGTCTGGCTGGGGATCATTATTCCGGACCTTCACCAATGGCCGTGCAGGTGCCGGGGAGTAGAGCCCCTGCTCCCCCAAGACCGCTGCCACCACCGCGGTATGTAAGCGACGCAGGCCCGGATGATGATGATGATGAAGATGAGCCATCATCGTTTGGGCCAAGGTCAGGTACGAGTCATCCTAGGGAGGATAGAGGATCTTTTGGCGCAGGGATTAGCTTCTCGAAACCGTGGGCAAACGAAATGGAAGGGAGACGGCTTCCCGAGCGACCAGCGTTGCGGCCACGCGAAGACTCGATCGCGTCTCCAGGCTGGAGCAATAGATCTCCCACCGATTCGGAGAGAAGATACGAAGCCCAGAGGCAGCAGGATGAGGGTTATTACAGCCTCTCCAATCCAAACGCTTTGACACAACCGTTAGTATCCGCTTCCTTTTGAATCATTTATTCTTTGTTTGAAATCCCTATACTTGCTGGTAAAAATGTGCTTGCGGTCGTCAATGCACAGCGTCTCTCAAGGGAGGCCGTTATCCGCGCAAATTGTTCCTGTCCCAAACCGTTGGGCGGACAGACTGACTTGGTTATACGCAGGCTGCCGGGCGAAAAACAACTTCATCACCGGGATCAGGAAAAATCTTCACAGGCATATGACAAGAACCTCTTGTCGAAATTCGGAAAACCAGGCACGACCCCGCCTCGCAATGGATCAGTTGGCAGTCTCGAAAGCTCGCCTACGTCCGTCCTTTCGTTCGCCCAGAGACATCCAAGTCAGTTCAGGTCGCTATCTTTTCCCAATTCTGCGTCAAGTAATTTCTCCGACCCACCGATAAAGCAAGAACCTTCCGGCAGATATCTCAGCAGTCCTCAATCACGGCCTGTATCGCCTAGGTCTATCATTTCGGCAAACAGTGTCAAGGGCTTCTCGGACTACCGAAGTCCCACGATCGAGCATAGCTCACGATCTTCCACTGTCGATCCCGACAACTTTTTCCAACACCCACAACGATTTCCTCCCTCAATTAATGTATCACGGCAAAATAAAAGTCGACGTTCGGGCAGCGGGTCTCTGCTTTCACAATTTGATGAGTCAGCATATATTACGACTAATGAGGTTAAGCGGGAAAAAAACGAGCACCCGACCTTTTCGGAACCAGACTCGACCTTCCGAATGGAAGAAGATGTTCAACAACTCCATCTCGAAGATCGCACGCCTTTGACTAGCCATCCGGATTCGACTATTTTTCGAAGTTCCGACATATTCCCCCTCTACATTCAAAAATGTCACGATCAGGTATCAAAAGGAAACAGCCACCGGGCGAATCGCCCGACGAGGCTCAGCTTCGATTAATGCAGCAGGCTGCAAGTGCTGAGCAGTATGCAAATGCACCCCACCATCTTTCTGCACAAGCGACAGGCCAATTCACTCCACATCAAGGCTCAATATCGTCACAATCATCTGGTTTTCGACACGACTCTTACGCCTCCTCGGCTGGGCCCTCAGTAGGAGACGGCAGCTACACGAGCATAGAGCAGTCCCCCGGCGGCGTTTCTCCTAACTCTGATACGCAACATTATCAACTCAATAATCAAGATTCTCAATATTCCACTATTCAAATGAGTGCGCAGAACGCCCGTTCAGGCCCCTACCCGCAACAACCGTCCGACAATCGCAGTACGCCAACACAAAAGTCGCAGGATAGTTCAAGAAAGCAAAGCGCGAACCTACAAGCCCCATACCAGTGTGAATGCTGTTTGAAGAAACCAAAGAAATTTCAAACTTTAGAAGAATTGAAGTAGGTCGGGTCAATCTCAAGCTCATACACAGCAGCTGACCATTTGACAGTCAACATCAAGGCGAAAAGCAATACTCCTGTTTGTATTGCAAGAATAAATTCAAGAACAAGAACGAAGCCGAGCGTCACCAGAACTCCATCCATCGACGAGACAGTTCTTGGTCATGCGCTGCACTTGCGGATGACTTTGTTACTGCCTTCTTTCCCAACAATGCCCCACCTTCAGGGACGAGTCCAATCCAACAGCAGGCTCCCCAGACCTCCAATGGCGTTGCGGCTTGTGATATCTGCGGATACTGCGGCGAGGAGTTCACGAACGAGCCGCAACCAGATTGGGAAAAGCGGCATCAACATCTTATTACACAACATAAATTCGGTGACTGCAATCGGTCGAAGAAGTTCTATCGCGCGGACCATTTTCGTCAGCACCTGAAGCATAGTCATGGCGGTAAAAGCGGAAAACATACAAATGCATTAGAACAGGCTTGCTTACGGAATGAGGCTCCCCAATTATCGAGTGACAATAGCCAGTCCAACACCCCTCCACAGCCACCGGGAGGTGCTCCAATTGCACACATGGGCAGCTTAGCGACGCCTATGGGTCACCATGGGATTTCCCAGCATGATCTGAATCAAGCGCAGCTACAGCAGCAGATGAATGTACCTCCGGGGAGCATGGGACCACCACAAATGGTCCCGCAATTCGACGCGAGCAAGATTGATCCTTCCATAGGGTACATGACAGCACCCCATCATCATCAACAACACGCATTGCATATACAAGGGGCCGGGAGCGGTGGTTACGGAATGTCTAACGAATCTTCTTAATAAAAAATCGCAACGTCTTCTCATGGGCCGGTGTACAGAATGGGGTTTTTACAATACACCCCTTACGAATTTACGATACGGTTAGTCTCGCCATTTTTCCCCTTCTTGATCGCCTGTAGGGCAGTAGGGCTCGACCAAGCCGTTGGGTTTGGCGAGAGGGGGACGGACTTGACACAAGATTTGTCTCGGCAAGGTTGGGGGGCATGTGTTGCCGGGTACCTGGGTCTCTCACGATTACATTTTGTTTCCCTTTATATATGAAGATGGCGAGGTGTTTCGAAGCTGCGACGTAGTGTTGAACAACGTATTGCGTGCGCTTGGATGGGAATAGTCTTCAATGCCATATCACTTTTCGTCATCCAGTCATCGAGGCAGATACGTGCCGTGCTTTTCCCGCCCTCTGCGTCCGCTATTGAATCTCGCTTATCACAAGGCATCCAGCAATATATCGGAACACTATCAACAACTGAGACTTTAAGGGTCCCGATCGAAGGCTCTATTCTTTCCTTATTTCTGCGCGTAATGCGAGTGCCCAAGTACTCTCTTCGTTCCACAGCTAGCCTTGTGATGGTAAAGGTATCCGTACTTGCACGTTTCCAACTTTGAACATCAAAGATCGTTGCGAGCGAATGGATGGCTGTGGGTGGACATGAATGACAGGCATACGGCCCTATGAAATAAACGACAGTCAAATTCATGATGCTCAGGGAACGGATCAGGAAGGGTTGAACGCATGGCAGATGGATAGGTCCTGCGACCATCACCAGTGCGACATTCCCGACAACAAGGTATAGACATAACTGTCTCATTCAAGAAATACAACATGGCCTTCGATACAATCAGATGCTTTTGATTTGGGTATCATCACTTCCCAGTCTATATGCCTCCATTCACAGTCCGCATCTCCTCTCCTATGCCAGCGACTTTGCGGACAACTTCCATTTCATCATGCTGCAATCCCAGCTCTTTCGTATATTTTCCAAATGCGTTGACCATGTCCCGCAGGCCGATTTTGAGGCACTCAACGACGGTCTCCACGTCTCTTACATGTCTGTCATCTTCCTTGAACTCAACGTCTGTCCAGTGAGGTGGTAGGTTTTTTGTGAAAGCTTCTATGTCTTGAGCGGTCCGTGTGAATGTGCGGATAAGTGTGGGTACGTCTTTTGAGACGCGGCCGTAGGGGTCTTCATCTAGACTCGCGATGGCGAGGGCGGCGAGGGACTGGATTGAAGTGATGGTGGAATAGAGTGTGCTGTATGGAGTGCCTAGCACTACGGTGGAGATTCGGCGGGAGAAAGTTGTGCGGAAGGGTGTTCCGAATTTGGAGCGTAGAAAGCGCATGGTGTACTCTTGGGCCGTGCCTCGTAAACCCTGTGGTGAATGGTTGTCTTTCTGTTCGGCGAAAAACTTTCGAATGTTCGGAGAAAAGAGGTCCTTGCTGCTAGATATCAAGCGTGATTTGGCTTGCGGACTCAGATACGGTATCTTCAAGGTCCCCGGTGATGTTGACTGGCCATAAGATTTAGCGAGGTTGCCGACACCCCTTTCTACTTTCTTAGTCTTGGTGGATGGCACTGCCGGCTTCATGAATACATGGCCTTCTTGGATTGGAGTTGAGATCCGAGGTAAAGATTGGACAGCTGCTGCTGCTTGTCTGTCGGCAAGAGCTTTTTCTTCGCTTGAAGGTGGGGAGGGAGCTGGGGGATTTAGGTAGCTGTCAATCCTGACACTGATGCTGCTGATGTTTGCTAGACATTGCGACAAGATCTGAGTCCATGCTGGACCCGACAGACGATCGATGTCGGTGAAAATCGCTTTCCTCCGATCAGGAAAGTTCGAAGTTATCAAGGACAACTCCCAACAAGCGAAGGTCTGCCTACATTCAGCATAGATCAGGATCAATAGATCAGAGAGCCTACTTTGGGTGTCTCTTTCTTCGATCTGAGCCCGTTCAGAAGAGTTCCGGTAGGATCTTTAGAATCACTTGACAGAGGTTGTTCTCTCTTGATCGGCTGTTGAGCGACATAGGCCGTGAACAAAGCATTCGAAGATTGCCAGAGGAACATAACTTGGAGCCCAGCCGTGAAAGAGTATTGGATCAGTGAAGGATACATCGGGGGAAGAAAGGAGAAAGGAGTCAATGGCACATCCCAGAGAAGCGAGGCAACAGACAGGGCCAACTCCCAAACCCAACGGCGAAAAAAGGTCTGGTAGACAATGGGAGTAGATAAGCTGACTGCTAAAGTCCGGAGAAAGATATTCTGCGGTATTGACCTCACCCAGTTCTGGGAGTCCCACGTGAACATTGGCAGTAAATTGTCCACTCGAGCGAGGAACCCAGCTTGTAGACCCTGACTATCAGAGTTGACAGCACTGTTGTTGACAGCTCCTACAGGTAGCGCAAGCTCATCATAGTCACAGTATAGGTGCACCAGACCCTGTACTAAGGCGAGTAGAAAGGTATAAAACCTGAAGTAGATTGCTCGCTCATTGAGTCGGTTTCGCTCTGATACCCTATCGAAATTTAGCTGGCGCCCTGTGATCGAAAGCTTGTTCCTTACTTTCCGCGTATAGTCCATCCTAAATCGGGTGAAGTTGATGCAGAGAAGATGTATACCTCGCTGAACCACCACGCAGAGAAAATGTACCATGCGAAGGTTGTAATGGTACCGAAGCTGAAGACGCTCTGTACGAATGCATTGGCTGGAAAAGGAGAGGTTCGACTTCCTAATCGACATCAGACAGATGTCTGCCATGCTGCAATGACGTACGCACCTAGGTGGAGAGCAGAAACCCTTAGCACAAATATGGAGAGAGCGGAGATGAAGAGAAGCAGCGACCGGAAAGCGGCAGGTCCGATGGGAAACCATACCCACAAGACTGGTTCTGGGTAAGCAGGCATGTATGGCTCTGATATGGCGTGTTGTACTTACTTGATGTCTTTTCAGCAATGAGAACGCCCTCGATGTAGCAAAATAGAAGGACTAAGACGGCTGATTCTGTGAATCTCCGGTGGAAGGCGGGGGTGAGGACCTCCCGATACAGTGATGGTCTCGAGGTGGCCATGATGGCCCCAACATTAGCAGCTTGTCACCGAACGTCGTCTACTCGCTAGAAAATGCCTGGATTTAACTTGACCACCCAACGAATTGTCAACGCGCAGTAAATATTGGGTTTGCGCAAGCGCGTTGTCGCCGATTATTGCCGTCTGTGATGGATCTTGCGGCTGGCGTGACAGTAGCTACGCAGGTTTAGTGAGGGCCTGCAATCTGGGCTTTATACCAGCTACTACGGACTACGGAGTACATCCGTCGCGCCAAAGATGGCAGGAATCACCTTATCCTAGCGTGCAGGTGACCCAACTGAGGCCCCAATGCAGACATCTGACTGTACCTGCCCATAACCAGCGCAGCGAAATTCCTGCTCGCTTGATTTGGCCTGCCACCTGTGACACGTTTCTTGCGGTATATATTCGGCAATGGATCGTGGAATCAGCTCTAGCCTCTATCCTAGGCACAACGATATTGACCTCTTCCCGATTCCCCGGCGGTAAATGGCATGAGACTGAGTGGTGGGCGGCTACGCCATATCCTAAATGGGGCTGAAAAGGCCCAATACCGCTTCGTCCTTCACCTCCTTACAAGCCGGTGAAACGAACAATGTAGCCATTGTAGGCTAACGACCCGATCCTCCTTGTTTTACTTCCTCAGCTAGTCAATTCATTCGACAATTTTAACACCTCAGGAAATTGTGGCACGTTCATCTTTTGAAAGGCGGTTACATACATCAGCCTAAGTTGGGGGATGCGCTCGTCTCGAGCGTCTATACCCAATCAGATAAAAGCCTGAAACGCTCTTGTACTTCTCCAAGGTCTTGTCAGTAAGGCTGCCTGAGATAGCCCGCATTTCAGTGATAGGGATGACGTGTACAAGTGCCTTTTTCTTGCTGTGTTATGCCCAAATTCTCTTTAATCGGAAAATAGCTCAATCTTAAAGTGACACCAATTATCCTTGACACTTCAGTTTAACTTATCTTATTGCCCCACTTTGACCACTATTACTTTCCAGAAAATCGTCCAGCTCAACTCTAAGCTCTTTCATTCTCCTTCCTTCTAAACGTAGAACCATGGTCACAAGGAGGTCACTGGCCTCTTCATCTGGCGAATAGGTATCGATAAGAGTTTCGAGTACAGCCATTTCCGAACATAAACAATGAAACCACTTTCAGCTGCTCAAAACTTCCGGCAGCATCAACGAATAACCACCACGCTGAGGCAAATCTGCGAGGCTTATCCTCCGAACACGTGCCTTCGCGAGCTTCTCCAGAATGCTGACGATGCCGGGGCGACCGAAGTTGAGTACGTCCTCGACACTAAGTCGTATCCAGAGCGACCGCTCTTGCATGAAGAATTAGCGGATTACTGCGGTCCAGCTCTTTTGGTGCGGAACGACAGTGTTTTCAAGGACGAGGACTTCCAAAGCCTTTCCACCATAGGAGATTCCGTCAAACGCTTCGATCCCGCCACAACAGGACGATTCGGACAAGGTAAGTAGCCTTCAATCTACCCCCAAGTGCCCTCTGTTGACTTTGGTATGAAGGCTTTTGCTCTGTCTACCATTGGACAGACGGCCCGTGGGTTTATTCGCGCAATCTTCTCCTGCTGCTGGACCCTCATGAGAGATGGTCCAAGAGCTTTGAGGCGGGTGCAGGTGGTCCCGCGTTTGATGTCGTGGGTAATCATGCAGTCCCAGAGATACAGAACATGATGAAGCATTTTGCTGTTTTTGACGTGCGACCGAGTCAAGAAAGACCAGATACTATCATCCGTATACCACTCCGGACGAGTCTTCAGGCTAAGAATAGCGAGATTGTTCGACACTCTGTTAGCGTTGCCAATGTTACGGAAATTCTAAAGCAATTTAGCAAGGACATTCAGCAAGGGGGCCTGCTATTCCTGAAGAACATTCGAAAAGTGGTCATTAAAGTCAATAAAAAAGTCATAAGTTCCGCTGAAATACCTACCGGAACTAGTGACGCTGAGTGAGTTACAATATCGATGCTTATACTTTTCAAGAATGAGGCTAAACCAAACAGACTTAGAAGTTCTATACGCCATGATTTCATGAGACTATATGGCTCTTCAACCCCCGATAAGCTTGGCGCAGTGATATCGAAGACTTTCCGAATCAAACTTTGTTATGCTAATGAGGCTAAATCTTGGAGTGATGAGTACCTTATGCACCACCGTCTGGCGCCTTCTAGTGGTGATCCTGACCTGGATGAATGGGCAAAAGAACGTAAACTTTATCCTTGGGTCAGTATAGCTGCGCCTATTAAAAGACTCGACCCGGCATTCGAAGGCTTACTTTTCTCAACGCTGAGCCTGCACATTCGGACTCAGCAGCCGGTCCATATCCATGGACTATTTGCTATTGCTCCAGACCGCGCACGTCTTAGTCTAGATGACTCAGCGGTCAGCTGGAACAAATTCATGTTTCGTTCATGCGTAGCCCCCGGGTGGACAGACCTGCTAGAGCATCTCAACCTGGAGGAAACAAATGAGCAAGCCTTCGCTCTTTGGCCTCGTACTGATCTAACACCAAAGCAAGAGGACCTCTGGACCGAGCTTGACCAGCTGATGCTCAATATCATTGTCCGTGATCAGCGAGCAGTCTGGGAGTCTTTGATTGGCGAATGTCTTACATTCGGTGATGCACTCTTCATTGTGAATGCCAGCGAAAGCACGAATTATTGCGAAGCTTGGAAGGTAGCTGAAACTCCTGGTGTTGTGCTCAAGCAGACACTATTCAACAAGCTATCAATTCAAGCAAGAATTTGCGGACTGACTGTCAGATGCTTAACTCCACAATCGTTTCGCCAGTATCTAAGTCATCGTACGTCTGGCCCTCCGCTATCTGCTCCTAGGATACTCGAGTATAGTCTGTTAGACGCAATGAAAGACGACGGCACAGGTCCCAGATTGAAGGATGTCCGCAAAGAGCTCGGAACTACTCCAATCTGGCCGATGCTAAATGGAGCCTTAGAGCCCTTTAAAGGTGAAGGAAAGACTCTTATGCCCCACGACCAAGTCGAAATGGACTTCTTTCGTTGTAGCAGGGCTTCGATCACGCTGAATCTAAGTTGTCTTACTCAAGAGGTCTGTGAATTCTTGCTGAAAGATGCCAACAGCAAATCCGTATTTGCGCGACTCCGCACTCTGAAGGACCTAGCAACCGACTGGCCAACCATTTTCAAACTAACAAATGCGTCTATAGAGCCCTACGATGTGAGGTTGCGAGATCTAGCTCAAGATCTACAAATAAAGGGTATATGGAAATGGATCTATGATCGTAGCGACTCACATTGCATTGGACATGCGAATTCTTTAGAAAATCTATGGTTGCTGCCTTTACAGCAAACCCGAATTCGCCGCCTCAAGCCCCAGGGACACTCAAATCCTACCTTGATCCTAGCTGAAGGCGATGCCTTCAAGCGACTTATTGTTGAAGCTGCTCCTGGAATCCTACCTACACTGATCAACATCATTGATAGCCACGCGATAGGCAACAACGCAATCAAGCTTTTGAAGCAGGTCGCCTTGGACTTTCCAGCGCTGCGTCTAGCCACTGAGAAGACGCTTGAGCCTCTTATTGCTTGGCTTGTAAGCTCAAAAGACCTGTTACGGAGCATGTCAGATTACCATCGGCAGCGACTATTGGCCCATGTCGCTAGTCTCGTCCTCTCCGTCGACGCAAAGAAAGTATTTCCCCTAATCAAGGACCAGATCAAATCATTGCCAATTTTTAGCAAGTGCACATCGCAGGTGTCCTGTGAGAAATGGCAAATCACCAAGGCTTGTATTGATTTGACCAGATCCGTATCATTTGCTTTACCACCTGGCCTCCCACCCTTGCCTGAGATCCCAGGTGTGAGTCTGTATGATATGTCAGACGATAGCGAGCGACTCATTGTTTCTAAGCTCAGCCTCATTAAACTCGACGCCATTGAGACCCTATTGGATGGCTTCTTGCTACCATGGGTATTTAAAGAGCAGACCATCGAGTCAAAGAAGGCTAGGTCTGACTTAATCAACTGGCTTTTCAACATGGTCCAGACTGATCGAAACCCGACTTGGAAGAGGATAATCACCAACCGATCCCTTGTACCTGTAATACAAGGAAATGGCATCCAGCAACATGCCCGCCCAATGACCCTCGTCGATCCGATTTCAACATTTTCGAGGCTTTTCTTTGATGACGAAGGTGTCTTTCCAGACAAGAGATTCTTCGGAACGCACGCTGAAGCGCTGCGCTTGTGTGGCATGAGACCTGAGATTTACGATGGTCCATTTCTGTTGAACCGAGCACTATCATATTCGAAACGAACGGCTAACGAAGAGCTCGTTGAAAAGGTCAGACTTCTGCTATTGTCAGAAGTCAGTAGGGGCCTTGATGAAATCAACGTCCAAGACTTACGTGGCCTAAAGTGGATTCCAGCCGACAGTCCGAACGGTCAGGTCGAACTCTATGCGCCTTCAAGCTGCCGCGGAATAGGTCATGATCACCTCGTAGACAAAGTCTGGGGGACCACAAATCTCTTGCCAAATCCTTTCTGGAAACAATTGCTGGGTTGGAATGACGACATTCCCCACCAGGTTCTATTGCAACAGCTTGACCTCTGTGTTCAACAGCGTGATCATGCGAGAGTTAATATACTGCTCACGCATATCGCTCCACGACATTTTTCGCTTTTGTCCTCAAAAAAGTGTATTTTGGGTTCACACGGGCAATACTTGATTCCTAAAGCGGTGTCTACGCCCGGCAAAAGCCTCATTGGGATGTCATTGGAGCCATGGCTGGATCGTGTTGATCCTCTGTTTGTGCATACCCATGGTAGACTTCTCTCGGCCCTTGGTGTCCAGAGCGAGCCATGTATTCAGGATTTGCAGGGTGTACAAAAGTCGCTTCAAGATTCTTGCCCGAGCTCATTAGATGATTCAGATCTTTCGCTATGTATCGCAGTCCTAGAAGTCGCTCGAAACATTGGATGTGGATCGGCAGACCTTCTCATTCCTGACACCACTGGTATTCTGAGAGAAAAAAACGACGTAGTACATAATGAGGGCTTCTTGACTGAAAAATTCAATGATTTCCACTTCACACATCCTCGAATCTCTTCAGACCTAATAAACGGTCTGCAGATTGAGAGCTGCTGGGAGCGTGCTCTCAGGCTGCAGATTGAATTCGACGAAGGTGACGCAGATGAATTTACCCCCAAAGAGGATCTTAAGAACACTATCTACGATACACTTTCGCGATATCCTGTCGTCACAGCTTTTAATGAATTTCTTGCCAATGCTGACGATGCGGGAGCAGAACATATCTCTTGGACTGTTGATGAGCGCTACCATTCGTTTTCACCGTCCGCGAGCACCCTTGATAAAGAACTCTCAATGCTTAATGGACCGGCTTTGACAGTTTACAATGACTCCGTCTTCGATGAAAAGGATTTTGAAGGCCTCAAGCATATTGGGGAGGGAGGTAAAGCTGACGACGCAAATACAACGGGCATGTTTGGACGGGGAGTCATGTGTGCCTATCATTTTTGTGATGTCGCCATGCTTTTATCAGGTGATTCCTTCGTCATTCTAGATCCCCGGGAAAGACACCTTCCGCGAAGTCGCAGTAAGGGAAACAGACGAAAAGCAGGGATTAAAATTCCAATAGCTACTGCGCGTCGGCTTGCGGCTCAGCAACTATCGCTGTTTGAAGGAATATACGGCTATTCTCAGGAGACAGACTACTTCAATGGTACGATCTGGCGTTTCGCTTTCCGAGGGGCTGGAATGGAGACGCCGCTTACAGGTACCTTGGAGGTCATGGACGTGAAGAAGGCCTCGAAATTGGTGGACAGCTATTTTGAATCCGCACGCAACTCCTTGCTCTTTCTTCCATCTATCAAGACCATCAAAGCCTATCATCAAGCAGACAGAACCCCCAAATGCACTTGGACTGTTTCCACGTCCCGAGTTGCAGGCTCGGATGCTGAGGTCTTTCAGAATGTGACTACTACCGTCGTAAAGCATGGCCAGAAGCCTGTTTACGACTTATGGCGTATCGGTCTCCATGACATTGAAAGTAGTCCAGCCGACGTGCCGAAGGTAGGCAAAGGGGCTACAAAAATAACTGAGTGTGGTATTGCCGCATGCCTGCAGTTTGACCAGCATTCAAATCCTGGATTCAATGGAAAGTTCTTAGGAAACCACACTGTACGTCATCACGTATTCTGTAGGTTGCCTGTCGACCTGAGTGTAGAGCTACCTGTTTCCATACATGCAAGCTTTGCGATTACCGGGGATCGTAAGACCATGTCGATTTCTGACGACGACGAAGTGGCGAAGTGGAACTGTTGGCTTCTCAAGGACTGTCTTGCCACTTTTTACATTGACTTTTTGAAAGACTTGGCCGCACGCTATGGCTCAGACGCCTTCAAGTTTTGGCCTGCGAAGCCGCTTACATTGACAGCAGCACCGAAGAGAACCATATCGAACGTTGTGTCGACTTCTTTCTGGGCTGAAGTATTAACTCCGAGATATCGCTCTGAGCCGTTATATCCGTTGAATGAAGACGGGCTCAGCGAGGACCAATCCAAGACAAATCTGAAGAGAGCAATACCACGGGCTCGCAGGAGACTTCTAAATGTTGTGAATTCAGAGAATGCTCATTTCTATCCTTCACCCCTACCAGTTTTGCAGCCCCTATTCCACAAGCTTGGGCTTAACCTCGTCACGCCTCCCTTCCTACTATGGAGGGATATCAAATCCTCCGCTGCAGATTTCAGTATAGCTGAGATAGGTCCCAAGTTCTTAAGCCAGCTTTTCCAGGACGAGATGAAAGTAAAGGTTCTAGAAGACTACTTGCAGTCACTCCACACCGAGAGCGACCGAGAAAGATTCTACGCCTCATTCCTGGAAGTCATCGTTCCTCTGACCAGTCAGAAGAACGTCAAAGACCTAGCGATTCTAGAGAAATGCAGAATCTTGCCTCGTCCAACACTTACACTTCCTCTGGGCAAATTAAGCTTTGAGAACGCGGATTGCCCGCATTTAATGGCCACTGAGACTGAACAAAAATTGTTTAGCTTCGCAGCAGACTGTTTTGTTCACACCCAGTTGTTCAAGAGCAAGCAGGAGCTAAAGGCGTTGTCGTCTACTGGGCATAGAGATCCTATCGCAGATATCTGCCTCGCTGACGTCAATATCAGAGGGATCGAAGCTCAAGACTTATGTCTGCTTTTGATGAGACCTGGTTCTCCGACTAGAAGTGCAGGCTCCTCCAAGATTTACTTTCAGTGGTTAATTGAGCTATGGTCGTATTTAAACTCCAGGTTTGACATGACAAATGCCGTAGAATTCATGCAAGAAGCCAGACTACTCGACCAACCAATTTACAGGATCACTCCTTCTGCCCAGGATCAGTACATTTCGCCGCGCACTTTCGAGAATGGGGCATACATAGTTAGTCCTCTGGACGAGCAAGAGAGGCAAATGTGCTCCAATATTCCCTCTACGGCGATGGTCGACCGCAGTTGCCTACCATCCTCGCTAGTGGCGAACGAAGGTGCAATGGATACTGTCCCTGGTTATAGACGATTTATCAGAGCCCTATCTAGAGCTTATAGCAGTCCTCATGACCTCTCAACGTTTCTCAACGCCGCAATGACCCCAGCTTCACGTGACACTCTAAGACTGTTACTCGACAAGTACATCAAGAGTATCACTGATACTGACCCGACAAAAATCAGGCAAAGGATTATCCTGGCGCTTCCAATATGGCCGCGAGAGATCGCACTCCAAAATAATCTCTCATACCACTCGGCGTCAGGTGCCACTTTTTGCGAGCATAAGCCCATGTTCGTCCCGTGGATGAAGAAAAAAGACGATCTAGTCAAATCGAGCGTTGTACGACGCCATAAAGTGGTACTTTGCAAATTAGGTGTACCTCTACTCTCTGTTCAAGACTTCTGGGCTCGGATTAAGGATGACATGCCATTACGTATTGAAACTCCGAACGACATGAAATTGTTTCAAAGCCTCCTGACAACACTTTCTATAAACTCCATCAAGACGAATGCCAGGATTGCAGTCCGTGTGGACGGATGCTTACTTCAGGCGAAAGCGCTTTACGACCACCAAGACGAGATGTTTGCGAATGCGTTCCAGAATGAAAGAAACACGCATTTTCTCCATGAGGACTTACGAGATCTTCGATCCTTCTTCATACAAAACGGTCTCCGGAGCCGAGAAGGAAACCGTACTATTCATCATAGCCATTTTATAGATAGTGCGCAAGCTGTAGATCGACAGTGGAGGTCGGACCTGGACGTAGCTACGTATGTCCGCACAGCAGGTTCAATTACCTCCTATCTTAATTTTGAGAAACCAGAATTCTTGGATTGGCCCTCAACAATTTGGAAGACCTTGGAGACCTTGCGAATTTTCAAAGTCCGTGACTCGTCCTCTATCGAACCTTCGTATCGTCTTCAGCGGATGAAATCTCTAGCTGAAGAGGCGACCTTTTGTGCTTTGAAAGATACAGTCAAGGCTGAGTATACGCGCGTCTGTTGGAGCAGGGCAAAATTCGTTACCTCTCCACCCGCACCTCAAGTCTACAATCGAATGTCTAATCATGGTCGACCAAGTCTTGAAAAAGTTTACCAGCATCTCCACTACCTGGTCACTTTACATGACTCTGTTCTTCAAAGCGAAGTATCAGAATATCTGCAGGATCTCCAGGCTTGCTATAAATGGCTGCAAGACGACGACAATGCCAAGAATCTGCCGGGCATTCGGTCTGCAAAAATCTGGTTCAACCTAGATTCTACGGTAATCAGTCAGATACAAAGGTCTCAGCTAGCTCCTAGCTTGCTGCCCACACATGTTCTCTGCCTTCAAGCCCCTTGTAAGCCTTTCATTTGTGTTCATATTGAAGCATTCCATGACTAACATCGGACATAGGCGACACACCAACTATGATAAGAACGAAGAAATTTCTCGCTCCTTACGACGGCTTGCTCATAACCTTAGGTTGCCCATCATTCTCGCAACCTCCCCCTCCGCCTCCACGTCCTATCGAGGCAAATGAGCGCTCGATTTGGGGTTCTCTCAATGAGCTGAGAAAGTCCAAGATGCTTGTTGACGTATATATGGAAGTAGAGGGGACACAGATCGCAGCCCATAAAGTGGTCCTTGCCGCCGCGTCTGACTTTTGCAAAGCTCATTTTGCTACGCACTGGGGAAAACATACGCCGGATAGATGCGTGGTTCCACTTAAATTCGGCTTGCAGAAGCTCTCTACACTTTCTACGATGATTGAATGGGCCTATGGCACGGACTTCCTTGCCCCAGTCCTGAAGAGTTCTGAAGATACCGACGAGATCGCAGACCGTCTAGATGAGATACTTGATGTACTCGAATGCTCAAATGCCTGGCAGATGTTACGTCTGCGCGATCAAGTCGAAGACTTTCTCACGGAGACTACCAATGCGACAATTTACCGGCGAGCGGATAACGTGGACCACATTCGGAAGATAGCCGAGGAGGCGAAAGCAACGAGATTAGTCGAGGATTGTGACCGCTACATTCAAAAGAACAAGGATGGAATGGAGAGGATGAGAAAGGCGTGATGAACACGGGCGGGTAGGATATGAAGATGGTGGTATAGGAGAGAGAATAAGTTTGCTTTGCGACCAAGGGTAGGTTTCTGTACTCTATCATGGAAGGTTTAAGGTCCCATTTTTGTCTTGAGGAGTAGGGGCATGCAACATGTGAAGCGGTAAAGCTTGTAGCATAGACGTCAAAGTCTCAAGACATGCCTCTAGGGTGCCCGTACTCCTTTTCCTACCTAGAGGTCTCCGCTGCTTTTATAGGTCGGGGCAGAACAAACAAAAAGACGATTCGAATGGGACTGGTAGAGCTTAGTGAATGGCGCTGAAGTCGACATGAAGAGCCCGAAGTTCATCTCGCAGGATGCTCGTCTTGTTAGGGGAGATTTAATTTGCGCTAGCGGCCCCTTTTTCTCACCAATCACCACACGTGTTACGTGTCACGTGTCACGACGGGAACTCCCGTAAATAACGGGATATCAGATATCAGATATCAGATCTCACGCGCCTGCTTGTCCTTTCATTGTCGTGACGTGGCGACAAGTCGATGACTAGCGCGTAGCGCTGTAGCCGCAGGTCCATAGCTCTTGTAGACCGCAAGAACATTCAATTCTAAGCGTTGACGGCCTGAAGACCCTTGACAACTCGGTATTACTTCCAAGTGACCACTGGCTACTTTAGAGGCCATGGCTATACTTAATGGTCTTGAGGTTACAGTGCAAGTCGACGATGAGAATGTAGAAGAATTCGAAGATCCAGATGACAATGCTGAAGAAAATGGCACCTTCGAAACCACGAAATATGTTGAAGCGAAGTCCGGATCGTCTTTTGCATTAAGCTTCCGTGTCCCAGCAGCCTACCGAATGATCTCGCCGTGCTTGACTTTCCGGTACGCTGTGGACGACAAAGACTATGGAGGCGCTATTGCAACGAACGACCAACAACGCGACCGCTTCGGAGACATCGTTCTCGTCAGGAAAGGTGATATGAGCCATTCTGGCAAGCGTATAGAGATGAGGCCTTTTGTATTTAGTGAAATCAATATTGGTCCGCTCTGTCACCAGGTCGTTGAAGGATCACATCCTAACAGTTGATAGTTGAGGATGGGGCGACACGAAGCGTACGGATGATGAAACCCGATTATCTCAAGGTTCTTGGTACAATCAAATGCGAAGTCTTTCGCACCAAGATCACAAGGGTTCATTCGAAAGAAGAATACATTGCGAGCTTAAGAAACCAAGTTAAAACTTCGATGCCGGTAAATACTACAGAGAAGCAGATAAAAGGCCAAGCTCTTAGCCACAGCTCCCAGTAGGTGGTCTCACTTCATGCCACACCATTGCTGACGGTTTCCGTAAGGCTAGGCCACGGTGTACAAAGTGACCTTCCTAATATGAACTCGGTGGACTACGTAGACGGGAGAGATCGCCCAATCGCAACATTTTTGTTCAAATATCGCTCTAAAAGTCAGTACCCGCATTGAAGCCGGTCTAGGAAACCATCAAAATGCTTACTAGAGCCCCACAGGAGCCCTGAAAAGCCTGCTTATCATGCCACGGACACCGACACCGCAACCCCTGGAAGAGCGCGACGTTGATACCTTAAATCCAGCAGAGTTGCGGGAGCTTCTCAATCATTACAAGGTAAGCTTCACGTCCTGTTCGTTCGTATTTGAGGACATAGACTGAACGAGCAGGAACAGGCGAACGCGCAACCTACGAAGGCAGAGCAAGTCAAGACGGAGAGGCGACGAGGCATCAAGAGGGAGCGTGATGAAGAACTGGAGGCAATGCTAGCTACCTCAACATCTAAACGAGTCAACAATCGTCCCTTCCGAGATGGTGAGATTGTAGAACTTGATTGACCGCCGCAAGTCCGAACAGCTTCACATTGCGGAACATACGAACTTGGTCAGTGTCGACATATGGCTAAAAGTGTCGAGTCCATTTTCGGATATCGAAAATTAGAGGGGATATTTCACTGATGGCAGGAACAAAGAATGAGGCTTTGTTCTGCGACACATCTTCTAAGGGAACGTATCTATATCATCATGCTTTCGAACAGTTCAATTGGGGAGTTTATACCCTATCCAACCGCTCCAGGATTAGCGATGATCTGATGAGTTGTTGGAGGAGGGTACTTAAGCAGCAGGGTTTTGAGGGTAAGCGTGGTGAGGCTGCGCTACTGACGTGAAGACAACGGCTCTAGTGTGAGCAAAGTGAAGAGACTTTTTATCTTCGGGATTGAAACCAATCAATATACTGCTAGACATTGAGATAGCCTAAACAACACATTCTCATCCGCAATGCAAGATCGTTTTCCCTTCAAAGCATCTCAATCCATTGCTCAGGCATTCCATACCTCGCCGACCTAATAAGTGTCTCGTCTTCTCGTCTTATCCATTATCCTCTCCCTAGTACTCTACCCAACGCGTCTTTCATGTTCAGTTCATCTTTTTATTCGCAAATAAGTCTTGCCGTTCTTCGTTCGTCAGCCAGCCAATGTTGGTTGTTGTTGCCGGCGCCGGTGCCGTCATCTGGTCCAGTGAGAACTTCGCCTCGTTACTGTCTTTGGCGGCATGGAGATTGGATGTGGAATGGACGTGTCGAGGTCGCTGAGGCAGGCGAGAGTTGTATTCACGGCGTTTGGGAGACTGCAAGGTATCAGGATTGGTTGCCTGGGGCAGCTCCTCGTTAGATACGTGGTTAATGACAGAGTTGATTTCTGAAGATGAGGCTATCTTTGAAGCAGCTTCTCCATTTGCTGTCCCGTTAGCATTCTGCTCGTCGGCTGACTCGCCATAAGATCCTGAATCATTGATAGACTTCGGGTCCAAAGATGGAAAGGAGGATCCATCACTAGTCGGAGATCCTTGGTCATTGCCAGACATCGAGTCCGAAGATGGGGCTATATCAGTAGTGGCTCCATCAATCGTTGTGCCGTTGGTGATGTTCTGTTTGTCGGCTGATCCGTTATGGGATTCTTGGCCATTGCCAGACATCGAGTCGGAAGATAGGGCTATCTCGGTAGCGGCTCCATCACTTGTTGTACCGTTGGTGATGTTCTGCTTGTCGGCTGGCTCATTATGATATTTTTGGTCAGTGCCGGACTTCAAGTCTGAAGACGGAGTTGTCTCTGCAATGGCCCCATCACTCGTTGTACCATTACCGATACCCTGCTTGTCGGGTGATTCGTCATGGAATCCTTGGTCAGAGCCGGAGTTCGAGCCTGAAGATGAAAATGCGGACCCAGGATCTGCGGCACCATCACCCCCATTAGTGTTATTCTGCCCTTTGATTTCCTCGTCGACGTTGGAGCTGACTTCCTCCGTCAAGTCTCCAGCGTGGTCTCCTAGCAAGTCGCCAGTGAAAGCAGTGAAGTCGGCTTTTTTTAGCTCGCTATCCACATTTCCATGTTTCTTTGCTTGCTCCACCTCTTGTCGTGCCTCGTCGCGCTCTTCAAGTGCCTTCTCAATCCCTCCTTGTAGCCCCTGGATAATAGCGAAAAGCTTGATCGTTTGCCCATTGCTCTGATCCACGACTTCATCGACGTTCAAAGCGCGTACTTGAAAATCGGTTATCTCGAGATTCTTGGTGTCGATGAGACTTAATCCTTGGGGCTGAGCATCGCCTAGAATCCTGCGGAGGCAAGCAAGAGCTGTGTCGGAAATCTCTCGCCTTGCGGATAAGATTGATACGCAAAGAATGGGATCGTTTTCGACCGTCTCCTTCGTTGCAGCCAATGCAACGTCAATGCAAAACAAATCATTTGACGCTGTTGCCACAGTAGCTTCGTGCTCTGAACCATTATCAGGTGTGGTCACAGAAATGTCCGCCTCATTTTGGTGTTCATTACTCGGTGCTGCCTCATGGACGATAGGGAGGGCGCTTTTCTCTTCTGCGAGCTTGGAATCTTTACTTCCACGGAAAATGGTCATTAGGTGACACTTGTGCACCAAGGAAGTCAAGCTTTGAACAAATCTAGATGGCCTCATTGAGGAGAGAGTCATCCAAACAGAAGCCATGTCAAACTCTTCGCGTAATTCCATGTAGAGGGATAGATTGTCCCTGTCCCGATATGAGTTTCCGGCCTCCTCATGTGAGCCTGGGCGTTCCATGGTCCTCCGGTCTGGGTTGCTTGTCATTTCTAGTATCTTGAGAGGGAAAAGAATTACGTCGGAAAGAATGCTCTTTCGTGACACTGAGGACACGTCTGTGTGAACAAAGGCACCGAATTTAAGCGGACACCTCAAAAGTGTTGACCCCACCATTGAAGCCTACCGTGTCAAGGTGTGGCGTCTTCTTGCCACAGCAGGATGATAGTGGATAGTCAATCCCGATGATAGCCCCATTAGACCCTTGCACAACCTGTATAGTATGTCTTTGCAAGCCATTCGTATGACGAAAACTGAGCAAGCATACAACGCAAAAGTCATTGTCTGCCTGCTCGACATGATCAGGACTAGAAGGCGCTCGGAATAGGAAACTTTGGAAATCTTGAAAAGTCTCCTGATTTCTATCATAGCTTCGATATTTCCGCTACTAATGTGTATGCTTTTGCGTAAGATTCTGTCGTGCATTAGCTCAATATGCTTTATAAAGCAAGATGCTCCCAAAGGCACTTACCAAGAAGATCTCGATCGATCTGTCCAATGTTCTGTATTCCACCGACATTCATCAGAATATCTAGGTCCGCCAAAAGACTCTTCATCACATGACGAACGCCATGTTCACCCATAATGCTCAGTCCCCAAACCCAGAGTCTTCCCACCCAAACGAATCTAGCTCCCAGCGCTAAAGCTTTTACGACATCAGCCGCGCCTCGTATTCCACTATCATACATAATGTATGTTCTATCTCCGACAGCATTGACAATGTTCTCGAGTGCATCCAGGCTAGCAATCGCACCATCAACTTGCCGCCCAGCATGATTACTCACAACAATCCCATCACACCCTACTTCGACCGCTTTCTGCGCATCCTGTACGCTTTGAATACCCTTCAAGCAAAATGGCCTGCCCCCTGAGATCCCCTTCCATGTCTCGATCAACCATGGTATCTTCTCCCAGCTCCACGCCCTGCCGTGCCAAACATTGTCGATCCACAGTGCACCGGCTTCATTTGGCTGCCTGACGGGATCAATGCCATGTTCACGCAGGCGTTTCTGAAACACCGGATCGCTGAGCCCTAAATCAGCGCCGATGCCGTGGTAGAATGCGTAATTACTGGTAGTAACGTCGTCGTGCCGCCAGCCAAGCTGCCACGTATCGGTTGTTAGCATGCAGGCGTCGAAGCCGGATTCCCAAGCGCGAGTCAAAAGTGAGACTGTGAGCTCATCATCATGTGGCATATACAACTGAAAAAAGCGGGGTGATGATGGGCCATTGGCTTTGCCGACATCCTCTATTGGTTGGGAACCCGCGGTCGAGAGAGCGTAGGGCAGGTTCAATTCACCAGCCACTTTAGCAACAGGAAGCTCTCCCAATGGGTGATAGATCTTGTTGATTCCTATCGGAGCGAAGCCGATAGGGGCAGCGACTTTATGACCAAATATGAAAGTACTCGTATCTCTGACATTTGTATCCACGAGCTGGCGGGGAATGATTTTGTGCCTGAAGAAAGCTTGTCGGTTGGCGAGATGGGTGTGTGAAAGACCCGCATTGGAAGAGGCATAGTACCAGCCATTCTGCGTAAGCTTTTCCTTCGCAAGCTCCTCTAGCTTACCCGGGTCAGTATTGAATGGCGGCACTTCACCCTCATTGGATTTCCAAAAGTTTTCACGCTGATACAAAGCAAATTGAGGCGTGCCTCGTTTGCAAATGTTTTCGTTCTTCGGGTCCGACATAACGAACAATGAATGGATGAATTGAGTCTGACCTCTTTTGAAAATGAAATAAAAGGCGTAACCAATGGACACACGTACAATTAAAGGCGAAGACCTTACCTAGAACAATGACGAACATGAAGAATAAACGTCATCGTTCGCGGGAGGCACGGACATGCAGTCTCGCGCATTGCATAACTCCTCGGACACCCTAAAACATAAACACAGACGTAAATCGTCTATTAGCCACTTTATCAAGAAAGTTTTGCCTGCAAAGTTGTTGATCTTGTAATTTTAAGTTACCTTTAAACCAAGACTTTTTGGTCAATAGGTGTAAGTAAAGAGTTATATTGCAGCAGCGTTGGGAGGTGTCCGAAGAGTTATGCAATGCGCGAGGCAGTTCAGCAAGCAAATCTCCCAAAAGTCAATTAGGTTGGGACCGTTCAGAGACTCAACATGGATGGTCAGAGCTATCGATGGACCTGCAGGTTCCTCACGAATGGATCGTTTAATGTGGGGGTTGTTACTAATGATTCGCATCTTACATATCGAGTCTACTGCTCTTGGATCCAGGATCTCCATCAACACGGCTAAGCGGGCTTATTTTCGTGGTAGAGAATTTGGTTGAGCAAAGACTTCTGGTTTGGGATAGTTGTGTCTGTTCGGCGTCTCGAGATACCTTCGTCAGAGGATACGAACGGCAAGGTCATCATTCCGTCCTAAGATCTTGAGCTGGGCGTCTATGGTTGCATAGCACCTTACAAGCGCTTGAGAAGACCCTTTAAGCATCATCAGACCCCATTTCGCGGATATGTGTGAGGGATGATGTTTCTGAATACGAGTTCCTTGACGAATCTCTAGAAAGCTCGGTCGCCTTTAGACTTTCAGCCGGCGTGGACTGCCCGACTCCACCAAAGGCTTGTCTGGGATAGTATGGACTATACGCAGCTAGTATATCTAATATCCATCTCCCAGGAGCCAGAGAAGTGTTTCAGAAGCAGAGTTATGAGCCGAGACAGGGGCTACAGATCCCCATTCAAAATCGCCGAATTGATGCATGGGAATGTGTATCCTCCTGCGGGTCACACACCCTTAAAATTCCTAACACACTCCCCAAAACTTGACAAGCCATATGCAGTCAGCATCCTATTCATCCATCAACGGTCATTCGCTACATCATATCAGCTTTTGCTATTCCTCAGCGCTCATCCTTGTGTCACCCTTGAACTTGCTGTGTTGGTGAGGCGTAGGCGTAGGCGCAAAAGGGAAGCTCCTCCACCGTGTTGCGGGGAACCCAAGATCGTCAGCGTGGGCCCACGTAACCGCTGGCCAGCGCACCTGCAATACCCGTCTATCTGTCAGGTTGATAGCATCACGCGATTCAATTACATAGGCTTACCGTCAGCCCTCTTCAGTCCACCGGTTCTGAGGAAGCTCGTCTCCCCCTTGCTCCACTTGTCTGTCTCTGCGGCTCATGCAGGGACCCGTACGCACAAACCTCCATTGACCAAGCAATCATTTTTGCAGTCGAGTCTCGACTGATATAATGTGACTTCGTCGCTAATACGCATCCAAAAGGGGCTATGAGGTCAAAAAACCTTACATTTACTAATAATACAGCCTTGACTCGTCGTCACTACTGTCCATGGCGCCGAAACCGCCAGCTCTAGAAACCTCTTCAGCTCCACTAGCTGATTGGTTTTTCATCTGTGGTAAGGGTCATAGGTCTACCTCTCGATTTACGCTTACAGATTTTGAGGTGTCGATAGCGAACAACTCCACTGGGGCGATGATGATGATACAGACGAAAATGGGCTGTCCACGCCATTTGAACCAACGATTGAGGAGGATAAGATTGCAGAAGCGGAGCATGCACCTCCAGATCCCCCAGTCCAGTCCCCACGCAAGACAAAACGGAGCTCATACCAACGCCTCTCAAACCTCTCGGACGAAGCACGTCTATCGATCGCCTCATTGACATTGTCCGGAGACAAGAAGGGGACCGATAGCAATAGGAGTAGTGTGACGATCAAAGGGCCACAGGTCAATGGGACGAACGCCACGAACACGTGGACAGAGACGGACTTTGAAAATGCGTTGAAGAAATTCGCTGCTCAAAGGGATTCCTTCCTTGTGGACTTGGATCTTACAGCAGGAGCTGTTGTCCCAAGTCGGCCGAAGCCCCGCCCGAAGACGCAAAGAATCATCACCGAAGATGCACCAGGCACCAGGTCTGGTATTGGGAGCATCCGCCGCAGGTTGTCCACGAGAACCTTGAACAGCGCCAAGCGACAAACGTCGGTGAAGAGACAATGTAAGTACATCCAGGCCTGCAGCTGTTTGGCACCATGCTTTGTTGCAACAGCTTCCCATGTATTGTTCGTATTGACCTGTATAGCGACCTCCTCCGCCCGAACGTCAAAGCGTCTGAGCAATTACAACTCGGTCATCCCAAACCCACAACCTTTAAACGAAGAAGCAAACACCCATCCATTGATGCGCAAGTTTGAGCCCGTCTTGCTGGATAGGTACCCGCAAAAGAGCATGGTAGATGAGATGAAGCGCAGAGGCACATTCCCAGACTACGTACCGATGTTCGCCTTCCCGAATGATGTCAATATACTGTCGGCCGATGAAAGACCGAGATCAACGTGGCATGGGTTTGCTATGACCTCCAGCGATAATTCTCGGCTTTATGGCATCTGTTTGACGGTGTGGATACCCCTGAATGAGCGTGCGTCGGGACAATTGGAGAGGGAATGCGAAAAATGGCGAAAAAACAACATGACGGGAGAAGAGCGGGAGCTGGCAAGTAGTCTTGGGGAACGACTCGCCCTTGAGCGAGTCAAGCTGTCGAGACTGCTAGCTAGTCTTCCCTCCGCGCCGTCAGGCTCGGATGAACGGGAGGCACTTGAAGATGAAATCAGCGCAGTCGAGGAGAAAATTGCGTTGATGGCTGATTTGCTTCGACCGGTCCGGCATGGTGCAGCTGCCAAGATAGAAGGTCTCACAGACGGTGAAACCGGCCTTTGGATACCTCGAGCCTACGGAATCTTGGGAAGGGATACCTCCTTGACAAGTTTTTGGAAAGAGTGGTTGAAGGCTGTCGTAGTCCCTATGACTGATGGTGCAATCGTTCGGGTGCCTATCAGCTCACCTACTGTAGGGACCTGGCAACCTCTTGAAAGATATGTTGTCAATCTGTGTGCTGAAGCGCCTAGTCCGATATCGTCTAAAACGCAGGTCGAGGTGTATATCAGGGAATTGAGATTGTTTGCTAGAAAGGAGGCGCTGAATGAACTACCAGGATCTCGAAACGTAGGTTATTCCATTCATCCCTGTGACTGGTGCTAATAAAGTGATAGACGGACCTATATGCATTATTCAGGTCTCTATCGATACCGAACATTGTTGTACTACTAGAGGTGAGCTCCATCGCCAGGCAAATTGGGGATTTTGCTGAGTTTGTTTCTAGTTTGCTTTAGCTGAAGCCCGCATAATACTCCTCTCTTCACATACATCAATGCTACATCTCGCTAGCAAGGCTCTTATCGAATTGATGTGGCCACTGAAATGGTCTGGCGTATTCATACCCGTTCTTCCTGCTCGCTTGATCCAAGCTATCGAGGCTCCGTGCCCATATATCGTCGGAATTGAGCGGCGATACGAGAAGGTCGAGCTGCCCGAAGATGACTTCGTGCTTGTGGACCTTGACCAAGACGAAATTGAATCAACAGTTCGACCGTTACCAATGCCGAAGCAGCAAAGACGGAAACTGACCTCAATCTTGCAAGCAGCGGCACCGCACCACAATCGCTTCGGTGTCCCCAAAGGGCCACCAGCTTATGCCATAGAAGCCTTCCCTTTCAACACCTTCACTTCCGAAAACCCTCCAGTATTCTCTGGCACACCTCAACCAACATCGCTAGCTAGATATATCGCGGCGAACTCTACCTCCTTCGGTGATGATAGCTCCAATCTGCCTGCAAGATATTTAGTGTTCAATGCTTTCTCACCGTCGAAAATAACCGACTCTAGTTCTCAAGGTCGGTCATCTACTGGCTCTACCAACACTACCGCTTCACCACCGTCCCCCAAGGCTTCACCTGTCTCGTCCACCTTTCCCGCTTTCCCTCCCTCACGCAGTGAATCTGGTCATGCAATACAAGCTAGCCTTCGCGAAAAACGCTCTGGGCACTTTGATTCATCGTCTAGGCGAAGCTCAACACTGGCATTTGACAGGAACCCTACGAGAAGACCGAGCATACCCAGTCATACTTCGAATCTCTCCATCAGCAATACGATCTCGAGCTATGCAACCTCAAATTATGCGCCATCTATGTATGCTCAATCTACTCTCGCAGCATCAACCATCATGCCGAATGTTCTCATGCAGCCAGTACGAAATACTGATTCGACCTGCTGGGCTGAAGGACATTGCCTGCAATGGCGTCGATATGACGATAAATCTACATGTACCATTTGCGACGAGAAGGCTGAAGACGGCATTTACAAATGCAGTGGCTGTAGCATCTATGCTCACACTAGGTGCGCTCAGCAGATATGTGTTGTCTGTCCTGCCGCATTCCATCCCGAGCAAGTCAGGGCGGCTTTCGCCAGATGCTTTGCGGCATTGTTTTACACATATCGCAAGAGCCTGCAGCCGGCGAACAAGGAGCAGAAAAAGAGTGGTCTTTTGTTTAGTTTCAACATGGACGGTTTCATACGCAGTCTGCCGCACGAGAACGCCGATTATGTGAAAGACGTCTTGAAAGAAACTCAATGTAAGTCATGTCTTCTTCGAGGAGGCGGACTCAACTAATGGTTACAGGTTTCAATGAATTTATCCACGAGGGTGAGACAAAACCAGCAAGCGATCCAAGCATAATGCTATTAGATCAAATGATCCTTTCAAAAAGGAATAGGGGCAGAGCTTCTATGTTTTCCAAATCGAGAGTCGATTTTCTCTCGGATACGTACGACCATCTATGGCGGTCTGCGGCAGCAACACCACCAAAAGGTCGGATACCCGGAGATTATCGAGCGACGATCACTCGCACGCCTGCAAAATTGGACCCGACATTGATGAAAGAGCCGCGAGCATTGCAAGGTGTACCTCGGATCAACACCGTCAACGCTCGAAGCAGAAAGCCAATCCCAAGCATGTTGGGACCAGGCAACAGAATGAATGGACTCGCACAGAGCCCGCCAACATGATAGATTATACGAAGAAGAGGAAAGTAATGCTAGCTCGCTAGGAACATAGAGATGTGTCGCAAGATTAACGAGGGGACGATATGAGACGCCAGTTGACATTGGGAAACGGAGGTGTTTTGAATATGCAGGATGTCATCTGTGATGGGTCTCTTTGGATCTGCGGTGTATATAATCGAGACCCAGCTGGTGACATCGGCGGCTCTGTCTTGCCATGTATGACAGGCGGCAGGCGTATATTGGGGGCATGGAAAAGTACGATCATCGTGGGCATGGTCTGGATAGGAAGAATAGATAATGAGGTAGATGACCCAGAATGGTGTTTCAATAAACAATACAATTATTCCTACTCTGCAACATGGGTATCAGTCTTCATCTCGTTAGTATTATCATTGGTTGGTTCCATACGACGCAAGAACTCATCAACGCAGAACCCTTTCCACGCAAGGCTTTCCTTCCAATCTCTCGTCGCTATTACCAAATCTTCTACCAACCTCTGCCCTCCCGCCCAAATAGCCCCTTTGAATGCAGCTCTCCGACATAAACACTCTAAAAACGCCCACCCGCTACAGTCTTTCGGATGCCTATAGCACCATCTCTGCACCGTCTCTAAGCGTTCTTGCGCAAGGACTGCCGTCTCCATCGCCACCTCACCGTCCCTCTCTACTGCTTCCTCCCCCCTTCGCGCGAAAAACAAAGAGAGCACATCCCTCGCATAGTTCCACCCATAATAATTACTCGTATGCTTCTCACCCGCTACCATCACAATCCTCAGCTCACTCTTCCAAAGCTCTTGCATCTCTTCTCCCGTATTTTCCCTGACATCTCCTCTCGGCCCTTCAGCTGACCGGATGGTGCGGAAAAGCCAAAGCCGATGCCCCCATAGCGTGGGACTCTTAGTATGTTTCGGCAGAGGTGAGGTGAGCAAGGATTCGAGCCATATCAGCTCGCGCTCTACAAGTCTTTGATGCCCTTGACGAGAACGGTGGGACAGCAGATAGCGTTTCCGCCAGTTGATCGCCGTTTGGTGGTTTGGATCGTAGAGCAATAGTACGCTTGTCGCCTTCAACTTCTCCTCTTCCAATTCCCCCTCCTCAGCTTCGTCACCGCTGCCATCTTCTCGTCCTTTGTAGGTGTATATTTGGGCATGTGGGGAGGGAGTGAAAAATATCTCGCGGGCGTAGAGGAAACATTCGATTAGTACTTTCTGCGGGATCGCGAGCGCGGAGTCGGGAGCTGAGTATTGGATTGAGGTGACAAGGGCAGAGGGGAGGATGTCGATTTCTAGAACACGGGATGGCGAGGGGTGAATGAGGTCCAACAGGTGGTTGTATGTAGAAGTGACATTAATATTGGACATATGAGTGGAGCGGGGATGAATGGGCGAGGGGTTCATTAGGCGGACCACCCTAAGAACTGCCGCTTTTGGCGTAGGGAATTGACGTAAGCCTTAGGGCTGAACGCCCAGGCCTACAATTTTGACCGAGCTTGCTGTGCGGTTACAGTCGTGAGCTCGAGATGGCGAAGAAGCCGAAGCTGCTTTCACACGATGAGATCTGGGATGACTCTGGTATCGTGGAATCTTGGAATGAGGCGCTTGAAGAGTATAAAGTACTGTATATGATCCAGAGCCTTGTTCACTATGCTGACGATGTGAAGCTCTATCACAGTATACACGCAAAAGGAGAGCGGGTTGAGGATGTGATTGAACATTTCAAGGCACATGAAGACCTCGATAATGAGTTGCTTGAAGACAACCTCACAACTTCAGTCAATGGAGCAGAGCAATCTCTGGCAACAGACGAAGTGGTCGAAGATGGAGTATGGGAGCAAGAGCAAGAGGAAATGCAAGATGATGAGCATATAACACATGTGAGGAATACAAAATGAAAAATCAAGTATGACTGTTGATCGGTCCAGGAGCAGGGAGAGTCGAGCGACACTATACTTCAGGAGCCCTCTTCAGACGTGACGGCAGGGCCAGCGGCGCAAGCAGCGGTCCCAGTAGCAATGATTGGAACAAGTATGATAGCCCGTGTCTTGTAGCTGTTCCATCCAAGCTAAATATGATATAGTCCAAGACGAATCACTGAAGAATCTGATGATGTCTTGGTACTGGGCTGGCTATTACACCGGCTATCAACAGGGACAGCAGCAGAGTCTGGCACAACAGGCCGATAAACGTTGATCGAGTGATTCTCGAAGAAATATGACCGACTTTGTAGAACCCTGGAACCTACCTCTTTTGGATGAAAGTGCAACTGCGTCAAGACGCCTAGCTCTTGTGGGAGAATTATACACCGTACTCCATGATACGTGCTACAAGGTTTTGAAGGTCGAAAGCATGTAAGTCACTTCCTCATGCCACCTCTCACTTGTTCGTGACTGCTCTCTCAAATCAATGTCGTGGATACGATATGAGTATGGAACCTGATGGGCGAGCTAATTTGAATACGCAGTCGAGAACCTAAGTCATTTGAAGCTTCAATTTGTCTAAATCGAAGTCCGATATGTGTAGCATCGAAGCGATCCTCAAGCTTCTATGGAAGGCTTCAATCATCCTGAAGACCTTTCCGAGGAAAGCACTCGGGCTTCTGACTTGGACGACTTGCCGAATGGCAGACATAATGCTACGGACGAACATGATTCAGTGTCTCTTAGGCTTTCGCTTTGATGAAGGATTTGCATCACGGGTGAGGAAGAAATATGAAAGGCTGTTAATGTCGCTGTGTTCCGTCAATGGCCTGCACTTTCTCATTCTGTCATTCTTTCTTTCACCAAGAATAGGTGAACAGAACATACCGTCCATCGCGTACGCATTCCACTATCATGACATCCTATGCACTCTCCGCCGTTGCTCTCAATGCCTTCTGTATTTCAGCATTCTTTTCCTTCCCCTCCTCGTTTCGGCCATCCCTCGTTTCTAGCGCCAAAAATTATCACGGAAGATGCGATCACCCGTCCTCAACATACCCTTGCCCTCGACTCTTACTCCATGTCGAGTTGCATATTCCAGAGGACGAAAATTGAAGCTGCAAGGCTGGCCTTTTCTAATCCCCAGCTTCTTTTAAATTTCTTGAGAAATTTCGGACGAGATTTTGGGGTTCGCTTTACGGGTCACATAGTTATGGGACGTTGCTGCATGTTACTGCGTGGTTTTTTAACATATGATCTGAGACTGGGAAATGAGAGCTAGGCGTCCCCATGGAAGAGGAGAGCGCATCGGATATAGAGCTCAAAATTCAGGCATGTAGTCAGATGGCCACCATCATCTTGTATGAAGCCATAGACAATTTACTCTTTGAAAAGTGTGGTATTTACAGACTTTTGATCACTGATTGAAACGATTGAATTTAGGGGTATCAAGTCTACTACTCAGCTATTACGAGCACTATACAGGATTCATTTAATATCTTCTCTTCTTCCTTCGAGGCACTTGCCCCGAGAAGGTCGGCATGCCATACAAGCCCATTCCTACCTCTCAAAATCACTTCACTATTCGCCAGTAAAAGGCAAACATTCTAATCCCAATTGATCCGGGAGCCGTGCGGTATTCTAGGCAGCTGAGCTTTCTGATACTCAACTGCTGCCTGTTCTTCTCCTCGAGGTTTGGTAGATTTGTTGGCGGTGGTCTGATGGACCTTAGCCAAGATTTACTTGGGGGTCATTCTTCAATCCGCTTTCCAGTGAGTAGTCAATCCGCCATCAAGGTCCTCCTTGTTAAGCTGCAATTCCAAGGCATACATGGCCATTGTTAATGCCAAGTTTACCCACCGCCACAGATTGCTGCCCGCATGACCACCTTGATTCTTCCACCACTCGCCATTGACATCTCCACTCATCGAGGAAAAGTGTTGCATTAGTAGACTGGTGTATACAGTGATTAATATGCTGGGGCTGAACCAGCTGAGGAGACCGAGTACTTGTCCAGCACCGTCGGAATCTTCTAGTGTGGGTTCTTCGGAAAGCCCTCGAACTCCTGACTCTCGTATGGCGGGGACTATGCGTGTCGTTGCATAGAGGACGAACAGCCGGTACGCCAAAGAAATCAAGACTGATGGAGTGACCGTGCTAAGGGCGTCTGCAATGAAATTAAATCCGGCGTGGATTGCGCCAGGTAAGACTGAGACTGCCTGCATTAGGGTGGTGTATGATGCCATGATGATAGGCGGGAAAGGGGGAAAGTCGGGAGCTTGAGGTGGTGGAGGCGATTCTTCGGGGGTCGATGGTTGGTAGTCGGTGAATATTTGGTAGATGCATAGGACGACATAGGCAAATAGAAGCGAGCTTTCAACCGGGTTGCCTTTCCCAGAGCCAATGCCCCATGCACAGAGGAAGACAGCACAGGTGATGGTGATACCGATGAGAGTAGCGTCCACGTTGCTGATCTCTGGGAATCGCGTGACTCGCCAGAGGAAGTATACAGCGCTAGAGATCACTGATGCCGAGACTACTAGTAGTCCAATCTGTCGAGTTTCAGCGGAGGGACTTTTACGAGATTCTTTGATCACTCACCATCCAGCTATCACTCCGTCCACTACGGTTCACCAGCCACCGTGTAATCTGCCCAGCTGCCTGTATGACGAGAAGACTGCAAAAGCCTTCTACTAATTGGAACACCGGAGTTGACCACCTCAGAGTCTTGTCCCATCCCCCAACAGTAATGCTCTCCGCCAGCCCGTCTGGCCCAAATATCCACTGCCATACCGAAGTATCAGCCGATCTCTTGCCACTAAACGTTCTTTCCACCCAGCTACTATTGCCGACTGGTTCAACCGAGAAGCGGTTTAGAGACCATATCAAAAGAGACGGGACCACGGCCCATTGTAACCAACTCAGAAGCTGAATTAAAAGCCAGCGATATCGAGAGCTCGGTGGCGTTGCCAATCGCAGGACCGAATAGTAGAAGTAGAATGAAGCCAGAGAAAGGGAGAAAGCTAGGCCACAGGCTCGTCCTCCAACATCGAAGGCTAGTGGTACTGAGAGAATGATCGTGAACAAAAAAGTCACAGACGAGAAGACTCGGAGGATCCACATAGGCGCAACGAGCGCCGGCAGCGCAATGAACGATGTGTAGTGTTCCTTTTCGTATTGCCGACGTGTGAGTTTCGACTTGAAGGTTTTGAGAGATTGAATGAAAGGTTGGAGGAAGCCTCTGCGTTATCGCTTCACATCGCTTGCATTGTTGGGTTCGCAAGTGATGAGAGGTATCATGGGCGGTCAAAGGATCCCCGTTGCAGCAGATGCAAGGCCCAAGGTACCGTTCAAGCCGACTATATCTAGGACCTGCTTGTTGAAAGGCTGTAGCAGCGCGCATCCAATGCTCACATGCCCGGTTTCCTGCAAGATTAAAAGTGCGGAAGCCAGTCAAAGCAACCAGGTTCTCCGAGGTGCAGCTGGCCGACGCTGTCAAAGGTTATTGTTCAGCCTGGTCGGATAGCCCAAAGTGTCAGATCCTGCAGCTTCCCTAGGTGTAGATGAGAGACAAAGAGATGCATGGACCACGACGCAATCCAGAAGGAACTTTCGCGTTCTTCCAATCAATTTATCTCGCGATAAACTTCTAGGCAGGAGAGCCGCTAGATCCAACCCCTGGAGAAAAAGGGAAGAATAGCCGAGACTGCCCTGGTCGCCACCAAGACCTGAGTTTCTCGAAAAGGGCAACTTTAGCCAGCCTTTCCCATCATTCATTACCTACTATTCAAACCCCTTGGATGCTATTACGCGCCTTCAAAATGGCCACAGAACAAGCATCAAAGCGGATCAAGCCCAATGGTTTTACCCCCAATGGCCCACTGATCGGCACGCACAATGGCCACTTCCACGCCGACGAGGCCCTCGCCGTCTACCTTCTCCGCCTTCTCCCCACCTATAACCCCTCCACGCTTCTTCGAACTCGCGACCCTTCTCTCCTTGCTACTTGTCACACGGTCGTTGATGTAGGCGGCGAATACGACCCCCGAAAAAATCGATACGATCACCACCAGCGCACCTTTGATGCCACCTTTCCCTCGCGACCCACCAAATTGAGCTCGGCTGGGTTGGTCTATTTGCACTTCGGCAAGCCCATAATCGCACAAAAATCGGGTTTCAGAGAGGACAGTGAGGAAGTCGGCATCTTGTGGAATAAGCTTTACGCAGAGTTTGTGGAGGCGCTGGATGCGAATGATAATGGAATTGGGGTGTATGACCCACAAGATGTAAAGGGCGTAGAGAAACGCTTCAATGATGGGGGTGTTAGTCTAGGAAGTCTAGTCGGAGATCTCAATTGGGCTTTTGAGGAAGGAGAGGTGCCGAGCACGGAGGGAGCACAGCAGGCAGAGGATCAGAGATTCTTGGGCGCAAGTCAATTGATGGGCACAATCTTCTTGAGGAAGCTCGATTACTATACGAAAGCCTGGTTGCCTGCTCGGACGCAGGTTAGGGAGACGCATGCGGCAAGGTTCGAGTGGGATGATCAAGGCAGGATCATGCTATTTCAGCAGGGGTGTCCCTGGAAAGATCATTTGTATACTATAGAGGCAGAAGACGAGGTGAAAGAAGAGAACAAGGTGCTATATGTTCTATATCCCGAAAGCGAGAAGGAGGAAAGCAAGTGGCGTATTCAGGCAGTTGCTATCAGTAAAGACAGTTTCGAATCGAGAAAAGCGTTACCTGAGGCTTGGAGAGGTGTGAGAGATGCTGAGCTGAGTGCTATTAGCGGTATTGACGGGTCTATATTCGTGCACGCGAGTGGCTTCATTGGTGGCAACGCTACCAAAGAGGGATCTCTGAGCATGGCGAGGAAGGCATTCACGCCATGAAGCCATGGAGTCGCCCCAGAAAAAGTCTTTTTAGCACAGCAAGGTGTTGGATAGCATGATATCCACGACAGACTAGCTCTTTAAAAACACGACCGACCCAGAATCTTGTGTTTATCCCATATCGCAAACCCGCCTTCCTAAGCCACGCTTTGATTTCTACCACCTCAATGACCGTGGCGATCAGCGTCACCAAACTCCAAAAGCTCCAAGCACGCGAAGAGCAAACAACAAGCTGATTTCATTAACCCATCAGCTCATCAACTCGTGAACAAGCACTAGCCCGAACGAACGCATGTTCCTCGGCTTCTTGCCTAGCTATGATGAACTCTGCCATCTAATGGGGATGCCTTCCTTCGCGGGCGGACCGGTAACATCTTTGTTGACCGGACTTTGCGGGCTTTTTGGGCTGAGGATGTTGGGGTCTTCAGCACTTGTCTCCCGTTGCAGGAAGCTGCTCTCTTTCACAGGACTACCGCTTGTCGCCCCAGGAATACTGCCTCGGTGAACTTCGCCATTCGGAGGGTTTGTAGTGCCATTCGGTCCAGGTGAGCTCAAGTGCGGGATGTTCTCTGGGTGTGGGTGTTCTTTGCCAATTGAGGTCACCCCTCCATCACTAGCTTTGCCTGCTTTAGACATTGCGTAGTCGCCCGAATCAAAATATTTTCGTTCCTGTAGTCTCAATTAGAATAGAGCATAGGCTCGAGTGTCCACGTCATACCTGGAGCTTATTTTGGAGCAAATCTTTCTTGTTTGGCAGCTTGCCGTAGAGGCGAAAGAGCTTTTGCTCTTCTTCCGTGAGTGACTAGATCTGATCAGTCGACACTTCGGGCGACCATGATGTGATTCCACACTCACGCTCACGTCAACTTTATTCTTCTGGAATGGATTCAGAGCCATGGCAGTCGACTTTTAGAAATTGAAAATATATAGTCTTGTCCCAGCAGCTTTTTCGTGCTATCTAGCGTCTTGAAATCCCGAGCTTGGCAACAATATTGAGGACCCCGATTATAACTTCTAACTGTCGAGGAAGGATGGTCAAGAAACGCCTAGATTGTTTATGAGTGGAGGTTGGAGAAAGACTGCCAACGCCACAAGTGCTGTGGCTTTGAAAAGGGTTGATTGATCGTTTGACGGGTGACAATTTTATGGGCGCTAGGTGAATTAGGTTTGCGAAGGGTGGTGATTGTTTGATGCTGCGGAGGCCAGATTGAAAGCGCTATTAGGTCTTGAGGATCTTAAGTGAGCGAGACTCGTTTTGTTTGGATGATGAGAGAGCGATTGCTCAAGTGATGGTTTAGGGGTAGATTGATGAGGAGGGGGTGGTGTCGTGATATGTTTACAGAAGGTGAAGAAAAGCGACGAAGGAGACGTAGAAGAGTGGAGATAAAGCTTTGCCCGCGCAAGCCGCCAGGCGATCCAATTGGCCAAGCCATCGTTGTTTAAAGATCAGGTCACGAGTGCCGCTAACTATTAATCTCTTAGAATAATAAATAATACCACGAGACGTACATTCGGGCTCGCTTGGCTTTGTCATCTGCATCATATCGAGATCCGTGTTGACGCAGACCAGGTATACTGTAGGTATACTGCTCATGCTGTCCAGTGGAAGACGCATCTACAGATCACTTGCATCTGCATAACACTACCTAAGATTTGGTTGGTATGACGAAAACCTTCGTTGTGGAGCATCTCGACCCGGAGCTCGGGCCATGGTCATCCTTGGAATATCAGACAATTGCGCGGGAGTGCAATGAGAGTGGGGCAAAGTTCTGTCTCTCGGGTATACAGCATGTGAATGAGCTACCAATCGAGCTTCACTCTATCTCAAGCTTAGAGGTTGAAGCTCGAACAAGTGACCAGCTTTATCCGGGAAGCAATGCAAGGGTTTGCCTGCTCGACCCGGCTGCAAAGCAAGAATTGTCACCTGGAGACGCCGACAGCTTCGACGTTTTCTTATTCGGTGGAATACTAGGTGATGACCCCCCACGTGGTACACCATCCTTCTTGCCGTCGAAGCCTTCAGATTGCCTTACAATGGCTAGACAGAACGTCCGAGTTGCGTAAGAAAGGCTTCCAGGGCCGACGTCTAGGCCCAGTCCAGATGACCACGGATACTGCTGTCCGAGTGACAAGAATGGTGATCCAGGATCAAGGTTGCTACGGGAATGTGGGCATAACGATGAAGCTGCTGACACCGCCCAGTCGCCCTCAACGACGTTCCATATATTGATTTCCCGGAATTGAAGCTCGACGAACATGAAAGCACGGAGATGCCTTTCCGCTACGTGAAGAACGAAGACGGGTCGCCGAACATGCCTCAGGTGAGAGCAATGCTGTACATTTCATCAACTTCACTTACCTCATCATCAGGGTATGATCGATCTAATTAAGAAGGATTCTGATAAAAGCCTGGACGATTTGCTGTAGAGAAAAGCAATCAAAACTGTAGAGCAAGTTTTGCGCAGATCGCTGCCAGATCATTGAAATGAGCAATTGGACTTTGTGTGGCATTTACAAAATTCTGCCGCTGACATTCCTCCTGGCAAATCCTTTTTCAATGATACGCCTTCACGACTGGCAGCGCTGTAAATAAAACCGTTAATGGTACGCTCACCAGCACACTCCATGCCACAGCCTGCAGCGCCACTCGATCCTGGACGATGCGCAAACTCTCGTTCTGCACCCAAATCGTCGAATCAAAAATCTTTCTAATCATCATCTTAGCTTGGTATTTCTCCACCCATACTTCATGGCCGTGTGAGTTCGCCGTCCCGAAAGTTTCTAGTGCCAGACGTGCCCGTGTGTGTGCCTTGCTCTTCTTGGTCCCTACCCGCGTAGCAGTGCCGCTATGACTCGTCTCCTGAGAAAGTGAAAATGTGTCGGAACCCGTGAGGGTAATGCGATCGCTATCGAATCTATTGTCGAAACTGTGGCTCGTCTTCAAACTACTCCCATTCAGATTCGATTCGCTATCTTGATCTACGAATTGCTCCCATGGTCTCAGATGCCGATCATGCGTCACGTAAAGTACGAGACAAATGCCGTTGCTGCCAGCCAGCAGAAACGCAAACCCTAGCAGCCAAGCCGGTAAGGCCCAGACACGCCACCAGCGAGACTCAAACGAGAGCAGGAGTAATATGGCGATCAGGAAGCCAAAGAGTATGTTGAGGGCGCCAAGGATACGGCCGAAGAGAATGCGCGGTCTGTTGCCATTGGCGGTGGACCAATGGATGAAGTTCGGGTGGGAGTGATTCTGCAAAGTTTGCGCTGTAGTGGTGAAGGGAATGGAGAAGGCGGATGGGTGGGTGGTATGCTGGAGGGCGTGAAGCTAGAGAAAACCACAAACAATCAGATGAGCTCTACGCACTGGTTGGGAGGAATGGAGATCATTCATGAACCTACGCATGCAGCTCGGTCTTTGTGTGAGAGATTCAGCTCGCGAGGGGCACCTGGAACAAAATACTGAGACATGATGCGATTTATTTCAGGTCGGAAGGGTTGGATTGTGACTGGTTAATAGTGAGCTTGGGTGTTTCGTTTACCAGCTGTTTGAGCACCTACATGACTGCCATTTCAACCCAGTGTGCTGATTGGCACTCTCGTTTGAGTTCATCGTACTGCCCCCGAAAGATCCAGAGGCTAGCGATGCACTGGACGCAAAAGGTACCAACGGGACATCTTTGCTGTCAAAATTGATTCCGAAATCTGTCTGTGGGACTGTCTGCTCTGTTGGCTTGTCTACAATCGGAGGAGCTGGGTCTGGGACTGATTGACTGAAGGGACCTGGGAAGGCGGCTTCATTCCAAGGTGGTGACAGAGCTTGATCGCCTTTAGGGGCCTCGAAGAATCGTTTGGTATAAGACTGGAACCAAAGGTAGAATTGGAGATTCTCGGTATCGTAGGAGACGTAAGATAAATAGCTCATGAAATCAGCGAGAGAACACTGTACTTCGTGTCAGCTCCGGCTTCATAGGCGATCCTGATAGCTGGCATCTCACGGGCGGCAGAGCTCGATTCGAGACGACCATCTCAAACGAGAGCTCTGGGGGAATCGATCGTCGGCTCTTCTCGAGGTTTCGTTCATACTCTGCTGGGTCAATTGCACCCCGAGGACGCGGTATATAATCGGGTCTTTTGTAAAAGAGAAGAGACATGATCGTTGGGCAATAAGCGACTATTGTTTAAGGTGCAGAGGCAAAGAAGCAGTAGGAGGCAGATCAGATCATAGTGCTTTTAAGAAAAAAGGCATCGCGGCGCAAGGTCAAATCGGAACATTGTGGGCGCAGTTGAAGACAGCTCCAAGAGACGTCAAGCTTCAATGGCGCCTTTAAGTCATCAATGCAAAGCAATGGTCCGTTGATGAAACACGGCATGTCATTCGCCAACTGGTTTGACGGTAAGCAGAGGCTTCTGTAGATGCGGCACGATGGCAACCTAATCATGGCTAGCCAGCACGCCCCAAAGCACGTGTGGAACGCCGAGTTATCTCATCCACATCGGACGAATGAGCTGAGAATTGCTTCTTCACTCATGAGATGATGATCTCTTTGCGTTAGCAGCATCTGTAGTGTTTCCAAGTTCAGTAGAGGCACGGTGCTGAGTCCGTGACTACTAAGTTTTGGCACTACTCTTTAGCACGACATTTGAATATCCGACGGTCGCGTATTGCCTTGTGGTTACTGCAAATAGAAGGTAGTCCCGGATCATCAGACGGATGGTTAATCGGAACACGGTCACGCCAAATTGCACTTCACTTGCCTTTGGGGCACTTGTAGTAAGGCTGGCGTTGGAGAGTACCATATAAGCCGGACCTCACAGGATGTAATAGGCCTTATTTCCTCCTACAGAGAACTTCTCAGCTATGTTGACTTCTATTCTGTCAGCATTGAAGGCGATCACAACAAGGAAAAATTCAGGCAAGACCGAATAAGCTAAGAAATCGAGAATATAAGCCCTTTATCTCGTGCCTAGCGATGTATCAGCCCCGCCAAACTGGAGAACCTTCCATTGTCTTCTGGGTCAGCTGTAGGAAGGCAGACATTGAAGAGTGCCTATGAAGCAAATCTCCTGGGACGTAGCAGCCCCAGGTTTCTTGTCATCGAGATTTCGCGTAGCCGCGTCCCCACCAATCAATCGTCGGGAGGTCCTATACAAGAGGATAATTACTTCTTGTGACCCATACAATGACTGCAATTCTCGGCCTCAAATCAGTTCAATCGCTATCAGAGGAGTTTTGAATCTTTCCCCGCCTTGATTGCAAGTGCTGGTCCGTCTCTGGACTCTACGTGCTGTCGGCCAGGTAATTTCAGCACAGTAGATATCTGAATACTCGGCAGTAGAGGAGGATTCAATAGGTGATTGATGCATCTGCTCTGAACTATACTGACGAAGCAGCCAAAGGTTGAATTAGATTGCGAGATTGCGAAATCCACAGAAGCTGTCGTGATTCAATAGTTCTCTGGTACATGAAGTGCTTATGATTTGGAGGAAAAGGGGCTTAACGCCCAAATCACGGGTGGGACACCACCCTAGAACTAGGCTCCAGAAAGAATAACGCTAGGGTACGTGTCCGTCATCTTGGCAAGCGCGACTTATTCACAACAACACTTCCCCCAACCACCTCACTTCCCACAAGTCGCGCGAAATCTCTTTCCTGTTCAATATTTCTTTCGTGGTAACACTCCTTATTGCACGTCTGTTAATAGAAGCTGCGACCGTTATTGTGATCATGGCGCGCAAGGCTAAACAAGAGCTTGCCGTTGATGGTACTGCGAAGCTTGCAGCTAAAGCAAAGCCTGGCGATAAGCATGAAAAGCCCAATCTCAACATCGAAGAAGCCACGGTCGCCTCGCCTCGTGAGTCGCGCAAGCGTACTGGTGATTTCCATGACTTTGAAGAGGACGATGAGGACGGCAATGCTGCCAACTCCGCTAGCAAGTCCGCCACTGCGAAAACAACACAGCCTAAGAAAAAAGCGAAAACCACGTCATCTGCTGGTACCTCCAAACCCGCCAAGCAGAAGTCCGAAGCAAAGGAATCCAAGAAGCCGAAAGCCAAAGCCAAAGAGGCTGGCGCAACAGATCAGACCATTGGTGCGAGAGTGAAAGCTGAGACGGATAAACCTGCCAAGGCAAAGAAGGAGAAGAAAGGCAAAACCAACGACAAGGCTATAGTCATCGGTCCTTCCGGGGATACTGCCCAAGTAAACGGGCCTACCAACGACACGAATGCCGATGTGAAGGATAAGACTCCCAAATCTCAAGAAGAGACTTCCAAGCCGAAGAAGGAGCCGAAGCTTGCCAAAGAAAAGTCTGCCACAAAAAAGGCTAGCGACAAGCCGACCAAGACGAAGAAGGCAGATAAAAAAGGCACAGCTGAAATCACTCCAAATGCTGAATCAGGTTCGAAAGATGCCGCACCAGAAGTTGACGCGCCTGCTAGCAAGGCTAAGAAGCCTAGAAAGGATACGAAGGCTGTGGCTCCGGCAGAACCTGCAGATGATTCGGCTACTGCCATGGATCAGGAACCCTTTGAAAAATTGTTGGATACCGCTAAGGACAAGGAGGTGCAGAAAACTAAGACGCCAAAGACCAAGAAGGACGCGGAGAAGCCTAAGAAAGCATCAAAGGTGAAAGAAGACAAGACTGGAAAGAAGGAAGCGCTAGCGACGAAAAAAGACAATGCCAAAAAGACATCAGAAGCCGCAGAAACAGCCCCAACCAAATCTAAGTCAAAGAAGCGCAAGGCTTCAGCTACTGCGGACCCAGAGACTGTCAAATCAGATATCCTTGACCCTTTGGCGGAACACGCATCTTCAAGCAAGAAGCAGAAGAAGGACTCCCGTAAGTCTATTGGAGAGACTGTTGGTGAGCTGGTGAATACTGGCTTGGAAGCTGCCGCCCAAGGCGCAAACTCCCTCAAGGAATCATTCGGTGGGTTGACCGACGATGCCTTCGCTACCCTGACTGACAAAACCCCCGAGGTAACCTCAAACCTTGGTAAAGCAGGGGAAGCCGCTGCGAAGATTGCCGCAAAGGGAAAGGGCAAAAGCAAAGAGGCTGTGGACACTACGAAATCCGCCCTTTCCCCTCCCTCCCGTGACGGTGAGGACAATCTCGAAGATGATGTTGAGGCCGAAGAGTCCGACCTTGACGAACAGACTGCCGCCTTGATCAAAGGCTTTGAATCTGGCGACGACGAACCCGCTGGAGATAACGGCGCCATCAAGGGCGGCTATGAAGAAGGGCAAAAAATGGCCCGTATTCCTAAAACCAAGACAACCGAGAAAGCGCTAAAAGCCCTCAAGGACGCCGAAAATCCTGAACCAGGCGTCGCGTACATTGGTCGCATCCCCCATGGCTTTTACGAGAAGCAGATGCAAGCTTACTTCGGTCAATTCGGCACAATCACGAAGCTTCGTCTCTCGCGCTCCCGCAAGTCTGGCAAATCCAAGCATTACGCCTTCATTGAGTTCGAAAATATCGACGTTGCGAAGATTGTAGTTAACACCATGCAGAACTACCTCCTCTACGATCATATCCTAAAACTTGGGATCATTCCTAAAGAGAACCAGCATTGGGACATGTGGAAGGGGGCTAACAAACACTTCAAATCCGTGCCATGGAGTAAGATCGAAGGCAGGAAATTAGAAATGCCGCTTGGGAAAAGCCAATGGCAGAAGAAGAACGCTCGGGAGGAGAAAAAGAGGGAAAGTAAGGCAGAAAAATTAAAGGATGTGATGGAATACGAGTTTGAGGCGCCGAAATTGAGAGATCCAGAGGACGTGCTGAAGGCGAAGGCCCCATTAATTGGTGAGGGTCAGAAGGGAGAGGTCATTCAGCAAGAGCAGAGTGTGATTACGGCTGTTGAGGATGTGGCTGGAGGAAGTACGACTGTTGTAAGCGAAACGATTAAGACCAAGAAGGTGAAGAAGGACAAGAAAGAGAAGAGCAAGAAGCCTAAGGAAGATAAGAAAGAGAACGGAGAAAAGATGGAGTCGGTTGTGACTGGCGCGAAAAGGGCGTTAGAGGGCGCTGAGGAAGGTGTTGAGAAGGTGGCCCCAAAGGCGAAGAAAGCAAAGAAGGCAGCGAAGCAGGCAGATGACGCTTGAGCTATCACACCGAATGGCATTGCAAATCATCGATTATGTATAGCATGTGGTTTGTACAGCAGCATATGTATGAGCGAGGAGGTTTGCGGAGCTTGAATAGCATGCTAGGCGATCAGGAGTCAATGTCCATGTTATTGTGTAACGATAGATACAACACTAATGTGCATTTTGTACCCAACGCACCTTTCCTCCATGCAACGCTGATGCTTTCTAGCCTGATTTCGTCCCTCATAAGAGTATCCATGCTCTGTCCCGACCCGTGGCTCACAATTACTTTAAAGTGACCAATTCCTCTGCACTTGTGGGATGAATGGCAACACAATTATCAAAATCCTTCTTCGTCGCTCCCATCTTGACCGCCACCCCAAAACCCTGCAACATCTCACTACAGCCTTCTCCCAGAATATGCAGCCCCACCACTTTCTCCTCGTTACCCACACAAATCAGCTTGAAGCTACTCGGCGCCTTCTCCTCCTGCTTCTCCATCATCGCATAATACATCGCCGTGAAACTTGTCTCATACACTTTCACCTCATTCTCCCCATACTTCTCCTTCGCAGCTGGTTCGGTGAGGCCGATGCTGCCGACTTCGGGGTGAGCAAAGACGACGGAGGGGATGTTCGTATAGTCTAGATGATCATCTTTGTGCGCTTCACCCCCGAAGAGCCGGTTTGCGAGTTTCCGCCCCGCGGCAATGGCCACTGGTGTTAGTTCGATCTTGCCACAGACATCGCCTAGAGCGTAGATGTTGTCGATGCTGGTATTTTGGTAGTCGTCTGCCACGATGTGGCCCTTTGGATCAGTTTTGATGCCAATTTTGTCGAGGTGAAGATCTTCTACTTCGGGGGAGCGGCCGATCGCCCAGAGGAGGCAATCGATTTCTAGTACTCCGTCTTTGGTGGTGGTGTCGGAGTAATGGAGATTCAGGAAGCCAGGTTTTGATGGATGCTTCTCGACTTTTGATTGCGCTGAGTTGCGATGTATTATTATGCCCTGTCGTTCATATTCGGACATGATCTTTTCTTGGACTAAAGGGTCAAAGGTCCTGAGGAAGGAGTCGTGCCGGATGAAGAGGTGGGTCTCTGTTCCGAGGTGATGAAACATGCCTGCCATCTCGACAGCTATGTAGCCTGCACCTACAAGAGCGGCCTTTTTCGGCTGTTGTTCGAGCTCGAAAAAGCCGTCAGACGTGATACCCAGATCTGCGCCTGGTGTGTTTGGGATATTCGGATGCCCTCCAGTTGCAATCAAAATCTTCTTCGCGTGAATGGTCTGGTTGCCACCATCGTGCAATTGGACTTCGACCTCGTTCTTTGAGTGTAAGTAGGCGCGCCCATGTAGCCACTCAACGTGATCCTTCTCAAGATTCCGGTCGTATATGCCATTAAGTCGCTTCACGTAGTCAGCTCTCTTTTTCGTGAACGTTGGCCAGTCGAAGGGCGCTGTCTGTTTGATCGAGAATCCGTACGATTTGGCGTGATCAAGAGTCTCTGCTATGGCGGCAGCATTCCAGGTGACTTTCTTCGGGACACATCCTACGTTCACGCAAGTCCCGCCAAGTCTGTTGCTTTCGATAGCAATTGTCTTTGCTCCCCATTGCCCACTTGCTCGACGCGCCGAAGCCAAGCCACCACTACCTCCACCAATGACCAGGTAATCGCACTCTTTGGTAATTGGTGCCATCACCGGAGAAGACGAGGAGAAATGCCTTGAGATCGCCCCAGCCCGAATCTTGGCTCTCAAAGGGCTGCGGGACAGATTCAGATGAAAGGAACGTACGAGAGACAGCTTGATGGTAGTCTGGTGAAGATGTTTGTGGCAGAAGAGACGCTTGGCTTGGTGTTTACGATTCGTTGACGAAATCCTGACGTGATATTCGCGAATGCCCGTGCCCCTCGTGCCCTGCATGATATGGTCAACCTTAATTGCCCCCTCCCGCCCGAGAGTTGGTTCTAGATTTTAGGAGCAATGGAAACTTCCAGCTAGCCGCTTTTGGCGCTCAGTGTTCTGTTTTGCAGCGTTGCACTCACTTGACTTGCAATGGCCATCGTGGCTTTGCTTCCCGAGGGGAGAGGAGATGTCCTATGTCATTGTCTTGAAGGAAGGCTTGCGAGCTTGTAGCGCTGGTGCAAAGTTAGCTTGATGTCGCTACCTAAGCCGCTTGCATGACTTTGCTGTCAATATTTAGGCTGGCATTATGCGAGATAAGCCAACGAAGAGAACGGGGTAAGCAACAGTACAGAAATTGCCATGAGTATTTGTAACACCTTACATGCCTGTCCATGGTCGTTGTGATTTCGAGGTTCGTGCTTTTTTCATTCGTCTAGAGACAAGCAATTGCCCAATATTGGAGTAAATTCGAACGTCGTTTCTACCATATTAGCCAGATCAGCGCGTACTGAAATGGTCTTCTCCGTCATCTTCGAGGAAAAACACAACTCCGAGCATTGGTCAACCTACGTAGCAGGGGCAAAGATCCTCCGCCCAATTAGTGAAAGTATTCCTGGCCACATCGATCACATACTGTATCGCAGTCTCACTCGCGAAGGGTGGAATCTGTCGCTCTCCAGTTGGGCCAACGAGAAAGCACTTGTGCGCTGGAGGACGACCAAAGAACATTGCAAGTACCAAGATATGGGACGTAACAAGCTGCTGGTGGACTATCACCTAAGGGTAGGGTTGAATGTCCAAGACTCGCATGGAGCCGCGGCTGCAGGAAGTCTGGAGCAAACTGAGGTCGGCGATGCGACCATGATTTTGCTCCATGATATCGTCAAGTCGCCGGACTGGGTAAAGGAAAAGACGCCTGAAAATATCGCAAATTCACTAGGGTTGCGCCAACAGCAGTTAGGACTGGTACAGTGGGATGTATTTGACGAAGTACTGCAGCCGGGCCACGTGCTTTTGCTATCTTGTTGGAAAGATCAGAGCGCTACATTAGCCTTTGAAGGAGAATACAATTGGGAGAACGGTGTTCGACTTCGGACAGTGCAGATCGTGCGCGACTACGGCATGTTTGATAGGAGAGAGGCCCCCCAGTATTACCCTGATGTTGTAGGAAGGACTACTTTACATCATTGACCGTATGGAGTACTTGATGATGGAGGGCACACTAGTTCAGGAAGCGTCTTTCATTCATATTGACAAGGCTACAGGCGTAGCTACTACTATCGAGATCTTGTGAGATTCCGAAGGAATCCATCACCGACTACCTATCATGTTTGAAGTGTTGGACAGCCCGGCTTCTTCTAGTTTTGTTGGCTACATCATTGACTCCTCAAGACTGGACTTGCCCTCAGTCCCTGCTTCTTCTCAAATCTCCTGATTTGTTAGAAATTTATTATCGTTAGATCTAAAAATGTAGTCCTTTTCTTAACAAGATGTCGGATTCTGACAGAATTTTTTTCCATTTCAAGTACACACTGCTCTAAATCAAAATCTTGCTCGAAAGCAATGGATAAAAGAATTCTCTGTAGCCTACTTTCAGGCTTCTTACACGTCCCCCTCAGTACAAATCTGGTTGCTGCCCTTTATGCAACTGATCTCATCTACCAATTTCCAAACGGGACTTGGGTTGAGAATGTTGCAAGACGACCAGAAGGCTCCATCCACGCCACTAGCATCACCTCTCCTGACCTGCACCTCCTTCAATCATCATCAGCTAGGCCAGATCCTAAATTGATTCATACCAATGGCGGGAGTACTTCCCTTCTAGAGATTACCGAGACAACAGCGGATACCATTTTTGTTGTAGTATGTAACCGGATAACAGATCCCATACCAGTGAGTCCTGGCAGCAGTAGTATACGGCGTGTGAGCTTTCCCCAATATCACAGCAATGACGATTACGGACCTCATGTTAGCCTCCTCACACAATTGCCTACTGTGGGCTTCCCAAACGGCCTGGTCACTCTAGGTGGTGACCGGATTCTACTTGCCGACTCCACAAAGGCTCAGGTCTTGGCGATCGACACAGAGACTGGTGCTTTAGATGCAGCTATTGTGGATCCTCTCTTCTCCCCAGCCACGGAGGTCAGTAATGGTTTTGACGGCCTCAAAATCCACGGCAACACGCTGTATTTCGCCAACACCGCACAAAAATCCCTTGGAAGGGTCGACATCAAAGTGGAGACAGGCAGACAGCTGGGCCCAGCAGCGATAGTAGCACATAATCCGCCTCCCTCTATGCCTGATTATTTTGCCTTAAGTAGATCTGGTGACGCGGCGTTCCTTTGCAACGCCCCAAGCCACAGGATAGAACGTGTTGATTTAGAGAGCAGAAGTGTGGCAATCGTCAACAGCACAGAGATCGCACAGCCCACTGCTGCTACCTTTGGGCGTAATGAGAAGGAAAATATTCTATTTGTTACTACGGCTGGAGGATTGCTTTTTCCGGTGAACGGGGATGAGATTGTGGGAGGGCAGGTGATTGCCGTCAACTTGGGGAAAGAAGGAACATGAGTCCTCCATCCAGCCAGTGAATGGCATCTTGGGAGAGATTCTCCGTGTGAATTGGGACTTCTGAGTATATGAAAGACAACCGAAAGGTGTATTGAAAGCTCGACCTCGTATATCAAGACGTATTTGCTAGGACCAAAACCAAATGCAAACCAAGATCCAAAGACCAGTTCCCTTGATAAAGGACCTGCAGAAACTTTGAACACTCATAAGGGTCACAAGAAATTCTCTTGAGTGCGTCAATTGCTCGACTTACATTATACTAGGCAAGAGTCATTGCAGGCTACGTTCCACGATCTCTGTGCCAAATGTGCATGATTTGGACTACATGTAAAGGGAAAATGGGGCTTTTTTCTTTAAAGGTGAAATATTCAGAGAGGGCAAACAGGCTTGTAGTGTGCTTTGAATACTCTGCACCAACAATTCAGATTCGCGTAATTCATGTCAATGGAAAGGGGGAAACAGGGGTTTCCCCGGTACGTACCCCTATTTTCGACGCCAAGCCTCACCGTCATCGCGTGTTCTGTTTTCGCGTTGGCCTCAGTCTTCTCCACCAAAGAGCGTCAAAGTATGGCCATGAATGGCCATAAATCTCACATGGTTGTCCCATCTCCGTGCCAAAGATCTCAAAGCTCTCGCAACCGCTATCGGCGTCAGCAGCTCAGGCACGAAACCGATTCTCACAAATTCGCTCCAAGCCAATTTACCCTTCAGCGTCTTCGCTCGTCAGTCCGGGAACGGCAATGGAGTTGCCAGGGATGACGCTTCACCAAAGGGCAAGAACAAGGAAATTCAGGAGATCAGTAGTATCTTGAGTATTGATATGGGTATCAAGAACCTCGCCTACTGCCGCATCCTACCTGCTCAAAAGCCAATCATCACAGAATGGGAGCGTCTTAATGTTCTGAAAAACAATGACAGCGGAGCTACGCATACAGACGTGGAGACAGGCACGAAAGATGCCTACGACCCGCTTCTGTACGCATCCCATGCTACCGCTTGGGTTTCGGCCTTAATCGAGCGAGATCCGTCCGCGCTTGTCCTCATTGAAAGACAGCGATTCCGCTCGGGGGGTGGCTTTGCGGTGCAGGAATGGACGTTGAAAGTCAATATGTTTGAAGCGATGTTATATGCGGTTTTGGAAACCTTGAAACGGGAAGGGAAGTGGAAAGGCAGCGTGCAGGGTATTAGTCCTGCCAGGGTGGCTGGGTTTTGGCTATGTGAAGGGGAAGAAGAAGCGAGTAGAGGAAGAAGGAAGCACAAGGGGATGGAAGAAAAAAGCAGAGGGAACAAGACTGGAAAGAATAAGAAAAGTGGGATGACGGCAATAGTGAGAGAGTGGTTTCAGGAGGGCAAAAGCGTTTTGAAGGTAGAGGGAAAGGCTATCAAGACCAAGGGCCACTTCTTTGGGAAACTTGAACAGGGGAAGACGAGAGAGAAGCTGACGAAGATTGATGATCTTGCCGACTGTCTCTTGCAAGGCATGGCGTGTTTGAAGTGGGAAGAAAATCGCCAATTGATTTGCAGGACTGGTATGGAAGCTCTCGAAAAAGTTTCTGGGCACAGACGAGCGTAAAAACATTTCTTTCATAAACGGGCCTCTTTGCCCGTCCAAACTATTCTATGTTCCTTTCGGCGCAGTCGCAGCTCGCAATCCCCCTTGAGAATGTCCTGCAGCACATCCTGAGCTCGTGAAAGATCATGAAAGTCGCCTTTCCATCGTCGTCGTAGCTCCTCCCAAATGTGTAGAGTCGCTTCTTGACCAAAGCATTTCTCAAACGCTCGCACAGCCCAGATGATCATTCCACCGTCAATTACCACGTTTTCGAGCCTTTGATCCAGGGCGGTAAGTAAAGCATTCCAGACGCTCTCCAAACGCGACTTTGTCCATGCAGAATATCGTATGCCGCCATGATTGCAGAATCCTTTGAATATCTTGACGAAGATACGGCCTTGAAGGGGAACGTCCAATCGCTCCATCTCTGCTAGTAAGAGAGCGATGCGCCGAAGCTCTCCCGTTTTGAAGACATGGTGATCAATGAAGATGGAAAAAGTTTGCGGGCTGGGTGCGAGGAACTGCTCCTCTTGCACTTTCCGGAGTTCTTCAGGGTCCTTTTTATGCTTCCGAGCGGCTAATTCGAGCACACGACCAGCGTCTCGTGGTTCCCTCCAGTCGAGATACGGGATACGACGACCGGTGTGCCGCTCTAAGGTTCGCTTCATACCCTCATAAACATGTTCTGCGGCAGCCAACTCGCCAGCTCTGCACAAAGATACGATCACGCAATTCATGACAACAGTGTCAACGATCTCACCCGCCTCAACGAGCTCACGGTAAGCTTTTCTTACTCCATCGCCGTCGCCTTTGACTCCGTGGTAATAGATGATCGCTGTGCGGCAATAACGACTGATAGGAATTTCTCTTGCGGCCATTTCCTTAAGAATCATCTCGGCGAGCACGAACTTTTCGGCTCTCGTCGCTGCAGAGAATAATATATTGAACGTGACACAGCCAGACTTGACGCCAGCCTGCTGCTCCATCTCTTTCCATTTGACCAGAGCTGACTCTACACCTGATCCATCAATGCGTCCAAAAGTATGCGCAGCGAATGCGATGCCCGTATTCCATTCACTTTCTTTCAAGGGAAGATTGCATATTTTCATGTCATCCATTACAGACATATAGCGAAACATTGATTCTCTGTCTTTCTTTTCAATAATAGACAGGCGTGTTAGTAGTAAGCGTTGAAGTCCATCTGTCAGATATTCAATTCCTGGTGAGGGGAGAGACGAGTAGGCTTCCCAAGCTTCACGATGTGTGCAGTCGGGATGCCTCAACTTTGAGGCCGCTTGGTCTATTGAAGCTTTGATAGCTGGCGGCAGACACAGATCTTTGGTTATAGATATCCCTCTCTGGGGCCTCGATGGAAGAGATGGGGGAGTAGAGATACGTCGAACGATATCTCGTGGCTTTGGTTTTTCAAAGGCGCTTTGAGCATCTGCGTAGAAATCGACCATGCGTAAACATTCATCACGCGTCAAAGGCGTGCGATATGGGCGAGGCCTAGGAGGCGCAGAGGCCTCATGAAGGTGCCGGATTTGTTGGCATTGGTCAAATCTTTTCTTCTGGAACGTGATAGCCTTTCCTTGCGTGATACCGATCCTAGCATTTCCAGAGCTAGCTACATCCGCACATTGATGGCATTGTCCAGCTTTAGCCAAAGCTTTGAAGAAAACACCGTCAACCTGATCTAGATTTGGGGCCTGAGAAGCAGATGCAGTATTTGATGGCTGGGTGGGGGCCTGTGCCTTGGACGTGCTGTTATGAGATGTTCTGTACGGGTGTTTTCTGTACGCAGCCTTGATGGGCTGCTCTTTGAGGAGACCGCTCCAGCTAAGCAGCAATGGCTGACTGAGAGTAAATAGTAACAACGTCGAAGCTCTTCCAAATGACCTTCTAGGTCTGTCGCGAGGCGACTTTTGCACTATGTTACTCTTAAAGTCCATTGGCCATTGCTCATGGCTGAAAAGCGGGTAGTCTGAGGCTCGAAGAGAACTTGCTGCAGCTTTATAGAGCAAGGTAAGGGTCAATTGGCAATGGCACGCTGACGAGGCGCTTGGGTATTAATTGAGAGTGTCCCAGTAGAAGTCTATCAATGGAATAATAAGCCTTTGACTAGCCCTGACGCTAAGCCTTCTCTCGCATAGTCATCTAGAAAGAAGTCTAAAGCATTGATTCTAATAACTTGAATCAAACCCTTTCATGAATGGGTCGTTACGACTTTCGTCCATTGCGTGTGCATCAAACAGCTACACAACAGTTTCAAGCGCAGAAAACCCGCCATTTGCCTCCATGGCACGGCGTGATTGGTGCTGTTCCCCCTACCCAAATCCTCGTTCGTGGCCAACCTGTACCTCATCAACGACGAAAAAAGGGTCAAACGAAGAAATCTAGTAAGCTGTTCCAGCCGCAGAAGATCACGTACGAAGAGGACGAGTATCGAGCGGACTTTTTCACAGATCATCCATGGGAGCTGGCCAGACCCAGGATGATTCTGGAAAATGATGGGAAAGACTCGCAGAAGACGGACTGGAGACAGATTCGCCGGCCGGAAATACCGCTGAGTGGAGAAAGGTGAGGATTTCTTTGATGTGGCTGCGGAAGACTAAAATTTGATCGAAATAGTGTGGTTCAACGACAGATGTGGCTCCAGCATGATAAGCCCGAGATGAGCAAGTCTGAAACGTATGACCAAGCAAGAAAAGAATTCTATGAGCTACGGTTACTGGAGGATACCGAGCGGAGAGTCGCCCGGGAGGAGGCTCTTATGATGGGGGCACAATTTGGTCTGTCACCCATGGAGGTGGGAATGAAATTAGAGGATGATGAGTATGAGAGATGGAAAGTCTGGGCACAGCAGCAAACAGAGTTGGACCAGCAGAGGAATGCTGCTATGTTTGTCGGGACTGAAACAGCAGACATGGCAGATGCATCAAGGGAGGAAGGGTCCGCAGCATTAGAAGAGGTCTCTGATGCAATTCCTGTGCAAGGTCAAAATGCAGAAGGCGGAGCCATGTTTATACAGTAGTATCAGCCATCCAGCGATAAAAAGGCAAGCATTCAACTAGATGTGCTATGGATTTGGCATCTTTATCATAGAAATTTCCAATGCTTCGAGACTGATCATTCGCTTGTACACGAAACAAGACAGCTGTGATTTAAGTATCCCGTATGCTAAGGTTCTACCTATTGTACGGGGAAGAAAATGAGGTTGGGAAATTATATCTATCGACCTGCCCCTTGTGCCCTAGAGGCGGAAGCCCCCGCGGCTTAGAACTAGGCGCTGCCAAGTGCTGCAAGGCACTCACAGCTAAGGTAATAGCGTTCAGGATCGGCTGACGGCAATACCGAACATTCAATCATCCCTTCGTAGACCACATATATCACGCGACCTCACCAATGAAGACGTGACCAAATGGGTCGTTCGCGAGAGGTTGTGAGAATTCGAGGCTCTGAATTCAAGGAGCTGCCTCCTTCGCGACTCAAAAGACCAACCTCCTTTCCAACAGTCAGAATTCCAGTCCACGAAGAAAGGAGTGAACAAACTTAATATGACGGTGGCTGATGGCCACACAAGGTCCCGACAAAACAGCCATTCTGCATCTGCCACTGACGCTCTTGATGGCTATCTAAGGATGCATGAGCACAATAATCCTAGGTATGTATTTGACAGCGGTCTCTGGTCTCTACGCATCTCATGGTCCGACAGTATCTACACCTCTGACTATGATCAAAGCAATGCTTCTGATTATAACACACTCTCTAGCCGATACGAAGTCGGTGCACGGAAGCCTTTGACCACCCGTGAATGTATAGAGGCATTTGAAGATGAGTTGGAGAAGATAAAACAAGCCGAAAGGCAACTGCTAGCGGGCAGCGGCTTTTCAGGCGATGGTACCCGGCTTCCCAAGCTCTCCTTACCTATGAGCAAGAGAAATTTGGCTTCAATACCAAGTGAAGTTATCTCTATGATTCGAGACGATGTCGCGAGGTAAGTCTAATTTGTTACGGATGATGCAGCTCTTCTGACAGTGAGTCTTAAGATTGAATGTTTCTCACAACCAGCTGAACTTCATATTTCCTGAGTTCGCAACTTGTTCTGCTCTCAAGTATCTGAATTTGCGAGACAACAGATTTCAAGAGATTCCCCAGGCCGTGGGTTGACCCTTTGGATAGTATGCAAAAGACTGACAGATTTCAAGATTCTTAGCCTCGGCCAACTTGAGATCCTCGATGTAAGTCACAACCATATCAGGATCATTCCAGACGAGATCAGCAATCTGAAAGTCCTACGAGTCTTTTCTATTCGCCATAATGCTATTGAGGATCTCCCTCCGAGTCTCGGTAAGATTAAAAGCCTTCGAATGCTGAAGGTAGATGGGAACAACTGGAAAGAAGAATTGGTGGGAGGGGTAGAAAAGATCACACAAGCCTCTGGTTCCCCAATGCCGGCAAATTCTGCCGAAGAGGAGACATTCATAACGTCTTGTTTCTTGCAATACCTTCGAGAAAAGCAGACTGAAGTGGAGCAATTGAAGTTTGTCTTGCTTTGAACAATCTTCACACGCAAATCTAAAATGACATAGTGATGGCCCTCTTGAAACCCCTAAAGCTCTATCACGCTTCCCCGTCAATCCTAATGACGCGGGGTACCTCACCAACGGATTAGACCCAGCTTCGGGGCCTCGCTCGCCTGGTTACTCAAACCCCTCTATTAGGTCACACAGCCGTGGCGCATCAAGTCAACATGTCACCCCGCAGAACGGTGCGCTGCGAAGGCCAGGTCTTGCACCGCTCACTTTGAGCAACGAGAGAAACAGGAGTAACAGCGAGAGTGTCCTGCAAGCCACATACACCAGGACGAAGCGAATGGGTATGGTTCCGAAAAAGCGGACCGAGTTACAAGTACTAGATGAAAATCGCGCGCAACGAAACAGCTATCATCTACGAGGTCAAAGCCATAGTTCAGCCTTGCGAAATGTGTTACGACCGGGCGATAACAGTCCAAATAGTGATGCAAACCGCAACAGCGGCCAGAATGGGATATTTATAAGACGACTATCTAGTGTGCCAGAGCAGAAACAGCACATGCAGGAACATGATGGTCTTATTCAATGTGCAAAGGGAGTGCTATATTCATTACATCTGGTGCAACCGCACCTTTCGCCATTGGTGGCGGTTGCCAAAGAATCAAATTCGAAACGAACCTCTTTGGAACGGACCCAACATCAGGCTTCAGTCCATCTTGAGGACCTTGATCATTCGCTGCATGACTTTGCAGGCGCTACGGGCAAGGGCAGAAAGGCAAAGCAATCTGCTCGGAAAAAGGTTTGCCAGGCTATTCACGCTTCATTAAGCATATACGGTCAAATCGCAGGCATTCTCTTGAAGAGCATTAATCAGCTGATTGTGGATTGTGATCCGCGGTACGTTCGTACGCTCATGTTGCTCCTATATGGGAGCACAAATGAGAAACGCAACGCCCGTCGCACACTCCCACCTAAGCAGAGTGTGACTCAAGATACACTTAAGAGCATTCCTCCTTCGAGACAGCCTTCAGAACCTAGATCTGTCAACAGAGAAGACGCCCTTACGCCGACCCAAAATCACCCCAGACCTGGATCGCGCCTACGGAATGGAAGTGTGACTAAACAAACGCTTAATCAGACAAATATTGCATCTGTTCTCAATCCTCAGAGACATCCACTACCATCCTCGACAGCATCAAGCCGGGCAAGCAGTCGATCAGCTAGTCGAACTGGGCACTATTTTCCACCGTCATCCGCAAGTTCAATTATAGGTACGCCAAGGTCCGGAGAATCCTTTGGCGGTGCTCTCCCAGTCCCTCGTTCGCGTCAAGGTAGTGTCTCCTTACATTCGGAACGATCACAGCAATTGCAGCCGGAGAACGACATGTTTGAGAAAATCTTTCTTCACTTACAAACCGCCGTTGGACAAAGTCTGGACGCGATCGCGTTCATTGAGCCTCGTGTACTAGACAATCTCAATGCGTCGCGAAAACAGTATTCACCCATCAATATCCAAAAACTGTGGGAGCGAATCTCGAGCTATACTCAACTTTGTGGAGGCCTGAGCGAAAGTTTGAACGGTCGCCTTCAACAAGTCAAAGTAAACGACCCTGACGCTCGCAACGCCCCAGGCTTCTGGAGACTCACTGCACGATTTGTACATGCATATAGCGATCTTGCAGCGTCACTTAAAGAGGCACGAAGATTCAATCAGATGGACCCTGAGTTACGTCATCGTCTTCGTCCTGTTCATACGCATTTGACTCTAGCTTGGAAGATTATCGAACGATCTCCGTGGCAGAAATTCACAGGGGAAAATCTGCCGCCTTCACAGGTCCAATCCCGAGCACCAACGCCCGTACAGACCGCATTTCCTACCAACCAGCCCCAGGTCTATCATCCGCCAGTGCCATACCCTTCAATGGCGACTCATCAGCACTACCAGCATCGGCGCCCCAATGGATCTCATGAGTCTGGAACAGAATCCGTCTCGAGTCCACAAAATGGCAGTGTGCCTGCCACGCCATTGTCTGCCGCTCTAGGGACGGCGGCTCAGGCCACGATACCGAAGACACCAGCCAGCTCAACCGGAAGGCTGGACATGGCTTTTGAGGGCAACTTTTTCCAGCGGGCGGATACCTTGCTGCTGAACGGTCAGCAGACCATGTTGAGAAGACCTAGTGGGGCTCCATGACGACGCATGGCCACCTCATATCTGCCTAAACTAATTTTCCGTCCAAGCATAGCGAAAGGGCATAGCGGGGGGTTTACGGTTCACGATTGTGTAACAATACTCACTTTTTACGTTTTCACATGAATGATGGCTTGATGCGGGCACGTCAGGACATGTATACTCAGAACGCAAAGACGTAGGATGAGGCGGTAGAGAGTGAAATTATAATAGCCACGAAGCAAAAGGCGAACGTTATACTGGCAAATACTTCCGAGCCTCCCCCGCTGTCCAGATATGGTCTCAACGCGCTGAAATGCGCGGGTACAGTTTTCCATGATTGGAGTAACGCCTCGCTGGCTAAAGTGATGGTGGTACATACAATAATACAAGTGCTCTCTCGGTCTCTGTCAACCTGCCCGACTCACAAAGGGTGCTCGCATTTGCCCGCCGACACGTCCATTAACTCCTTCATGCATTTTCCCATTGCATACCGGCAACATTGCCACCGTGCCTCAATGATTCCAGGTCGCATGCCTTATTTTTTGGCACTGCCTCCAGCGGGAGCATCCTTCTTCGCGGCGGCGGCAGCAGCCTGCTTCTCGCGCATGATCTGAGCTTGTGCCTCCTTTGTGCGAGCGAACTCGGTGCCGGATTGATTGTTCTTCTTTTTCTACCATCGACCCACAACGTCAGCTGGGCTCTATGTGCGCAATAGCAGAGAAAAGGGATTGATCAAAAATCAAGCGAGAAGGGGACAAGTAAAAGGTAAATACCTCAGCTTGGGAAGCTTTCTGGGTCTTCTCCCGGGCTTTATCACGCTGATTGCCACGCGCCATGGCTAAGATGGAGGGTTGCCGAAACTGGAAGCGGAAGTGCAATGTTATTCGGAGCGTTGAGATGTGGTTCGGGGAGCGGTATGAGTGTCAGCTTGAGAGTGGTGGGTGAAAGAAAGCACGGTGCGGAGGAAGCGGAGGGTCAAGGCCTAAGAGATATTTTTAGGGGCTCTCACAGGCGGGGCAGGTTTAGGCGAGTCTAGAAGCAGAGGCGGTGCCAAGCCTGTGCCTTTGTCAGGGACGAGGCAGAGCGTGCACTTCACCTTCCCACACGATTACATGTACTTATAAGTGTATTCTTCAATGTTGGATGTGTTGAACCAGGCACAAGTCACGTGAAAGAGCAGTCTCTCACGACTCCTCTCCTTCAGCTGGGTTTCGAGAGCGCGTCGATCAGCGTGGTCGTGCAACCGCTGAAGCTGAAACCCCAGAGCTCCTCTCAATGCATTAGCTCGATTGCGTACTCGGTCTTTGCCAGCCATTCACTCCTGCCGAGATGCTTTGTCCTGAGATCCATCTTCTCTTCAGAAAAGACTGCCCTCAGGCTCTCGAATTGGCAACAGGCGCATATGCCAGCTCGACTTTGGCCACACGTCCAATCGTGCAACTCTCCGCTGCAGCATGATGATGGGCAGGCGGCCATTCAGTCGACCTTAGACCTCTCCACCCCTTCAAATAGTGTATCAAGTTGGTGACATTGCTCACACTCACTTCTATTTCACTCAAGCCTCCCCCCCGCTGTCGATCACCTTTCGTTGCAATTGTTCCATCTTTTCCTTTGTCGTGATCAAGAGTGTTGTCCGACCTTTCTTGTCTTCGGCCTACTGGCCCTATTGTCTTCAAACCCTTCTTTGTTCCTCCCCATTCTTCTTCAAGAACAACGCCTTTCTTTTCTTCTCGGCTGGCTCGAGCTGTGTTATAATACCACCACATCTGAACTGTTGCGCAGCCCTAATCTCATTCGCTTCCCACTTCAACTTCCTTTCACCACTTCGCAATCAAAGACAAGACAAACTTCAAGTGAAGATCTTGCTGGCGAGATGCCGTTCTTCAAAAGAGACATGCGCGATGTCGGCGTTATCGTCCTCAACATCATCCGCGTGTGCAACATAGTCAGCCTCCTCGCAGTCGTGGCTGCCTCCTTTGTGATGCTCGTCAAGACTTTTGTGGTCAGCAAATTCTTCTTCTTCGACGGCGTCAGTCACCTCATTCAGGCCCTCATAGCAAGTAAGTTGACGTCCATCTTTCAATCACGCCGATCTAGGGCATTCGCTGACAATGTGCTGCAGTCGGTCTCATCGTGACCGAAGTCAATCTCTTTCGCCGGTACATCGCGACCAACTGGCCACTCCTTTCACCAATTCACGGCTTCGTGACCCTCGGCGTTATTATGATCATCCTTGGTGTCTCCGTCCTGGGCAACCTCAACAAAGAAGCCACTTCGCAGCAAAGCTTGGGAACACCCATGTGGCGCTGTGTCATCTCCGCCGGAATCCTGGCCTGTATCTTTGGTATCGTAAACATATTCGCCGTAGGTCTCTTCTCCAATCCAAACGTAGAAATGAGGCCATGCTAACCAAACCACCAGTCATACTGCTTCCGCGACAAGCAATACGGCGTCTCTGCCCGTTGGATTCGTCAACACGGACGCCAAGCTCACGAAAAACCTGTCCCCTACACCTCTCCAGCACCGTCTTCACACCCCTCAGTGCGACGTACCCGTGCTTTCTCACTCCGCCGTTCCCACACCACTAATGATGTCCTCCCCTCTTACCACACACGCGCCAACTCAAACGATCGTCGCAATGTCTCCGCTCCCGTCACCGCTGCCCATCCCGACGGCTTAGGAATGAGTTACGCGGAGAAGAACGGGTATTATGCGAGTAAGGATGACAAGGAGGGTGGGATATTAAGACCGCCTGTGGTCAATGGGATGCCGAAGCCGGAGTTGGCGCATCATCCTGCTTTCCAGGTGAGGCCTGCTTCATCCGTCTACACGACTTTGTGAAGCTGCGGTGGGGGCTGACTGTGAGTGTTCAACATTCATAGGGTCAACCATTCTGAAATCAATCGACCCTCGGTCATGTAATTAGTGCTGAGGTGAGCGAAGACAGTAATTTGGCTGAAAGGGTTTAAACATGCCGGATAGTGCAAGATGCAATGCAGGAGAGCAGGCAGGCCACTCATGATAGGGCACAGTAAGACAAGTATCCTTAATCACTTATGACTGATGATGATCAAAATTTGGCTATGATATGGTACAATAAAGAGCGTCAAGAAACTCTCATGCCTCCGTTTTTTTTTTTGGTTTTTTTTTCTTGCTTGTTGTCCCAAGCCCGATGCCGGAACTTGCTTATTGGCCATCTGTCCATCTTTGCGTGCATGCAGGCAGACCCCCAATGTCAATCTGCAGCATGCTCAACGCATCGGCATTCTCCTTTTCGCTAGCCCCTCAGCCACCATTCTTCGTCGAGCATCTTCGATGTCCTAGATTGAAAAATCTCATGTCAGACGCCTTGCCTATATAGAGAAATAGAAAGAGACAGAAGACTTACATTCCTCATACCCTGCATGACCTCCTCCCACCGCCTCACCACCTCCTCAGCCTCCTTCACCCACCCTTTCCAATCTCCTTCCCAACTCTCACGACCCTCTCCGCACTCCCTCCCCTCAAACCTCTGCCTCGCCCGATCCACGCACCCTCTGACCATGGCATCCCTAATCGGCGCACAAGACCCCCCCACCATCTCCCCTATCCACTCCACAAACTCCACCACGTCGAACGCCCCGTGGCTCAAATGATCCACCACTCTTTTTGGATGCAGGCGCATAGCCACGTCCGCCGCAGCGCCGGGCGTGATGAGAGGCCGGATGTGCTTCGAGAATGAGATGAGGAGGGTGCTGAGGTGGGAGGTTTCGTGGGTCGTGAGCGGGCGGATGGGAAGCGGTATGCAGTCTTTGGAGGTGGGGAAGAGGTGTGGGTAGATGGCCATGACACTGGGGTGGTAAGGGCCAGGGGAGACGGAGAGGGGGGAGGGCCCGCCCCGTGGGGAGGGGATGGGTGGAAAGTGGTTGTAGATGTTTGGGGGGCGGGGGGAATGGGAGGGTTGGCTTGTTGGGGAATTTGAGGGTGTGTAGATGGTGGAGCTGGTGGAGCCGGTGGTTGGTGAAGAGTGAGTGGAAAGTGAGAGATGGTTATTCGAAGGAAATGGTTGAGGGGCTGCGTTGCTGGCGAAAGGTGTTGGATGCACCCATAGTGGTCTTCCTAGATTTGCTGCTTCAGGAACTCTGCCGCTCGTCATTCTGATGTCGTCTCTTAGGGCCATTTGCTCGATGTGATCCACTAGAACGCTGGGCTCTTGGAGGGTGAGTGGTGTTTCGAACGCCGCGGTCTCCTCTACCGGCATTGATGAAAGCTCATCAGCGTCTCCATGTTCGTCAACAAGTCGATCCTCATCACTGATGCCATGTAGAGATATCGCGATGTTTAGGTTATTGCCATGCTCCTGAATCTTTTTGGTCATTTCAAAAGAGTGAAACTTCGAACCTTGCTTTCAAGGAAAAGGTGATGCTAAAATGAAATACTTATGTCAAATGAGGTGGTTGGTAGTGTGATGTTGTTTGAAGATAGCAATTTTAAAAGACATTGGTATGTACGACATCCTCGGGGAGTGTTAGGGTGTCTTCTAGGAGAGAACAATTGAGAAGGACCAAGTACAACATCGCTATGCATAAATGAGTTTCTAGTTTGGGGGAGGCAGAATGAGGCGATGGCATCCCTAGGACCGGGCAACAACGCCTTAGAGAGTGGGTAAACGGTCAATGAGAAGTACACGAGTCAGATGGTCTAGACAGATTCTTGAATGAATCCGTTCTTGCCCTTGTGGATCGCAGAGGTCCACTGTTTGTCTTGGCTCGTTGAAGTAGCTTTCAGGTGTAGCAAGGCGCAAATGACAGAAGGCCGAATCAACGAATCAAGCAAGTACAGACACTTCACATTCTCGGGTACGTGCGGCGGATGCCTCTCGATATTCTAAGCTCCATATCATCTCGGAAAGAGTCGTCCAGTTGTGCAAATTCCATCTGAAGCGTAGTCGCGAGTGGCTGTATTGCTAATGTAGGAACGACAGATCAAGCAAGCCCATTGTCCTATAGCCATCTTCGGTGGCGTGAGTACAAGCCATCGTCTCTACGCCACTTCCATTAATCAATGATGGTGACTTCGGCAATGCAGGTCTGCGCTGTCATCTGTGCGATCGTGTTGGATCGTTCATGCTCACTGGGTGAAGCGGCCGACTAGCCTTGATTGAGAACTCTAAGAGGCTTCCAACGAATCATGGAGTAGCAAGGCTACCAGGCGGCTGCATTCCTTAGGAAATGCTCGGACTTCAAAAAGACGGCATTGCTGCTCACCCATCATCCACAAAGCTTTGGTTGGCGGTTGAAACCCTAATTAACAGGGCGCTCCTCTCGACAGTCGTGCTCAAAAATCGAACATCTCGTCAGCTCTCATGCCAGAGCACAAGCGGAGAGAGATCAGAGTAGTACCAGGTAGCGTGAGGAGTGAGGCTTTGCTCTAGACGATCTCATGATCCTGTCGACGATACCTAGATGCAGGGTCCACACGAAGGACTCCAGGCAAGACTGACGGCAAAGACGTTTACCGCCTCCAATTCCAAGGCAAATGAATGGAGCTCATTTGCCCCCCAATTCGCGATGCATCCAGCATCTTTGATCGTCAGATGACCGCCGAGCACAGTCTTCTCACCTCATATCGAGTTCTTACGGTGACATGACGAACTCATCCACGACGTTTCTTGGGAGAGATGTCGGTTTTGGGAATTACCTCGAAACCATCTGACCAGTGAAGCATTTTTTGGACAAGTCTTGAGCTCAATGTTTTCGCACACGCCAGTGGATACGTATATCCGTGGGTCAGCAGCGTAAGCAACTCGGCTTTGAAAGCTACAATTGTCATCGCTGAGACGGGAGTTCAAGCCGAGGAGTCGTTCTTTTTGGGTGTGCGCTGACCACCAATCTTTCTAGCACACTCAATCGCGACCCTTTTTAACTAAGTCGGGTCTTCCTAGAAGGTGTCTTTGAATCTTGACCTTTTATATTCATTGAATGACTGCTGTCAACGAGCTAAGAACACAGTCCGTGGCACTGGGCTCATCATAACTGGTTTCGCTGAATAGTTCATCATTCCAAGAACCCCTACAGTCTGGGCATTGCCATAATGATAGGAGGTGATGCAAAGTGGAGTTTACCACTGGCCTGAGCAATATACTAGAGCAAATACATTGATAAGGCCTTGTGAAGCCTGAGTGGTTGCAGTGGAGAAGGGCTCTGAGTGTAGTCGTAACTGCAGGTCGACTAAACGGATCTAAGTATATGAGCTGCAATATGAGCTGCAACAACCAAATTGTCAAATGGTCACTGTCTACGGACGCCGTTTGCAAGGAATGATCATCCTGACCTGACGGCGGGCCCACTTGCTACATTTCAGTCGAAAATTTGCGACTCGTCGCAACCACAAATATTAGCATTTGAGGTCACTTATATGCTTTGATTCCTCAAAGTGCCTGATTTTCCGTTAGCTATGTCTGTGCCTTAGATTCAGAGGGTATCGCACCGTGTCGATATCATTCTCTTTCAACAAAAGCGGGGCAATATTGCTTTACCTTGTTGCTACAATCATGTGAGAATGCATGACTTGTGAAGCTTGGTCTTTTTCCTCTGGGCAATTAGTTGGAAAATATGCTGAAAGTTCGGCATAAATTGCCAGAGCCAAGGTTGCCAGAGCCAAAATTCTGTCAAAGCCTCCGAATCATCGTTGTCACAAATAGACCACATTACGATTCTATGAAAGGGCAATCAAAGCCTACTAGCCTTCACTAGAGATTCCACCCCCCGCGCATCTGCCGGTTCACCCAAGAGGGATAATAGGTAGAGACGTCTGCGAGTCATTAGCCCATCTTCGATCACCTACCATATTTATAATCAGGTACAAGGCTCAGGAAGAGTTACCTCGTGCCCCACTCAACCCCAACTCTTGTGCTACATTCACATATCCGCCTCCACTTTTGTCAACTGTACTTTTCGCCTTCTCTCGACATATCCTCATCATCTGCTCTTCGTCACCTTTCCAAGGCGTTCTGCAATAAACACATTTGACCTCCTTTCCCGCTTGTGACTTCGCCCATTGCTCGAAGCAGTCGGCATGGACATTGTTCCCGCAAGCAGCTCGACACCACACAATTTCCTCTTCGTCGGGTGAAAATGGCATAAAACAGATAGGACAATCGCCCTCACAGGGTTTGCGGTTGGATGAAGTCTCCCCGTCAACATCACCATGAGGATCTGCTGTTGCCAAGGAGATGGGTGCGGGGGCTGAGGAGAATATTTCCCGCAACTCGCTGCTTAAGAGGGCAAGCTGGTATTGCAAGTGCTCTGGCGCCTTGAGAACATTATGAAGAACGTAGACGATGTGCTTGCATTGATTACCTTTGAGGTGATCCGGGCATGTACAGCTAGGTTCGTGGGCGATGTGTACGCTGTAAATGTTGCCGGTCGTGCCAGCGACCTGAATTGTTTGCTCGGGCACATCGGCTGTACCACTGCTCAATCGATCTATGACGAACATACGTTGCGTTTGGGCGCGGTTGAGCCTGTCTAAGTAGGTGTGCGGCGGTCGAGAGCGAAACATCCTCAGTCGTTTTTCTTCATCCTTGCCCCGCTTTTTTGGAGAGGACTTAACCCGTTTCTTAGTTGGAGATGAACCGTCTGACTCCATAGTCAAGTCAACTAGAGGAGCAATGCTTTTAATTGGGGTCGTTGTAGGGCCTCTTTTGCGCTTGCGATTGGGCTGGGATTCTGTGAGATCTGCAGTCTCGGTCTCAGTCTTCGGAGTCAGATTAGCCTTCCCCATCTTTGTCTATGATTCTTAGTCGATCTCGAAGGTGCTAAGAGTCAACCGAAAGCCATTGAATAAGAATGGGAAAGGGTGGATCACATGTCAAAGTTCAGTGTCAACAAATAATCATGACGTTCTGAGCGTCGGAAGGTTACCGCTCCAAGGCGCTGAAATAAGGGGCCGAGGGGGCGGTTCCAAGGCTCTAAGGCGGCCTCATTCGTAACCTTGCATACAGGGGGGACTTCACTTCCAGAACCAAGGCTCCCCATCGAAGCTGGTAAAAACTATTGCTAATAGAATTTCCCTGTACAATTTAAGTACTCATAAAGGCTTTACAATACTCGGCAGTTCATGGCCGTTCTCTATTTGAGTTGGTGTGCTATTCATTAATCGTGAATGGAGGGCAATCACGGTCGAGAGGGGCACTCCGTGTCCTTGAAAGGTTGAGCCGGGATGGATTTGAGAACATCAGCTACTAATCTATGATAGTCTTGCGGTATGCACTTCATCCCAAATCGAAGCCTAGATCTTGATCGCTAGTAGGCTTTCAAGGCCTTCCATATCCCAAAGTTTCTTGCTCCCATCTCAATCAGGGGTATCTACATCTCTTGAGGAGAGTAACGAGGAAGCTGACGATACGCATGGTGTCTTTGCTCCCGTAGTATGTCCTCTTAGGCAAATGATCATTCTTATTCTTAAATTCTGCGCCAGCTCAAACTTCCGCCTTCATTCGGCACAGCCTATGTTGGGGAGCCTTTCTTCTGTGCTCTAAGCGCAAATAACGAGCTTGAAGAGGATTCGGAACGCCAAGTGTCGAACGTAAAGGTTGGTGCAGAAATGCAGTCTCCGTCTGGTACTATTGCATTGGATCTACTGCCAGATGATGACTCTTCGGGAATTCTTCACACACAAAAATCGATACAGAAAAACGTTCGCTACGACCTCCGTGAAGAAGGAAGCCACACGCTTGCAGTCAGCATCAGCTACTCCGAGACTACCATTTCAAAGGCCCAAGCTGCCTCGAGTGGCCGTGTTCGATCCTTTCGAAAATTGTATCAGTTCGTGGCACGGCCTTGCTTAAATGTCCGGACCAAAGTGTCAACTATTGGGACGGCACTAAATAGCACCAATAGTCTCGCCTTGGAAGCTCAAATTGATAACTTGGCGGATAGCTCAATTGTCTTGAAAAGTGTGACATTTAATCCCAAGGCCGCGTTTAGGTCCACAAGCCTCAATTGGGATGTCTATTCTGTCGAGCAAGGTGACTTCACCAATTGTCCTATCATGGCGCCAAGGGATGTGCATCAAGTAGCATTTCTTGTAGAGGAAGATGGGAAGAGTGCCACGAAGAAGGAAATAACCAGAGATGGTAGGACGCTGCTTGGGCAACTGGGTTTGAGATGGCGCTCAGAAATGGGAGAGGAAGGGTTTCTGACCACTGGTATGTTGGCAACGAAGAGACAATAAGAAGCCGTTCTCTCTTCACAAGTTTATCATCGCTCTAAGTCTTTCATTGCTGCTTTGAATGGCAACTATCTGCTGCGACTCTATTGATAACGTCTTGCAACAAACGACCCAATTTTAGGTCCAGAATAGACCTGGGCGACTACTGCTATTAGTGGTTATAATGACGGCTACCAACAGCTGGGCTTCGCTCCGTAGAGTGAAAAAGTCTCACTTCCGTATTCAAGGATTCCGATTGTTGGTTGCACGCAATTCGGAAATGTGGTTGGGAGGGCTGACGTTGTGGAGACATATGCATGGCCAATCTATATTCTATCAAAGAGGAACGCTGATCATACTCATACAGACAGAATATCAAGATATGTCCTGCTGCGGAGGCGGCCCCACAACCAGTGCATCTGCAAACTTTCTTGCCTCCTCTTCCACTGTAGCAACCCGAACCCTACTTTCCAACGCACTCCTGACCCCCTCGACCACTTCCCTTTCATCCATCACCTCCCCCATGACTCTCCCCTCTTTTACCCAGTACCCCTCTGTCCGTCTCCTCAACCCCTCATCCCTAGCCACGGCATTCCTGACAACGGCCATGGCGCTCATCTTCCCTCTGGACTGCTCCAGCGTCTTCAACGCAACCTCCATCCTTTCCTGAGCCGACGGCGGCGTCACAAATGCCCTGTTCGTACTACTCAGGTACATCAACGCTGCGATAACTGCGTCCGCGAGACTGAGCATCACGCCTCTCGCAACACGCATCCGCCAGTAGAAAAGCACGTATTGTTCGGGCCTCAGGGCGCGGGCGTTTGCTTTCCAATTGTACGCCGTGAAGAGCCAAATGTTCAAGACCGCGAGGCAGACACCTAACGAGGCGGCGGTAGTCCGCCATCTGGTACCCCACTGTCCTGTTACTGCGTTTGATGTAGCAAGCCCCAGGGCAAGGAGGTTGAAGATGTGCGGGATGATGAAGGAGGGCAGCGCATAGTAGAGGTATGTGGTTGGCTCATCAGAAGTGCAGAAAGGGCAATTCGTGAGGACGTCAGGGCCGTAAGTCAGATACAGGAGGCGGGAGTCAAGGGAAGCGAGCTTTGGTTTCAGGGTTGTGTCGGCGTCGGTGAGGCCGCTGGGGCCACGGGCGGTGGCGAGGCGACTGAAAAGGACTTCACTGGATGTTTGGAGACGGGCAGATGTTATCTTGAAGATGTTCTCTGGGGCAAAGTGGGGAAGGGTTGATATCAGGGATAGAAGGGCTGCGATGAATAGGATATTGAGGGAGCGATAGACGACTTTGGGGATTGGTTGAATTGGGAGAGGAGACGTCTGAGATTTGGCGCGGAGGGCGCGATAGTAGTTGAGGAGCTTGGGGATTAGAAAGGGAGCAATTGTGAAAAGGATGGTTTTGGTGCTGTTGGTGGTTTAGCATGAGGCTCCAAATGAATCTGTAATGGAGCAATCGTACGTGGAGAGGCTGATCATGTTGACTATTGAAATTCGCCTACTGTTGTTATCGAGATATCATCATGCGAGAGGATGGGTTGGGATGCTGTGTTGCGATGACGGTGGAAAAGGACAAAGGCCATAAAACGATCTCAATTGCCTATCCCAAGGATCTGAAACGTGGCTGTGTGGCGCCCTAGAATTCCCGCAGAGCCTCCGCTGAAAGAATTTCTTGTCGTTCGATCGGAGTCGTGCAAGCAAGGCCTAGCAGTGTTTTGCAACAAGATAACAAATGAGAGTGCCCACAAGAGAGGCGTCATCACGGTGAGAGATACACGACATTCATGACATTGCATTCGTAGTTGTCACGAACAAGTGTCGAGCACAGAAAATGCTCAGACATGTATCTGTATTGTGCGTACAAGTCACCGTCCGAAATTCTAGATTCGCACTATCGGGGACCTATGATGTGGACTGGCACTTTCGAAGCTCGCTTGGTCCCTTTCAAGGCTCCATGATCATCCAGAGTCAAAAAGATGCCTACATTAAAACTTGCTACGGCATCTCACTTCGTGTTGCAGGATCAAGCGAAAGCGATGAGTGATCTTTGCGTCAATAAAGTGAGAGACAAACACTTGTTCCAGCACACACTATAGCGGGTGTACCTTGCTGGTATTCTAGCCATATCATAGAGACATCCTCATAGAAATGAAGCAGATGGAAATGTGCGTGCACTGCTTGCTTCTCTTTGGCAAGTGACTGAAGTGTCTTCTCATTACATGCTAGAGTTCTTTCTTTCCTCCCCCGCTATCCATCATCACATCCTCATTCCTCGTTCCGCTCCTCTTCTCCTGCACCAGCGCCAGACAAGCCACAGCCGCACTTCCAACCATCGATATCACACTCGCACATGCTATCCCCCATATCTGTATGCTCACACTCCCCATAGGAGCTCTTGGGAAGCCCAATAGCCATGCGACATACCCCGGGACCCATCCCTGTGGTATCCAGAACATTGGTCGTTTTGAGTACCAGAATTGCAGAAAGAGCCGGAGGCCGTTTGTACTTGTATATCGTATGACCGTTGCTGTAGCCTCGAATTTGGACTTGAATGTCTTTAGGCTGTTCGCTGTAAATTCCATCGCCGATCAGCCTGAAATGTTTTTAAAAGATTCTTACAGCTTGAGTGCTGGATCAAACCGCAGTGCAAGGACCGCGTACAAACTTCATCGTACTCCGCCATCTTCTTGTCGTGCGTTCGCCGAATCTTCGCCCATTTCGCGAATTCGTCTTGCGAGCTTGTGGCGTTCATTTCCCGCTTCAACTTGACTACCTCTCTCCGTAATGCTACGGACCTGCGGGCATCTTGAGAAGCTCTCGCACCCGGAAGGCGACTGAAAAGCGTCCAAAGCTATGAGTTGTAGCATGCATCAGCAATCATTTGGGGAAATGGCTTCGGCATTAACACATACAGAATCAGTGATCACTGGAGCGCCAATAGTGTTGACCAGGTAGATAAGAAGCTGAATGATGAAGACTATCACAAGCAACGACGGCATTCTTATAAGGTGCGAGCAGAAGTACAGACACCTGTGGAGCACTGATTTGAGAAAATAGAGCACGTTGATAAGATTAGGGTTCACACAGCAGCAGCGGCAGTGACGTAGGGACAGAAGGACAGTGTTTCTGAGTGAGAACCCAAAAGTTCTGGTTTTACGTTTACCATTGGAGATTTGAGAGAGAACACTTGCATTCAATAATCTACACAAGCTGAGTAGTCAACGATATGGCTGGCACAAATGATCTGAGAAGCGAAAAGCTTTTCTCTGTCAAGGACTACGTCTGCTTAGTCACTGGCGAGTTCAACTTTTCCTCCAATAACCCACGTCCCTTAACTTTGATCCACAGGGGGTGGGACTGGCATAGGACTCATGGCAACACAAGCTCTGGCAGCGAATGGTGAGAACTTCGCGAGATGTGGGCCGTTCCTGCTTAGCCTGTCTTAGGCGCCACCGTATACATTACCGGAAGAAGAATGGACGTCCTTCAAAACGCGGCTAAGACACACAACCCAGAGGGCGGAGGGAAAATCATTCCGTTCGTTTGAGGTCACAATTTTGTATTTTGAGTGCGAAATTAATTTCCTGCTCTCAGTATCGGTCCTTGTGACGTGACTAAAAAAACCGACCTCGAAAAGCTCGGCAAAGACCTCTCATCCAAGGAACCCTACCTCAACTTACTGATTAACAACGCCGGCATATCGTCAGCAAAGGTGGAGCCTTCTTCAGAGTCAGCGTCTGAGCTGTATGACCAATTAGTGAGTTATTTTCTGCGAGCCCACTAGTAAGAGCATAAGGTCGAGCCTTGAAAGCAGAGCGATGACTCCGAAAGACATGTTTCTGGGCTGTTCCCTCAATTTTGAAATGCATCGCCAACTCTGAACTCATATAGTGGACAGAAGAGTCGTTTGAGGACTGGTCAAACGTCATGACGACCAATGTCTCAGCGGTATATTTCAGCACCATTGCATTCCTCCCCCTACTTCAAGCCGCCATTGAGCCTTCAGGTCCCTTTCCCCGTCGTTCTCCGTCCGTCATTGTGATATCAAGTATGAGCGGTATCATGCGGCAATCACAGGGCCATTTTGCGTACAATGCGGCAAAAGCCGCAACGGTCCATCTTACAAAGCTCATGAGCACCGAGTTTGAGAAAGCCTCTATCAGAGTGAATTCAATAGCACCTGGTTACTTCCCATCAGAGTTGACAATGAAGGATAAAAACGAGGACAATAAGACACACATGCCTGCAGAAAAGGTGCTAAACAAAGGCCATGAAGTGCCGGCTCAGAGGCCAGGTAGTGACGAGGAGATGGCTCAAGCAGTCATTTTTCTAACAAAGAACATGTATGTGAATGGAGAAGTCTTAGCTGTTGATGGGGGGTCCTTACACAGGTGCCGCAAGGTTGAATGATCCGCCTTCGAGCTTGGGGCACCATCTCTCCGATAAGAGAATTAGACCCCATTACAGCTATTCAGTGCCTTGCGTTCAAAATACTGGTGTCTTCAATATTGCCCTCTAAATTTGTCTCACCGTTACTTCGAACCGTTGTCAGGCTCCCCTTAGTATTAAAGTCGATACGTCGGTCACCTGTGAGCTTCTCTATAATCTTGGCTTTACCTTCCGCGCGTCGCAAACGGTCATCAAACTCGGCAATAGCATCCTCAGTATTTTGCGTAGAGAGTGTCTCCATTTCGGTTAAAGCGTACAGGGTCTTGAGGTGTGAAGCTAGCCGCAAGTTTTGAGCGACGCTTGGGTTAGGAACAGGGAATTTGTGACTCGTGACATTAACCTGATCGACAGCATCTTCGCCCGACTCTACAATGTCCTCCTGAGTTTTAAGTCTTGCTGACCATACAGCAGCATTGCCGTGCAATTTGCCCATCAATAAGAACTTTTCGAAGCCTTTCTCGAGGCCGAAACATCGACCTTCGACCAATCCTACGCGCTCCCCATCTTTATAGCCAAGCTGGAAACCATCCTCATAGAACTTGTCTTCTAGACTTAAGATTGTATCGAAAGGATCATTTTCCGCTTCGGACACAGATGCCATCAGGAGCAACGTATTTCGACGAAGATGAGAAAATGAGGTGGAAAATGACTAGAAGAGATGACCCCAACCGGCCATAGCCTCCGACCGGCCAATCTGTGAGCTGCGTGGTCATGATGAATTATGCGCAGCTTTTTTTGAACAGAGCTGCGCATAATTCATCATGTACGCATATCTTCTGGACTGGCCGGCTGGGTGTCATCTCTTTTAGCCTGCCCGGATCTAAAACCCAAAAGCCGATTTTCTAGTGAACATTTGTTCCAATCTTTTTTCCCATATCATAAACAGTCTCGGTCTGTACCACCGCAAATATAAGCCACGTCAATTCCACTAACTAAGTAATTGCTTCTGAAAAGACGCTTTTGGGTCTTTATTCTCCCGTCACTACTCCTTTACCCCTGTCTCCGTCAAGATGTGGCTCTTTGACTGGTGTAGGTTCTCTGGAGTTGTCTGGCCTTATCATCCTAACCTGGCTGACATTCCGATGCGCTATGCAGTCTTCGATCTTCTTGCCTCTCTAGGGCTGCTCAACAAGCACGCAAAACTGCTATTCTTGGGATTAGACAATGCTGGCAAGACTACTCTTCTACACATGCTGAAGGTATGAATTTGGAGTTCCCCCTAGCTCTTTCACGCGGGATTAGAGATTCTGCTTCCTCGAGAATGAAGCTAGGCTAATCAATATTACAGAATGATAGGGTCGCTGTCCTTCAACCAACGCTACACCCTAGTATGATACCAATCAAGGGTTGATCGCAACGCTTAAACTAATCCCTCACAGCTTCAGAGGAACTGGCGATGGGCAACAATCGCTTTACGACGTTTGACCTAGGAGGTCACCAGCAAGGTGAGATATCAGTGTTACCTGGCGACTAGAATTCACACCACTCATATTGCAATAGCTCGCCGCCTTTGGAAAGACTATTTCCCCGAAGTATCCGGCATCGTTTTCCTTGTTGATGCCAAAGACCACGAAAGATTCGCCGAGTCAAAAGTCGAATTAGATGCTCTTCTTACAATGGAGGACCTGTCGAAGGTGCCATTTGCAATCCTTGGAAACAAAATTGATCACCCAGATGCAATCAGTGAAGAACAATTGAGGCAAGAACTCGGATTGTGGCAGACCACCGGCAAGGGTAAAGTAGCGTTGGAGGGTGTCCGACCAATTGAAGTATTTATGTGCAGTGTGGTCATGAGACAGGGTGGGCATCTTCTTCTAACGTTGCAATGAGCTGTGGCTGAAATACTCGCAGGATATGCAGAAGCCTTCCGTTGGATTGCTAATTACGTCTGACCGTTTCGCCTTTGGTCGAGGGTAATAGAATAGGAATAAGCGGAAGGAAGTAAAGTCAACGAGATACCCATGACGTGTGACGAGTCAGAAGTTAGACCAATAGGAAAGCTGTGTTTTGCCAGGTTTATTACTTCGAGTGTAAAGCATTTACATAGCCATAAAGGGTTATGACTCTTTTCAATGAATAAACCCTCGCAATCTACTTGCTTCAGTGCTCTGGCTGCATTCGTATCCCTCGTAACGAGGAAATTGGCTTCTCAACATGTAATGTGCCGTAATCCCTTGCAAAGGGGGCTTATTTGCGTCGTGAAGCATACCGGAAATAAAGAGGGAAATCCGAATTTCAGCTTCGCCGCAGAGACAAGAATCACATTGCATCTATAATCTCCAGCCAATACATTCGCAATCGCCACCGTAACATCGTGTTCATTCGATCGTGTGAAGCGCATCGCATACAACGAATTGCAAAACCCTGTCTTCTTGATGATACGAGCCTAATGGTGATCAAGACGCTTCTTACGATTGCAGGAGGGTCTCCAAGGTGAAGGAGGAATAACGCTTCAAATATTCCTAATACTGCCATGCTTCATGAACATGGCAGCCGGCGGCGCCAATCACGGCTCTATACTCCTTATATCACCACATGGCTTGCAATACTGATGCTCCCATGGCGGTCTCTCTGTTCGCCGGAGAAGACTGCCGCCGACTATTTTGTGAAAGCATTGCCAGGCGCCCCAGATGGACCTCTGCTCAAAATGCACGCTGGGTAAGTAATATGTTCGATTTGTGGAAGTACTGCCCATGCTGACTGTGCACAAGGCACGTAGAAGTCACACCAGAAACAAACGGCAATCTATGGTTTTGGCACTTTCAAACTCGTCACCAAGCAAACCGCCAGCGTAGGTCGTCCGATACCATCTTCGAAATATGAAGCTTGCTAAATGACTTTAGGAACCGTGATATGGTTTAATGGCGGACCTGGCTGCAGCTCAATGGACGGCGCTTTGATGGAGATCGGACCTTACAGACTCAAGGATGAGAAGAGTTTGAGATATAATGACGGATCATGGGACGAGTTTGCAAATGTATTATTCATCGACAATCCAGTTGGGACAGGCTACAGCTACGTAAACACGGACAGCTACGTACACGATCTACCCGAAATGGCGGATCAAGTCATCACCTTTCTCGAGAAGTTCTTCCAGCTTTTTCCAGAGTATGAAGATGATGATGTGAGTGACAAGGTGTTCAAAATTGCTTGGTCAGCGCTGACTATCTTGTAGCTCTATATGGCCGGAGAATCATACGCTGGCCAGCACATACCATACATAGCAGATGCAATGCTTAAGCGCAATGAGAAGTCTCAAAAACCATGGAATCTCACTGGTCTGCTCATAGGAAATGGCTGGATATCCCCCGTTGAGCAGTACGATTCGTACATGACAAAGGCTCTCCAGTCCGGACTAATTAAAGAAGGGTCGAAAGAAGCGGAAGAGCTTGAACAGCACGACAAGAGGTGTAAAGACGCTCTAGATGCGCCAGGCGGCAAAGATTCTGTTGACCTGCCAATCTGTGAAGCAGTGCTGCAGGCCATACTACGTCTGTCAGAAAAAGACGGACGCTGTCCAAACATGTACGACGTCCGGCTAGATGACGAATTCCCGAGCTGTGGCATGGCCTGGCCTCCTGATTTGACAAATGTGAAACCTTACCTACGTCTCCCAGAGGTGATAAAAGCATTAAATGTCAACCCTGACAAACAGACTGGCTGGTCCGAATGCGCAGGAGCCGTCAGTCTTTCATTCAACCCCAAAGCCAAACCCTCGATCTCCCTGTTACCTCAGCTTATCGAGAAAGGTGTGCGAACAATCCTCTTTTCCGGAGATCAGGACTTGATTTGCAACCACATTGGCACCGAAGAAATGATACATAACATGAAATGGAATGGAGGACAGGGTTTCGAACTTTCCCCCGGCACCTGGGCCCCTCGCCGAGACTGGACCTTCGAAGGCGACCCTGCAGGTATCTATCAAGAAGCACGCAACCTCACCTACATCAAGTTCTACAACTCCTCGCATATGGTGCCCTTTGACTATCCTCGACGGACACGAGATATGCTTGACCGCTTTCTAGGCGTTGACATAGCAAGCATAGGTGGTAAGCCAACAGATTCTCGCATTGATGGTGCAAAAGGCGTAGAAACGAGTGTTGGTGGGCATCCAAACAGTACATCGGCAGAGAAGGAGGAGGAAAAGAAACTTGAAGACGCCAAGTGGGAAGCCTATTACAAGTCCGGTGAAGTGGCGCTGGTTGTGGTCATTATCCTCGCGGTGGCATTCGGATGGTATGTATGGCGGGATAGAAGACGACGGGCTGGTTATGAAGGTCTTTTTGAAGGCTCCAATGGGTCGTTACTGAGACGAAAGCCGCCAGGGCGAGATGTGGAGGCGGCAGATTTCGACGAGGCGGAGCTTGATGAGCTACACGTGACAAGCCCGGCTGATGATGACGAGCATTATGGCCTGGCCGATGCAAGCAGTGATGACGAGGAAGAGAAGACTCATCTTAATGGTCATATGAAGCGCTATTCAGATGCAGACGGGGATATTGGACAGAAAGGTCCGACGTGAGCATGATGTATAGCAAATCCTCCATTTTAGCGAAATATGACAATTCCTTACTACGCTCATATGTTTCCCAATGCGTGCAAGCCACCAGATCAGTTTTGATGTCAGAGCATAGAGATTCTATTACATCCTTTAAAAGTAGCAAATGCAATAACGTAACTTCAGAACCGATTATTAGATTGAGAGGAGCACGGCCAATAGGAGATCAATTATATTAAAGTCAACGACTTGAATGCTCATCAGATACCATAACGCATTTTAAAGTCTTCAACGGCGTACCGACACCACTTAGGGTCTGCGGATGCCTAAGTGCTTGACTCTATGATTGGTATATCATCACATGAACAGAATGTTAGATATTCGGTCTGGCTCTTTTGGCAGCTCCTTTCGCCGTCTCAGGCTTTATCTGGGAGGACTTACAAGGGTTTCTGCGCGATAGACCTCTGAGTCATCAATGAAATAGTGCTCCTCGCCTCAAGAATAGGCCCCATCGAGTTACCTTCTACATCAGCCTTCACAAGCCGAGACAGAAGGCAATCGCATAACTATCCACAGCGACGAAACGCCCTCACCCACTACCTTGAGACCCCTTCCCTCCAGCCATGCTCATCCTTCACCTCCTCCCTCCCCCACTCCCCTCCGGAAACAGGAGCGCAATCAACAAGAGCGCGGACTCATATCATCATCCATGTGGTCTCTCGCAGTTCCGCTCCTGCCAGTCAAAGAGCAGAATGAGAGAGTACGAACGGTTAAAAAGGAAGGGGTTAAAGGGGTAGAGGAGGTAAAGGGAGGTTGAGCCGCGAAAATTGCTTTTATGGCGGCGCTTTTCAGCAGGCTTCTACACATACCCAAGCGGATACGGTAGAAGATGTCCGGGGACTTTCTCCCAAAGCTTTGTATGATTGAGAGGCCGAAGAGGCGCTCTCTGTGTGTGAGCTTCGAATGCGATTCTTTGAGCGAGGAGTGTGCGAAGAGTAGGATAGGAAACTTTCTGCGGAAAGGGTAAGAGAGCCCGAGTGGCTTGGCACGCGCTTGACGCGCCCGGAGCGCGTTTGTTCTAAGTGTCTAACGATGTTGAATGTTACCTACGACTGCCTATTGGGCTGCCTATTGTCTGCTCGACGCTCAAGATATGGTCCTACGACGAAACTTGATGCTCTGGTGACATAGATTTCCTCTTTTTCTGTCATCTTGACCTCTCGACTCGCGACCTTGCGATTTGCATCCCTTACTGACACAATCATGTCTGGGCTCTTTGGTAGCGGAAGCTCAACTACAACACAGCAAGCTTCGAACACAACAGGGGACATCTCCAAAGATGTGACTTTAAACAGCCCACCAGAAGATGGGATATCAGAGATTACCTTTTCACCACAATCAGAGCACCTGGCAGTGTCATCCTGGGACAAAAAAGTCAGAATCTACGAAATAAACCAGCAAGGAGGCAGCGAGGGGAAAGCGCTATTCGAGCACGAGGGGCCAGTCCTCAGCTGTTGTTGGTCAAAAGTAAGTCATACTCTAACAACGTCGTACCCTCAAAGTCTAATGCTCTCGAAGGATGGTACCAAGGTGGTGGGCGCTGGAGCGGACAAAGCTGCTCGAATGCTTGATCTCCAGAACCCAGGTACCCCAGCACAGCAAGTGGCGGCGCATGAGAAGGAAATACGGTGTGCTCGATTCGTCGATGTACCAGGCCAGCAGACACCGGTGCTCGTCACAGGCTCATGGGACAAGACGATGAAATATTGGGACCTACGACAACCAAACCCAGTGGCCAGCATAACATGCCAAGAGAGAGTATACACGATGGACTCAAAAGACAAGATGCTCGTAATAGGCACAGCGGACCGCTACGTCAACATCATCAACCTCGACAAGCCAGGCGAATTTTACAAAACAATGCAATCTCCGTTGAAATGGCAGACAAGGGTCATATCATGCTTCACAGACGCAACAGGCTTTGCAGTAGGCTCAATAGAGGGCCGCTGCGCGATCCAGTATTGTGAAGAAAAAGACGCGAGCTCCAATTTCAGTTTCAAATGCCATCGCCAAACACCGCCCAACCAAAGTAACGTCAGCAACGTCTATAGCGTCAACGCCATATCCTTCCACCCACAACATGGCACCTTCAGCACAGCTGGTAGCGACGGGACCTTTCACTTCTGGGACAAAGATGCGAAACATAGATTGAAAGGATATCCGGAGGTTGGTGGGACGATTTCGAGTACTGCGTTCAGCAGAACGGGGGATATCTTTGCATACGCGGTCAGCTACGATTGGAGTAAGGGCTATCAGGCTAATACGCCGCAATTGCCGAATAAGGTAATGTTGCATGCTGTGCAGGCGGACGAGGCGAAGCCCAGACCGAAGGTTGGGAAGAGATGAATGCTTCAGATCGAAAGAAGATAAAATTAAGCGTGAAGGAATTCTCACAATAGCAGAAGCTCCGTCGACGGAGTCAGGGATTATTTGAGTTTCAAGAGACTCACACCACACGGAATTGAGAGACAAGGCATCGAAGTGAGGAGAGAGGGGTGTTTAAACAAGATGGTATCCAGTGGTTGCTTTCAGTAGGAAAAGCTTTACATACCCAGGGCGTTTTAGATAGATGACTATCAAGATCTAAAATGCTCGAATCCAGCATGACTGATATGACTGAACTTATCTTCCAATGAACTTTTAATAAACATTCAACTCTCCTTTCCCCTTTTCGCAAGCAGATTCAATGCACTCCCCGCGAGAATGAAACTCGCCTGATCTCTGCTAATAGTATGTCTCACGCCGAGATCAACCTCCCCACCCTCCCTCTTCCTGACCTTCAACCTCACTTCCCCTTTCCCACCTGCCTTTAGCATGTCATGCAGCCCCACCGTATTTATCACGTCCCCCGCCTGCAACATTGCATAATCCTCCGCGGTCTCAAAAGTCAGGGGCACAATCCCCTGTTTCTTCAAATTTGTCTCATGGATCCTCGCGAAGCTCTTCGCTAGCACGATTCTGCCCCCTAAGTATCTTGGCTGCAGCGCAGCGTGTTCTCTTGCACTGCCCTCACCGTAGTTGTTTTCGGCGACGACCATCCAGTGGTGTCCTTGCTGCTTCCACTTTTGTGCCAGTTGCGGTATGCCGCTTTGAGGTGGCTGACCGCCCGAGTCTGGTGGGGAAAAGTGGTCGTAAGCGACGTTCGTCTCCCCTGTTTCAGCGTTGACAGCACCGATGAGCGTGTTTGCGGAGATGTTAGGGAGATGACCTTTGTATTTCAACCATGGGCCTGCAGCAGAAATGGTGTCTGTAGTGCATTGACCTTTGACTTTGTATATGATACGAAGGTTAGTGAGCTCACCTTCCGGAAAGGAATTGAATGGTTCTAAGACGGCGAGACGTTCGGAGGTCGGGGATATGACGACTGAATGTTGCGGGGCGGGAACAGCTGGAGTAGGCTGAAAGTCAGGGTTGCCTTGTGCAAAGCCCTGTGATGGGAGATCGGAGCCTATGGGCGGTGAAAAGCGAAATGGTTCGCCTGATGGAGTGGGTATGGTGTCTGTAATGGGATTGAAAGTGGTAGACCCAGAATAAGACATGGCCGTAACTATCTCTGGTGAGGCGAGGAAGTTCATCGTCTGAGGATTGCCATCGTTACGACCCTTGAAGTTGCGATTATAGGATGAAAGAATTGCGTTACCGTCACCCTTGGATATACCGTCCGTACGTTTCCATTGACCAATGCAGGGTCCACAAGCATTTGCCAAGATCGTGCCTCCAGCAGAAGAGAATGTGTCCAGGGTGGAATCTCGATCAAGGGTTGCCCGGACTTGTTCACTCCCTGGTGTGATAAAAAAGTCTGCCTTGGGCCGGAGACCAGCGTCTGATGCCTGTTTGACAAGCTCTTCAGCTCTTGTCATATCTTGGTATGAGCTGTTGGTGCAACTTCCAATCAATCCTGCTCCAAATGAGTCCGGCCACTGGTTAGCTTTCACAGCGTCTTTAAAGTGCGATAGCGGAGTTGATAAGTCTGGTGTGAAGGGTCCATTGATATGAGGTTCAAGCTCTGACAGATCGATCGTGATCACTTCGTCATACGCCGCCGTGGCATCAGCTGCGAGCAAATCTCCATTAGTATCAACATCAAGAGCAGCGTAAGCATTAGACTCCCTATTCGTAGACTTCAGATACTGGAGCATTGAACCGGTCAACGGAAATATAGATGTTGTTGCGCCCACCTCGGCTCCCATGTTGCACACGGTGGCCATTCCTGTACAGCTCAATGCCTCGAGACCTTTCCCAAAGTATTCGAGAATGAAGCCTGTGCCACCTCTGACGGTGAGTATGCCGGTAAGCTTCAAGATGATGTCTTTCGGCGTCGCCCAAGCGCCCAATGCCCCTTTCAATTCCACACCAAGAATCCTTGGTGATTTCAACTCCCATGGTGCGTCGACCATAGCGTCTACGGCATCAGCACCGCCGACCCCAATAGCTATTGCTCCTAGACCGCCAGCATTCGGGGTATGACTATCAGTCCCAAGCATCATAAGCCCCGGCGAAGCATAATTCTCCAGGACAGCTTGATGGATGATTCCGGCCCCGGGCGGCCAGAACTCGATGCCATACTTCTTCGCTGCGGACTCCAAGAAATCATAGACCTCTTTGTTGCCCTGGATAGACTCTGGTAGATCGACGTCGGCCCCCTTCTGGCCAACGATCATGTGGTCGCAGTGTATGCTCGTCGGCACAGCTGTGCTTGGGAGACCGCAAGACATAAATTGTAGCAATGCCATCTGGGCGGATGCATCTTGCATTGCTACTCTGTCAGGCTTGAGCTTAAGGGTGGCATTGCCTCGAATGTCCTTGCCATGATTCGTAGTCGAAAGAAGAGCTTCTTCTGGATCATCAAGATGGGAGTACAAGATCTTTTCAGCCAGCGTCAAGGCATGATTGACGCCCAAGACTCGCCTGACGGTCTTAAATTTTTTGTTTATCTGCTTGTACGGAGGAATACGTAACTCGGCGGATGTATTTGCGGCTTCCTGTGGAGAGGCATTGAAGGCAAGCCATCTGCGCTGACTTTGAGTGGGAGGGTTTCTCAGTCGACGAACCTTGACATTCGTCAGCTATGATGTTCCATTCTGGTAGAGACATGTAACTCGGACAGTAAAGCAGGACCTAACAAGTTGCGCCCTCGAAGGGGCCATATTGAAGAAGTCAATCTGGCAACGTGCCGAGACTCCGCACTTTCCTTTCTTTACGGTAACAACGCAGCCAACCAGTTGACTCGTATGTGTAACATATCCTACAAATACTACGCCCAGAAATCTGCAGTTATGAGACTAAAACGAGCACTCAGGGTGGGTATTGACAGTGAATCCAAGGGTAGGCACGGAGCAAACACGGGGAATTTCGATAGTTCAAATGCATATATTAGTTCTAATATTTCCAGCTTCATTGGCACGAACTCCACCTTTCAGCTATTCTAGCAACCCAAGACATGACAAACCGCCGCCTGCCTTCTTGTGAATGATATGACTGCTCATTATTGAGAGGCTTATCTTTTTCCGGGGGCGGTAACCGAAGATATCATGTTGCTTTTGTCCAAAATGCATAGGGCTGATCGACAGGGACCCGGTAAAAGTGCTATACATGACCTGGCGTTGGCTATGACCCTACTCCATCTATAGGGCAATTGCGATACCCGCCACTGCAAGCAGACCCACAGCGACCGAGGCAACATTCTTGGTGGCAGCTCCGGTAAAGGATTGAGACCCTGATCCTGGTGAGCCAGAAGATCCGGTGCCACCTGGTGTTGGTGGAGTAATGGGTGATCCAGTAGCAGCAGGGCCGGAGACAGCGCCGCCGGCACTACCTGAGGGAGCCGCGGCGGTACCAGTAGCGACGGGGGCGGTTGCAGTAACGAAACCAGAGCCTGTGGGACCGACAACAGAGGAGCTAAGACTCGCATTAGCCAAAAGTGTCCTTCTTGATCAGGATCTGATCAACTGACCTGTAAGTTTTCGTCTTTGTGCAGGAACATTCATCGTCATAGTAAGTGGATGTGACAGTGATAGGATATGGTGCAGATGTTGAGTCGCTCTTGCTAGATGCAGTTTGGGAGCCTGAAAGAGATGACGAGGAGGACTCTGACTTGCAGTCTAATGGTGATTCTTTAGTTGTTATCCTCCAGATTTGAGCGATTCATCTTACCGTCACCGCCACTCAGACCGGCATCTTTGCATGCTTGCTCGAAAGATTTCTCGGCTTCATCCTTCAAGTTGGAAGGGCAGAGTTCCGAGATATAGCTCTTGACCTTCTCTGCCTCTTTGCAGCACAGGGTCTTTTGATCGGCCGGGTGCTCAAATTTACTGCGTCAGAAGTTAGCGCATAGACCGATGAGCCCCGTTTCGTATTGCTCACTTGACAGCAGTCAACAAGCAATAAGGATTTGCCAGAGCCAATCTTGCGACAGCAAGGACGGCGAGGGACAAAGTGGCTTTAGAGTACATCTTGAAGAGGTGAAAATGATTCTTGGTTTGGGGATTCTTGATGCGACCTTGGTGGAATTAAGAGATAAAAGAGTGTATGAACTAAAGCACAAACAGCAGGCTCAAATGAACTATTAATGAGTGACTAGATGAACAGGAAGAGCTTGATGAAAATAAGACGACTTTGTTGTTGGAGCAAGAAAGGAACGATGAACAAAAAGCAGGAAGCGCAGATGCGCAGATTGAAACTCATCAGGGGATGATTCGCGCTAATGTGGCGCTAGTCAGATTTAATCTCGGCCCCTGGCACCGACTCACAGAGGCTACCGCACTACGCGAAGACTTCCCACTCGTCGCGACTTTCCGACCAGCAATTCAATAATAATCACCACGTCTCCGCCGACCATGCTGTTGCTCATACAGGAGTGTTTGTCGAAGAATAATAATAATGATTCCTCAAAAAGCCATATGAGTCTGGCGAGGATGGCTCGCTGTTAGACATTCAGCGCTTATATCCGATGGGGCGGTTTACTTTTGTTCCTGCAGTTTACGTAAGCCGTTCCTGAGAGACAGCCCGTTGAGGGCCTGGCCAATCACAGGACGAGGTTGTACGTTGATGGAAAAGTTATTTCAATACGTGCTTTTGTTCCGAGATGCAGCATATTCATATGAATCTCTGAGTTTGGCCTTGCCTACATATCAATGAGGCTCACCCACCGGTCGCTTCTCGGTAGAAGCAGATACTCTTGTTCGCTCCAGCCGTCGCAAATCCTTCGTTCTTGCCGGTCTTGGGCAACCATCGTACACTCCACAATGTTTTCTCTGTCTCTGTGTGCGTCGCCACGCACTCTCGTCTATCCATTGACCATACTTTGGCTTTTCCATCATACGATCTGGAATGCTAATCAGTTCGGATACGCAGCAACAGTTGTGAATCTTCAATTTACCCGCTAAGAAGGTACTCGCCATTGTGGTTCCAATCCAATGAGAATATCCATGATCTATGACCCACAAGATTTACCACCTGCTCCCCAGACGCAACGTCATACAGAGCAATAATGGTCGAGTCTCCAGCCGCTGCCAGGAGCTTCACGCTTAGGGAGAAGGCAACGGCGCGCACTGGCTTCACCAGACCTTCACATTGTTAGCAAGGCAATGAAAAATAAGCTTCTACCTCTACGTCCTTACCAAGCAGTGAGTGAAAAAGTCTTCCGGTGTCGTTGTTGAAGATGTAGACCCCTCCATTTTCATGCCCAGAAGCTGTAAACCGTCCATCAATGGACTAAGGTAACCTTCAGTGATGGCTATCGCAAGCCTCTCAGAAGATATTTACCAGGTCTATGCTCATTCCAAAACTCCCTTTCGTCTCGAATTCGCGGATCTTAGCACCATCCGCCAAGTCGTCCCATACGTTTACTCGACCATCAAAGGAGGTTGCGGCTAAGTACTGCCCTTCTTCGGACAATGCTATGGCCCATATTTCACCAGCTTTGTTTCCATCTGCCCTGCATCAACGACGATCATCCTACCTTGAAGGTTTGATCTGGGTAGGGAGGGGGAGCCAGACCTACAATCTTCCTTTTCTCACTCCAGAGGCCTTCCTCGTGCTTCCATATCTTGACATCTCCGCCAAAGCCGACGCTTGCAGCTATATGGCCATCCTTGCTTGTGGTGATGTGATGGCATCCGAGTGGATGTGCGCCATCAAGCGTTTGGGCTAGGTCGAACGAGGGAGCTGTTGTGTTGTAAATGCGTATTGACGAGGATCCGCCTGCCGAGAGTAGTTGTGCAGGTGTAACGGCAACGGAAAAGATGTCTGTGGGATGAGCTACAACTGATCAATAGAGTGTCTGATGCCGTCGAACACTCTTCGCACCATCGTCAATTGTGTGAGTTGTGAGGTACTGTTTGGACTTGGCGGGGTTAGTCGACTCATGCGCACTACATGGAAGTCCGGCTCACCATATTTCGGCTTTCAAAAACTTTTCATGGAAAAGTCGAGCATTAATTGGCCAGTCGGCTTCTTGGGTGCATAATGTGCATATCAATCAGTTGGGCGCGGATGACAAGCTGAATGGTATATGAACTGCTTGTGGGCTAGGGCTACTGCACCAGCCAAATGGATTCTCAATGCTAAATACCCGCGCATATTTGTGGTATAACATTGTAATAGTATGGTCTTAATGTATGTACAACTTGTAGACGAATAGCGCCAATCCGATGCTCGCTGTCCTCGCAATGCCAAAAGTCGAGTAGGGTATCGTCACTGCACCTGAGACGTTTTTGCTTCTCCGTCCACTGCTTTCATTTCTGCATTAACTTTCTCATCTTCTTTCCACCTACTCCGTATCTCTGCACAAAATTGTGAGCTTCATGGACGCATCTGGTTAGGTCTTATGTAGAGCTCACCACCGACGCAGAAAGGGCATAATAAATGTGCTCTTTTAATATTACCACATGCAGAGCATCTATTTAAGGCTGTGATATCCTGCAGCTTGTTGTTCGCCATGTAGCGTTTCCTTGTCTTGCTATGCGAACTCTTTTTCTTGGGGACTGCGCGTAGCACTGACTCCCAGATTTGCGCAATTATTGAGGGAAGCCCAGTACCTAATACTGCTGGAAGTCCTGCCGGCGTTTGCATGAATGGTCTGAAGAGTCCTGGTAATAATGATTGTATGGTCGGCAACGCTGGCGACCTTGCCCAGGAGCTTGCAAGACGAAGCTCAGCCGAAAAGAGCGCCATTGATCAGGTATCCTACTATTAGCGGCTTGAGAAGCTGTCGCACTTGGTATGAATGTGCTCGAGCCGTACGAAGAGGATCTTAAAATGCCATGGCGTTGCGATGGCGAGCTCTGAAGTGGATGAGTCTGTGCTCAATGTTCTGCAAGACTTTCCCGCAAACTCGAAAGGCGCTAGCAGCCCCTGGCTAACTTTGGCGACAGAATTTCCCCAGCTTTTTCCCCTACTTCTAAACCACATCTCAAACAGAGGTTGTACCATTTAGTTCTTCGAGGCGTCTAGACAGTGAAAACGTTTGACAGCCAGCATGGCGTCAACCCTCTCCTCTCCAACCTCTGCCCCAGTGATGCCGAAGAGCCACGTTGGTTTTGACAGCATTACCACTCAGATTGAGCGCAAATTACTCAAGCGGGGTTTCCAATTCAATGTCATTTGTGTTGGTAGGTCTTGAACCGACATTATCCCCGCTTGTCGTTACTTATTCGGGCTTCTACTAGGGCAAACTGGGTTGGGGAAATCAACCTTGATCAATACCATCTTTGCTTCACATCTCATGGATTCCAAGGGACGCTTGTCTCCCACTGAACCTGTCCGCTCAACCACTGAGATCCAATCAGTATCACATGGTTGGTAGCATCATTGTCATTTCTTGGTATGACCTGACGACATGCAGTAATTGAAGAGAACGGTGTGCGCCTAAGGCTGAATATTGTGGATACCCCTGGTTATGGTGATCAGGTCAACAATGACAGATGGTACCTAAGCTGACCCAGCACGTACGAAAAAAAAGCTAATTTGTCCTAGCTGGGACCCAATCGTCAAATATATCAAAGACCAGCACTCTGCATATCTGCGAAAGGAGCTTACCGCGCAACGAGAACGATACATTCAGGATACTCGAGTCCACTGCTGTCTATTCTTTATCCAGCCTTCCGGTCACGCGTGAGCAGTACCATCCTAGCTGCGATTTTCGGATACTGATTTGCTGTCTCTAGCCTCAAACCCATCGACATTGTTGTTCTGAAGAAACTCTCCGACGTGGTCAACGTCGTTCCTGTGATAGCCAAATCCGACTCATTGACTCTCGAGGAGCGCTTAGCCTTCAAAGAGCGCATAAAGGACGAATTCATCTTCCACAATCTACGCATGTATCCCTACGATAATGACGAGCAAGACGAAGAAGAGCGTGGGCTTAATTCATCGATCAAATCGCTAATTCCTTTCGCCGTAGTCGGTTCGGAGCAAAACATCGTCGTGGGAGGCCGCTCTGTCCGTGGCCGCCAGAATCGTTGGGGTGTGATCAATGTTGAAGACGAGAATCACTGCGAGTTTGTCAGCTTGCGGAACTTCTTGACGAGGACCCACCTGCAAGACTTGATAGAAACGACTTCTCAGATCCATTATGAGACATTCCGTGCCAAGCAATTGATGGCTTTGAAAGAGAATAGTGCTGCCGGACAAGGAAGCAGGCCAATCAGCCCTAGCGCCGATAGGGAGCTTAGTCGACAGTCGCAGAGGATGACAATGAATGGATACTGAAAGTATTGTTCTTGGAATTGAGGGTCAGATTCTAGTGTTGGAGTGGTATCTTTCTGCGATACCTAGCACGGTGCTCAGGTGAGAGGCGCTGGCCTCGCTAATTTCGATTTATGAGGTTTTCTTTTTATGGCACAACATGTGAGTCTGCTGGCACATCTCTGAGGTGCCCGCCATCACCTTTATACAGGAATCTTGTTAGGCCCTGTTCGAAGCAAATCCACATCTAAGCACCTCTTCCTCTTGGGTCCTCAGTCTGCGGGACATGGTCTGCAGACTGTTCTCAGTCCTTCTTCAACCTTTCTATTCATTCGTCCAACATTTCCGCGTCCAGATTTCAGCATTCTCCACTCCCATACTTCCCACCATCGACAATAAACGCTTCCACCTCTTTATAGGCCTTGTCCAAAGTATCATTGACCACTATTTTTTCGTGAATGTCCCCGCTCTGCGCAAATTCCATCTCCACCTTCGCCTGATTTAAACGCTTCTGCACGCTGTCCTCGTCATCTGAACCCCTCCCTCGTAATCGCTGCTCCAGAATTTCTAAAGTTGGCGGAGATAGGAACAGAAAGCGAGCATTGAGATCAGACTTAGCGACTTGCTTTACTCCCTACGCACAGTACAAGCTTAGGATCAGCTGCGATGTAGGATACCCAAGAATCGCACCTCCAATTCAATATCCAATACACAGATTCTTCCCTTCTCGGCGACGTCCTTGACGGCTTTCACACTGGTGCCGTAATAGTTGCCTCCAAACTTTGCGTGCTCAATGAATCCGCCTTCGTCTATAAGTGCAAGAAAGGCTTCGCTTGTGGTGAAACTGTATTCGCGACCATCTTGTTCACCGGCACGTGGCTTTCGCGTAGTGTCTTGAAACGTACATCAGTTACGCGCTTTGCGATGGAGATTTAGGATAATTTCACGAGAGATGGAAAAGCCAAACGTATCAGGATGATCTGCAAAAAGTCGCTTTAGAATTGTGGATTTTCCCGATCCTGAAGGACCAGAGAGTACGATAGGCCTATGAGACTCCAATGCTGTCAGACAAGATGTGAGCGTACGAACATGCTAGTCGCAATGTGAGGTGTACCGGTCGGTGCCATTTTGTAATACTGTCGTGATGCGCAGATAAAAATAGGTAGTAATTGAGAAGCAAACTTAGCAAGTGAAAAGGTGCGTGTTGAAGAGACCAAAATTTGCATATGTTCAGCGAACGTCAATGCCCATGTTGGTGACGGATGTGCACTGTATTATTATTGTGGAGAGTGAAAGGCCTTCAGCTAGAGGGGATTCCCAATTGGGTTCATTCACGCCTCGGCCCGTATAGCTAGTTGCCGTCCTGCACCCGATTTTCATTCGTCATCGTCATCGTCATGGTATATTTAGTCTAATCTGTCGTTCATCAAACTTCACTCCTCACCAACCAGGATGCACAGAGCCATGCTTATTTCACGGCCGCCAGAGCTCTGTGCAACTCAGTCGATTAAGAGGATGAAGTCTTTGGCGATTGTCAAGAGATCCTTCAAATCATAATTCTGGACGAGAGCTACGTATTACTTCTCAATTCCAATGATAATACCTTACTCTTCTACACAAATCTACCGATTCGGCGGTTCTATCTCCCGCATTAAAGTGCATGCTGTATTTGCGAAATGCGCCGCCTGGCATTGTCAATTTTGTCGTGTCCTTGTGGCGAGTAAACTAGCGCCGTTCGCATTACCCCCCTTTGACTCTCACCATGACCATTCACACAGTTCCCGAAAGTGGCTGTGTAACATGAAAAACGCGCCAAGTATTTGGAGGCCGTCACACGATCGAACATACTCAGGCCTCCCGAAACCTCACTTGCCTTGTTTTTTATTCGTCTCAAGTCATCGCCTTGCGAAGAATTTCATTCCTGATAACACTGTGAGCACTGAATGATGCCGTCTGAATCTGTCATGTCGTGGCTTTATATCACTGTAGGCCTGTCGACTCTAGCCTTCCGAGTACTCAGCCAAGACCTAAGTCTGCTCAACAATCTGCCACCATGTGGGGTTCGTTTGCCATAGGTTACAGCGCGATCCACTGTCATGAGTGCTAATGATACATCCTAGAAGAAATGCATCAGCGACGCTTCCGACAGTAGTTTCTCTGGCAGCTGCGATCCTAGCGACTTCCTCTGCTTGTGCGATACCACGACCTTCGTTGGCGGCGTGAGCACATGTACGCTGCAGTCATGCCAGGGAGACTTCGATGCCAAGATAACAATGAACAATCTGAACGAATACTGCGACCGCATGTAGCCCCCAGCTTTATTTGGGTGAACGACATCTGATTGTCATGTAGAAGCGAAGGGTAATCAAACAATCAGCACGTCTTCACCAACAGCCAAAGGACGCGTTACCAAAACCACACTCATAACGGAAACACCAACACAGGTCATCTTCGCAACCATCAAGCGACCGAGCTCACAGTCTGATCCAAGCGCCTCTCTAGTATCTCCACAACCGACGGCAACAGCTGGCGAAACCCAAGACACTCCACCAAGAACAGGGACATCAGTGGGCACCAGTCACTTTACAGCCACGAGTGACAACAGAGCAACACCAACACCAGTGCCTGCAACTACACGTCCGAAAGCCTCCGCAAGCATTGGCGTAGCAGCAGGCGTTCCTCTAGGAGCAGCCCTAGGCTTTGCCCTCGCCTTCTTCCTGTACAGATTGTATAATCGAAAGAAGAGACGAACTTCAGCAAGCGACAACGCACCAGAGAGGGTCGAGCATCAAGCGGGGGTGGGCGTTTTCAGCGATGCCGAAACACAGAAAGAGCATCATCCCAGTCTTAGTGGCGAGAATGGTCACGGGGGGGTGTCCGAGCTACACGGTAACGAAAAGGAGCCAGGAGAACTGTTAGGTTGGGCTGACAATGCGGATTTGAGGCCAATGTCGTCGGAGTTGCCAGGGTCTTCGGCCAGTGCGGCTCTCCGGCCGCTTTCTTCGGAGCTCGAAGGGCCTGCGAACGATACTCTCAAGCCATCCTCACCAACTTCAGTGGGTTCATTAGATCGTATGAACAGAGAAGGCAAATCAGTATTGGACCGGCAACAGGAGCTGCCAGCTCAGAATGTTGCTGTTGACATTGGTGAAGAATTGCCTGAAAAGGACGAAAAGGCAAGGGACGATCTTAGAGAGGTAACGACAAGGTAGAAGTGCGAGAATGAAGTGACCTAGTCCAGAGTTGGCTGATCTTTGGAGCATACTCGCTCTTCTTCTTGCAATGCGCTTCTTTCTTACTTATTCTGCCCGACATCCTTTACGCAACCTTTCAAGTGCATTATCTTCAACAAGATCAACTGGGTTCTTCTTGAGATGCCCGCCCGAAACCGTGTCTTTGTTGCGCAGAACCTTCGTGAGCCAAGAGAATACATTATCGCCTCCTGTCTGGTTGCCGAAGGCTTTGCATGGCTTTATATGTGTGTCATCAGTACGTGATGCAGCATAATATTAGATCTGTGAAGATTTCTTGTATAACAACGCCGATTCGCTAATGCCGCCTATGGTGTTCCAGGGCGAATAGCTTGCCCTAACAAACCTCTCACCCCATTTATTCATCATTCGACTATAGATGTAAATTCCCGCACGATTTGAAAGTCTATTCCTGCGCATCTAAGTCATTAGGATTACGCCATGCTGTTCACGAAAGAGAAACCCATTATTACTCCCTCCATCTTGAGACAAGCTTTCCTCAAGGTGGTTTAGAACTTGCTGAACTAGACGGCACATTCGAGCTAGGACTTTTTGGACTCTTGATATCCTCCTGGGCTTCGTGCTGGAGGAAGTCAGACCATAGATCCGCTAGTGAGTCTTTTCGAGTGCTGTGATCGAAGACATAGTCTGTCGAGAGTGAAGGAGTACTGGGCGTGCGGTGCCAGGGCGAGACAGGAACGCGAGCAATTGGATTTGAAGCTCCTGGGCGCGCAAGACCGGCTTGCTCACGCTGCTCTAGAGGGAGAAGTCAGTAATGCAATAGTCCGAGACAAGAGCAACGAGATCGTGGGAGAGAGGTGAACAGGGCAATGCGGTGAAGAGGGGACAATATACCCTCGTTCCAGGCGAGCAAGCTAGCAATAATCTGAAGTACTTCAAATTTCTTAGAATCAGCCCTATCGATGGCCAGGAAGTGCATGAAATGATTTGTGATGAGTTGTCTAGTACAATTAGCCTTATACCCATGGAATTCGCTACAGAACTTACTTGTCGATAGTGTCTTCAGGTTTGCCCTTTCTCAAATGGCGGAGCGCTTTCGTTAGATGGTCATTCAGTATAACGGCTTCGTGGCGTAATTTGCCTATCAAAAGATTTTTCTCCTTTACCTCCTTTTCGAACGGAAGCGCCTGCTCTAAATCGCGCTGTACGGATTCAAGCTTTGTCGAAGCCTCGGAAGCTTTGTGCTCGCTCTTGTGGAGCTGCTTTTGCAGGGTTTCGATCTGAAATTGTGTGTTTTCCACCATGTCTCGCAACTCTCTGCGTCGAGCTGTTGATGTTAGCAAGCTGGAAAAGGTGAATATAGCAACAGCAATACCATCTTGGAGCTCCTGCAGTGCCCTTTGTAGACCGTCCACCGTAGATGATTGGGTGTCGCGGTCCTCAGCAGCTCGTTCGTAAGCCTCGCGGTGACTCGAAATCTGCTCTTCTAAATCTGAGACCTTTTCCTGCATACTTTCGCGCACTGACCGCTCTTCCATTGCTAAGATCTCCCAGTCTTGCATAGCTTGCTTGGCTGCCTCGAAGTCCTCTTTGGCAGTAGCTTCTCGCTGGAGAAATTCCGCCCTCTCCTTCCCAAAATTTTCCTGTGACAACAGAGTTCGATTGCGAAGGCTGGACAGTTCTTTGGACTGTTGTTCCATTTGCTCTGCCAAAGCCGCGACTTCGGTCTCTCTAGACTCGTTTTGTTCCTTTAGGCTTTGGGTATGCTCTTCGAGCTCTTCAATCCTCGCTCTCGCCTGAGTAAGGTCTTCCTACATTTATATCAGTAAACAGGTAGACGGTAAACACTGTTATGGCCTACGGCGTCCGCCTTCAACCGATCTCCCAGCTGAGACCGAATGGTATTGACCTTGCCCAGCAGATTACGATATTGAGACTCTGCCTGCTCCTTGCCATTCTGTGTCTGGTGTAATTCTTCTCTCACGCTCGAGACTTCATTCTCGTGCTTAGCCTGAAATTCCTCCAATGATTTGCGTACTTGAGATACCTCATCTCGTAGGGTCTCTCGCTCTTGTGTCAGGGCCTCGAGCATAGCTACTGAATTCCCTGTTGTTGAGTCTTGGTGTGATGATGGAGCTGGCTGCTCTGAGTGGTCGTCGGACGTCTGCACCGATTTAGGCCTCTGGGTCAGCGATATCCTTCGCAAGACCCGCTGGGCCGGAGCAGCCTGATCTACCGCAGCCGCATGGTGGATCTCTCCATTGTTTCCGGTATCGATTTTATGTACATACGGGCTTCGTATCGAATTTTCTAATTTGGTGTCTGATGTGGGTGTGGGGGGTTCGGTTGACGGCTGTGATTCCCCTTCTTCAAGCTCCACCTCATCTCCGTGGGTCTCATCCGGGACAACACCATTCGATTTCTGACTTTCTCCATTCGGCTTATTCTTACCGCTTCTCTTCTTTTTGGATTTCTTCGTTTTCAATGCTGCACGGGACTTCGTTAGCTACCGAAAAGGCAAGGAAAGGACGCGCGCCGCAAGACAACAGCATTCCTACCGGACAAGTCGGAGCTGATAACTTCGGCAGCACTCTTGGAAGACATCGAGTAATGACAGCGTAGGTTTGAGGGAAGCAGAAGCGGCTTGTGTCGTTGAGAACTTGATTGTCTCAATTGGGACAAGGCGGGCTGATTGGGCGATGCTGCCAAATATTCCGCGTTTACAATTCCGGGCACTATCCTAGAGTTTGGGTCGGCCGAACCGCTAATTCTAAGGTCGGGACCGGATTCAGTGGGGCTTCGGCGCGGCATGTGTCATTCTCAAGCTAGGAAATCATTTTGATATGTACCCCGGATCATCGTTGTGACTCATGAATTCTTCTCCTTCAGAGCTGTGCTCATGCGTTACCTGTTCAAAAGAAATCCTTCAACATGGCCGAGCAGCACAAGATTCTACCCGTCAAGGGCGAGAGGAACATTCTCATCACGAGTGCACTGCCTTACGTGAATAACGTTCCCCATTTGGGAAATATCGTTGGTAGTGTCCTCAGTGCTGACGTCTTCTCACGATACAACAAAGCCAGGGGTCGTCCTACGCTGTTCGTCTGCGGCACGGATGAGTATGGTACCGCGACTGAGACCAAAGCACTGGAGGAGAAGGTGACACCTCGCCAGCTGTGTGACAAGTACAACAAGCTACATACAGAAATCTACGAATGGTTTGAGATTGAGTTCGATCACTGGGGTCGGACGTCGACACCGGAGCAGACCGATATCACCCAGGACATCTTCCGCCGACTCTACCAAAATGACAATCTTGTAGAACGAACCTCGCTACAACCCTATTGTACTGGCGAGGAAGGAACCGAACATGGCTTCCTTGCAGACAGGTTCATTGAGGGAACCTGTCCAAAGTGCGGATACAACGATGCCCGCGGTGATCAATGCGACAAATGCGGCTCTGTTGACTACGAACCTTTGGATCTGAAGAGTGCCCATTGCAAGATCCACCCTAAGGTTACACCAGTCGCTCGCGACACAAAACACATACATATCAAGCTGGACAAATTGCAGCCCGACATTGAAAAATGGTTCGCCAAAGCGCATGTCGATGGGTTCTGGTCGAAGAATGGGCAGGTCATCACCGATTCCTGGCTGAAGACTGGGTTACGAGATAGGGGCATCACCAGGGATCTTCACTGGGGTACGCCTATCCCTTTGGATGTCTTTGAAGACGAGAAGGACCGCGAGACATTCAAGGATAAAGTCTTCTATGTTTGGTTCGATGCTTGTATAGGGTATGTATCTATTACTGCCACGTACACCAAGGACTGGGAGCTATGGTGGAAGGATCCCGAGAACGTTCGTCTGTACCAATTCATGGGCAAAGACAATGTACCATTTCACTCTGTCATTTTCCCAGGCTCACAACTGGGGACGAGGCAAAATTGGACAATGCTTCATCACCTCTCCACCACGGAGTATCTCAACTATGAGGATGGGAAATTCTCCAAATCCAGAGGAATTGGTGTTTTCGGCAACAACGCGAAAGATATTGGCCTACCTCCAGATGTATGGCGTTACTATTTACTCAAACATAGGCCAGAGACAGCAGATTCCCAATTTGAGTGGAGAGATTTTATTGCCCAGAATAACAACGAATTGTTAGCCAAGCTTGGAAATTTTGTCAACCGTATCATCAAGCTTACTAATAACAAACCCTACAATTCCATTGTCCCTGAATACAACCACTTGTTCTCTGACTCCAGATTTGACGAAGTAAAAGCCAAAATCAATGAGTTTCTTTCAAAATATATCGAACAGCTTGAAGCAGTCAGATTGAAAGATGGGTTGCAGACTGCCATGGACATCGCACAAGAGGGCAACAATTTCATACAGAGTAATCGCTTAGACAACAAGCTCGTGGCGAATGAGCCTCAACTCGCAGCAGCGGTGGTTGGCATTGCGGTCAACATCGTTTACCTTTGTGCCAGCATTTTCGCCCCTTACTTGCCAGCAACTACCAAGTCGATCTTAGGGCAGCTTGATGCGCCACTTCTCCAGATACCCGACCATTGGACGGCGGATGACATCAAGTCCGGCCATCAGATCGACAAAGCCCGGTACTTATTCTCGCTGATTGATGTGAAGAAGGAAGAAGAATGGCGAAATCTTTTTGGCGGTACTCAAGAGGCGCGAGCCAAGAAAGAGGAAGAAGCTGCCAAAAAGAAAGCTCAGAGGGAGGCTGATAGGGCGAAGAAAGCTGCCAAACGGGCTGCTGCCAAATCAAACCATGAACAGCCGCAGGTTAAGCCAGTGGAGAAGCACAGCGTCGAGTCAACTGCTGTCGGAGGCGCTCAGCCGGCGGAAGGCCGCGAGCCAGTGGATAATGTCACCGACGGGTATTTCGCTAAATTGACCCTTATGACGAATGATTGCAGTACTGACGCGCTGACAGATTTCGGCAAGTGACGCTACCATCTTCCTGAAGCGAACCAACGACTACATGGTGATGAATGTATGGCTGCAATGACTAGAATGACCATACGAAAAGAAAACGGATCAACCTGATCATGGGACTACCCTATTCCTCGGTGACCGAATATGGCTATCTTCAAGGGCTGTACTCTGGCTCCTCATTGCCTATCTGCGGACCCTACCCCTATTTTCACACCAGCTAATGCAACGCCAATGCCAACGGTCGTCCGAGGACGCAACCCGACTGGCATCCATAGGGTTAAGGGTGCGCTAGTTAGATCTGTCTCTACTCTTTACCCCATAAGGGCGCCAAACCCGATTTGGTAGAGGTGGGGCTACAACTGACCCAAGCCCGCCATGCATTTATTACTGAGGATGCTCCGGATCACTGCGCGAAGATGACGAGCCATTGGCGCCCTGTCTTATAGCAGAGCTTGTTGCCAAATCATCTAGACTGCTTCTTTCTCTTCAAACTCGTACTTCCTCGTTCTGTCCGTTCATCTGTCTACATACCTCCAACGCTGATCAACCTCAAAATGTCTTCCCTACTCTCCAAATTGAGCCCTGCAGCTGGAAAGCAGCAGGTTGGTCGCGCTGTTGCCGGTCAAGCCGTACGCACTCGTCCATACAGTTCTTTCTACCCGACCATGCGTGTGGAGAAGAAGTGAGCCACTTCCTCTTCAATGTCCCAGCGTAACCTCTCCTTTGCTCGCCGACCCGCAGCTAATTCCTTCCACTCCAGAGTCTCAGCGCCACAACGATCTCTGAACACCACTAAGCACCTCAATACCATTCATGACGAGTCCACCATTGACTTCGCCTATATGCCCCAAGACATCTTGTCCGATCCTGCGGAGTCCGAAACATTCCGAGTGCCCCTACTTCCAGACAATTACAGTCCGCCGCTTGAGCATACGAACAATGCGCATCACGACTTTCATATGGAATCAGTGGTAAAGCCGACGATATCCACAACGAGCGCCAATGGCACACACATTGACAACCCGAGTGCAATGAGCGACGTCACGGATAATCATGCTCTAGACCTTAAAGACAACGTGTATGATTTGACGAAGAAAGTCACGAACGCTGCTGCGTCGAAGATACAGAATGTGAAAGAAATGAACATGCAAACCGAAGGTGAGGAGAGGGGTTTGGTCGGAGGAATAGTCAATGGCCTCATTGATGAAATATTTGGGCCAAAGCGCGTGGCCAGGGTTTGAAAACCTCTTTGGAGAATCTGATGAAGGTCTTCTGTAATTGCGAGTCGTTTCAACTTCATGTTTCGTATTTGATTGTTAGCAGCAGATTGGTTTGAATTTACTTGCAAGGTGTCAGGGGGAGACAAGTATATGCTCCGTGAATGCTGCGAATCCGATGTATACAAAAAAAATGTATGCGCTATGTCAGTCGAACAATCCAGACTAGTAGCTCTATTATTGAGGCCATCAATCTGTTCGTTAAAAGTAGTAAAGGTCAGTGAGTAGCAAATATTTTCTTCCAAGCAGAATTTATGTCATTATAATGCGTGGGCGTTTGGTAGCTAGAAGTAGTATTTAGTGCAACAGCGCAATTGCAACCATCAGCCCTAGCTTCTAGCCTTTTACGGTAACAATGGCCAGTTTTGGGCTCTTATGCACAGTGCCTTTCCTATCCCAGACATCTGGTCTGACATAGTAGCAGGTTGTGCCGAGCTACGTTGCACTTCTAAGCTGCTAACCCACAAACATGCGTCCATCCATTAACCATGCCAAAAGCCCGATCCGATGACGACCAGACGGATCCTGAGCAATCGCAAAGCCTCATACCAAATGCCGATATAATCGAGGCGGAGGCACAGCAATCGACTACATCTAGGCCACTGCTTCATCCAACCAGACGTCAATCATCCTTCTCGAAGCGCGGAGCGAAAGGTGTGCCATGGACGCCAAGAACAACGAATCGTGTACGCTTCGACATCGTGGAGGAGACAACCAACAGACACGAGATGAGGGAGCAAGGTCAAACGCAATGTGTACAAGAGAATGGAACCACCTCCGAAGACGAAGACGACGTTGAAGATGAGGACCAGACTATGTACAGGAGAGCAAGTACGGGGCAAAGAGCGCCCCTATTAACGAATATCGAGGCCCCCAGTGTCACAGTCGCAAACGAGCTGGACTTCCACGCTGAAGACTTTTTGGAAAATGCAAGACCCAAGAGTGGAATGAGGAGTGCTTTCGTCAACATGGCAAACAGTATCATTGGTGCTGGCATCATTGGGCAACCGTACGCTTTTCGGCAGGCAGGTTTGGTGACGGGTATTTGCCTCCTCATTGGACTCACCGTCACAGTGGACTGGACGATCCGCTTGATCATTATCAATTCAAAGCTGAGTGGTGCAAACTCATTTCAGGGAACCATGGAGCACTGCTTTGGAAAGTCTGGGCTTGTGGCTATCTCCGTCGCCCAATGGGCTTTCGCTTTCGGTGGGATGATAGCCTTTTGTATCATTGTTGGCGACACGATACCACATGTACTAGCTGCTCTTTTTCCTAAGCTCTCTGAGATGCCTTTTCTGTGGCTTTTGACGAATAGACGAGCGATTATTATCATCTTTATTTTGGGGATATCTTTCCCCCTTTCTCTTTACAGAGACATCGCCAAGGTTGGAATTGAATTTTCTTGTCCGAGAAATCGCCGTCACTAACATGTTATAGCTAGCAAGAGCGTCTAGTCTGGCCTTGATCTCCATGGCTATCATCATTGTAACAATAATCATAGAAGGAGCTCGGGTACCGTCCGAATATAAAGGTGCTTTGAAAGGTTCCATCGTTATTCGCGGTGGGGTTGCACAAGCAATAGGGGTTATATCATTTGGTATGATTGCCATGAAGTAATTCTTCTCGCTGCTAATCATGACTAGCTTTCGTGTGTCGTAAGGGTTCAAGGCCAGACAATGTTCTGCAAGAGCTAAACCGAACCTAGATCATAACAGTCTCCTCATCTACGGATCTCTCAAGACGCCGACGTTGGATCGCTTTTCCCAAGTCACTCATTACTCTGCCTTCGTGTCACTGGTCGCATGTCTCATTGTGGCTCTCGCGGGCTTCTTTTCCTTTGGTGACAAGACCATGGGAAACGTTCTCGTAAGCAAACAAGTCCGCCTTCTAGTCTCTCATTTGCTGACAGTGCTCAAGAATAATTTCCCCCTCGATAATATAATGGTAAATGTTGCTCGCCTGTGAGTTTGGTCATTTGTTCACTCGTGAACTCCTAGACTAATTACGTAGATGTTTTGGTCTCAACATGTTGTCGACGTTGCCGCTGGAGTGTTTCGTTTGCCGGGAAGTCATGTTCAACTACTGGTTCCCCAAGGAGCCATTCAACCTAAGTTTACATATGATCTTTACATCGGCCTTAGTAGTCACTGCGATGACAATGGCATTGATCACCTGCGACCTTGGCGTCGTCTTTGAGCTGGTAGGTGCGACATCTGCCTGTGCTTTGGCGTACATCCTGCCCCCGCTTTGTTACATCAAGCTCAGTAGGCGAAGTTGGAAAACATATCTAGCTATTGCGTGTTCAATGTTTGGATCTATAGTGATGGTGATAAGCTTGGGACAGGTATTTTACCTTTCATTGTCATCGTGGAGTTCAATCTTGCTCACCTCTTGCTGCAGGCAATCACTCAAATGATGAAGAGTAAAGGAAGCACCCATTCTTGTGATAGAATTGAGCCATCATGTAGCAGCAATGGATGAAGTATGGCAGCGATGTGATGCGCATGGGCTGTGGGCCCATGTTTGTGTTCATTGCGCCATTTCATCCCTAAAGCAGCACATTGGCCGCTTGAGACGATCGAGCAAACCTTGCAAGCCCTGAAGCAATCCTCCTACAAAGCTAAGTGGCAGGTGCATTGCGGAAAGTGAATAGCGAGGTCTCCGTCATCGCGCTTCGACGACATGTCGATGTTGATTCGTCTATCACTAGCGCGCCGAGTCTAGAAATTGTGTGCTAACACTCTTGTCACCGCCTTGTTTGCTCACCACACACGCCCTATTCATCATCTCTTCAAATCTCATCATCACCAAAGTAGGGCTCTAACAAGAGTCTGCCACCACAATTAAGATCGATGGAACATTTGATGCTGGTAGGTTCTTTTTCACCTCCGTCTAAAACTAGTCTTGACGCGAATCTGTTTGGTCGGGTTTTCCTTTCATCGTTATTGCAGTCGTGTGTCCTCAAGCCAGTGATCCCTGTTATGCGCTTGCTCCTTCCAGACTCAAGCTAAGACAGGACATCTTAAAATTCAGATTGATCTCGGTTTCGAACGCACTAATGTCTTCGAATCGGATTTTAAAGAAAACAAACACATCACGTCAAACCAGAGGCTACAAGCTCACAGGCTCTTTACTCAAGAGGGTACGGTACAGTCCCGAGCAATTCAAGGCAGAGAAAATAAGATAAGTGACTGGAACGGTCAGTCCAAATAGGTTTCGATGTAGGCCACACTAATAAAGATTCAGCCGCCTGGGGAGCGCTCAGAACCGACGGGACCGCTGAAGAGAAAGATCTTAGGGACGTCGGTACTGGCTTCGGTCAGAGTCACAGACAGAGGCTAAATTGCGACGATTCGGTATCCAAATACGCCGGCGAGCAATTGCTGCGGAAGAAAAAACAAAATCCTCAGAACACAATAAGTGCGTCGTCAAACCTGATCAATGCCCAAAAAAGCCCTAGGAGTCCCGGTTTTAAAGCGGCTTCTACAACTGAGAAGGTTTCGAATACATCGTCGGCGCTGATCGACGCCCAATACAACCTATCAAGGTAGAGTCCCTTAGCCCTTGCGTTCTCACCATTCTTCACGATCGGCTGACGAAGCGAACAGCAAGAGTAAATCAGGCCAAAATTTTTCAAAGATGTGAGTAGGTAAATGGAATTTCCATGATCTGCATTGATTTGCTCTAGACCGTCGACTCTTCCTACGTCGGCCAGATCGAAAACATCTATTACACGCAATCGTGTGAAAAGATCGTCCCCTCCGACACAGCTCAGTACTCCCGCTATGGACGCTAGACCATCAATCGAACCTCAAGAAAGGGGCAAGACACAAATCAAGAACGAGCAGCTACCCCAGGTTGCTAATTCATTTAAGCGTCAAGGGTGAGTATCTTCTCTCGGTTCCAGTCGCTCTGCTTATGAAAATAGACGTCATTACAATGAAAGTGCAACACTTAGCGATCCACCTTCATTCATGGCCATTGCACGAACAAGGCTATCTTCTAGCAAAGCAGCAAGCAAAGCCACGCCAGATACGGTGTCTCAATCGATACCTAACCTGGCCTCCCCTCTTTCGAATCCTTCAAGAACCAAAGCAGATGATGCAGAGCATCACCCTAGCCAAATCACCCCACACTCTATCAGTAATTTCTCGAGGCCTTCTAATTCAGAGAGCCATTTTGTCAAGCCAGACAAGTTGATTGGTCATAATGCTGCGCACAATGGAATTGCTTCAGTCATTCCAGGGTCGTCGCTGACTGACGCACCCCCTGGGAAGCTCTCTGAAGCACTCAAACTACTAAAGACCATGTTTCCACTTGAAAAGGACTTCGACGACGTAGCAACTAAAATCAAAGCCAAATTAGCAGAGGACAGCGTGGTTGCCCCTGCTGTCAGGCCAATCAGCAACGACTCTAATGAGACCAATACTTCATCAGTAACACTGACTGACCAGGCCAAGATACTTGATGTTCTCAATGAAACGAAGGCATTCATGACTCAAGACGGGAACACTAGCTTCGTTGACTCTAGGAAGCAAGGTACAATTAATAGCGATAACATAGCCGCGACGGGCGCTGCTGCAAATACCAAGCCCAGTCTAGCAAGCAACCCCTCGAGAAAGGCACAAAGTTATACCGCGATCTCTGAGGTCACACCAGAAGTCGTTCAACTCGACACCGCCCCACGTGAGCGCCGACAGAAGGCGCAGAGGGTTAGGTTTGAGGAACCAGAGGAACCTACAGCACCGCCAGCGAGTGGGACCATCGAGGCCACCATGCAGAGAGCCCTGAACGCCAAGCTGCAGACTTTCGTTCATAAAGAGCGAAATGATAAATACACTTGCCTTATAGACAATTGTTATAAGGCCTTCAGCGATGAGCAATTTTGGCAGAAGCATGTGCACAGGAAGCATCAAGATCACTTCGACGGTTTGAAGTCAAAGGTAAGCTAACTAGACTTGCTATTGGGGCCGAAGAGTGGCTGACTATCTCAAAGGCTATGGAACATGCGAGAGCAAACAAGGCAGCAGATGCGGCCGCTGCGAAAGTGGAACCCGCGCCGACTGTACAGGACCAACATGAGTTGGAGGCTGTGAATGCTAAGAATATCGAAATATCAGGACCACTCAAGATGCCCAGAGACATCCCTGTTGTAATAAAGCGTTCTAGCCTCGCAGATATCATCTCTCGGCAACAAGACGCCTGGAGAGATCACCTCATTGGCGAACATATCCAGAAGACGCGATTCATCAAGAACCCTGCCCTCAAAGCAGACAACCCAGTACGAAGCGGAGACATAGATACGTCAAGCACTCTTGAGGCTGCCGCTACAATACACACCAATGCAGGCAACGAGGCAAGCCAAGAGCCACTCGCATCCAAAAATCCATTTGGGCTTCCAAAGTCGTCCAAGGTGATCACGGCGGAGACAATTTCTACCTTCGCAGATCCTGGACGCGCTGCTCGTATGCAATATGGCGGGCAGCTTTCAGTTCCGGCAGACCACAGTGTCCCGCCGTTGTCCGAACGGAATCCCCCGCAAGCTACGTCTGGATCTCAAGCGAATGTCAAAGACGCCCCACCACCTCCTTCATTCAGACCAGCGCAGCGTGTTACACCGGGTCGAAACACCGGGCCAACCCTCCCAACTTTCCTGACGGCTGCCCCCGCATCAATGGATCCCGGCGCTGCAGCAAGACGACAGTATAATTCTTAGATTGACCTTTTCGAAGTAGCATGCTGAAAATCATATTTAACCTGGACCTAACTGCAACATGTTTCAGTGTGCACTGGTGCCATCTTGCCTGTAGCGTCGGAAATGTGGATGGCTAGGAGATCTATGGAGGACGGGTCGAGTGTAGCAACGGCAGAAACCTCGCGAGAGCACAAGTGGGGCTAAGTAAATTGCCTCGAAGACCTAATTGATTTGATTTGATGATGTGAGGATGCTGAAATAATCTTGCTCCTTGTGTTATGATTGATGCCTCGAAAGCATTGTAGCTGTTCGGTGCTAATATAAAGGGCTTTGACATCTAACATTCCTCCCTCTGCAAGTCCGCTCGAATGAAAGACGTTCACTCGTCATTGAAAGCGCTACTGGAAGTGAGTACTACTTAAAGATAGAAAAGCGATACTCAATGAGAACATTGTGAAGAGAAGAGGCCTGCTAATACATGGGCTGACATGCCACACGCCGAGGACGGCTCGCGATGCTTCTCTCAGACGAGGTAGAATAGGCTTGACATGACAATGCTAGAAGTGTCAGGTGCATGATCACTCAGGATTGGCTTTTCTATTGTTACTCTGTGCTGTTTTTTCCTTTCCAGTATTGACAGAGCAGATTCTACTTCTCTTTCAACTTACAGAAAATCAACGTTCGAGCATGAGTGCTTGCTCAAGGAAGGTGGCTTGATAAGGTTGCCGTAGAGAAGGTAGACCCGAAGAAGATACCAAGCACAATGTTTGTCCAGCCTGACATAGATGGCCCGTAAAGTCCAAGAGTAATAGTGATCCTTTGGCAACACTACTCAAGCTGAGTTCTAAAAGTAGATGAATCACGGCAGGACATTGGAAATTAACGATCCAACGCCAATCTGGTATGTGTACTGTTGCATACTGCTGGAACGCTTGGGAAATAGCAGAGTGAGGGGTGAAAGCACCTGAATTGGGACGGAAATTTGAAAAAGACCAACCAGGCATAGCTATTGACCGCGAGATGAGGCATCGATAATAAATCAAGATGTAGACCAGCAAAAAGGAAAGGAGTTTATCCTCCATGCCTTCCATACCTTCCATACCGAAGTGTTAGAAGCTTTCGAGTCACTGAAAACATTGTTCCAAGTTTGCATTGTCATACGTGCTTACTTATTGCTCCAAACCCAATGCAAAGCGCCAAAGCCATCCGAGAGGCATCTCACTCTTACGAGTTCGAGTCCACTGTTACTATATCCGGACTTCTTGCCCCTAACCTAGGCCGCTTGATGTCCCCGTTACTATTCACAACAGGCATGTTAACTGACAACTCCGTCACATCGCCCAGAGCACACCTGTTACCGCCATCACCTTCGGCTGGCCGCTTCATCTGCGGTGGCTTGTAGGAGCCACGATTTTGTAACGGGCTGGCTAGAGTTGGCATCCCGACTCTCCGAGCTTTGTCCGCCTGTTGATTAGGGACGTTAAGGCCACGGATTGGTGGAACATTGGGGACAGGGGCTCCATCAATGTTCCGGCTGACTGGCTTTGTCTGTGAATGATCCACGCCGGCGGTCTTTCGAATCGATGGGCTCTCTAGATGTGGGTTAAATGCCGGCACTTTCTGTTGCAAGGGACCCGGGGCGTTCTGCAGAGATTCCGCTGCTCGAGCTGTGTAGAATCCTATAGGTGCTTCATGAGAAGAGGAGTCGGAAGATTTCGAGTTGCTCATATTTTCATTGCTTAGGTGAAGAGGCGGGAGTTGTGCTGTAGCGCTGTTTCCAACTAAAGGCGCATGAGTGTTTGAGACAGGCCGCGGTGTAGTATTTGGGCGATTGAATAAGACTTGACCGGTAGTAGGCAATTCTGCTCCTGGAACTGCTCCTTGTTTTGAAGCGAGAGGGGACGGAGGCCGCATTCTATTTGCTTGTGCTGACCGCTTCGAGGACAGATCATTCTTTGGCTGGAAATGCTCGGACTGCAGGTTTTGGTCTAGCGCTACACCATCAGGATCATCGCCTTCGGGAACAGCAAAGTCGACCTCGTCAAAGTCATCACCTAGCAATGTTAGTGCTACGATAATTACTTCTTTTACAATGCCTCACTCCCAAATTCGTCTTCCCGTGACTCTTGCCGTACCAAAGATGGTTCAGGTCTGCGATTTGGGAGATTGAGCTGGGGGTGTTGGTCGTCTGTTGCATATTCTCTTTTTATCGAGCTGAAGGCTTGATGTCGGTGAAGATTCTCAGGGTCCCATTTTGTCTAAGCCTACGTGAGTAACTCAAACCTCGCTCCAATTCTTAAAGCGTACCGGAGCAGCCTTGAGTTTCGTGACTCGGGCAACGAAATCTTTATCATAGACGCAATTGCCCAAGAGATTACCAAAATTCCGTAGAGCCCTTTTCAATCCATCCGTGGTTCCTTCTTTCTTTGCTTTCTCGAAGGCAGGAGCTTTACCCTTGCAATTCTCGATGTGTCCATACCCAATATCCTACACTTCTTAGCCTTTCATTGTAGGACAGATGAGATTTTCATGCCTCATGATATGTACCGTCTTTTAACGTAACTCTAACAATGACGGAGAGACCTAGACTAACCCTCCCGGTTGATTGATTTTCGTCTACCTAGGCAGAACATAAGCTAGTATTCGAGGTCGGAATCTACGTGGGAGGGGTACAAAATCGATCTGTATCTGTTGGATAGAACTCGACCAGCCATTGAAACCGAGGGCTTGATTGGCAAGGTTGATGCATTTATCTACCCCAATCAGCAAGTGTTCTTAATTTGTTCATTAGAACGCAAGATTACCTGCTGCTAGATAGTGCACCTTTGCCCCACCAGCGCCCGGTCTGGAAGAGATGTATTCAGGGCCAAGCTGCTTCTCCAATCGACTTGACAATGTCGCGATCTCGGAAGCCGTGTACTCGGAAACATGGGGCTTGCTCTCTTCAAACGGATTGGGTTTCGAGGCACTCTGGTGCTGCTCACCTTGCGCAGGCATAACTCTTAGAGGTCTGGCCGGTTGGGAAACAGCGAGTTGCAAGTAGTGCAAACGCTTTGGCACTTTGTAAACTCGCGGCGCGAGAACACGTGAGCGGATTAAACTTCTTCCGAAGCCGGGGGCTAATTTCTCTAACTACTCGTTTCTTTCGTGTATCGCGTCAGCAAACCTTTTACAGTACGGTCTTGGGCGACCCGTCGAAAACTCGATTGACATTGATCCGCATAGACCCGGTTGCTGGGGATGATCATTTGACAATAAGGGAAGCACTTGGTATCAAAGACAATTCCTTGAGGGTAGCTCCGAAGTCGATCGCGTCAAAGGCTGGAGCAATCCGTTAGCATTTGGCCGCTGGACACAGATATCTAATGTTTAACTTACTTTTCTTCGGAAAATTCTGCGTGAAGCTCGACGCCTCAAACCCACCCGCTTCTTGCTTGACAGCCGCAGCGACCTCGAAGAGTGTGGTTTCAACGGGGAAAATTTTCGTTATGGTACCGCCTGGCGTTTGAAGTCTCATTCGGGTTTCTTTGTATGAAGAGGCTGGCTTGCTCCCGACTTGTGCTACCACTGGTGTGGCAGCCGGGGTAGGAGGAGGTGCTTGACCCGCCCGCTCGGCCTTCTCTCGCTCTGCTTTGAGTCGTCGGTTTTCCTTGTCAGCCGCAATTTGATCTTTGATTTTTTGCTTGGCTAAAGCATCCTCTTGTTTTTCCCTCTTCTTTGCAGCAGCTTCGCTCATTAGCTGATATCACCTGGGGATGTGATATCTCACGTACCATCCTTTAAGAGTTCTTTCTTTCTCAATTCCTCCTTTATGTCCTGACTGTCTTTGGTGGTCTTGCGTCGAATATCTTCGTTTCGCTTCTTGTCGGCCTTGTCCTGATCGAATACTCCTGCGCGTTTCGCGGCCAACTTCTGGCGAAGCCTACTTTCGCGTCAAAACCTGGGTCCAGCAAAGGACTACAGTGATACGTACTCTTCCAGTTTCTCCTTCTTCTCCTTCTCTGTCAAGGGAGTAACTTCCTCTGTCGATTCTTCAAAGTTGGTATGCTGTGTCTTCTCTGCATGGAACTCTGCCGCCTGAACGCTGCGAAGCTTGCGACCGCAATCTTTACACAGAAGAGATTTTGCTTCTTCTCCAGGATTCAGCGGAGTGGTCCCAAAATCCTGGTCTTCGGCTGTGCTTGCGTCCTCTAAGCTCAACAGAGCATCTGTCGAAGTATCCTGATTCTTTTCTAGCCAGTCGATAGCTCCTTGTACTATTGTAGTTATTAGCAGGGGTTCTCAGCCCTGTGTTATACGACCTCCAGACTTCCAGAAGACTTTCTCAAAGCAAGTTCAGCGCGAGGCTTCTCAAACCCCATAGATATCAAGTTCTCGAGATCTGAAGAGGACATGATTGTGACGTTGTCGGAAGCAGGACTAGGTACGACGCAGAGCTCTGTGAGGGATTGTAGCTTTTAGACTATTAGCCACCTCAATAATATGACGCAAATTCTCCCGCGGCGCGCTAGCTAGCTCCCTGCCGGCCTGTCAAGCCCGTGTCAAACTTCCAACTTACCTGAAACAGCAGGTGTATTTATAATTATTGCTCTCTACTACTCTACGCAACACTGTATCGGCCACACGCTTTGTCTCAAGAGCCATCGCCTTAGTTCCCTCGGACATTGCTCCCTTCTCACGGAAACACCCTCTATTCACATATTCCAGCCAGGGCAGCACCAGACCAGTATGGCAATCACTCTGGATCCCCAAGAGCTAGGCTTCCGCCGTCCTTTCACGCATGAGGGTCAATGGCACATTTGGATAGCTCTGCGTGAAGGCTAACACTATCCAGTCGCCCAACTCCTTCGACTTGGCAATCCTACCAATACCCCATTAGCCTTCAAAGTGCGGATCCGGTCAAAGCTTGTGCCAACTACTCAGCATACTGATCGTACGAACTACAGGTCAAAACGACGGCACCCAAGCAGTACTGCGTACGACCAAACTCTGGTATATCGCTCTCGAGGTTACTGTTTAGGTTATTTGTTGATGAATGGATTAGGTCGCATAGAAGCCGGACATGAGGTGGAAGTGCAAGGCATGCAACAGATGAGGAATTGCACCCACCAGGTTGGAAGTGCTGATCTCTACCATAGTACTGCTACAGGCGATGAAAGAAGATCCTCCGCCAGACGCGAGATGTCGAGATAAGTTCCTAGTTCAGTCCATCCCGATCACGCCGGAAAGGGATAATCCAAGTCCCAATATCATTGTATGTGCAGAGCTCAGACCCCGTTTACTCCTCTTTGAGCTGACGCTCGACAGTGGTCCAATGTGGAAAAGACTGCAAAAACCGAGATTGAGGAGAAGAAGATCCGTGTCTCATTCCTGCCTGCTGATGGAGCAGCTGCTACCCCGAATCATAGACAAGTCAACGGCGTTGTGAGTCTCGCTTGCAGTGGTCAACCATGGATATTTTTCTGACTTAAGGTAGTCAGGGGACGAGGCGCCACCAGCTTACGGTACTGGGAGCCCTTCATACGCCTCTCCTGCGCCCCAGGCAGTTACACCAGATACTAGGTCCGCTCCAAGTGACTCCAGACCAAATACAGGTGTGTTCGAGGCCAACAAAGGAGAGACACCGTCTTCTACAGTAGGTGCTATCATACCAAATATAGCGAACGCTGTGCCTACGTCCAAGGAAGAACTTGAATCGCAACTTTCCGCAGCCAAGGAGAAGATCAAAAGTTTGACATCGCAGGCAGAAGAGCAAGTACTACGACAGCGCAAATCAGATGCTATTAATCAAGACTCCCGCGAGCGCGTCACGACCGGAACGACAGGTATGGGGGTCCAGCAACAACCGGCGGATGGCGTTCCGGTGCAGATGGTGGCCGCCCTGTGCCTACTATCTTTCTTGCTTGCGTACTTTTTCTTCTGAGTGGAAGAATAACTGTTGGATTATCACTGGGCTCCTTTATGCTACGCAGACGTAACGATCGGGATTGAAGAGTATGGCGAGGATCGAGCAATACTCTAGTTAGGTCATGACGTGAGCTTGATGGAATGATGTAGGAGAAGCCATTACGCTGAGTTCTCACTGCAATTGCGATCGTGTTAGTCGTCAGGCTATATATTTACAAATTGATCATTGAAGCCATCCTCGGTATGACACTCCTCTTTGACGGAGTGGCCTAAGGCATTCCATAGTCGTTTTGCTGTCAGCACGTTTCTCACGCATTACCAATCGTGTTCAAGTATTTGTGTATGTACCGTCTATACCCACCCAGCTCGTCTTCTTGCTAGTCAGCGAGCTTCCTCCCAGTTCCTTTTCGCTTCACACGGCACCACAAGCCAACTTCCTTGTCCCATATGAATTGCCAAATCACCCAGGTCCAGCTCGTGTGGTGAGGTAAATCAGCGTAGAATTCCTTAGCAATCTCATGTAAGACTGGTAACCGCGTCCAAGGAATCGCCGGAAAGTCATGATGCTCGTTGTGTAAGCCTACATTATAAGTGAAAAAGTTCAGAGGGCCATAATACGAGAATGTCTCGGGCACGACGACCGCGTCCGCCAGATCCGAAGTCGTTATTGAAACTTTTCCAAAAACATAATGCTCGGCTATGAAGTGACCAGCACATGGGTGCAATGAGCCGGCAAGGAAAGAGCTCAAAATCAAATACACGAAAGCGTTCATGCCCGCATATTTTATCAGAACACAGTCGAATAAAAGCTGAATGAAGATGTTGAAAAGGTGCAATTGTGTGAATGGCAGTTGATAAACCATCATAGGTCGAAGAGCGTAAAAAATAATCTGGAATGTACAGAAAAAGGCCTTCCCAAGGACAGAATTGAGAAATAAGGCTTCAAGAGCAGTAGGGAGGTCGGTGTCGAAGCCATCGACACCAAGAGCTTTATGGTGGGTCAGGTGATATGGCTGGAAAATGTCAGGATCTGAGTGCTCTGATGGAGTAAGTGAACGTGCTCACCCTAAAGGCAGCGCTGTAGGGAAGTCCGATAGGAAGATTGGTGAACACTGCAGCCAGTCGGTTCGCCAATGGTGACTTAAAAGCCAGATTATGTGATATCTCATGGATTGCAAGAAATAGATTTTGATTCGCCGTTGCTCCAATTATGTAGGCTGCAAGAAAGAATGGATATGACAGAATGGGGACGTGTCGAAGCCAAATTGCTACACTCAGCTGTATACTGAAGACTGCGAGAACGACGTATTTGGTCAATGGCTCGGGTCCGCAGAGCTTAGTGACCTAGTCAGGATGATTAGATCAATTGATCTTCAAATGGCAGTGGCAGAAGTACTGACCTCAGGATGAGCTTTTATGATTGCCTTTCTTCGTGTTCTATGAGGCTCCTCCGTGTACGACCAGAAGAAATGATCTGTTTCGACTCCCTTTGATGAAGCTGTCTTTGTCACTGGAGGGACTAATGTGGTAATAGACCCAGCCGACATCTCGAATAGATGATTCGATACCTTCGGGATCTTGTGTTGAAGAGAGGATATGTATAACGAATCAATGGCGCACAATTGGCTGAGGAGCAAGAAGAGTCCCACGCAGGGGGTGGCATACTTAAATAAGCCCCAATAAATCCGAGTTTAAAAATACGTTTTCCTTCTACCTAAAGAAATATTTCTTTTTTTGAATATAGACGATTTAATAATCTAAGTATAAATTTTTAATTTAGTATTAACAACTTTAAAAAAACTAATAATATATTATAAAAGTATATAAATAATATTAATATAGTATAGCAAAGTATAGCCTAAAATAGACTAGTTATAGATATATTATCTAGAATTATAATCTTATTATTATTTTAAAAAACTAAGATCTAAGATTAATCTAAGATATAGGCTTAAAGCGGAACTAGTTCTAGACTACTAAGCTATAACTAAAACTACTTTTTATTAATACTTACTAAGAATAAAAAAGACTAATATCTATATTAGATATATATATTGCTTAGAGTAATATATAATTAAAATAATAATCGCTAACTAAAAGCTTTAATAATTATAATAACTATTACTATACTATACTATATTATATATAGTATTAGCTATATATACTAGCGTTTAAATAGAAAGTCTATTATTTATTATATTAAAAAGTATTTTTAAATTATTATAACTAGTATAGTTAACTATACCTTTATTGTTCTAGAGGTAGTTTAATCTATTATTATTTTAGAATATATTATTCTAGAACTTATTATAATTATAGTATATTCTATTTATTAATTAAGTATATAGTATTATATTTATTTAAGAAATCTTTTGCCCTATTAATAAGGTTATTATAATAATATTATATATTATATTTATAGTTAAATATTTCCTACTTTATTAAATAGCTAAGTTTGCTATAATAGATTTTCTATTTTAGTAGTTTTTTAATCTTATATTAATTATTTCTTTTAAAACCTTTAACTTTAACTACTAGCGTCTTTTCTTAATATATTTAACTATAGGGATCCTCCTTTTATATTAATACTTTTTCTAGTTATACTATTAAAACTATAAGGTAAATATTTATTATAGGTAGAAATTTAAATTAGTATACTATTTTACTAACTTTCTTAAAAACCTTAAAAGGTCTAACTTATTATTATCTTAGTTTATAGTTATAGAGGCCTAGAATTGTATATCTCTTATATAATATTAAATAGATATTATTACTAGGATAAAAATTAATACTAATATATTATTAATTATATTAAACTTTTATTATAGTATTTACGAATAAGAGAGTATTATTAGCTTCCTTTCTTTTAATTAAGTATAATTAATTAAAATTTTCTAAAAATAAATTATTTAATAAATTTATAGTATCCTTTACTTTAAAGCTATAAATAATTTTATTTAAAGTGAAATTAGTTATTAAATAAGTAAAATTATTAAATAGTATACTAATAAATAGAAGAATATTAACTTAATTAATATAGTTTAACTATAAATAATAAAATTTTAAAGCAATTTTAATTATTTAATTAGTTTTTTTTAATTAATTATTAGTTTAAAAGTAATATACTATTAATATAAGTAGTTTTATACTTAATATTTAAAAGATTATATACTAAAATAATAATATAAACTATATATTATAGTTTAAAATAAAGTAGCTTAGAACTCTTTAGTTTTAGAATAGAAGCTCTTTTAATATAATATTAGCTTATTATTTAATTAACTAGTTTTTTTTTTAGTAATTAAAAGTACTTTCTTTAAAAACTTATATATTAAAGTAAAAAGTATATTAAGTTTATCTAGTCTAAACTCTAGCAAGTTTATAATAAAGTTTATAGTAATAGTAAAAAATAGAATTACTAGTATATCTATTAGCTATAGCTATCTATATAGTAAATAGCAGATTATTTAATAAAGCTAGTATTTAAAGTAATAGAAAAAATAGTTTTTTAACTATTTATAAAGCTAATAGATAAAGAAAGATAAAGATATATATTTATAAGTATAGTAAAGACTACTATAACTAGATACATTATAAGTAAAATAAAAAATATTTTATTTTAAAGAATATAAGATATAAAGATGCTTTTTATCTTCTTTATTAATTTTATAAATTAAATTATTATATATCTAGAATTTAATACTAGTATTATATATCTCTTTATTATTATTATTCCTAGACTTAAATAGGGTTAATATTTTCTTTTATTCTTTATTACTTTTATATATATTTTTTAGTTTTTATTTAAAATTATTAAATATTTCTATAAAAAAAATATAGAATATATAAAGCTTATCTATAATAGATAGTTTATTAAAAATAATAATATAAAATACTTTTATTTCTTTAATATAATTAATATTATTAAAAATATTTTTAGCTAATCTTTCTAAATATAATAATATATTTAAAATAGTATTTAATTTACTTAGTTTATATTAAATATTAATATTAAAACTTAATAAGTATTAAAAAGCTTTTATTAGCTTAAGGTTTAGCTTATTTATATTAAAAGTAGTAAAGCTTATTTAGTAAATAATATTTACTATAGTAGTATAATTAGTATAAATAACTATTAATTTTTTTAAAACTAATTCTATTATATATTATATTTTTCTTAAAACTTATATAATTCTAGCTACTTCTAATTCTATAGGCTAGTATTATTTTTTTATATTATTTAAATTTTTACTTAGAAATATTATTAGCTAGACTAATATTTATAAAAAAGACTTTTTTAGTTTTAGGTTATTTTTAATATAATAAAATATAATAATAAAGTTTTATACTTTAAATAAATTAATATTAATATATAAATATTTTAAAAAGTTATAGAAAATAAGAAATACTAGCTTTTAAAATACTTTCTAAAGTTACTAAAATAACTTAAGTTTTTAATATATTAGAGTTATAACTAAAACTATTATATTTTATTACTTTTATTTAATTCTTTTTATTTTAAGTTATTTTATATTATAATCTAGATTACATCCCTCCTAGTTATACGGAAATAGCGGTGTTAAGGGCTTAGCAAGTATTGTAAACTGCTTTTATATAAGGGTAAATATATATAAACTAGAAGATTAATATATAGCGATATTTATTAAGTATATAAGTAGGGTTTTTGCCTAAAATAGAACTAGTTCTTTATTTTAGTTCTCTTCGTTTTTTTTAGGCTTTAGGAGCTAGTTTTTACCCCTAAGTAGACTTTTAATATTAGAACTAAGATTATTACTACTATTATAATATCTAAGTAATAATATTATAAAAATAAACCTTATTAGGGGCTAGACTATTATTAGTTTTTACCCCTAATTCTAGTTGCTACCATACAACTAAATAAAGAAGTAGTTAAAAATAATTTCTATATATTTAAAGAAAGTTATAAAAAAAGATAATAGCTATATTTAAAAGAAATAGTAACTAAATAATAAACTTAAACAAAAGTAGATAAAG